ATCTGGCCATCAAAACGTTTTTCTGTAGATTCACAGATCTTGTAAACCAAGGCTTTTGCAAAAAAAGATGTGATGGTGTTTGAGATTTTTGACACCCATTTGAGACGTGTAACTTCATCAAACAGGTGACTGTATCATGTACTGGTATCCTTTGAACATATCAATTTTCTAACATCATACAAGATTAAGATCAGAACTTTTTTATTAGATTTTCAATCACTTTATATTCTGTGTGAATCAATATCAACATAGCTTCTTTTGAATTGTTCCATGGAATAAACAATCTCATTTGAAGAGTCAAGGGTGAAATTTTCAAAATCAATAAAGATTTCCAGGTAGAAAAATTAAGATCTTTGAAATTTGACTGTGAATGAAGAAAGAACTTTTGATGATGAGACATTATTTGAATTATTCATCAATCCATAACTTCAGATCAACATGATGATTTCTTCAAATCCGTTGAAAAACATTTGATTGAAATGTGTGTTTTGTAATGACAGGATTTCAATTCTTTTGACTATGCTTGGTGAATGATCTTAATCATTCAGGGTAATTAGATTCAAATAAATCATGCATATAATGATACTCATCTTGATGAATGCACTCATCACCCTTAGTATGTTGTGTAGCATAACCAAGCTTATAAAATACAACTAGAAGTAAGCCAAAAGATCATTTAATTCAACTTAAAGGCAGCACGGTACCATAGGGACATGTGATAGATTCAGATCCTCAATCATTAAAAAATTCTAGTTGACTTGGATTGAATCTTTCAAACAATTGGGTTTGAGATTGATATTTAACATCAGGACATATGAGTTAGATTCAATTTCCATCAGATTTGAAGAAAGATGACTCTAAGCTCCTATATGTTTGTATATAAGCTCCTGGAAGTGTTTCACTGATCCTTGTAAGCTTATTGAGAGTATCTTCAATATACCCAAAACTGAACACTTTGTACAAGTGTCTAAAGTAAGTTCACCAATAGGTATAACAAGCCGTGTTCAGCATTCAGCTGAAAAAAACTGTTTGAGAGGAGAAGAAATTGAAGTAGGGCGAGCATAGAGAAATAGTTTTGCTTCAGCTATCTTTCAACGTAAACAAAAGGCTTTAAGTACATATGATGAAATGTGAAGCACCTTGGAGAAAATATAAGATTGGAAGGGTTTCTCAGTTGTGAAACTACTTTTTCCATTCAATCAACACTCGTAGTGTTTGAAGTTTGCTTTCTACTCAACTCAGACAGGGCATGAAAGACGTTCGAGGATGAACTCAAATATGTGCCAAGATCATGAATGCGAACCTGCGTACATTCACCTTCATGATTAATTTCAATCAAGACAATGCAGGGTAATTGAAGATCGGTCGGCACACGCAATCGCATGGTAAGCTGTTAGCTTAACAAAGCTCTATCTGCGCGGCCGCGTAAGCTAAGGTCTGGTGGTAAGAGAAGATTGTGCACGCTGGAAGATGATTTATTGTTATTGTTGTACAAGAACCCTGGAATGCCTTGGTCCCTATAAATACGGCACGGAAGTACATCTTGTTTTCCTCAGAACTATTTCCGCATGAAAAAAACCCTCAGATTTCTGCGGTTTTGTTCATTGGAAGGGCCGTCCCTGTTTGTGTTCTTGAACATCAGGAGCGTCTGCCTCATGTTTTAAAGTTACGCAGTGGTTCATTCTTTAGGTTTCTTACTTCTCGGCAAGATAGGCAAAAATATCAACTTATTTGGTTAATCATATTACTTAACCTTGGATTCCTAACTGTGGAACTGTGTTTAGTATTTACCAAGGTTCCAGATTTCCCTACGACCTTGGCCTGTTACCTTGGCTGAGGGTTTGTTTTGGTGGACCCAGAGCGGGGGATCGCCAGGCTGCCTTTGCGTCACGGTACTATAAATCCCGCTGACGTCAGGCCGATCTCTTGCTCATCTGGGTGACCTTGGTTCGGCGGAATTTAGAAATAAACTCTATTACGTACCACTTTGGAGAATGGATAATGGGATGAAAAAGTTCCGGTAATGTACAGAGTATGTGGTGAGGATTGCGGAATGCACTCATTTCTCAAGTTCTCACGGTGTAAAAACTCTGACTAAGAGTTATGGCCCATGGGTCATATCGAAATTGGATCATGGAATTATGCCGCGCCTTGGTTAAGACTGGCAATCGGTGTTGATAGAGAAAGACGAAGAGATCACTCCTGATCCAGGAACAAAGTATCATTTCAGAACACCTTACCTAAGATGAAGATACCAGGGGTTTCTAATGAGCTCTCATGTGATTTGTGATTCGTGATTTGCTCATGAGTGGGATGAGACGTGATCAAGTGAGTCAGCCTTTTATGCTTACCAATTTCTTTGAATCAATCTCAAGAGAAGGGTCAGTTGTCTTATGCAACATGAGCATTTGACTAGAAGTCACAGAATTCAGTCAAGATTATCTAATCTTTGGCTTGGAGAGTCTTGGAGTAAGACCATATGATTTTTTTTGATTTCAAGGTGTTTATGATTGTAAAGTCTACTTTGAGAAATCCATTTCGGAGAAGTACCGATGAAGATGATTAGTTCAAGTCGAATAAGGAGTATGTATTAGAAGAAGATTGATTAGAAATTGAGTCAAGATAAGAGAGGATGGATTGAATCGATTGATTTGATTGGAAAGTGTTTTAGAAATCCAGATGAGTACCTGAATCGGGAAGTGAGTTTAGATTTGTCGGTACTGAGTTTATTTTATGAAGTTGAAATCAAATTTTCAAACCCCAGAGCACTTCATCGGATGCGGCGTGAAGTCAGCCTAGAGCCGCATCTCACCCCTGTTTTAAGTCAAGAGTCATGACTAGGACTTCCGACTGCTGATGAAGATGAAACATCAGATAAGAGGAAGAGAGGCAGTCGAAGTGATAGAGAAAGAGCAGAGCCAAGCCGAAAAAAGTAAAACTTTAAAGATAAGGAACTGGTTTGATTTGGATGAGGTAATGTTTTGAAGATGGTAAGTACACTTTCGTTCGGCTCAAAGTACGAAATGCCAAGTCAAAGTCAAGAGTATCAATCTTCAATCGATGAAGAGTTGAGACGACTCTGCGGATCGTTTAGAAATTCTTGAAGCTTACAACTTTTAACAAACTTGGCTGTCTTCTGTTTTCTGATTTCTCTTGGAAAACATCCAAATCACTGATCAAGTCTTCATCATCAGACAGAGACTCACTTTGAATATCTTTGACATTTACCCTTTACAATAGAATATAGATCTCATCTTTAAATTAAACCATCATCACCCTCTAGAGCCTTGGCGCCAAGGGAATCTACAGTCTTCTATATACAAATAATTTAAAACACCGTCAGTGACTGCGATCATCACCACCAACGAGCTACACCTGCTACACTTTTAACTGAAACCTTTCCATAGCTTTCAATACAAATCTCAATCAGTGATTCTGAAAAATAGTTTTGATTTCCTACATATTCATCTCAGTTATTCTAAACTCATCATCATCATCCATCATCCATCATCCATCATCCATCATCCATCATCCATCATCATTATCAACATATCATCATCGCAGTTATTATTATTCGTATTCCTATTATCTTTCAAATCTTTTTAATGCCAAGAGTTTTATAGATTAAACTACTCTCTTAAAATCATTATAGTAATACAACACATTTTATTATACGTCCATTCTAGATAGAAATCAAGACTAGTCGATTTTCTCACCATTCTTATTGAAATTTGAATTCAAACTACTTTGGGAGTTTAATTAAATAACTATTCTCTTCAGTCTAAAATCAAACTCATCCAAGCCATCTTTTGAAGGAAATCTCAGCAACTCCATCTTCGTGAAAACCCTTCAAGTTTTCCCCCTTCACTCTTGATCATCTGACCATTTTTACCTATCAACAGTTGTTCTTCTTTTCACCCTCACAACCTCAACTCGCTCGAGAAAAGGATCAAGTTTCAACTTCAATTCGATTCATTCAATCTAAACTTTCATCCTCATCACCTTGACCTTCTCTGTTCATCCATCAAACTGATTTCCAACAAATGGAGTCATCATCTTCTCTTCAATTTACATCTTGTTCTAATCCTAACATGTCTTTAGATTTCATGACTTGTCTTTCTCCTATAAACCAATCAGATTCAACTTCGAATTCAAATCTCAACAACCAAAACTTGGATTCTCAATCAAATCAAAACAAATTAGATTCATTACATCAAGAGTTGGGTTTAAGTCATCAATCAAAACTTACCTTCTTAACAACCAGCAACCTACCAACCACTCCATCAGCATCATCACCAAGAACAACTTCGCCATCTTCATCATCTTCATCACCTACAAACTCAAATAACAAACCATCAATTGTAAATCTTAAAACCAAAGCTCAAGTCAACAAACCATCTCGTCTTCGTCAAAAATCAATCATCAACTTCTTCAAATCTCGTCCATCTACTCCTGAACCTTTACCGTTCAGCCCCGAACCTTTACCAACCAATCTTGAACCCAAGACTTTACCCATCAATCTTGAACCTACACCCTTGACCCCTAATCCACAAAGTCCAAAAACACTCAATACTTCAGCTGATGTATCCTCAAACTCTTCTACTCCAAAATCAATCACCACCAAATCATCTTCGCATCCAACCTTACCTCAGTTTGTATTTGAACAAGCTGAACAAATTCGTGCTAGACTTGATGCTGAAAATGCACAACATGAAGCTCAAATCAAGCGTAAGCTTACAACACCATTACAATCCAAATCAACCCCTTCGCTTGGTGACCTGAAAAGGCTGCTTTCTCGTCGTACCACTCGAGTCAACAATTTCAACAATGAGATGCATAAGCCTAATGGTCTCAATCTATCAAGTAGTTTGAATCGTAGTGGATTCTTTGGTAAACAGTCATTCAAGACTTCCTCCAATCAAACTGTCACCCCGCAATCATCACCGGCAAAGGCTGCTGCTAGCTCTCCTGGCACCCCATTATGCCAATCTAATTTAAATCTCCAACAAAAGTATGGGAAATGGGGTAAAGTTTTGGGAAGCGGAGCTGGTGGTACTGTTCGTTTGGTTCAACAGGATCGAGATGCACCAATTTATGCAGTCAAACAATTCAGACCTCGACGGAAAGGGGAGAATGAGAAGGAATACCTTAAGAAAGTGACTGCTGAGTTTTGCGTAGGCAGTGCATTGCAGTACGTTTTGTCTCTGATTTTGAACACCTTTGTTTCACCAAACTGATTTGGTTCTTTTCCCTCTAGTCATCCTAACGTCATTGAAACCATTGAAATCATTTCTGAACGTGGTCATTATTATGAAGTGATGGAATATGCTCAATACGATCTTTTTGCAATTGTCATGTCGGGTAAGATGGCTTTACCGGAGATTTATTGCGTTTTCAAACAAATCGTCAATGGAGTCGAGTACCTTCATTCCATGGGTTTAGCTCATCGTGATCTCAAATTAGATAATTGCGTAGTCAGTTCTGAGAGTTGTGTAAAGATCATTGACTTTGGTACAGCTACTGTCTTTCAATACCCTGGCCAAAGCTCCATACCTACTTCCGGAGTGGTCGGTAGTGATCCTTATTTAGCACCGGAAGTTCTCAATTCTAAAGAGTATGATCCTCGCTTAACGGACGTTTGGAGTGTGGCCATCATGTTTATGTGTATGGCGCTTCGTCGGTTCCCTTGGAAATTACCCGATGCAGCTAAAGATCTTAGTTACCGAGCCTTTTCTCGTTCGCAAGCTAGTCTCACTCTAACTGAACCTAAACCTCAACCTACACTTCAAACTCCTCGGGCCAAGTCATCTAAAACGTTACCTATCAATCGTCAAAGCGATCAATCTCAAGATTCTAGGAAGATTGCTATACCTCAGAACCTATCTGTTCGTCTTAGTCAATCATCGAGTCAAACTACTTCCAGTACCGTTCACGATTCAGGTTATGGAACTTGTGGTAGTGTTTCAGAGTCCGATTCTTCACGACCGACCATGTCATTTTACCCAGAATCGAATTCAATGGTCTCAACGAGTCAATCATATAGTGCATCACCCACTGAATCACTCTATCATCCCGAAAGCCATCCTGATGATAGTGGTAATGAGTTTCCATTCACAACCAATTTTGATGGTAAGAATCCTACAATAGCTCGTTGTTCATCAACCACAGATGATACAGATTTCAGTGAAGCCATTAGACCACCGTATTTGATGACGACACAATCATCACCCAACTTACTCACCTTTGCTCCGACATCCATTGCGATCCCACCTCTTCCTACGGAATCATCTTGGATTGGAGTTGCGATGACATCCGAGATGGTCAGTCCTGGTTCACGTGGTAAGACTCGATCATCAATCACACCAGGAGGTCGAAGAATAGCCAGCGGTGAAATTCCAACACTTAGTCCAATTGAACCGATCAAACCAAGCATGAAATTGATTTCAAATACAAGAAAAGTATCGGTTCAAGAAAAGTTTAAAGAAACACAAGAATTATTTAAATCATTACCGATCGAATGTACTTCTGCCATGGAAAGGATGTTAACGATTTCAACCGAGAAGAGATGTACGTTAACTGATTTATTGGAAGAAGATCAATGGCTTAGATCGATTGAGACTTGTGTGGATAAAGAAACTGGGAAAAGGTGTAGAGGTTCAGAAGGTCATTTTCATTTCTTGATCGGACCTGAAGTTGAAGTTGGAAAGAAGAAGTAAAGATTCGAATCTGTTTTCAGGTAGAAGAGAGGTGATGAGAGAAGAAGAAAAAGGCGGATGTGTTGTATTGTACGATGAAATCAAAGAGGGATTTGTAGGATTTTTTTTTCCATGTCTTGTTGTGTTGTTGTGTATAAAATATCAACTGTTTTTCATTTTTAATTTTTCTTCAATTTTCCTTTTAGACTTGTCATTCTTTTTCTATTATTTTTTTCAAATCTTATATTTTTTTCTTTTCGTATTTCAATTAAACTCTTTCTTACATTCATTTTAGAATCGAAACAGTTTATACATTTTTTTTTCTCGTACGTTTTTTTTTTCGATATGAAGAAATTTGTGTGTATAATTCTTTTTTTTCTTCGTTTGTTTGATCATGTGTGTGTGTGTGATTTTTTTGTGTTTGATTTTTATAATTAGTTGAAAAGAAATCAAATTTTTAAAGGAAAGTTTGAAATTATTTTGAGATGATTTTGGTACGGGTTTTTTCCTTGTGACATACATAATGGATGAAGATCATCTTTGTCTTGTTTGTTACTTTTTTAAAAGATTCTTTGGTTCAATGATTGGATTTTTTGGTTTTGTGAGGATCCTAGTGATTGATTGATTGATTGTAGTTTGTTTTTTTTGGTTTGAAATTGGACTTCTTGAGCTTCTTGAGGTTTTGATTATGGGTTTTTTTTGTATGGACTTGATTGATTTTAATGGTGAACTTGAAAAGGATCTTTGGGTTTGGCAAAATGTTGGATTTGTTCTGTTTTTTTTTGGTTTTGCAATAAATTAATTTTGTTAGATTTATGTATGTATGTGATGGAAAATGAAACCTAAAGAAAAACTTTTGGTTTTACAAAAAACTTTTTTGATTTCTATTTGAGCAATTTGAAGTTTTATTTACTTCTTTAAATTCAGTCATGAATTCATGGGATCATCAATGTCTTGAGCCATTCTCAAGTTTTCATTGTTCTCTAAATTCTTTCTTTTCAAATCTGAGATACAATTGTGTGATTTGTGTACAGATTGTTCCCCCCTATTACTAACTTGAGATTTTTGAAAACCAAGAATCTACTTTTTGAGCATTAAGGGGAACTTAAAGAACATCTAAAAATATGGTGGATCTGATTCATGGGTGCTACTCTGAAGCAGTGGGACTTGAATTTCCCCAAGGCAACTTTTGGCTGCTGTGACAAAAGTGTTTCTTTGGGTCTGTCTTTTCCCCTACTATAAGCCAAACCCATGACTTTCTTATAATTCTCAGTATAGTATAGTTGAAAGATACTATACCCACAGTATAATATGTTGGTATAGGATAGTGGCAGCCTTGCACCTACTCCTTCTGAATAGTTTTGTTGATGTCCATTATTATAGTTCTTCAAGAACGGATTCCTCATATTCCACCATTAATTATTATTGGAGAATCAAAGGCTGACAATGGGTTTGACTTATCTCTTCTTGTTTTTCCAACCTTGATCTGAAGCTCCTCTCTTCTGTCTGGTGTGAGTGTGAGTTGTTGTTTCTGTGCCCGTTACTTGAGACTGACTAGCTAATTTTGACTCTGAAGCATTTAAATTTCTGTTGCTCAGGAGCATACAGATTGGTGTCTTGATAAACAAGGTCACCTACTTGATCTGCTACTTGCTTTGCTTGTTTTTCTACATTAGATTGTCTCCCATCTGCTAATATCACTCTCTGTCAACCATCAGTATCTCCCACTATCTCTTGAACTTAAGTAAAGGAAACTCAAATATGACTTACATATTTCTTTACTCTTTTAACATTCACTTTTTTTTTCATCAATTTCTGTCTGCTAAAGATTACTGTGCTTATAGCAAGGTGGTACCTCAATCTAACTAACCAACAATTGTACAGCCCTTCTTAGAAATAATGTTTTTTTTTTTTTTTTTTTCACTCCCAGATTTTACTCGGTTTCTGCCGTCTCATTCCTTGAGACTTTTAGACTGAGGAGTGGGTGGTGATCTCATATTTCTCCTGCACATCCATCTTTTAACCACTATTCCTAATCGCAAATCCCTCGTTCGACAATCACGACCTCACCACCCACTGCACTCGTGATGAACTCACCTGCCGGACGGAGTCACGGCAGCCGAAAGTGCCATGACTCCGTTTTTCTTTGGAGCCCTTCGACCACCACGAAATCGACCAAGATATCACTTCATCCCCTTTCACCTCGAGTTCTTTCATTCCACTTGTTTATCACCACGCCTTCAACTTGGTACTCTTTTTCTTTTGTTAAAAGTTTTCAATTCTTTCCGAGCCTATCATCTCACGTTTGATTCTCCCATTTTCTTTAGTGTTTTTCGTCGTCTTAGTGCGTCCATCGTCAACTACCATTTGAAAACGCCCTTTCGATTCAAAGCTCCAATCGGTCAGTGAGCCCATATTGTTGTGGATTGTTCACATGCTTATCTTTCATTCATCTGGGTCAGAAATGCCTCGCGAAGCAATCAACAATTTGATCCATGAAGGCAAAAATCCCGACGAAGGTCTGTTCATCGATCCTAATGTTTCCCTTTTTCTAATTTCCCATCTTCATCCAACTGAGTCATTTCTCTGGTAGTTTTCGATCCGCCCTACCTGCTCACCGACGGTAACGACGCTCCAGCGCGGCATCCCACTCTTGAGCGCCTCTGGCGCCAAGGCACGGAAAGCCGTCGCTTGATGGAAGAAAGCCAATCTTTCACCATCGCCGTCGCTTTCAAGATTCACACCAACAATACTGTTGATGTGATGCCCGGAATGGCCAATGCTCAATCTCCTTCGAAGGTCACCGCCGGCAAAAAGAAACCACCGCCAGCTCCTACAGGCGCCATCATTGATTCAACCGATTTCAAAGACGGGCGCCTCTTAGACTTCAAAGTCTTCTTGTATGGCAAGTCTTTGAACGAATTCAAAGACTTGATCGGCGATGTTTGTGACGAGTATTTTCCAGGAATCAAGAAAGTGGTTCTTGAAAGTGCGTTAGCACCACTGTTGACGTGGAATGCGAGTGTTGGTTCCAAAAAAACCAAATTGGTAGATTACGAAAGTTATCAAGAGTTGGTTAACAATTTGGACAAAAGTCGTACCTCAAAAGGTACAATCAACATAGTACTTCCAAAAGCGCAAGTCAAAGAAAAACGGAATGCTCAGGTGTGTAATTTTCAGGTTCTCAGGTGTTCTCTTTAATCTCGGTGATCTGATTACCACTTTTCCCCGGTTGCTTCCATTCAGGCCATCGGGGCAGTGGCGTATATCAAAGGGACCGCTGGACCTACTTCAATCGAAGCTGAACTGGCCGCTTCCAAGGAGGAAACAGCTTCGGCCAAAGAGGAAACAAAGGTACGATTCCTCTTAAATCTCGTGTGACTTCCAGATAGCTTCGGTCTCTGATTCTTTTGGTCATGCCTTTGTAGAAGGTCAAAGCGGCCAAAGAGTTAGAACTCGAAGTGGCGACTATCTACAATGAACACCTCGAAAGGGCTCTGGGTGGCGATGGTGCCATCTTGTCAGCCCCATGGGACCCGAACTACTTATATTGGTTTTCCCAACGATGTGCCTTCATATGGGCCAAGTCGATTGTAAGTGCCCAGTTCATTACATGTTAGGTTCCTAAGCTGATCATCTGGTTGTTTCAGCGTGATGGGTACACCAGTCGCGCTATGCCTCCTAGCACGACTGAATACAAGAGAGAGATGGCCCGAAACTCCGTCGAACACCCCGAGACGAGTGTGGACAACCGCGTCAAAAAACGTTACCCAGTGGCTGTACCAAGTTCAAAGAGTTCCTCATCGAAAAATCAAAAGCACCGCACCTTCTTTATGCAAGCTCCTGACGATGAAGTCAAGATCAAACAAGAACCCAAAAGCCCTTCAGGCTCAAAACGTAACCTGGAAGCCACCTCGTCTCTATCCAGCTTGTCTTTCAACAAGAAGATTAAACAAGAATCTCGTCAGTTCTTTATTCAGTTCTCCGATAAGTAACCTTCTTATAACTGACAAGGCTTCTCTTGATAACTTCGCTTGGCAGCTTCCGGTTTCACTTCCGAGAAGGTGATTTCCCTTCTCACCTCCGACGATGTTATTCCGGAGACCGTCTTCGGCGACTCCGACTCAGATGGCGAATCTGAGGTCACGCATTCCACCCTCCTGGAAGAGTTTTTGGCGGCGTGCGACATCCCCGGCGATGACCAAGCCACTCGAACCATTCTGCGCAAGGCGAATGTTTTATCTTGGACTGACTTAGTCCCGAGTGTGCAAATGACCACTAACGTCTTGACCGGGCATGGGATGCCTTTTGACACGGCCAGACGCCTCATGGATGGGGCAAAAGAAGCCGATGACCTACAAAAAAAAGCCTCTTCCTCCAAATGAATGTTTCAGCTATTCTAAAGGCCCAAGTAGATGATCCCCGAGTTGTAGTTTGCACATCTTCCCACCGCCTCCCACCCCAAAAGTTTGAGACTTAAAATTCCCCAGTTGTTTTCCAATGTCCGACGAGTTGTTTTCAAATGTCCAACGAGTTGTTTTCAAATGTCCACTCATAAATGAATCAGTGGTGCTTGTCTGTCTGTGTTATCCTTAAGCGTTGAATCGCAAAAAATATTCAATCTGAAAGAGCCTCTTTGAAAGTGAATCTAACCTTTAGACTTCTTCTTAGAATCTCTAAACGAGTTGAGCCTGTGCCAAGAATAAAGGTAATAAAGGTCCAAGTGACCTTTAAAACTTTTGACCTTTCGATGCAAAGATCATAATGACTTTGAATCATTATGATCTTTGCATAACCTTTCGAATAAAGGTCATTCAACCATTGCCCAAATGAACGTGTGCTCAATGCTAGATGTTAGTTGGACTCATCCGCGAGTGCCCAAGAAAACTTGGTTTTATTTTTGGCTTTCACGCGTAAGGATCTCACAAGAAATATTCAATTGAAACATTAAAGTCATAATGATGTTTCGAATACGATCAAAACATTGTCGTTTTCAAATCTTTCGGAATCAGTAGTTTTGTCAAATGAGACTAAGATTCGAGGGTTGTTATATTGAATCAAATCACGCTAACAACATCATGGGCAATCAACATAAGATACAAGACTTCTACAAATAACCACTCCCTTTGAATAACTTGTCGCACAATCCCTCGGTAAAGACCTCCATCATGGAGACCCAAATCACAGCTCTCTCCCCTTTGGCATCAATCGCTCCTTGAAGATCCTGGCTTCTTCGGAGGTTGGCTTTGACCGGTGAGAACCCCTTCTCAATCGGGTTGAAGTCCGGGCTATATGCCGGTAAGTAAATCAACCTTACCCCTCGCGCATGACACAAATCGGCTATTGAGCCCCCGTGGTGAATGGGGGCGTTGTCCAAAACTAGTACCGAGTTTCGCGCCGGCCATGGGTTCATGGCCGGTAACTACAATAAAGTCCCAAGACTTTAGAACACGAAATCTCTTGAACAAATCGAGACTGAAAGACGGAGTGATGACTCACCAAGTCGTTTTCCAAGAAATCTTCAAAATTCAAACGGGAATAACCTCCACGCTTGATAGTAATCGCCAAAATACCGTCAAGTGAAATAGCAGGTAATGCAGACCATCGGCCAGCTTGAGTGGGCCTTGGAAGTTGAGGTGTACGTTCTCCAATGGGAGAACGTGCATAATCGCGAAACAAACGCCTTTTCGAAATCGCCGTTTCGTCTAAAAGGTCAACAAGAATAAACGTTAAGTCAGAATGACATGCAGAATCCCAAACAGGCAAAAGTCAGTGCTTACCTGCAAACACCAGACAATAAGGGTCAATCTCAATTACAGATGCCATGTACGCACCTCGCGCGGCCAAACTTTGGTTTGGATGTACCGTGCGGGCTTTCTTACGAGTCCAACACAGCCTGTCTCGTAGCTCGGTAGAAAGGGTTTTGAAACCTTTCCAAGATCTTGGATTGAAGCTCATCTAGATACAAGGTCGGATCGAGGCGGAGACAGTCCAGGACAAACAGCCTTTCGGGGCCTCCTAAGACCAAAGGCGCACCACGAACCATGTGATCCATGGGGTTTGTGACCACCGCCCGGGTTCGCCGATAGAGGTTCAACCAGCGTCGTACCGAGGTGAGGGCCAAATCCATTCCGAGGGTCCTTGATATGTCCTGAACCCGGACGCCGTTGAGGGCCAATCGAACCACGGCAAGTTTGATCTCAGGGCTATGATGGGGATTTCGAACCTGAAAATGAAGGATATCAGCATTTCAAGTGATGAGAATCATAAAGAAAAGAATGGAAATCACCGGCGGCATTGGGGTGAAAGTCAGGGAAATTAGTCGATGTGATGTTGAGGTGGAAATCCAATTTGATTTGGAAGGACTCGCAGAGGTGGTCTGCCCTGCGATGTGCCACCTCTACATCTCGGATAAGAACCTACCAGATGATCCACCACCCGCCGGGTTATCTCCATCCTATCCGCTATCTGATTCACAGATAGACGGACTCGTGACCAGCACGTACGATGCGCCCTTGCATATAATTCGTGGGAAACTGTCAATATCATTCCACAGTTTCCCACTGGGAAAAAAATAAATCCATTTTTTTCGACAAGTCAGAAAGTGAGTAAAATCTGGGAGTGAAAAAAAACAAAACAAAAAAAACCATTATTTCTAACAAGGGCTGTACTTCTTCTTCAAGTCAGATCCTATCACTTTATGTTTCCCAATTTAGTCTGCATACTGAACATGTTGGTACATAACTCTTGCATACCTTTCTTCTAAATCACACATACTAATGAAGTCACCAAACAATAATTACTTTTCTAGAGCTGACATTGCCAATTTTCTCATCCTTGAATGTCTCTTGCTGCTTCCATCTTGGAATCTGTCATGGTAATCTTCTAAATAAGATATCTTAAACACGGTTGAGGGTACATATTTTCCAAGATGTTTGAAAACCTTTATCCCACTCATCAGGTAGGTCAGGTAAGTTGTGTGATTCAGGTTGCGTTCACTTAAGCCAGATTTTGTGAAGTCGCATTCTGAACGACCACATTTCTACATGTAGAAATGTGGTTTTTGTAAAAAAAAAAACTCAAAATTCACATTTTGTGAGAATTCGTGAAAAAAGAGGTCATGAGCCGTTTGCTTTGATGATCATTAATGACCGTTTTCAAATCTTTGAAATTCAGAACAGTCTTGAGAGTGGCAATGAACAAAAAAGGTTATAAGCCTTTGATCATCCAAACCATTGCCATCATGTCAAGTTCCTCTGATACCGACTCTGACGCTTCCTCCATATCAATTCGACCGGCGATTGTGGTTCTCAAGATTATTGTCAAGGCAGGACTTGATTACCTTGCTTCTATAACCACCAAGAAGAAGTCATGTCAAACATCAAAGCTTTGAGCAAATCAATATACAAAGGAAATCCTCGAAGGCAGTGATGTTCGATTCCGAGAACTTTTTTGTATGGACAAGCTCGCCTTCAAGGGACTAATCAAAGCCCTTAAAGGCAAGCTTGTCATCCACCACAAGAGGAGTGTTACGGTGGAGGAACAAGTTATGATTTTTTTATATATTGTTGGAAATTCTGGATCCAATCGAGTCGCCGGAGAACGCTTTCAACGCTCTGGACATACCATCAGCCAATACTTTAACAAAGTCTGCCGGGCCATTGCTTCTCTCCAATCAATATATATTGTCCAGCCTACCGGAGGAGAGATCTGTCCAAAGGAAATTCACAACAACTCGCGGTTCACACCTTACTTTGACAAATGTGTGGGTGCCATCAATGGCACCCACATTCCTTGTATTGTTCCTGCCGACCAACAACCAGCCCATTGAAACCACAAAGGGGATCTTAGCCAGAATGTTCTAGCCGGCTGTTCCTTCAACATGATGTTCACATTTGTTTACGCCGGTCTGGAAGAATCTCATGCCGATGCTCGGGTTCTTCATCGAGCACTTGAAGAACGTGGATTTGTAGTTCCTGAAGGTAAGATAAATTCTTTTCTTTTTCGAAAACATTGTACTTTGATATTGATCTGTTTGTTTGATTCAGATTATTTCTATCTTGGCGACGCTGGTTATGCCAATGTACCAGGATTTTTAACACCTTATCAATCAGTGCGGTATCTCCTCAAGGAATGGAAGAATTCCCACTTGACACCACAAAACGCAAAAGAACTTTATAATCACCGACATTCAGCACTTCGAATAGTCATTGAACGTATCTTTGGTGTCTCAAAAATGAGATTCCCAATCCTGGCTTTGATGCCATCTTATCCATATAAGACACAAGTAATCATAGTTGTAGCGTGCTGTGTCCTACACAATATCATCCAAATTGAATCAGGCAAAGATGAATTTTATGCTGAATACATGTTGAAGGAGCGCTTGGAAAGGAGAATGGCTGATGATGGTGAACCAGATTGGGTCAAGCCTAACCCAAATCAATGCACTCGAGCATCTGAACAAAGGGACCGCCTTGCCAAGTGGATGTTCCGCAATTTTGTTGATGTACCAGTGGCACGTAGGCATGTTTAAAACTTTGAACACTCATATCAAAACTATTTGTGGCTCATTATCTTAGCAAAAGTTCAATCAAATCATCTTTGTATATGGATTACTTTATACTATATATGCTTTAATTTGTAAGATACATATTAATACTGTAATTTTTATTTTGTAAGATACAAAAGATGAAATGAGAAAGTGAGAATGATAAAAGAAAAATAAAACATATGAAATTAAAAAATAAGATAATGAAGCTCTGATATTCATTCTTTCTCTTTCTCTTTATCTTGATATTGATCAAATATTTTGGCTTCACTCTTCAACCGTTCCCAACAAAAATTCTTATCCATGTGATAGAAAAAGGATGCTGTGTCGTTTTTCTTTAATTCATTTGCTGCCATGATGATGTGTTGAGGCATGAGGTTCTTCAAGCATCCCTTTTTGAAGATTGCCATAGCTTCTTGTCGCATTGGGTGTTGTTTGGTTTTGATTTTAGCAATAGCCACCCTGTCACTGTCATTCTTATCCTCCATACCTGTTATTCGATCAACAGTGTTGCTGATTGATTCAGCTACTAGCTTGGGTCCAGTAGTTCGAGCTCGCTTGTAAGTTGAAGCCAAAGGTCCAATTGGGCTCCTTTTGCTTTGGGCAAATCGTCTTTCTAGGGTATCGTCCTCGTCCTCGTCACTGTTGTCAAGGGCCGCTTCAGCCACTGTGAGACCGTTGTTTCGAGGGCCAGACTTGATGAAAGGAATAGAAAGAGAAAGAGAAGGAAATAATATAAAGAGAAAGATTAGAAACCAAATAAAAAGAAACAAACAAATAGATAAAAAAATATGTATCTTACCGCTCCAGTGTTCTTCTTCTTCTTCTTCTTTTGTGAAGGAGGTGGAGGCCGTCTACCTTCAATCTCCTCAAGATCCGAGTTGTCCTTTTTTGAATCAGAGTCTTGAGATTGAGATTGAGATCGAGATCAATTTTGGTCTCCATTTGACCTTCATCATGCAAATACAAAGAGTGAGTTACTATAGCCAACAAACCAAGATGAGATCATTAAACTTACCTTTGTCATCCTCATCTTCATCATCAGGAAACTTGACTACCTTCTTCTTAATTTGAGTTCCATACCCGTCTTTACCATGGGCTCGAAGTTTTTTTGGAGGCATGACTGATTCTACAACTTTATAGGCGGGAAAACTGGCATGTCAAATTGGTTTGGCATTGCCATTTCCTTCCTATTATGCAAGCATTAAATTCAATTACCTCAATCAGTCAATCGATCAAGTATGATAAGGTGAAGTGAATTGATTACCTTTTCAATCCAGTTAAACCACCAGTCCTTATCAGCCTGGACCTCGCCAGTGTCTGTATTGGTTCCAGGAGCGCCGGAAGACTCGATAATCTTGTCAAAAGCCTTAAGGATCTTCTTTAAGTGTGTACAAATGAAATAAAGCATAAAGAGAGTCAGTCGAGTTCAAATGACAGAAATGAATGGAATTGAAAGAAAGGAAAGAAAGAAAGAAAGAAATGAAATCAGACTAACCCTTTGAAAATGATTTTTTAATCGTCTCAAAGATGCATTGGTTTTGAATTTGGTGTTGAAGTTCTCTAAAACAATTTTCCAAGCCTCGGTCTTGAGGCCACCATTGTTACCTTGGCCGAGATCCATTTGATGTTTGATTTTGTCAATGAGATAGAGAGTATCCTTATGAGCCCATGAGTCACCAGTGGCGGCTTTATCTTCAGCTTCATCTTCATCTTCATCTTCCTGCTTATCTTTGACTTTATCTTTAAATTGAGATGACTTGTTTGGTTTTGGTTTTGGTTTTGGTTTTGATCTATTTTTTAATTTTGAGTTTTTACTTTTTTCAATTTCCATTTCTTCAGATTCAGAATCGGATCAAGGCATGTTGGATCGAGAGCAAAGTTGACAGAAGATGAAGGTGGAGGAAGACAAAGGAGAACATTGGTTTTGAAGTGCGACCGGTGATGGTTTTTGAGAAAGGCGGTGAATGAGGGGAATTGAGAGGTTCTGTAAGGTGGAAGGTGACTTGTTGCAGATTTGAGGGGGTCTGTACGGTGGAAGGTACCTTGTAAGATTTCAATCGAGGTTTACGGAAGAGTTGATAATGCGATTTATAGGGGGGAAAATTTGATAAAAGTGAATTGTGGGAAATCGACTCACAAGTCGCATTTTATAAGCATTCTGCACATTACAGAATGCTTGTAAATCACAAATCGAACGCTGTAGAACTTATAACCCAACAAGGGTTATACAGAGCTGGAAGAGTATAATCTACTAATAAAATGACTAGTAGAAGTTGTCTGAGACTGCTCTTCTAAAACAACACAATCAGGAAAAGACTCTGTTGTATTGAGTACAGATAAGGCACCAGAGAAATATATCTTCACACGTATTTTAACTTCAAAAGCACAATTTTTATTACTATCAACACTGCTATAGTGTTATTCCCAAATGATAACTGAAGAAATAAGCAATATCTTATTGATATTATTCCCAATGAGTCTTTTTGACTATAAAACTAAAGCAAATTTCTCTTTATAGCTGTAATAAAGGGTGTATTTAAGTGACCAGGTACTATTAAAATAAGTTTATAATGATAAACAAAATAATAACTGCATAAATGATCAAGGAAAAAGGGGAACAACAGTCCCAGAATCCTCTCAGAGTATATATAACAATGTACTCCAACTTTTACAATGGTCAACAGCCTCAAAACCAATCAAATCCGCCCAGAAATCCCTAAAAACCCTATGATGACGCAATGTAATGATTTTGTTACTGAGAAATGATGTAATTTTCACAGCCAAAAGTGATCAATGACGCAACAATATGATGTACAGCACTTCTTATGATGATTACAGGTGATTTTTTCCTTGTAAACTAGCTGAAACCCAAATTTTGAGATTACGAATTTTTTTAGATGTGCCCCAATTTTTGATTACTAAAGTGCATCTTGTAGCCCTCGTGTTACTGATCATTTATGACACCCATATGACCTATTTCTGATGAGTGATGAGTAAGATATTGAGTTGTGAAGTTAAGGTTTTTAGCATTACATGTTGACTTGTGACTGTAAATTTGAGATTCACACCAATTCTTTATTTGTCTTATAACTTTGTTCATACACCTCCGCTACTATTGATTTAAGGTTTGTACATTATGTAATACACTCTTCTGCGTTGAATGAGTCATCTACCAACCTAATCTGACGTCATTTGACATATGTAATAAGCTGAAAACCTTCATTTTTGACAAAATTCACCCATTTTCTTCACTTTTCACAGCTGCTAATCTCTTTTTCTTGCTCATGTAATATGACAGCATCTTCTATAACCTTAAAAATCCCGGAAAATCCTCTTGGCAACCTTGAATTCCACTACTACCACTATTACATAACCAAACTACATGTGTACCTCTTGTTTACCAACTTCAAAAAAGTGCCTTTTCTCTAATAACTTCTGTTTCTTATTATCAGCCTTCAAGATTAAAATTGTCACGGTATAATATAATGTTGCTCTTTTATATTCTAACCTCATAATACCCATAACTTTATTTTTACTACCCTAAAAACCATTTTCCAACATATGTACCTATATTTTCAAATTTTTCTTATGTTTTTTCTTTCTTTCTTTTTGTAATGAGTTTGTGAATAAAATATAATGATCTTAATAAGTAATGTGAAATAAAATGATGTAATGTTAACCTTATGACCAATACATAAGCCTACAAGAGCTTCAATTGATCCAAAAACCTCTATTTCAAATTTTCTGTCCTGCTAAATCCTTCTAATAAACTGGTAAACTACTAATTACAAATTTTTTAATTGATCCCTTAAATTGATCACCACAACACATTTCACAGAATGTGAATTCTTGACATTCAAGAATTCAAATTTCTGCAAAAATTTGCTTAAGTGAACGCAGCCTCAAATTATCTTGCTTCATAACTTAATCTTCTTTATTCACCTCTGAATCCAAGTCATCGGAATCTTCTTCATCTTTCTCTGACTTGCCATCTGATGAGCCTTCATTTGATGAATGTGAAAAATTGCCTCCCACCCAGCATATTTGGCTTGGATGTGAAAATCTGAGGTGTCCTGGGATTTTGACTCCAAGGGAAGCTGCCTTGAAGGATTCAATTCAAGGCAAGGGCAAGAGCCAAAATTTGCCTCAGAGAAATTCCTTGGGTGCTGTTCTCCTCAGGGGGAAAACCAAGGACTCCTCAGACATTTGTTGCCAAGGCAACTATGTGGGCAGTGCCTGAAGAGTCTGATGAGGAATCATCCAAATCTGTGAAGGTAAGTTGCCAGATCTCTGAGCTTGGATTGCCTGATTGGCATTCTTGAGACTTGATGTAAGTACAAATCTTCCAGTAGCATTGCCAAATTCTCTATAAGATTCTGCTGATATGGCTTCCACATCTTCATACTTATTAATATTAAGCACAAAAGCCAAAAACTCTAGAAGAACACTCTTTCTGTTGTCTTTATCCTTTTTGCTCAAAAACAAGTTATTGGAGTTATTGAATGTGGGCTGTAGAAAACATAAGGACATATCTCGTAAGTTTCTATGCACAACCTCAATATATAGAGCTTATCCACTGATCAATTTTTGTGCTTAAAGCAGAAAACACCATCTACATATATTCTGATAGCCTTGAGATGTTCTTCTTGCGCCTTCAGAAGCATTGGAGAACTTCTTCAGAAAGAAGAAACCTGTTAGTGCCCTTGAAAGATTTAACATATCAGCTCCTCTGGCAGCTAGGACAGGGTGCCTATGACTATTCCCCTGTTTAATTGTCCAATGGTGACTCTGGCCGCCAATAAAAGTCTTTATGAGACTTCTTCTCAACTTCTTGAAGTCACACGACACCTATGGAAGCCAATCTAGGATTATGACTAAGGTAAAAGGTAGAAAGGGATAATAGAAAACTTACTGAGAGTCCCAATAACTGACCATCATTTCTTTCAATCAGATTATTGGAAGTATCACTCTCATCACCACCCTCATCTTCATCTTCATCCTCCAATGTACTTTTCATCTTCTGCTTCCCTTTCTTCCTCCCCTTCCCATTCAATCCATTACTATGATCTGACTTTCCATCTACTGCTTCATCTCCTTTCAACAGGTAACCATCCACTTCCAAATCTACTTTCCTACAATTCTCAGATCTTGAATTTGACGGGCCTTGTGAATCTGCTTGTTGTACTCTTTCTATTGCTTTCTCCTTCTCCTTCTCTTTGTGCAATTCTCTTCTTTCTGCTGCTTGTTTCTTTGCCAAAGTCATTCTGTGTGACTTATATCTATTGAAATGATATTTTTCTCTCTCCCTGGGATTCATGCACAAATTGATGAGGCAAGTTCAGAGAAAACTCTATTGAGCAAAGAAAATAACAAAAAAAACTTTCCACATGTGAAAACAAAGAGAAGTGAGACTGGAGCAGGAGTGTTGAGCAACCAGTGAGAAAGAGGAAAAGAGATTGTGGTGGTATGGAAGAGGGGAAAAGAAATTCTCCTCTGCACCACCAAACTGAAGATGCAGGATGCCCTGCATTGCCAGGCTGACCACAATCTGGCACGGTCCTCTGGCTCAAGACTCAAGCACTCTAACAGACCTGACATACTGTCCATGGTAGCCTAAAGAGAACCACTTCCAGCTTTGGGTGCTCTCAACTTTATTTAAATTGACAATCTATTGTCAAGAGAGTTGAATGGGGCAAGAAATCACTATCTTGCACCTTACAATAGATATTATTCACATAGAGCTTCATTTTACTTGCTTATCAACACATGATTTGATAAGCCACCAATCTGGTCATTTGATTTGGGCTGAAAAAGATTTATGAACTTTGATTGAAAGCGCAAACAAAAATCATGCTCCTGTGTTATACTCATTATCTTGACAAATGGTGTGGAAAGCTTTGAGAGAAATCACTACAATAATCTTAGAAGGATGATCATAATTAAACATATATATAGATCTAACCAAATCAATCACACAGTAGCCCATAAAAACAGAAAGATTGTACCCCAGTCAAACTAGCAAACATTCTTTGCATTTCAGTTGTGGCGATATTTGTCTGTGGTGGTTAGCTCCAGATATTCAAAATAATTTGCCGCTACTGGGAGCATATTTGGTGGTCCATGAATCATGTGTACTTCTTTAACAAACCATCTGTCTCTGAAAAAGTGGACTAGGAACACAGCCTGGTGAAGTCTAGAAATCTCTTTTTTTCTATCTTTTACAAGATCGTTTGTAAATTGACCTCTTACTTTTACTGACATTGCTCTTGTCCCAATGTTTTCAACAAATTCAACTGAAAATTTGTTTTTGAACATATTGTTAGATCTTTATCAATAGAGCCAGGAAAGGTTTTGTTTAAAAGGTTGGACAGAATGGATTCTGAAATAACAACATACCCTGTGTAAGCTTCTGGGAATAGCCATACATCCCCCTCCTGAACGCTGCATATTTCTCTAGAGTTATACCCATTTTACAACAAATTTGTGGCAAAAAGTGAGTTATTTTGTAAGATGAAGTTTGTGAAACATTTCAAAATGATATCTTCCAAGAGACCATGTTATTTTCACTCACGGTCTATAGGTACAGGATCATCTCCATCTCTAGCTATTTGCCTCAATGTGAAGGTCTTTGAATTCAAATTGGACAATGGAGCCATACTACCTATGTTGTGAGTATCAGCTAAGCTATTGTAGAAGTCAAGAATGCATTTCCACGCCTCTGTTTCTCGTATTTCTTCATTGTTGTTTTGAAAAATGATGTTGATAAGCCTACATACTGAATTCCATTTATCATTCCAAAAATGTATCAAGACTCACCCTGGTGTTTGAGAGATATCTTTCTTATATTGCTTGCTTCCACAAATGTGGAAAAAACGAGTGATGTCAAAATAGAGGAGCAAAATAACACAATGTAAACAAATTTCTTGAATTTAGGAACCATCTTGATGTTTTGTTTCTGTGAAAATGCGGGAATGGATGATCAGAAAATGAGAAAGGGCTGTAGGTAGTTAAAGTTTATAGGAAAAGACTGCATTGAAAACACTATGTAGGTAATTTATGTAAAGGTTTCAAGGAATGCTTGGCAGTTTTGTTTGATCATATGTATAAATTGATTCATTCATAGCACATTCATTTGTTCTACATAACATCTAACTATGCGTGGTTGATTGAATCTTGTACTTGAAAACCTATAATTATCTTTAAAATTCAATCATGTGTTGTTGTGTGGTCTACTGAAACACTCAATTCAGCTTGCCTGACAAGTAAAACATTTTTTGAGGACATATTATTCAGATCAAACCTGTATTGCACTGGCAAATCTTCATGAGCAAGATCAGCTGGATCATATCATCTGCTTGCACAATTGCATGGTTTGACTTAAAGCCCTGGTGCTATATTCTTATCTTTTGAATTTTGCATTCTTTAGTGGTCTTCGGAAACATTCAATGCAGATAGCCAGCAATTAAAATGGTTCCTGTTGTGGATTTTGAGGTGGAAAATAAAAGATATCCCAGAGCTGCAAACAAGAAGGATTGAAAGCAACTTATAAGTGTTTTGTGTTCTATAATATTTTTGAATTAGGAGCTGGTAAAAGTATTCCTTAAGGGGAAGACCTTGATTTGAGAGCTGGAATTCAAAGTGGTTTTCTGAGAAGTGGTTCTAAAAAATGGTAGATAAAAATCACACAGGGTCCTTCTTTTCTAAAACAACGTGCAGCTATATATACCTTGATTCACCTCAGCCTCAACTTGTGGTCGAGGAAATAAGAGTTTCCTTTTTACCCAACACTGCTGTATTGATGGTTTACATTTCTCCAAGAATCAATATCAATCACCAATCTGGTCATGTTTTGGTATAGGAAGTCCTCTTTGTGATAGGATAGTGTCTCATCACAGCTTGGCTCCTATTGATTCTTTTATTTGGTTCTTGCTCCATTCCAGTTCAAACTATATTGATTATAGGCATTGGTTTAAATCTCCCCAGAATTTTTGGTTTTTATTGACCAACCAAGGTGCACCTCCAGAAGGAAGTCAAAGACTGCTGAAGGAAGTTGTGAGGTCTACAGATCAGAGAAATTTGCTTGGCCAGGCTACCTGAGGTTGGGTCTTGGGATCAATCTGCATCCTCAATGTTCTCATTGCTTATTTAAGCCACATCTTTGATCTTTTTGATCTTCACCTCTTGTGGTCCAGCAGTGTTATCAATTTGAATCTGTCAGGTCTGTACCCCACTACATAATTCCACTCAACTGTCACCAAGCTAACCTTCCAAATTACTGTGGTCTTTGCTTTGATGTTTGGTGTGGGATGTTCATCTCAAATCAAGATGAAATGGTTGCTCCAGTTATTTACATAAGCCCTCTACTAAGCCTTTTGTAGGCAGAAAAGGTCATCAACTCATATATCAGATTACGGCTTTTAGGTGATAACCAGGTAGAATTCAGACAGACAAGCCAGGGCAAGATATTGGTGAAATTAGGTGTGCACTGATTGTGTGGGGCATGCTTGTGGCTTTTAAATTTTGAACATCTGAAATGTTTGCAAAGCAAGATGAGAGATAAGTCTTTTTGCATTTTATGGTGGTTTTGATATTGTGTCAGCAATGAATGATTGTGATTCCCAGCTATGCCAAGAGAGTTTAACATTGTTTTCGATTGGTTCCAGAAGACACAAGAGGAGAAAAATTAACAACATTACCTAATGACTATCATCACATTCATACCAATAGTTGTGCACTTTTTGGTCTCTTTCTTTTGCAGTTCAATTCTTTTGATCTCAGACTCTGTTCCTTCAAAGTTTATGGACAAGTGTTTTTTATTGGAGACTTACTTTCAGTTTGAGATCCTAGGTTTTATTGGGTCTTTGAAACTGGACCACTGAGCTGTAATGGTTTTTATTATCTTTCTTATCAATACTTTTTATTTGCAAAATGGGTATTTAAGCTTATTCTGAGATTGATGTTTGATACTAGATACTAAGTTGTGTTTTGGTTGAAGATAAGGAAAGATATAAAGAATGAGATTGTTAACAATAAACAACAGTGCTCTTGTTTTGGAAGCCCTCCTGGTTCTTTCCGAGGAGAGCTCAAGGGCTGATAACACAGCAAAGTGACATGAGAAGCATCAGTCAACACCTGAATCCCTGCACAACCCAATGAGATTTTCACCTATCTTTGTTGAGTTGTGCAGTATGTCCTATGAGACACAGCACTAAGAAATCACTATATATTGTTCTGTGTTCACAGAAACTGTGGAGGTACACAAAAGTCCATTTCAAGAGAGGATGGTAGAAAACTAGGGAAAGAATCCAAGGTGTCAAGTGAATGATGTGAACAGACAGGTTTCAATCAGCAGAACAGAATTTGGAAGAAATGGAAAATGTTTTCCACTTCCTCCAGTCCACCACTCCATCAACTTGGAGAAGTTTCTGCTAGTTTTCTCCAACAATCACATCTTGCTATTTTCTTTTGCTTCCCATAAGTGTTCTTTTTCATGTTGAATTGCCACCCACCATCCCGGGGGTTGAGGAGTCATCCCTCCTCAGACCTTACACTTTGCATGGCGTAACACAGCACCATCTTACACCTTACCATGGAGATTATTTGCACACAGCTCAATCTTACTTGCTCATCAACACATTGTTTCATAATCCTCCTTTCTGGTAGTTTTGTCTGGCTTACACAGAGTTGTCAATGTTAATTGGAAGCCTAACTGAAGAACATGCTTTTGTGTGCTACTCCTCATGTTGAAAATTGGTGTGAGAAGTCTTGAAAGACATCACTACAATACTTTTAAAAGGATGATAATCATGGAACATATGGATCTAGTAAAAACAATCACACAGTAGACCATGCAAACAGAAAGATTGTGCCCCTGTCAAACTAGCAAGACTTAATTGCAGTTTAGTTGTGGCGATATTTGTGTGTGGTGGTTAGCTCCAGATATCCAAAATAATTTGCCGCTACTGGGAGCATATTTGGTGGTCCATGAATGATGTGTACTTCTTTAACAAGCCATTTTGCTCTAAAGAATTGGACTAGGAACACTGCCTGGTGAAGTCTAGAAATCTCTTCTTGTCTATCTTGTACACGATCATTTGTAAATTGACCTCTTACTTTTACTGACAATGCTTTTCTCCCAATCTTTTCAACAAATTCAACTGAGAATTTGTTTTTGAACATGATGTCAGATCTTCATCAAGAGAGCCAGGAAAGGTTTTGTTTAGAAGGTTGGACAGAACAGATTCAAAGACAACATACCCTGTGTAAGCTTCTGGGAATAGCCATCCATCCCCCTCCTGAAAGCTGCATATTTCTCTAGAGTCATACCCATTTTACACCAAATTTGTGGAGAAACGTGAGTTATTCAGTAAGATGAAGTCTGTGAAACATTTCCAAATGATATTTTCCAAGAGACCATGTTATTTTCACTCACGGTCTATGGGTACAGGACGAGATCCATCTCTAACTATTTGCCTCAATGTGAAGGTCTCCAAATTCAAATTGGACAATGGAGCTGTACTACCTATGTTGCTAGTATCAGCTAAGCTATTGTAAAAGTCAAGAATGCATTTCCACGCCTCTGTTTCTGGGATTTCTTCATTGTTGTCTTGAAAAAGGATGTTGATGAGCCTACATACTGAATTCTGTTTGTTATTTCAAAAATGTATTAAGACTCACTCTGTTGATTGAGAAATATCTTTCTTATATTGCTTGATTCCACAAATGGGGCAATCACAAGTGATGCCAAAATAGAGGAGCAAAATAACACAATGTAAACAAATTTATTGAATTCAGGAACCATCTTGCTGTTTGCTTTCTCTGAAAATGTTGGAATGGATGATGAGAAAATTAGAAAAGGCTGTAGGTAATTTATAGGAAAGGACTGTAGTGAAAAAAAACCCATGTGGTCAATTTATGTAAAGGTTTCATGAAACGCCTGGAAACGGTAATTCTGGTTATGTTTGACCATATTTATAGATTGATTTCTTATCATATTCATTTGTTATGCATAATATCTAACTACATGTGTTTTATTGGATCTTGTGTTTAGAAGATCTGCTGTTGTCCTGACCATTCAATCCTGAATTTTTGAGTGGTTGACTGAAACAATCAATGTAGATTGCCCGATAAGTAAAGGCTGTGTTGCAGGTGTCTTATTATAGATTTCATCTAGATTGAACAGGACACAGCAACCGTCCACACAAATGATCAGCTGGGTTGTATCATTAGCTAACTTGTTTGCTTCATAGTTTGACTGAAAGTTCTGCAATTATCCTTATCAGCTATTGCTGCCCTTTTGAGGGGCCTGTTGAAACACTAAATATTATTAGCTGTTGCATTGGCCTCATGGCCATAGACTGAAAGGCCTTTAATTTTCATCATTCAATCATGTGTTGTTGAGTGGTCTACTGAAACAATCAATGCAGATTTCTTGACAAGTAAAGGCTGTGTTGCAAGTGGCTTGTTCTAGATTTCAACTGGATTGAACAGGACACAGCAGTTTTGACCATGCAAATGTTCAGCTGGGTCATATCATAAGCCAACTTTTTTGCTTCACGGTTTGACTGAAAGGTCTTCAATTATCCTTATCATCTATTGCTGTGCTCTTGAGTGGTCTATTGAAACATTTAATGCAGATTGCCCGACAAGAAAATACTTTGTCAAAGAGCATCTTATCATGTATTCAGCTCAGCTGCAACAGGAGACTGTGAAATTATATGAGAGAGATCAGCTGTGTGATATCATTAGATTCTGTGTTGGCCTCATGGTTTGACTCGAAAGCCTGCAATCATCTCTATCTTCCAATGCTGCACTCTCTCATGGTACATTGAAACAGCTGATATAGATCACCTGGCAAGTAAACCCTGTGATGGGGACATATCATTACAAATTTTACCGGGATTGAATGTGTAGGCCACATTTCATGAGCAGGATCACCAGGGCCATATCATCAGCTTGCACAATCGTATGGTTAAACTGAAAGTCATGCAATATTCTATTCTTTTGAATTTTGGCCCCCAGGTGGTCTATTGAAACAGTCAATGCAGATTGCCTGACAAGTAAATTGGCTGTGTTGGGGGTGTATCATTCTAAATGTCAACTGGATTGAATGTGAAATATGTCAGGGTGGCTACAGAACATACTCACAAGTTTTCTACTCACTAGTAGTAGCTTGCAAGAAGTTCCCTGACTAATACTCTACTGACTACAATGGATTAAGGTACAGAAAAAGATACTAATTGAAATAGCAAAAATTCAATATAAGGCCATTAACTGATAAGTTTGTATTTATACTAAATTGAATCTGGTTAAAAGTCCCACTGTAACACTTAACAGAAGGTAGCTGGTCTAGCTTGAGACTGAGTTTTCAATCTCTAAAGTTCCAAAAACTGTGAGTAGGCTACATCCAAAAAAAACTGAAAGACTTTGGCTAATCTATGATGTCAGATGATCACATTGGAAACTTGGTCATATGATAGGCAAATGACCCACACAGTGATATAATGCTGAAATCATTTTGAAAGCTTTTTGAAATCATGTTGAAGTTGGTGGTACTCTCTGGCCTGCTAGTGACTAGTAGCTGGGGTCTGGAGATACCTTGTTGACAATACTCAACACCTGCTCATCGCTGCTAGTCCCCAGACACACAGCAATATTTTCTGCCAATTTGCAACAGGATCAAGTTATATATGACTGGTCATGGGCAAAACCCTCATTAGGCAAAACAACCAATACCTTCTCCAGACTCTGAACTTGCACCTTGTTGATGTCATTGTGAATGCCAACACTACTAGAAATTGGAACACAAAAAAGGTACTTAGAGAACATTTATGCCTGAATGAGGTAAGACATCATTACCATATTTCCCCTTTGAATGTCCAGGCACTATCTGCAATCCAATGTATTCCTGCTGCATCGAAAGGCTATAAGTCTGGTGCTGTTACAAAGACCTTAGGCTGTGTTCAGGCTCCAGAGTAATTGTGTTAGACCAATGCTGATACATTGGGTCAATTGTAATCAAGCATTAGAGATACCCTGGCTGCCAACAGATTTACCTTGGATTGAAGAATCTGAGGTATTCTTGGATGCCAAACCTTGGACAAGGTCTGTCCAAGGATTTGCCTCCAATGATGCCTCAGATTTCTTAACCCAAGGCATCTATGTTGGCAGTGCCTAGATGAGTGTTACAAGTTTGACAGTCATGGGATTGAGGTCAGAGGTAGGATTATGAATGCTACACAAAGAGGGAGCAGTGGTATATCATCAATCATGCATTTGATCAAATGCATAATTGATCTGGTCTAGCACACCATATTGAGAGTATAAGATAGGCTTGGAGAGTTCATTTCCAGTTAATGATGAAATATGTGTTGGGTTTTCATCATGAGGAAAGAATATGATTTTGATATTCCTGATTGTTTTTTGATTTGAAGTTCATGATCTTAAAGCTCATGATTGGAATTTGAAACACACTTTTTCATCTGACATTTTAAACCTTGAAGACAGCTGTAAAAAACATTCCACCAAAACCTTTGGTAGGCAAAACAAGAAGGACAAAAGTCAATCTTTTTTTACATACTTGAATTCTATTGCCATGATTTCCCAGATGGCAAGGTTGGTCAGTTTCTTTAAGGAAAATGAAGCTCAAAAGAAATGTGTAAGTAAAACCAAATCCAAATGAAAGATAAGTTACCCTAAAAAGTGACACAATTGAATTGGATTTTAGAAATCTTTGTTACACCGGTTTTCAATGTTCATATCATCTGCGTGGACCATCACCCTCGATCACCATCACCAAGTCTATCGTGTGTATGTATGTACCGTTTAACCGCCGCACCGCCATCGTTCTCATAGCCACCACCACCACCATTTGATTCTTGCATTTGAAGGATGAACTGAAATACAGATTAAGAAGGTTTTTTAAACTTAAGTTAAGAGATCATAGATATGAGAGCTTCGTTGAAAAAGCCCACCAGCAGGATGATGATCGGTTATGTGTAGAGTGGTTTAAATTGCGTAGAGAAGGCTTTTAAAAACTGTTAAGATACAGAGAAGATCCAGATTGGATACAGATAATTTACATGTATGCTTGATTCTTGATTTGGTTTACTATTTGGATGGTTTCTGGTGGATTCGTTTGGTAATCCAATCACCCTTAACCTTCAAACCATTCGATTTAAACAGTTTTCAAGTTTCCTTTTTTCTAAAGTTCAGTTTCCTAATCAGTCTCTTGCTATCATCATTCTTGAAAGGCTTTTTCAAAGGGATCATTCAGTTATTTTTGAAATCTTTTTAGTAGTTTTTTTTAATTTTCGTTGATGATTATTTAAATCAGTTTAGTAGATCAAGATTTAAAGAGAATTGAAATGAAATGATGATCAAAAGATTACAAACTACTACTACTACTCATCAAGACCAAGAAGAAGAAAGTCAAGAACCAAAGTTGAAGAAGATTGACTTCAACTCTCATTCAAGATTGAAACGTAGAAAGACAAAAGAAGATTTCACCAGTTTATCATCATCTAAATCATCATCATCATCATCATCGATAATTGCGATTGAATTTGAATTTGTAAAAGAGGTCGAGGTGAGTTTAACTTGTCTTTTCACTTCTCACCATTTATGAAGTGACAAGTTGAGTTGAGAATGACGAGATGGATGACTGATGATTTGATTTTGATTTTGAATTAAACTACTATTTGAAATGGAAATGGAAATGGAAATTGAAATCCAACTATAAAAAAATTAAATTAAATTTAAATTAAAAAAAAATAAAAATTAAATTTCTAAAAAGAAAACGAATTTAAAAACAAAGTCAAGTTGGAAAAGAACTAGTTTTCAATCTAACCATCTTCAATCTACCATCATGTCATCATCATCATCATCATCATCAACCAACAACAACAACAACAACAACAACAACACTTCGAATCTCAACTTACCTTCTATCATTCTACCTCAAATCAATCATTATCAATCGGATCAAACTATTACTTTCAATCAATCTAAACTTAACTCTCAACCTCAAATCAATCAGCATCTAAATCATCTAAATCATCATCATCTTCAATCTGATCAACTAGAACTAGATTTAGATTTAGATTCAGAAGAACTCACTCCATCAGAAATAGTACAAGATCATGATGATGATGAAGATGAAGATGATGATGCTCAATATGCAATGCCAATGGATGATCCTTATGCTGAAGTAGAACATGGTTGGAGAAGAATGAGTGAAACGGCTGTCTCTTCATCTCAAAAGAATCCAAAACATCAAATCAAACCTATCAACACTTGGTCAAATCTATCTAATCCAAATAATGAAGAAGTCGTCAATCAACTCAGCGGTTTCTCTTTCTCAACAAGTCAATCATCTAAACCTAACAAATCTCTCAATCAATCTTCTCTACAATCTAGAAAGTTTTCACTTCCTGCTCCAATCTTATCGAATCATCCCAATCCTTCATCTGGTGTATTTAATCTTAGTATGAGACGTTCAGATCAACCACCAAACTCATTCAAACCACCTGGTTCAGCTAGTTCAAACAAAACTTCATTCTCAAATAACGAACTCATCATCAATCCTCCTCATCGATCTCGTTTACCTAGCTTTTCTACCGAACTTGAACCTATCTCTGGTAGTCCTACTTCTCCTGATTCTCCTATGATTGTGAATTCATCCGATTCGACTACTTCTACTTTCAGTACTTGTACCACTAACACTCCTCCTCATTCTATCAAATCAATTCGAAATCAATCACTTCCACCTAGTCAATCAGCCTTTCACCCTCCGCCTTCTTCTTCTTCTTCACTCTCGGGTCTTCATCAATCATCGCGTACCAGCACCAGTTGGAAATCAAATTCTCAAGATCAATCTTACAGTGCATTTGATCCCACTTCTTCTTCATCTTCTTCCTTGTGCTCATCATCCGATGAAGGACTCTTACGTCGAGCTTCTTGTTCATCACTTGCAAGTGTAGCTAGTCTTACTAGTAGTCAAAACGGATCGACCTCTGGTCTTAAAGCCCGTCGAGGATTGACCAAACCTCTTTCATTAGCAATGCCATCTTCTAATCTTTCAACTACTGCCCCAACTCCTCTCACCGGTCTCAACACTCGATCTCATCTTCATCCTTCATCCAATGACAAATCCAATGCGTTTCGCTCACTTCCTCCTTCCCCTCGTCTTACTACATCTGACCATCTTAACATGAGGGATCAAATCGTAGGTATGAGAGCCAATGTCACTGGAAGTCTTTCTATGAAACGTCGTACCTCTATTCCTCGTCTCTCTCTAGGTGGGATCTCTCACGCCACACCTACGCTAGATCCCAATCGACGAAGTTCATTGGCTGTGACCTCGTCTAATGATTATGTCAAGCTCTTGGGAAGAAATTTGGAAAGATCATCGAATTCATCATCTGTAGCTTCCACCCCACTTCGATTACATTTCGATCCGATGGCAGCTCGAGATGGCAAAACAGAATTGATGAGTTCACAAGTCGGAGTAGGAGGTCGAGGGCATATTGAAAGACCTCAGGCTGGGATCAATGGAGAACCGGTAGAAGAATATCCATATCAAAACGGACCTCGTGAGGTTTTACCTGGGATCTACCTTGGATCCGAACAAAACGCAAGAGATGTGAGCTTATTGAATGAGATGGGCTTTAGTTGTATTATCAATGTAGCCAAAGAAGTGGAATGTCCTTGGAGTTTACCTACCTATCCATCTCCATCTTTAACACCCATGACGATGAATCCCGGGGAAATGATGAGTGTGGAGACAACAGCTCATCAAGACTTGACACCTATTGTTTTAGCTACTCCTCATCCTCCTCAACGATTACAAGTACCTAATCAGATTTCCAATCAAAGTAACAGTCGAACGTTTTTAGTTAGACCAACAGCTTCGACACCAAACCTTCATAGATCATACCAAAGATCACCAGAATCGAATCCACTCTTAAAATCTGGTTCGATCTCAACACATCATAAGAAAGCATCAGTGAAAGACTTACCGATGAATGCGAATGGAGAAATCGAATGTGAGTTTCCATCCGATCAAAGCACAGGCCGACCATGTCTAGAGTATCATAAATTACCTTGGTCACATGATCAAGACGGTTTGGCTATCGGTGGGAAATTTGATGAGGTCTTTGGAAAGATTGATGTGGCGATTCAAAATGGAAAAAAGATTTTGGTTCATTGTCAGTGTGGGGTTTCACGTAGTGCTACTTTGGTGATTGGTTATTGTATGAGAGAATCGGTTTTGAAACGAACTAGTTTGGGTTTGGGTGATCATTCATCTCAGAATGGGACTAATGGGAATGGTGGGATGCATGAAGCTTATACGTTTGTGAAAGAAAAAAGCCCTTGGGCTGGTCCAAATATGGTATGTTGTTTTTTTCGTTTTGGATTAAATTGAAAATCATATGAATCAAACCATTAGAAAACCAATCTAAATTGATTTACCTTTCTTTTCTTTACTTTTTTTTGCTTTTAGGGATTGATTTATCAATTAATCGAATATGAAAAAGTTTTAAAAAAGAAAATCTTGATGAATAATCACCTTAGTAACTGTAAGAGTAGTGTTGGAAATGGAAATGGAAATGGAAAGATGATGATTATGAATGAACAAGAAGAAGAAGAAGAAGAAGAAGAAGAAGAAGAATTGGATGGGGCTAGAACTCCTACTGGAGGACTTGATGTGTGAGATGAAAGGATTTTTTGGTTGATTGATTGATTGATTGGAGTTTGTTTTTTTTTTGGAATGATTTGGTTGATTTTTTTTTCGAGTCTCGATTGGAAAACTTGAATGGGTTGATCTTTTTTTTGAATCATGGGTTTTTTTTTGAAAGATTTTTTTTCATGGGTTTTTGTATGCTTGGAATTCTTTGATTTTTTTATTTATTTTTTGGTGGCTTGGGCTGTGCCTGCTTGAGGGTTTTTTTCTTTTTTTCTCATTTCTCTTTTGCTTTCTCTTTGATTTTTTTTCTCTTTGATTTTTTTCTCTTTTTGATTTTTTTTTTACAATTGACAATGGTTTTCATCTCTTTCTCATTTTATATTTTCTTGATCTTTTGATTTATTTTCCAACTTTTTCTCTTTTTCTTTTCTTTGTTTCTCTTTTCTTTTCAAATTGGACAAATTAATAAAAAAACAAACTTGAGTTATTTATTGATTTTTTTTTGATCATCTTTATTTGAACCTACCTTAAAAAACAAGAAGACATCTTTTATTTGGTTCTACTTTTTTTTTTTACTTTTTTTTATGGTTTCTTTTGTTTGTAACCTTTTTACTACTAGTTTCTTATGAACTTTTTCTCTTGTTTTTTGTTTCTGCTTTTTTTGGTTATGGTTATGGTTTTGGTTTTTGATTTTTGATTTTTGATTTGATTGAAAAAAAAAGATGAAATTGGTTGGAAGTTTTGGTTTTGGAGTTTTTCAAACAATAGCGGTGTACAAACCTACAACCCAACATTAAAACCCATGAAAAAAACCCATGAAAACCCAACTTCTTTATGGGTTTTTTTCATGGGTTTTTTCACATGGGTTGAAATCAGCTAGATCTGACCACCCGTTTGTTGAAAAAAAATAGACGAGTTCGATATAGACTCAACCAACCCCTCCCCTTCCTTGCCAACACAACACACCCAAATAACCCAAGTCCTTCCACAAAACATATATATGATACTTGTCTACCTGATGTATGCTGATTTCAAAGTTACTCTCTCTTTGGTTTGTTTTGACCTTTGCAATACAAAGAATTCAAAAGTGATTGTTCTATTTCAAACAAAGCACAATTGATCGTTCCATTTCATACAAAAACTGATCTGAGTTGCCTTTTGAAACTAAGACATTTATGGGATACAAAGTTGAATCCGGGAACGGTCCCGGATTTTTTCCCAAATTTCCAAATACCGTTTTTAGCGGTAGTTTGGATATTGGGAAAAGTAGCGGGCTCATTTCGTGATTCAACTTTGTATCCCATAAATGAAAGAATTTTTTTTAAGAATTGGGTTGATGATTAGGATCATGAATTTTTCCTTGAAGAATCTACACTTTTTTTGGTTTGGTTACTGAGTATGATTCTCACATTTGATTGGTGTGTACAGGTACAGTTGATTCTTCAACTTTTATGTGCTGATTGATCTATTTTTAGAATCCGGCTTAGGCTTTCTTTTCTTCAATTGGTCTAAGATTGATTTAACCTTTGATGGTGATGGTGGTGATGGTGGTGATGAAGGGATGGACCAGGAAAGGGATCAAGCTATTAAAGCTCATATAGCCTAAACCTGGCAGAGATCACTGTACATGATGATGTAGGAGATTTGTGTGTTGGTACAAGTACTACTGATACCAGACTTGAATGAAGGCTTTCCCCAGCAAGATGCCAAGGCAGATGATCTGTCACCCAAGAATTCATCTCAACTTGCCTTCCCTTGATGGATATAATGAAAGTGAGTCTTTTGGGCCCAGGATGGATCTACATCAGAATGTTCAATTCATGTATTCTGGTTTCCTGGTTCTGTTTGGTGACACTCCATTATAATAAACATATTACAATCACTTTATCCTTATACACAAACGCATGTCTTTTCATCTTAATCACTGTGCACAATTTCAAAACTGACTCCTTGGGGAATCTAGACTTATCTAGTTTGATATCCTTTTGGAGTTAGATAATAAAACCACACAAACCACACAGCGTAGTTCTAGAATCAATTTGAGATCATAATCATAGATCTCGGTTCCCTCGGCCCATGGAATGGAGTAAAAGTTATTGTTTCAATGAGGACAATTAAAGTCCTTTAAAATACCACTACATCTACTTTTCTGTAAAGCTTGCTAAATTAGATCATGAGATATGATCAGAAGATTGTGAGTCTGATTTCAAGAAGGTTATTGGGGTCTCTGTATGGTGTTTGGCAAGTTCACTCTTTCATGGTGTCTTCAGTGTGGAGAGATTTTAATCAAATAGTGGAAGGAAGACAGGATTACTATCTAGAGAACTTATTAGAAGCATTTCAGAAATATGGGAAGGTTAAGTTGTCACACTTCCAACAAGCATTAGATTTTTTGAAATCTCAAGGAACAGCTCTTAAAGTCTTCTGGGAAATTGAAGATGATATATGTTTTTCAAAAGTACACAAGCATCTCATGGAATGCATTTTTGGCCCCACATATTATACAGATGCAACCACTATCAGGATTAAAAAAATTAGAGATATATTTTCAGTGAACCAAGATGGATTGGTAAGGATTATCCTTTATCAAAGTCTCCTTCTGAACCACCCCAACTGCCAATACTTCTTGATGGTTTCTTACACTGAGCTTTCCTTTGCATCTCATCTATTGCATGTACCTTACATCATGCATGGAGTGTCCACAAGGAAAGTATGCTCAATGATGATTGTCTTGTACTTACTCAAGTAAGCAATTGGCATTCAGAGAAGGAATACAGGAGGAGATTCCTCAAATAGACAAGTCAACTTCAAGCTCCAGTTCAGACCCAACACACATTAATCAAGACATAAATTCAGTTCCCAAATCTTGAGGAAATTAATAAAAAGCTCCATTGTCAAAGAAATAAGTTTCTCAAGATGACAAAATACCATTGAATTCAAAATTGTGAGTCCTTGTGATAACAAAGTATATCACAAATCAGAAAATATAGATACAACACCTCAAGACCCCCATCAACCTTACAGTCAAAGAGTGTTCCTTTGAAACTAGAAAAATACCATTGCTGTTTATGCCTTGATGAATTTCAGGTGGGACATGAAGTGTTAAAGATCTCATGTGATAAAAAGGTCCCCCACATCTTTCATAAAACATCTTTTTGGATATGTGATTTATTGGAATTTAATTTTTGTTCCAAGAGGAACAATCTGTTAACAAAGTTTGATAAATGTTTGTCTATATGATTTTTGGGGGAGGCATAGTCATGGTATGGATCTGCCTGTTTGATAGAAAAAAAGTTAGCCATCTTGAAATAAGTTAACATGTCTTTTGATCTGAATCTTATCAAGTCAGTCTAAGAAATAGAAGACCAAGGATGATGGTCACATCTGAATCAATAGATCAGGGGCTTTGGACTTGGGGTGTTTTTCATTTAATATTCATTTGATATTTGTCACCATATGTACTTTTCAAGGATCAGAATACTCCAGTATCAGGATCTAGAGCTGTGTAGATAAATTCTCAATGTCTTTGCTCTGCTTGTCTTTTATTTCTTTGGTTTTGTGAAACCTGCTGGATCTGTCTGTTTTGTAAATCTTGCAAATAAGGTTGTGTGAATTATTATTTGTAATCTGGTTCTAGTCACTGGAGACCATCCTGATATATACCCTCATCATCAGTATATTCTCAAAACTTACTTAGCATTATGTTTCATCCATTTTTCACACTTCATCTGTCTTGCATTACTGTGTGATGGCAGAATCATGTCTTTCTAGATGTGCCCCCCTCTTCACCAAGCTGGGAAGACTGTTTTGTAATGCTGTTATTGAGGCGAGTATCAAAGTTCTTATGTTGGCATTTTAACTTGGATGCTGTATATGAAATTTGAGAGAAGCTGCCTCAGAATGTGCAGACAACATTCAAGGCAAAAATTGGTTGCATTTCAAAAGGCCAGAAGTTAGGCCTCTGTTGTAACTTCATTGGCTGTACCACCCAATATTAATCACCAAGGAAAGCAGGAAAAGTCCAAACAACACTTGAGATGACATAATGCTTGGAGTCCTCCCACCACTAATCAATGATTAGTTGTAAATCCCTCTTCAAGGGCATGGACACAGCCGCGCAAGAGGGACTTTGTTAAGTAAGTTACAACTCCCGAGTGATGCAGAGCCCTTGAGTTTCACTTGTGCTGTGGTACCCATGAATCTATACATGAGACTTGAGTGCAGCAGGCTTGACTATCAATGGAATGCAATGTGGGTGACTATTTTGATTCAGCAAGTGTGGTCTCAAATGTAACTTGATCATTGTTGATCAATTGATTCCCTCAATATCACTTTGGGTCTCATGTGTGTCACCATGAGCAAGGTACAGTATGCTGATTTAAGCTTTTGTGTTGATGATTGTCCAGAGCTTTTGCTTTATAGACATCAAAAATTTACAAAATTGCTAGCTACACAGACACGAATTGGTTTGAACTCTTTGTGCCAGAGGAGAATGGGAGTGAGGATGAGCTGGGTTTGTAGAGCATTCAGCTGGGTCAGGAGGAAGGTGTTTGGTGGAGGTTGAAGTGATGTGACTTTAGTGCTTACAATGAGGAGGGTGATGATGTGTTGTGGAAGCAAAACTTCATCTTCACGCGATTCCAAGATTTGAAGGTGTTCATTGATTGTCGACGTGTTGTTTTGTTAATGAGCCGAGATTTGATTCCCGTAACGAGGGAGATGGATTCAAACTGACCGATTACGATTCACGATGATTTACTCTTTGTCGAAGTTTACCTTCCTCATCACTTTCGCTTCGTCTATTGTGCTTTTACTCGTTCTCCGATCCTTCAATGACACCCTTTACGCTCTTGATATATCGAACTTCGCTGGACCAAGTGTTTCCTTATCAGGCAATACCGCCGGTGGTGCACGTGGACATGGAGCTGGAAGTTGTCGAATGGCCTGGATGAACCCTTCTTACATTCCGATCGATGGGTTCAAGTCTAGGCTCAATGGAAAGTATCAAGCTTACCTTTACCGAGAACAAGGCTGGGACACCGAGACTGATCAGGTAGGAATTCATCTTTCCGTTCATCTTCGGTTCGTACGATCCAATGAACTGTTGATCGATCGTTTTTCCACCTTTTGGCTGTGGCTTTTCGATTGAATCTGCATCTCAGCCAAGTGGTTCCCCGGTACTCTTCATTCCCGGAAACGCTGGATCATTTCGACAAGTTAGATCCATCGCAGCAGCCACGGCAAGTCTTTACTATAAGGAAAAACTTGTGACGGATCCATCAAGCTTTCGGCATTCTACACCTCATCACCCTGGACTGGATTTCTTCACCTTAGATTACAATGAAGATCTTACAGCTTTCCATGGAGAAACATTATTGGAACAAGCCGAATTTGCTAACGATGTTATCAGTCACATTCTCAATATCTATGCCAGCTCTCGCCGGGGAAGTTCACTTCCTAATCCTACTTCAGTCCTCATCCTTGCACATTCGATGGGTGGAATCGTTGCTCGAAAGATGCTACTTATGCCCAATCACATCAACGGCACGATCAACACTATCATATCACTCAGTACGCCCCATACAATCCCACCTATCACACTAGACCGAGGACTAGAAACCGTGTACGAAGATATCAACAAGCTTTGGCGTGAGGCATATCTGGGGACGAGCCGAATCAGTCATCTGCAGGATTTAGTTATGGCCTCAATATCTGGAAGCACTTCCGATACTACTGTCTCGCCTGACTCCAGCTCACTCCTCACCCTATCACCGACACTTCACGGTCTGACGGTTTATACTACCTCAATGCCGGAAGTTTGGACGCCTACTGACCACCGAGCAATTCTGTGGTGTGATCAACTCCGGATGGTCATTGCCAAAGCTTTGTTATTCATCACCGACCCACGATCTCCGTCTCAAGTCAAGCCTAAAGAGGAGAGAGCTGAGATCTTGAAATCTTATTTCGCCAATGGTCGCGGATTACGTATGGCCAGTGATGATATAGTTGAAAGACCACTGAGCTCATACTCCAACGCTGCCTCCTATAAAGTTCATCCGCCCCTGTCAAGGTTGAAACTCAGTTCTGAAGATTTGAACCAACGCCAGCCATTCGGTCATGTTATACCTTTGAAGCAGAAGGTTGATTCCGAATCATCCTCTACTTCATTCACCCTACTTACCAATCTCCCACTTAGCGTTAGGTTGAAGGTCGTCGGGTGTCATGGCAATTTTGGGCGTGATGCAACAAATTTATGTACATCTCTCACCACTCGCTATTCAACGATGCTGCCATCCTCTCACACCAAACTGCGCCCTGCCTCAATTCCTGGTCCCGATGACGAAATAGACCCTCATGAAATATTCAACTTCATCGAGATCCCATCTTCAGACATCTCATCATACGATTTCTTCGTCGTCATTACATCTAACGCGCACAAGAGCCTCGCAAAATCTAGTGAACCAGACTTCCTACTCTGCGAGTTTTCTTCCAATGATGCGATCAGAATTTTTGATCATCCTTTGTGGAGATTATCGTTCTGGGGCCTTGACTTTGAAAACTTTTCCACGACAAATTCGACCCTAGTTTCGGATATATACTTATCAGGGATGGATAGCTCATTATTAGCTTTCAAGATCCACGTCACATATCCCTCAACGTGTTTAGAGAACGGTTCATTTGCACCTCTGATGAGACAACAGACTCCGATCTTGCATGAGTCCAAGTTCCATCCTAACATCCAATCCGCCCTTCTCTATACCCATTTTTCAACTGCCTACTCATCTATCCCCAAATTGTCAACCGATGATGTGTTTCAATCAGGAAGCGGAATGCGATTGACGTTCTGGATGGATCCTTTTGCATGCGGCAAAAGTCGGCAAGATGAGACGATGAAGATAAGGATCAAAATCGACTGGTATGAGAGTGCAAGGAAGATCATTGTGTTATATCGAACTGCATTGGTTGCTATCCCGCTAGGGATTGTGTCAGCTTCGTTTGCAATCCAAATACAACGGTACCGTCACTCAGGAGTATTCCCTTCACTGGGAGTTGCCTTATCGGTTCTTTCAGAGAAGTATCTCTCGGGTTTCTTAGTCGCACTGATCGGCGTACAATTTGTTCAATCCGCAATCCTACGTGCTTCGTGGGCTAGGCAAACAAGACCAGGGGCAGACGAAGATCGACCTTCTCACGTAGCTCTTGCGATCACTTCTACCTGGATATCAGGATTACTTTTAGGTGACCATCATCCAGAGTTTGCATTGTTGGATGGTTTGATGTTTGTGATTGGACTGGGATGGACTTGTATTGTCTATATCTTGTTACATACAATATGTACACTCTTGACTAAATTGATGATCGCTATCTTGGGAGTATCTAATCGTCAAGGCGCCAGAAATCTATCTGGGTACGTCTTTTTCGTATTTAAAACTCTTTGCTCTGCTGGATATGTGTGCATCAGTGAATGGCAAGGCTGAATTGAGGGTTGTGTCATTTTTTTTACCTTTGCCTCACCTCAGTTACCATCAGGTCCCGGTACCAAGCTCACCATCAAGGGTTTCGATTCAAACCATAGTCACCGCCACTTTGGTCCTCTTCACCACCTTTATGGCACCATACCAGTTTGCATTCCTTGTCATATCACTTGTACATCTCTTTCAGACCTTATGGTCATTAGGCGTAGCCAAAACTAACGAAGTAAGATTTTATAAATGATAATATCCTGCACCAGATATTGACTTATCACTTTGCAAAACAGATACGTCAAATTCGATCAATTGAGTCTTGGAATAAGTTTCATTATTATTTTACTACTTTGTTTTTAATGATTTGTTTAGTACCAGGAAATGTGATGGTGATCACAGTTTGGGTTAAAAACTTATCAATAGGTTGGTATAAACCATTCTCTTCAGATCGAAAGATTTACTTTGTGATTGGATATCTTCTTTGGTTTCATCGGACTTGGAGCTCTAGTGGAAGTTTGGGCATGCTACCTAGATCAAAGAAGAGGTTCGTTGTTCTCTTTATTTTTGACGCCCTGCACGAGTCTCAGAATACTTGACAAGACGAATAGCATACTGATCCAGTGTTGGGTTTGAACCGTAGTTTGTTGTTGAAGTTCGCTATGTGGCTGTCACTTGGGACAGGCCTGTTTAGCATTCTCTATGGTATTCGATATACCTTTCAAATATTTGACCTCCTCAACCTTGTTTTTCTGTGCTTGGCCTTGTCACACTACACGGGAGTATCCAACAAGTTGACATAAGCAAAACGTTTTCCTGGCGTCATATCTCTCTTCAAGGTCCTTGTTGCATTGCATCGCTTGGTTTTTTTAATTTTAAATGCATTGTGTTTTCCTTTTCAGAAGTGGTGTAACAATAATAAAAGTCTAGATTTGCTATGATCATTCATGAAATATTGAAACCTGAATAGTATCTTCTCGTGAAAAAATCTTCCAATAAATCATAAAAATGCGTAATCGATGAACATAGTGAAGTAATGAAAAAAGGTCCACACAAATCCATACAGCACGGCGGGAGAGAATACTGTATACACAAACAGGTGTTCAGAAAAAGCTGTACCAATGAGACAAATGATAAATAGGTAGATGGAGTGATAAGCGGACAAATGAACCCTAGTCATCTGCGCTTGTAATGAGTAACCTTGCTTCTGTTCATAGGTTCTAAGTGATGTGAACCCAAGTGAGATACAGATAGGACCTGCGAAATTGGAAAGAAAGGTGAGGATGGTCACAATCGGCAATGAATAAGAAGTGATACCGTTGTAGGCATTTGAAAGGTCGACCCTGGCAGTGGTACCAGGTTTGGGAATGTAACAGGTCAATATGAGGTGGGCTACGTGGCTTGATAGTCGAAAAACATGGCGCGGGGAACTCACGTTGCAAGGGAATTTGATCCACCAAATGCAAAGAATGTACATTTGGTAAAGGCTAATTGGACCCATGCCAAAACAAGGGCTTCGTACCGTATCACATCAGTGTCCGAGCTTTCGAGAGCTGTAGATGTCTGGGGGTGGGATTGGCTGAGAATCTTATGATTTGGCCATCCAATTTGTGACGGAATGATCAAGTCGGGTACAAAGAACGCTAGCCATAACGGGAAATAATTAACAGGCCTAGTCATTGATCGAAAAAAGACGAGATAGGCTAGGCGAAAGACGCGATGTGATTGACGCCTTGATGAGCCCAAAAATGCCATGATTATGCTGAGGAGAAGTAAAATATAAATCGCTCGAAAGTGATCGTGTGATGCCAGATCCATATTGGTCCCGAAAACGTTGAAGTATGGATGATCACTTGGAAGTAGTGTTAAGCATCCGGCAAGGCTTACCGCCATGTAGGCTAAGCAATTTTCAACACCCTCAATATCGTAAGGTCTTAAGCGCATCAATAATATCACAAACCCGGTAGAGTCTAATATATGCAACGCCCATGGTGAGCTCCGTAAGAGGTGAGACATGCTATGATTGGGTGTCGCCTTTTGACCTACATTCCAGATGATAAAGATGTTTGTCAGATGCCTTGTACCTAAATAATTGCATCAATCTGTGATATCGAGACACGCTATGTACCATTATGCGACCAGCCTCGTAGGATACGAATGATCGCACTTGCAGCGACGTAGCTAATCCTCTTGGGAATCGTATCCATTCTGGTTTGCTTGGTAGGAGTAGGCCATATGGCCAAGACAAGGAGTAATGTCGATCCTAGGAAGAACCAAGCCTCGTGCTCTTCTTCAATAAAACTACTAGAAAAAAGTGAAGCCAATTGACTAAAGGCGACAAGCCTGATGAAAGCTCCAGATTGGCCAAGAAAGCTTGGAGAATTTTTCAAGGAGCCGATGATAAAGCATGAAGATACTGTCAGTAGGATCAATAGACCAGTCACCATCTCGTAGAAATTATGACCTGAAAATTGTTCAAGAAGCCTTCCTTGGGCTTGTCGAAGAAACTAATCACACAGGAAGTAACATGTCCATATCAGAACGGATATGTTGCTTCAATTGGCCTTGGATTTACGGACCGATCTGATTTGATGAACATTCATCGCAGACAATATACGCTCGAGTTCGGGAAGTGTCGCATCTTGCTTGGTGATAGGTAACATGTTGTACACAGAGTTGATGTTTGTGGATAAAGCTAATATTTTGGCCAGCTGTATCGCATTATGACGAAGAACCCTTTCGACGAGAAGCGTAGTAGTCGTGACATTAGACGAAGATGAAAAGGTGGCCTCGAAAACAGATTCGATTGCTACCCCAATGCTTGCTGGTGGTATTCCACCTTGGAAGAGTACTGATAAGGTGGGTACGATATCCATTTGCTGCACTCGCTCTGGTTTGATCTTCTCTGCATCATCCAATCGCGGTAAGTTGAAAGAAGGTGAAGCAAATAATAACCCCTATCATATGCCCGTGTTCAATCCTCACCCGTCTTACGCGTACGAAAGTTACGGTAATGTACGAACCGCAGAAACTTCACCGTCTGAAGAGCCACCGTGATTACCAGCATCTGTCATTCCATGGTCACCCGCAACGACCAGTACAGTCCTGAGTCCTGTCTTAACGAAGTCGTTTGAGATTTTAGCATAGAGGCGCGAGATGACGTTGTCGAGTTGATTCTGCTTGGGTCCCATGAGCGGGCTGATGATGTAGATAGGCCAGTCAGTCAATTGATCAGACCGTGGATCGGATGTGCCAGAAAGATATCAGACTTACGAGCGTGCACCACCCAAATGCCCTACGTGGTCGAGGCCAAGGTAATGAAGCATCAAGACGTCCCAATCCACCTTGGAATTGTCTGATAGTGCATCATCAAGATGCCTAGTGACATTGTAGTCAACAATTTCAGTGTCCTGTCTCGATGTACCGTCAGTTTGAATTCTTAAAGATCAGGAGTTGAAGCGAGCTGGAGCTGACCGTTACATAGAAACTCGATACGCCATCATGGTCTTCAAACCAATCTGTGGGAAACAAACGGAGCCACGTATCATCTCCAAAGAACAATGCTCTTCTTTTGCCACGCGTTTGAGTTCGATTGTTTTCTGAATGCGATTGTGGTCCAAAGATCACTTGACGGACCCAAGTATCAGTATGTGCTAGTAAAGCTCCTCCATTGGATGAATCATCGATGTTCCAAACCGCATCAATGAACTGCGGATTTACTCCTAGAGCATGAACGACATCAGCTGTAGGCCATGATTGGCAAGCCTATCAAAAGACATTAGCTAACCTGAGGTCATAGCTTTCAATCTCGGCAGAGTGACTGTTGGCGACTGTGCATTGGCGGTAAATGGAATTCCCTTCCCTTCCCGTACCAATCTTTGGTGACCAAAACCAACGAGAGATTTTTTGTAAGGACTTTGAAGTGCTTCAATACACTTCTATTGGAATGACAACAGAGAGGTTGAAGAAACTAGACTTGCTTTTGAGTGAAGTTCATTTTGGATTCATCGCTGAACATAAAATCACTGTCGAGGATAAGACGATATAAACAACATCATCCAGTTGGTTATATAGATAGCTCTGGATACCCACGTTCGCAGAGCATCGATCAGTACGAACACCAACCGATCAAACCCCGGGCTGCTATGCGTACCATCCTTGTTGTGTAAGGGAATGCCATAGCCTTCGGCAGGTTTGTTGAGAGGAAAAAAACCCTTGGCAAAAAGAAGTGCACCTAGAATCTGCGCGATGAATATCAGGGCATAGATGGAGTTGCCAGGAAGGTTTTGCACGCGCGAAACAGTCATTGGGGTCTATGTAGGTGTGAATTTCCGCTAAGCTTGCCTTCTCGATCAAAGATGAGCAAAAAAAGACCCCCGAAACGGTTCAAGCTCGCGTGGTGCTTCATGAGTCAACCCGGCCCTGAGTACGGAAGACCCCGCTCCTACATGCGGGTCAATTTTATGCCAAGGTTGTGGACTTGAGTTTGAACTGCATTGATGATATTGTGGGTATGATCACCAATGGCAACAAGAATGTATCATCAGTATGATTTTTCCAATGTGGCATTTTAAATGGGCTGCAGAGGGTTAAAGCTCAAGGTCTTTGTTCTAAAGTTCTAAATGAAACCTAGTAGAAAGACATTGGCTTCAGTTTAGATTTAGTTTAGAACTAAAGATGAGAATGAAGTTGTGAGGTATCTTCGGGGAGGTGACGTGACGTTTATGATGGGCTATAAGGGCAGAAAGATTTTTTAAATTATTTGTAGATTGTCTCTAGCCTATAAGATTCGCGGTATATAGTCATATGCAAGGCGGAGTTTAGTAAATTTCCTCATCACAGAAACTGGGAGCCACCATCAACGGAGATCATTCGAGTCATGTCCGAAAAACAAACAGCTTTCTGCGAAGTAATGACGGTTGATGTTGAGATGACCAAAAAGTATCATTAATACTCATCGAAGCTGGATACATATCCAATACCCAATGACAATCAAGCAGCAATTGCGGCGACAAAAATCTCTATACGTGGTCTCCGAGGAACCATGGTAGGCTGCAGGCATCGACACACTGCTCACGTCAAATGAAATCTTATAAGCGGGCTCACAAACAAATACTGTTCGACTTATACATATGAGCAGACGCAGGATCCCGAGACGTGTGGAAAATATTCAAAGCGTGTATTTCACATAGACAGCGTCAACGCAGCAAGTCACTCATAGTGGCGTGGAGATCATACCGGTACATGGTGAAAGGACATTAAAATGCACGGACATGACACAAATAACCAAGGTGAATCTACTTTTTCATGGAGAAATTTTCATTAACTACATTCATCTCAACAAACTACAATTAGATCCAAACCGTGAACTCTGAAACAAGAATAACAATTAAGATAAGCGATTTTCAAGGAACCAGAGAATCGGGATTGCAGTAATAGTAGACTAATTTCGACTCACATTGAATGCCGGATTCCAAATTGAGCCAAGACACAAGGACAACTAGAGCTTGTCGTAGTAGGTGTCGAGAGGGGGGATCTCGAGCTTGAGACCCTTACGTTTCCTGATGTCTTGAACAAGGGTTTCGAGCTTGCTACCTTTCTCGAGAGGAGTTCCAGGCATGGTTTGCCAGTGATCGAACACCTGATAAAACGGATGGGAAATATCAGCTATGAGCTGATGGCAGCTATACAGATATACATACGAGTTGAGGGAAAGCTTGTCCTGAAGTAGCTTGACGGAGCTCAGCGTTGAAACCGAAGGATTCGGAGACAGGGAGGTAAGCCTATTGACATGCGATCTATCAGTAAATGAACAACCCGATGTGAGCAGTTGAACGGTTCAAACCTTGACGGTGTACATGGGTGTACCGATTCTCTGTTCCTCGGAGAAAACGTGACCACGCTTCTTGTTCAACACGGAGTAGATACCACCAAGAGCAGTTTCAGGTGCTTGCATTTCGACCATGTAGACAGGCTCTTGTAGACCAGGGTTGGCAAGCAGAGCAGCCGCGTAAATGACACGTCGACATGTGGGGATGATCTGACCACCACCTCGATGGATGGCATCGGTGTGGAGGGTAACATCGAGACTACACGAAGTAAGAACGTCAACATAATGAGCCCAAAGACAATAAATAAGACGTGCTTACACGTTGTATCGGGTTCCTCGCATGGACTCCTCAGCGCAAGGTCCTTCTTTGGCAGCCCATTGGAATGCAGCGACACAAGAATCCTTGATTTCACTGAGGTATTGAACTCCCTTGGTGGTATCGACCAAGAAGTTGGGGCCTCCACCGTCAGGGGCAAAGGCCCAAATCTTACGGGCATCAGTGACATCCCATCCGAACTCGTCAGCCAAAAGCCTAGCTCGGAGCTTGAAATCGTCACGGGGGGCAACTTTGCCCTCTTCAACAGCTCGACAAAGCTCTTCCGTGATCGGTTCGGCCTTCACATACAGTCGGTTGTGCTTGTTTTGCGATTTGGACAACGCGACCATTGAAGACTCGGCTTGGACTGTCTCACGGTATCCGACGACAGGGTCGGAGATCTTGAGAGGAACTTGAGCGTGGTCGTCTTGCAAATCCTTCAAGCAAATTTCGAGATGCAATTCACCGGCTCCAGCAACAATGTGTTCACCGGTATCGGCGATCCAAGCTTGAACACAAGGATCGGACTTGGAAAGACGCTTGAGACCTTCTACCAACTTGGGAAGATCGTTGGCGTTCTTACATTCAACGGCGACTTGCACAACGGGTGAAACTGAGAATTTCATGACCTACAAATGTACATTTCGATCAGTGGGATGTGTGAGATTGATACGGAGATCTATATGAAAGAACTCGCCTTCATGTTGTGGGCAGTCTCAGAAGTAGTAAGAGTACCGGACTTAAGCAAGAATTGATCCACACCGACAAGACCAATAATGTTACCAGCGGGACAATCCTCAATAGCCTCAACTCGGCCTCCCATCATGAGGACGGTTCGTTGGATAGATTTGATGAAAAGGTCTTCCTTCTTTCCAGGAGTGTAGTTAGGACCTTGGATACGGACCTTAGGTCCGGCTTTGACGGTTCCGGAGAAGACTCGACCGAAAGCGTAGAATCGACCCTTGTCGGTGGTAGGAACCATCTTGGACACGTACAACATCAGAGGTGCGTTGGGGTCACAGTCTCGGATACCGATGGCGGACTCGTCGTCCATAGGACCCTCGTACAAGGTTTCGACTCGGTATCGTTGAGCAGTGATAGGGGAGGGAAGGTTGATACAGATCATCTCCAAAAGAGAGTCTCCAGCGGGCAAGAATTTACGCATGATGATCTTTAAGAGAGCTTTGCCCTCTTGATCTTTTTCTTCAGAAGTAAGTTTAACCTCTAATTTCTCCATCATTGCCAAAGCGGTATCCTTCTTGAAGTTCATGACAGAGTCGAAAATCTGATATTCATCATGCAACGGATCCAGTCATAAGCCACTTCAGTCAATTGGTACAAGTAGAGCGAAGAATTGAATAGAGTACCAACCTTGAAGATAGGGTCAAGAACAAACATGTTGAAGGCTCTCTCCAAAGGTTTGCCATCAGCGTCAACGTTGGTTTTGACCCACTTCTTGGTCTTTGGGTTGAAAAAGCTGTCACCCCAAAGTCGGGCCATCATTTTTTCAGCGTCAACACCAAACTTTTTCGAGTAACGCTTGGCAAATTGACGAAGCGAGAAAGCCCATCCGTGTAGACCGGAACCGAAAGCAACTGTTCCCTTTTCAGGGTAGACTTGAACATCGCCCAAAACCTTGTCGTTGTAGGTTGCGATGATGACGTTGACACTCTCGACCGTTCGACAGAAAGACTGGTATAAATCTTCTTTTGATACTTGAAGTTCGAGAAGAGCACGATCGACCTTGTTGATGATGACAATCGGTTTGATACGCTCGGTCAAAGCTTGACGAAGGACAGTTTCAGTCTGGACACAGACTCCCTCGACACAATCGACCACGACAAGAGCTCCATCAGTGACACGGAGAGCAGCGGTGACTTCGGAAGAGAAATCGACGTGTCCAGGTGAATCGATCAAGTTGATCAAGAATTCGGTACCTGAAGAGATGTTTGAGATTAGCAAGAATTTGACTCGTCACAGCTAAAGAATGATTTACCATCGGTAGTTTGCTTGATGTCAGCCAAGTCTTCCTTCTCGAGCTCAAAGAACATGGAAATAGCAGTCGACTTGATTGTGATACCACGCTCTTGCTCATCGGCTCGGGTGTCAGTAGCACGAGCTTCACCGGCACGAGAGCTGGCAATGATACCGGCCTTAGACAATAGAGAATCCGTCAAGGTGGATTTACCGTGATCGACGTGAGCGATAACTGGAAGGATGTAGCATGTTTGAGGCTCTCAGAATCTACGGCATCTCAAAGGGCAGGTGTAAAGGGAAACTAACCAGACATGTTACGGACGCTGAAAACGAAAGATCACGCGATCAGGATTGATTCAATCTGACTTGGAGCAATTCAAAATGACGACTTACTTGGCCCGCTTGTCCATAAGCCCACGGACTTGGTCGACAGTGAAATTGACCATGGTGGTAAGAAGCTAATGGAAAGAGATTGAGATGGACTTTAGTATCACAGTTAGTCAAGGGTGTATGCTGGAAAAGGAGCAGGCATTCGGGGTTGCGAGCGGCCAACCCTGTCAAAAACAGAGTGGTGCCAGACCGATTCCGCTTGTCTAAGGGATACGGGGTAGAATGATATGAAAGATATCGAGTGGCTCACTTTGGTTTTGTTTTGGGGGAAGAAAGGTTAAGGAGAAACAGCCAAGGAAGAAAAGCTGCTTGTGAAGAGTTCGAGGTAAAGAGACGGTGGGGGCGGCTGGGTGGAAAGTGAATCAAGTTTTTTCAAATTCTGACCCGAGATCGCAGTTCGTACAGTTTCAAGAACCAATTCAACCCTAACCCTAAATCGTAAACCAACCAATACTTCACAATACTGCCATTTTGAAATTTTTAGGTGGCCCTACAGCGTTTTCACATCTTGCATTGAAGTTGCATTGCAACGCTGCGAAAAAGACCTCTGAAGAAGGAGCCCAACAGTCGTTGTTTGGTGACAAAGCAGCTTTTTTTGCTTTCACAGTTCACTTGACTCTACCAGGCGTTTGTCAAAATATGTTGCAAGTCCATGTGATCAATCATTCAACCTGGTCAAAAAAATGTGGCTCTCGCGCATTTCCCTCAAGCATCTGAGTGTTAGGCTCGAAAACCCTAGGTGACCTACAGACGAATACCTTCCTCGAGAATCTCCTGATTGGCTTTATATCTGTGTCTGCGAACCAAGTTTTCGAGCCGTCAGATGAGATCATGGCATAGCCATATTTTCTCTTGTGACGTTCAGACTGTGATGAGGGTACTGTGAAAAACAGTTCCTTCAAACCCGTGGAACTCGGACTCGCACTTTGTTTGTATCAGAGGCTCGTTGATGTTGGTAGATGAGGCAGGAGGTCCTTAGGTAAATATGTCATGGGTTGATCAATGACCAAGTAGTGAGTGTGTCATCGGCCAACACCTCGCCTCTCGTCAGTCAAGATCATCTTACTTACTCTGTGAAGCTGTGTATTCGTCTCAAGCTCGAGCCAAGTTGAATTGACATAATAAACTAAAATTCCGGCCAAGTTGAAGGTCTCGATAGACTTTCAGATCGAGTCGAGCCTACATGATATAACAAGGTCTGAGGCTGCTTTCTTCCATGAGGGTGATGGGAAAGAGTCGTACGGTCGGCTTGAAATGCAGGCTCTCTCATTGAGTGAGCGTTTGATTGACGAGATGAGATGAGCTCAAACACGTTAAGGCGAGTCAAGAGATGAACACTTTATAATTTGCGAGTGTGTATCAGCGATCCTACGTTACCAACTCTCAGCAACTGGTGCTACCAAGCTCTCGCACCTTGACATTGAGACCAACATATAAGAGACCTCAGTTCCGACTGTGATTGAAAATTGCCAACATCTGTGATATATATTCTTCATCCCTTGACGTCTTGCGCCCAGCTTAACTGACCGCATACGTTATCCAAGAACTTGACCAACTCTAACTTTACATTCACCACTGGACACTTTGTATATTCTTTTGTTCATATAGACACTGTTATATTTCATTATTTTATTAGAGACTGCTTACCCTCCTGAAGATAGGAAGTACAATAGCATAGCTCTTTGATTTTACCTTTCAATTATCGCCAAGATATATATTCCTTTCTCTCACACAACCGATTCTTAGTATGCGTCTCCACGCGGCTCATATTCTCCTGGCCGTTGCGCCAGCTATCTATGCTACTAATCACCCTCGCGAGAATTCACAATCTAGCCCTCAAACCGGCTATCATAGTATCGTAGGCCGAAGTCAGCTCATCACTGACTCTAGTGGGGGCCCCGGCAATAGTTCATCACTAGACGCGACCCCGTCCAATCCATCACTTGGCTCAACTTCCAATCTCTACAGCTCATCAAGCCCGTCCAATATCTCACTTGGCTCAACTCCCAATCTCTACAGCTCATCTAGCCCTTCCAATCTCTCACTTGGCTCAACTCCCGATGTCTATAGCTCATCAAGCCCTTCGAACACAAGCGGAACCACCACTCCAAGTCTTAAGAAGACTTCAAAAGTTACCGCAGCTGTTTCCAAAAGTTGGGAGCAGATGCTTGAGCATGCTCTCAATGCTACGCTGGCTACGCTTCCTGGTCTCGAAGGTGTTGCTGATGAGATTCAGAAATTAGTTTCTGCCCAAATGAACTCCTTGGAAAACCAAACTGCCATTCCAGGTGAGATTCTCTTCTATCAATTATCATAGTCTGACCTCTATATATATATATGCAATCCAAAGGCTGAGCCCACCACTTCTTTTGGGAAACTTTTAGACTTGCAAAATGCTGGAGACAGTATCAATAAAACTTCGGGCGTGTCAATTGGCGGCTCTGCCAGTGCCAACGTTACTCAGAACGTCTCTGGTGAGGGTGAAATGCAGGGACGATATGCCAATGGAACTCGGTGCGAAGGTAAATACGAATCAATCTTGAAAGAAGACACCGATTATCTGGGAGAACAGCAAACTGACCTTGAGTTTTGATTGATAGCCCAAGCCTATGTCACTCTCAGTGCGACTTCACTCACCACTCTCTCAGGCCTTTTTGTAGCAATGAGAACGCTTGAAGAGAGCGTCAGCAAGGACGCCACTGAAAAGACCACGAAATTGGTTGAAAAGATCAAAGGCTGCATTTCTTACTCTATGTTGTCGGTCATCAAGATAGTCGCTACGCCTGAAGTGACCAAATGTAAAGTTGCACCTGCACAAACAGTCTTTAGCTCTCGCATCGAATCCAATATGACCTTGATTGCAGAAATGATTGCAGAGCTCAAACAAAACAACGACGGTGATAGTTCGTTGACAGTCAACAACACTCTCAGTGCAAATACTAGCTCTACGGTACAAGCAAACTTGACCAAGACAACTCGTAAACCATGTAGATCAAGTCGTCACCTTCAAGGAGGCAAGAGCGGTTTGTTAGGCACTTCAGCAAGAAATGGTAATTCGCTATTAAATGCAAGCGCAGGGGAAGCCCAATACATCTCACCATTAAATTCAACAGGGGAAGCCCAATACATCTCACCATCAAATTCAACAGGGGAAGCACAATACTTCCAAAACCCGGGAAGCTTACCATCAAATTCAAGCACAGGGGAAGCACAATACATCCAAGGCACGGGAAGTTCGCCACCAAGTACAAGCACAGGTCAAGCGCAATACATCCAAGGCTCTGATGGACCTTTACCTGTGCTACAGAAGAGGGATGCAAATACCATGACAAGTGTTGGTCCTGCTTTGTATAGGAGTGGTCCGACGGGTAGTGGTCCTAGCAACACGTCAAGTGTTGGTACTGCTTTGTATAGGGGTGCTTCAACGGGTAGTGATCCTAGCAGCACGACAAGTGTTGGTCCTGCTTTATATAGGAGTGCTCCGACGGGTAGTGATCCTAGCAACATTTCAAGCGTTGGTCCTGCTTTGTATAGGAGTGGTCCGGCTGGTAATGGTCATAGCAGTGCTAATGCCACGCTTTCGGGTGGATACAATTCGGCATTCAATGTTTCATCGTGGAGCGACGATGACGACGAGAACTGTGACCCTACCTTACCACCTCTCGACGAGGAGGAACCACCCAAGAAAGATTCAACCCATCATAAGAAGAAGAAACAGGCCATCAAAGAAGTCGAGGTAGGAGTTTTTTCTTTTTCCTTGAATGAATTAGCAAATCCGATTTCAAAGTTGACAAGTCAGATCAATAAACAAAGCTAATTCACAAAATTTCCATTTCTCATGAAACTTTAGAAATGCTATAATGCAACCATTCCTGCTGTGACTGGTGTGATAAACTCTAACCCAAAGGAAGGAATTTCTGGAATACACTTGGGAAAATCTTCCCAATCCAAGATCAAGGTCAATGTGGCGTCCTATGTAACCATCAACTCACCTACAATCTACAACTTCATCACTCAGGTCAATGGTGGTTCAGGTGCACGCACTGATGATGACGATATCACTCCTCCAAAGAACACCCCTTATCCAGGTGCTCCAACCTCTCCAGGTGGAGGTGGTGCCAGCTATCCCGGCGGAAGTTCTGGTGGCAGCAATTATCCTGGTGGAGGATCAGGAAGTGGGGGCGACTATCCAGGTGGAGGTTCCAGCTACCCTGGCGGAAGTTCTGGTGGTGGTGGTGGTGGTGGCACTTATCCTGACGGAGGATCAGGAAATGGAGGTAATTATCCAGGTGGTGGTAGCAGCTACCCCGGCGGAAGTTCTGGTGGTAGCAGTTATCCTGACGGAGGATCAGGAGGAAACACAAGTGACAACGGAGCAAGCTATCCTGGTGGAGGTAGCTGTGGAGGAAGCATGGCTGGAAATGAAGGTGGCTACCCAAGCTCAAGTGGAAACATGACTGACACTGGGAGTGGCTACCCAAGCTCAGGAGGTTCCTCTCCATGTAGTGGGCCCTCAAGTCCTTCTGGCAGTCCTTCTGGGTATCCTTCTGGAGGTCCTTCTGGAGGTCCCTCTGACAGTCCTTCCGGCTATCCTTCTGGCGGTCCTTCTGGAGGTCCTTCTGATAGTCCTTCCGGATATCCTTCTGGCGGTCCTTCTGGAGGTCCTTCTGGCAGTCCTTCCGGTTATCCTTCTGGAGGTCCTTCTGGCGGTCCTTCTGGCAGTCCTTCCGGTTATCCTTCTGGAGGTCCTTCTGGAAGTCCTTCTGACAGTCCTTCCGGTTATCCTTCTGGAGGACCTTCTGGAAGTCCTTCTGGAAGTCCTTCTGACAGTCCTTCCGGATATCCTTCTGGAGGTCCTTCCAGTCCCTCTGGTAGTCCATCTGGAGGTGGCCAATGTGTTTGCGGACCCGACAAAGACACACATTTAAGGATCAGAAGTTTAGAAGCTCAAGTGGCCTCAGTTCACAGAATGATGAGAAAGAGAGGATTGACTGAACTTTGAGAAGATTTGTACATTCATTTCCCATCACCAAAATGATAAATCTGATCAAAATTTGATGTAGAGACTGAACACAAGATCAAACTTTACCCTGGGGGTCATTGATTGGTTTGCTTGAACTTCATTGTATTAGGTCTTGGACAATTCTAGATTATGATTCTTAGATGACTTTTGTTGTATATAGATCTCAACTGCTTGCATGATTTCTGATTGTGAGTTATGTTTGAGATTAAGTACACTCATTTATTGATGTGATTTTTGAGAATGCTTGTGATGTCTTAAGTCTTGATTGTGTTCAATTGAAATTGAAAACATCAAGGTCTCTTATCCAAGTTCAACATGAAGAAATGACAAATGTTTTATGTGGCTTGAAACATTGGTGATGAATAAAATAAAGACTCGTAGAGAGAAAATCAAAATGAGTTTGAAACAAGAGCTAACAAAAGCCTTTGTTTGATTCTCTTTGCAAATTGTCACCAAAATGTTATCAAATACTTACAAATCAGACTTCAGTCCCTCAATGCTTCAACAGCTGTTATTCAAACTGGTTGAGTCCGCATGTTAAAATTCTTTGCCCTTTGATTGCTTCCGTTGAGGATCCAATTGAACAGAATTTGTGTACAAAGTCCGATTTGATGCTAGTTGATGACGTGATGATTTAACATTTTACTTGCGTATAAATAGAGTTGACAACTTCTAACATAAAAACCTAAATACTCTTGCGCCTTGAAACAGTTGAAACCTACTTTGGAAGGAACTTGTTTACAAAACCAATCGAACTCGAAATCGAAGGATACAAAACCATTCGAAACCATTCGAAACTTGAACCTAATCCTTTGAATCGTTCTTGGTCATTAAAGATAAAGAAAGGACTATCAAGATGTCAATGAATTTAAAGAAATCTAATAATCCGATCGATTTATATTTCCATGCTTTATTCACTCGACCTATGCTTACTAAATCGATCACTGCTGCACTTCTAGGGTAGGTTTACACTTTCTTTAACTCGTTGCTAGTACATGAACTGCTTAGACTTTGTTTTGGTTTGAAAATTTGATTCATGGTCTCGACTTCTTTCTCTTGATTAGTTATTATCAAGAAATCTTAGCACGAAAACTTGCTGGTCTTAATCGACCTTCGAAATCGTCTCATCCGCAATTAAATTATCTTCAATCTTTAGGGTTCAATATCGATGCACTCAAACTGGCAGGATTTGGTAAGTAGCCCACCAAATCGAAAAGTTAATCCTATCATTTACATTCACTAACTATTGCTTTTGAACTTTCGCAGGCGGTCTTGTTGCCGCACCTTCGACCCATATACTTCAGGTGATGCTATATGCCATACTGGCGAAACTCGAAGGTAGAAATAGTACGGTTTCGAAGGCGAGACAATCACCATCTTTTGTTTCCAAGTTTGGTCTTTTATTGGGTTCGATCCTCTTTGTTAGCCCGATTCAAAATACTAGTTGAGTATCCCGATTCTCATTCTTCTCGACCTATCAGAATCAGTTTATTGATCCTTGTTTCATGTTTTCACAGTCTATATCATCTCGATGGCTATCTTAAATGGCGCAAGATCAGTCAAAGAGATCAAAGCAGCTTGGAAGCGAGGTTTTCCAAAACTCACTCAAGTATGTCACTCTAAATCCTTTAATTTCTGATCACCACCAAAAAAAAAACGTTCAAGTATCTAATGAAAAAATTGATTTTTTCCAATAAATTAGCTCAACTTGCTCGTTGCTCCAATCTCAGGTATCTTTGCTGCTCGTTTCCTTCGTCCTCGTGGTACATTTGCTTTTTTCACTTTACTTCAATTCTCTCTTGCACTCTATTTCAATCAATTATCTAAAAAACTTAGACTTAAAGCTAAAGGTCCTCGAACACCTCGATCTGACTAAAGACCAAAGTTCAAAACTCCGAGGGGAAAAATGTCTTGATTACTATATACTACTCAGCATCGGACTTGTGTAATCAGTCAAAAGAAAATCACGGTCTTGGATAAGTGATGTCTTTGCTTGGTTTTATGTTTGCTTGGATTGTGGATCAAACCTTCATGGAGGTGTTCTATTTCTCGAATCTTTTTTTTCTCATTCAATATCAAGTTGAATACTTTTTTTTTCGGTATTTATTCTTTAAATTCCGATTTGGTAGTGTTTTTGGTTTCTTTTTGATTGTTTTATCACTCATTAATTGGTTTAAAAATCTTGGATATAACAGAGTATGATTGAAATTGAATTTTATTTTTCTTTTGCATTTTGTTACTCTTGTTAACTCATATTGAAAGATGAGTTGATGAGTAAGATTGGAAAACCATATATTTGTGAATCTTGAGAAATTTCGAGTAGGTCTTTTCTATTGCTGAAAACACTCGGGATCGAGTTTTGAAAAAGGATCAAACATCAATGCACTTAGCTGAACCATTTGATTGAGCTCATACAAGAAAAAAAAACAGATTTTGACTTGGAGAAAAAGGTTTTCTTTGAATGTGGTTCTGTTGCACGTTCAACTTTGGGTTGGTCTGAGGTGGGTAATATTAGGTGGTGGTCATCCACGAATTTTTGTGTTTCTCATGATTGCGGTTGGTTCCCTCCGCTAAAGCTAAAGCCAGCATGGCGAGGTTACTATGGTTTTATGCTCAAGACTTGGTGTGGGTCTTGGAACTCATGATTGGTACTTTCTTCAATATTTCGTAACTCTTTACTCGTACAATCCAAAAAAAAATGGAAAAAGAGATGAAAGTAAATGACAATAAGCATTTGCAATCCACAATTCTTCAAAATGAAAAAAAATGATCAAAAAACCAATCGAAAATATAATCAATGTCAATGAGAAAGACAAGTGAAGAAGTCCAAAAGAGTTAGATTGTAAAGAAATATTACAACAACAAAAAAAAATTAAACAAGCGAATTTTAAACAACAGAAATGCAAATGTGTCAATAGAGTTCGAGATAAGAAGAAAAAATAAATAGCCATACAAGATTACAAAAAATAAAGAAGAAGAAAAGGAGAATAATGATAATGTTTTTCATCGTTTAATAAATTGATCTAATTGATTTAAAAAATAAATGATGGCTTGCATTCTTTTAATTGATCTTCTACTCATGGCTAATTCAGTAGGTTCTTCTTGTTTACGATGACCGGAAAATAATCTATGAACCCAACCAGCTTGAAAGAAATCTTGATCGATGTCTGATGATGATGATGATGATGATAGATGTGTAGAATTAGTTCTTTTGATTGAACCAAAGCTAGATTCTTGAATTAATTCGATTTCTTCTACTTCAGATTCTGGTATAGATTGTTTTAACCGATCTCGATTGGTTGAAATGGCTCCTAATCTCCAAAGGAATTCTAACTTTGATCTTCTTCCATATCTCATTCGATTTGAATAAGTTTGATTCGAAGTGAATCTAAACCCAATCTGAGGTTCTTCAATGCTGATTGGCTTAAACTTGATCAAATCATCATCATTCTTTGTTTTAATGAACGTATTGTTTATGGAAAGGTCTTCGTTATCCAATAAACGTGACATGGGAATGATCAAATGTGATTTGATAACTTCATCAAACCTTACAGAATGGTGTTCTTCTTTCATGATTTGATTTATCAACTCTTTCATACCTGTGGGTGTAAAAAAACAATTTCCATCTAAAGGCAAAATCCAACGTGCATCCTTTTGATCTCTACCATGTTGTAAAGCAAAATTTCTACCACCATTCTGAGAAGAAGAAAAAGAAGACTTATTAACATTTCAATTCGAACTGGTGCATAATTCGTGCAAAAATGTTGGTTGTGACTTACGTTATTCATAGCATACAAATTCTTTTCATGATACATTGAATCTAATGACCTCAATCGATTAATAGCTAATTTTCTCTTCTCTTCAATTTCATTGAATTCATCTTGTAATCCAAATGAATAATCTTTTGATTGGTTTTGATCCAACGTCTTAATTTCATTGACAATATCAATTTGTTTTGAATCAAACTTTTCTAAATCGTTTTGAATTCTTAATTCTCTTTTTGAATATTCTTCAATTTCAAATGGTATAACTAAAACTTGACTTTTGGAAATTCCTTGGTTGATTAAAAGATTATAAACTGTTTCAAATTGGGTTTGATTGGCTATTCGATTCAAGATGTAAAACTTTTTGACTTTTAATGAGTTTAATGTTGGTTTTTTGTATCTACGAGAGTAATGATGTTGATGTTGATAATGTTGTTGTTTAGGATAAGTTAACTCTTGAAAATCATTTTCATTCTCAATGATAAATTTCAAGTTGTTGAGTGTTTGGTTAGAAGAATGTCGAGGTGGTAAATCGTTTCCAATGATCCTATAAATCAACAAGCTATCTCTTTCAACATTTTGTAAACTTTGCCCATATCCTATCTTGAAATTTTTCAAGTTGAATAAGTTTGATTTGATTTGAATCTTGAAATATATTAAATTGATCATCACAATGAAACTGATCATAAAAAACCAAAATAAATTCCAAAACGATTTATGAACCTTTTGACGAGATTTAGAAAGATTGAACTTATGAAGTTGAAATGATTCATTTAAGCCTAATTTCGTTGTTTTCTTTCTTTTGAAATCTAAAGGGATCAAACTTGATGATGTTGATGATTTAGAAGAGTTTGATAAGATTCGTTTATAAGGTAAATAATTCTTGAAAAGCTTTTCCTCATCGATCTCAGCATACAGCTGCGAATGATGATGATAGGAAGAAAAGGTTTGGAAAGCGGTAGAGAAAGAAGAAGTGCTACAGGCTGAAGATGAAAGAATTGAACTGTAGATCACTGAGCTGTCTGAATGAGTAGGTGAAGAGAGTGATCCGGATGGACTGAAAGGTGGGGTAGTGAGTGAAGGACTGATGATGGAAGTTTCGGAATCTGAGCCAAAGTCAATTGTGATTGCTGTAGAATTTGTCGTAGAAGAACATAGGCTATGCGTTGGAGAATGTTGGTTTGGTAAACCTTGCCAGGTCGAGATTGATGCTGCAGTTGATGCTGAAGGTAAGGCTGATGTTGAAGTTGAACTTGAAATGAGTTGAGAAGTGTCCCGAGCCCGTGTTGAATTAGAATTTGCTGAAGAATTCGATAAGAATGAAGTTTGATTGCGAGACGAGACATCTTGACGACGTGGATTTTGAGAGGAAATATTTCCATCAAAAAGATCTAAAGAGGTTTGGACAAAGACCATCAGATTATCAAGATAGAATGTCAGGGAAGATTACACGAGGATCTCAAAAAAAGTGGAAGGTGTGAGTTACCTTCTCGATCAAATGAGACTGCCATGCTTGAATTAAGAAATAATGGGTAAGGGAATCTTGAATCCAAGTTGAAATGGAAATGTTACAATATATATTCAAATAAATGAGGAATTATGAAAGAGGTGAGCAATTTCAAAAGGAGCTCTTCAAGTATGAAGAACAAGATCCTATAGGAAAAAAGTAAGACGAAAACAAGTATGCGAAGTCTGTAGGTGAAGAGGAAGCGATTAACGAAAGTGATAGATCTTTGACTGATCAAAGAAGATTTCGGAATTGTGGTTCGTTGAGATTCTTCTTGAATTTGGAAAAGTCAGATTGTTTGAAAGATAAATGAGCTGTTTGTTTGGTGAAGTAAGACTTCAATGATGTTAATGAGTGAATCTGATGATGGTGAGTTTGTAAAGATTGAGTGACTGTGAAGTATTCTTGATGAAGTCAATTGAACAAATGTAAGTAAACACTTCAAAAAGAGCACAGATTGATACTAAGTTAATGTTGAGAGAAGAGATGCATAAGCTGACGATTTTGATGTTGATTAAAATTTAAATTGTCCTTTCAAGTTTTTAATCATCGATATTTTCAAGAGTAGATAGCGATAGAGCTAGAAGTTGACTTGATTGTCAATGCTGAAGAGGGACAATTTTTGAGCATCACTATTTGGCTTTGAACCGGTCAAACTGTTCTGCTCACAGCCAAGTAAATGAATTGCAACCGGTGAAGTTCAAGTGCCAGGTTAGACTAAGTAAATCTTTTAAAATAAGTTAAGATAATCGTTGGTATGTTGAATGTGTCGTGCTAGTCATCGAGCTCAGCTGATTAATAGAATTGTGCCTGTGAGGGATCTAGCCTTCATGATGGCTATAGATATGATGTATCCTCTTTGCACGCTGAATACATCATCACACCTACAGTTCTTTTGAAATCTTTCAATCAGACTCATTTTCGTTCAGGTTTGATCGATGCTAAAGATCTGGAAGAGCATCAAGAGGGACTGTGAGTGTGAGTTTAATTGCTCGTTGCGTTCGAACTTCAAAAGAGTCGTCAGAATCCTAAAGCGAGTGTAGAAAAGTCAGTCAAAATTCCTAAAACAGATCGTGATTTCTTTTGACCAGCTCATCATAAACGTGCTTGCCACAAGCAGAGCCTAGGGCTTTGGATGAACACCGAGGGCTCAATTATTACGAGATCCAAGCTCAGGAAATGTTTGTCTAGACTTTGACTTGCAATCTTTTCAGGAATTAGAGGTCCGATCTAGATTCGCTCAATAGGACAGAGATTGCACTCATTTTGTCATCGATTGATTTCATAAACGGCATTTGAATTTTTGATTCAACGAGGGACTCCAGGAAAAATAATTTTGCAAGAAAGCAGTTCAATTCTGAACAAATCAAGGTTCTGGTTCACGTCAGAGTGAGAAACGCGTACGGCCCCTTATCATCATCATGACGAAAGAGAAATGTAGTGATAAGTGCAGATATGTAAGTCTTTGTTATTCTGCCTGTACATACATATTCCCAATGCCATGGCAGTCGACTCAGAGGTCAAGGGTTGGCGGAGTCCGTAACAGTGACAATCGACCTTTCCTCAATGCTTGATGTAAGGAACTGGTACATAGATCGGTGCTCTTCATCCTCTCCCTCAAGCATACTTACAGTGGGACCATGATCTCAAACATGTTCGCGCCAGAGCCCACTTGAAGGGGCTGGCCTTCAAACCGAATCACATCAGGCACCATCTGATCCTGCCTGCGGCGGCAAGGTAATAGAACCTTACGCGGGTTTAAGTTTTTGATGTTCTTGTGTATAATGAGCTGTACTTATCCATAAGGCCGTTGAGGCATGTCGGGACCACACCTTGGAAAAGTGCTTATAAAGGCACACTCTGGCGCTACAAATTGTCTCCCTTCGAAGTTCCACATGAATACTTTGTCAACATGGTTTGGTTTTTGATGATCGGTTTTTTACACCTCCTCGCATTCCAAACTGATTGCTTTCCAACCAAACTAACAGCCTCATCCGGGTGGCCTACAACTCACATGGAAAATTGTAGACCCAATGAGATTGATCAAACACCCACACTGACACCATCAACGGAAGACTTGTCTCATCAATTTTCAAACACCCCTTCCAGTAGTACCATTGTAGATATCTTGAGTGAACGCCCTCAGATTCATATAGATCTAAACACTGAACCAGAATGGACTGAAGAGTTACTTTCTGATAAAGATAAAGATGTGTCGGCAAGTAGAAAGAGGAAGAACATCTTTGAGAAAAAATCAAAGAGCTCAAGCTCTTCAAGAAAATCAAATGCAATATCTGATTTTTCATCAAAGCAGAATAAACTTCAAATTGACTTGAACAGCTTTCCACCAGAGATAACTGAAGAGGTTATCTCAGAAAATTCACCACAAAGGACTCCATCAAGCGCAGGTGTGTGTGTCATATCCACAAATGAATGTGAGCCTTGCATGCACATAGTTCTCACTACTGACAGGCACATTCTTTGGTAGTTGTGATCTTACCATCTCGTGAAAATCAGTGGTCAGAAGCTTCCACTTCAAATGTTGATAGGCTATACACCAACAGTCCAGAAAACCAATGTATGATTCAAGGCATAGACCCAATGAATGAAGATTCTTCACCTAAAAATGTTGCTTCCATCACGCCACTCCCAAATATCAGTGCAAGAAAGGAACAAGAGAAACCCAATCTGGAGCGGTTCAATAGCAACAATAGTTTGTTTACAGAAAGTGAAAGGTGTTCCACTTCAAATTCCAAACATAAAGATAGTCAATGGACCACTCAATCTCTAAGCCAAGACACACATTCAGGTACTCCCAAATCTCTTCCACCACCACAAAACCTACATGGACCCCACACAGAATTCTCAGATGTAGTGGTTTCAAATACAAATATGAAAGTCTCTCCAAGCAGCCATTCTCAGAGAAAAGTTTCCAGAGCACATCCTTCTGATATTTACACAGATGTAGCATACTTTCACCTTGATAATTCACCTATTTTAGCCCAAATTAATTCTTGGTTCCATGACTTCAAGACAGAGATGTACCACAAAAATAAGAGTTCAAAAGAGGTTCAGTTACACATTGATTATCTTATCAAGAGGACTCAAGAAGGTTTAACCATTGGTTTTTTAGGATGTCTGTATATCTTTGAGCACCAAAAAGCTCATTGGAAAGATCTCTCAGCACTCTTTGAAGATGGTTGGGAATTCTTGAAAAGTTTATTTGGACAATGGAAAGAGATCAATTTTGAAGATCTTGAAAAGATGAACTTTAATGATTCCTTTGATTCAAGTTATTGGTCAACTAACCCTTGGAAAAATGCAAAATATTTTTTGGATATGGACGTAAGACAAAAAATCCCAATGTCAATGTACATTGATCTTCATGAGTTATGGTCCCGTAGGGGTTCAAATCCAATGGAAATGAAGGATATCCAAGCCATGCACAGAGACTTCTTCAAAGTGGTAAAGGAGATGGATCCAGAGATTTTACAAAACAAGTTTCACAAGCTTGCCTGTGTGAATAGTCAAGAATTCAAATCATATTTACAGGGAATCAACACTGATGACACTCAAGCTGCAGCTATAAAAGACAAACCAAAGGTAATCCGGTTATCTGATACACTCAAGATCACAGGAAGAAAACATGCATCAGAAAGGCTTAGTACAGAGATACATGTGTACTTCAAAAACATGCATTCTGAGGTCACAGATGCTTATTACACACATCTTGTTGGATCACTGTATGCTGATGGTATGAAGGCTTCATCAACTCATGCTCAGGGAACTATCCAATCAGATGAACAACTTCTTAAAGATTGCAAAAAGGCAATAAACCAAGCACACTCACAAGTGACCTTTGGATTCTTGGGAAGCCTGTTCAAGATATATCAGCACATGCTAAATGGTACAGAGATGGAAGAAGTATTTCAAAACGGGTGGAAGTTCCTTGTAGGACAATTTAACACATGGTCAAAGGATATTGTAAAGATTCTCCAGATCAACAAACAACAAAACTTTTTACAAATCAGACCCATCAGAACAAACAGTATGAGAAACTCTTTGGATATCTTTCAATATCTTGTAACACATCAAACCCCTTATGTTCCAGTGAATTGTGTACACGCACTCTTGAATTGGTGGATCAGTGATCTTGCTCATCAAGAAGAGAAGATGGGAAGAAAAATGAACTTTAGAATTCCTGATCTGATTAAACAGACTCTTGGAAGTGCTTTAAAGAATCCAAGAAGAATGTTTCAGAAAAGGTATGCAATGTAGAGAAAGAAAGGAGCAAAAGCATCAGTAAAGGTATGTTTTTGTTATCACCTTCAATTCTATATGAGGTGGAATCTCTACTTTGTCATGTCAATTCAAAGAGGCTAGGAAAATTTTTCAAAAATGGGCATCTTGCTGTCCAAAAGTTATGATAAGGGTGTATCATTTAATTGATAGAGGGGTTATGCAAAGAAAATATGTTTAAAATTACAGAAGATCCTTTTGAATTATCTTAATGTGAAGTTCTTTGAAATTTATCATTTATTTTTAATTCTAGAATGAGTTGAACTCTCCTACACATACTGTATGATATCAATATGAAAGAATTTAGGAAAAAAACATCTTTCTGCCCAACAATTATGATAATGGGGTATTCTTTAATTGATAGAAGGTTTATTCAAAGAAACTATGTTTGAAACTACAGAAGATCCTTTCAAATTATCTTAATGTGAAGTTCTTTAAAGTTGACTCTCTTACACATACTTAATGATGAAAAATTGAAAAGAATCTAGGAAAAGTTTTCCAAAATGGCCATCTTTCTGTCCAAAAGTTATGATAATGGTGTATTCATTAATTGACGGAGGGTTTATTCAAAGAAACTATGTTTGAAATTACAGAAGATCCTCTTGAATTATCTTAATGTGAAGTTCTTTGAATTTGACTCTCTTACACAGAATCTATGATGAAAATTTGAAAGAATCCAGAAAAAGGTTTGCAAAATGGACATCTTTCTGTCCAAAACTTATGATAATGGTGTATTCTTTAATTGATAGAAGGTTTATACAAAGAAAATATGTTTGAAATTACAGAAACTCCTTTTATATTATCTTGATGTAAAGTTCTTTGAAGTCTTTTCTTCACCTCAAATTTCCATAAAACATAGCAGCTAGTGAAGAGGAAGCCCATATCCGTGTCTTGTCTGCCATGTGAGCCTATGTAGGTGTAGAGCTATCCTTTTTTATAATGCAGCAAAGGTTGAGTATTTAATGTTGAGGGGTCTGGATCTCAAACACTTGACTGCTGTTAGGTTATCTTTCTACTGAGCAATCATAGTCACTTTGCATTTGATATCTTCATCTCAAAAACTGCTGTGTGTATGACTCTTTTGGGCAAAGGCCCTTTAAATGCGTGGATCATGTTGCACAAAATATCTAAATTCAATACCCCATCAGAGCTCATAACCAATGCTAAATGATATAAACCATAATGGGTCTGAATGTATGTACCCTACTCTAGCTCTACAAATTTCGCATCTACTCCTAAAGATGTTTCCAATGTTATCTATGTTACACTGAACATTCATCTTTAAATGTTATCTAATCTGAACTGAATGAACATCCAATAGATCTGTCGTTTCACACCTCTTTACATACCTACATACAATTCTTCCTCAAGTTTCAAAACTGTGGGGATATCCAGTCTAAGTTCAATGAATGATTTAATGAGATATGAAAGCTTGGGAAAAGTTTCAGTTTCAGTTTCAGATCAGATGATTAGAATTCTATGAAGTCCAGCTCAGAAGATTGATGTGTAGCATGAGTGCTTGGATCCCGAGTGGATTGGATTGAAATGATGGATGAATCGATCTGATTTCAAAGTTGATATTCAGGGGGTAAAGCTGCGTGGATGAATGAGTGTTACATGCATCGATCGGATGACTGCTTAAGTACATATGTATGGTGGTGGTGGTGGTGGTGGTGGTGGGGCTGTGTTTGTTTGTGTGAAGTTTTTTCAACGAGACTCTCACTCACAAGCTTGAGCTTGAGATTTAAATAGGAGGCAGTGTTAAGACTTTATTAAATTTTTAAATTTTTGGGTGTTAGGTTTCAATCAGATTGAAATCCAAATGGGGTAATTTATTTACAATTTATTTTTTTCTGTATAAGCATATTCTGTGTTGTATGACAAAGTAATTTAGTTTAGAGTATTTTAGTTTTTTTTATCAATCAGCATCATCATTTCGGTATTTTCAACTTTCAACTGGTCGATCCCATTCTTCTCATTCCACCACTTACCATTCACCACACTACCACACTACCACACTACCACCATCACATCCCATCCCATCTCATCTCATCACTAAACTTTTAATCAATTCACTTTCAAATCAAATTCAACTTTCAAAAACAATCATCAAACACTTTCACTAAACCAACTAAACTACTTCTATATATTGATTTGATTGATTAATGATATAAACAAATCTTTCAATATCGGAATTTGACTTTTTAATTTTCTTCAAATCTCTTTTTCTTTTTCTCCAATTCAAATGGTTCTAAACTTTTTCTTGATCAAGAATTTCAAACAATAAAATCAAAACATCAAACAAACTCAAATCAAATCAAATACAAGTTTAATCAATTTGTTATTCTTTGTCTTTCTTATTTTTTTTCTACTGAATCAAATCAATTCTTTTCTCTTTTTTTGCCTTTGATTTGGTTTTTCCTTTTCCATTTTGTTTGTGTACTCTTCAAATCTTCAAATTCTCAAATCTTTTCAAAAATCAAAAATCAAATCAGAAAGCAACAAAGAAAAGAAAAGAAAGCAAATCCAATCGATCCAAACTTGAATTATTTTTGATTTCTTTCCTATCTTTATAAACCAAACTAATCTCAAAATGTCACTCTCCTTATTAGCTTCTCGTTCAATGATTTCAACTGATCGACGTCATATTGATCCAAATCCAGATAGACTACCGATCAATCTGAACACTTCATCAAGTTCTAATCCAAGCAGTAGTACCATCACAACCACTTCTACCAGCACTCCTAAACCTAGTTCAGTTAGTTCTTCACTTTTGTTATTGAGTACTTCGGCAGAAGCAGCTGTACTTGAAAGTCGTAAATTCGAACGTGGTTCAAGACCTTCATCACTTCAACCGATCTTGACTACCAACCCATCATCCAACCAAACCCAAAAACAAACCTCTAGCATTTCTCCTCCTACTCATCAACATCATCAACATCATCATCATCATCATCATCATACGAGTGGTAATACTGTATCTCAACAACAACAAAGGTTACATCATCGGTCCTTAGAAACCTTGACACCTCTGCATCATCATCTGAACAACAAACGGGATCATAAACATGCTCATCTCTTCAAATGTGAAAAGTGTCCAAAGGTGAAGTTTTATTCTTTGGATCTTTTCTCACTTGTTCCCTTTGTGGTATATGCTCAATGATCGAATGGTTCATTTTTGGTTCTGGTTTATTAGGTTTATCGTCATCCTCAATGTCTCGTTAAGCATAGATGGGAACACACCTCGGTATGGTTATTTTTTCGGTTTCTATCATGAGATCTTGATACTGACTTTTTTGTATCGATGGTGTATCAATCTTTGTGTAAAAAGTATTGGGCCGATGCTTCCAAGCTCATGCTTAGTAAACATCAACAAGTCCAAATGTTAGAAGTGAGTTACAAATTTGCAAAACCCGATACGAAGTACCTACGTTTTCCATGCTCATCCATGTTGTTTCTTTGCTTTTTGGGATTTTTTTTGAATTTAAGGCCGCAGCTATTTTAGCTACTCCGTCTGGTAGTTTACCAGAGTCTCGATCACTTTGGCCAGCAGCTGTTTCACCATCTGAAGCTGGTTTATTAGGTTCAGATCAAGTGAATCTAGATGTGATTCAATCCCAAAGCAAATCCTACAAACCAGCCGATCATCAACAACATCGATCAAGTTCGTCACCCTGTTCTTCAGTTCTGACAGCTTCGACTCCGATTGCTATGAAGATCAGTAAAGCAGGATCTGAAGATATTGAGATGGATGAAGAAGAAGATGAAGAAGAAGAGATTGAAACGGGTGATGAAGAGGAAGAAGACGAGATTATGTTTGAGATGTCGATCAATGGAGATGACAGTCAATCATCCACAAGTCAAGCCGAAACTGGATCAGGTTCGAGTGCAGAGAAAGGAAGAGTGATGAAAGAAGTCCAGAACAGTCGTAGTTTACCGATCAGCTTTTCGATCTCTGCACCACCCCCGATGGGATACTTTCAACCTAGACCGACTACACTGACTACCACACTTGTACAGGACGTTCGAAAAGAACCTGTCCAAGCCTTTCTGGCTGGCTTTCCTCATCCTCCTACACCTTCGGTTTGTAGTGTGGGTAGAAGTTATTATCATCCTGAAACGGTCTTTAATCCTCCGCCTTATGCTGATAGTGGATTAAGGTTTCAAGATCAAAGGATCTTGGAAGAGAATGGAAATCAAGTTGTTGAACAAGAAGAAGAAGATGAAGAAGATGAGGATGAAGATGTGGGATTTGGGGTTAGAGAAGTAGGTGGTATGAATGGAAGTGGTGATGAAGTGATTGGTATGGAATTGTAAAGAAGAAGAAAAGTAGAAAAAAAAAAGATGTGTGTATGATTATGTATCATATTTATTAAAGCCATATAGATTTTTATATCGGTTCAAAGTTTAGGTAAAACGGTATTCTCATTCAAAATTAAGAGAAGGTTTTCAAGTCAAGAAGAAGAAAAGGAAAATTTGTTGATTAGATTGAGCAGTTGGTATAGAAGAATAGAAAGAAGGATTAGAGAATGGAAATTCGAATCGATCATTGAATTTTTTTCTTATCACTTATGGTTCAGAGATATGTTTTTTGTTTTTTTTGAATGTTGTTGTTGTTGTTGTTGTTGTGATCTTAAACTATTTCTCTATCTATCTCTCTAAACTGTTGTTGTTGTTGTTGTTGTTGTTATTTCAATGCACACCTCCTACCTGATCACTTCACTTTATCTCATTGTTTTGGTCTTTTTTTGTTGTTTGATTTTGTTGTGATTTTTTTTTTGGTAAATATGAGTCTGCTTGATTGATTATAGATAGATTGAGGAATCAAAATGGGTTTTTGTCTAGATTTTGGTTTGTGTTTGAGAGTATAATACTTGAGAGGTTTGGAAGTGGTGAAGAGCAAATCCGGCCATGAGTGGACAAAGTTGAAGTGGGAGTGGTAATCAAGTGGAGTTTTGTGTAGTGGTTTGTTTGCCTTTAATATCATCAACTATAAAATGTTTGGTTTGGTTGGTTGGTTCTGGTTTATTGATAAAAACCTTGTAAGGAGAGAAGTTTACCAACTTAAAAACTATCATCTTCAGTAGTTTACCAGGTTGTATCAAACCAGACCAAACTCTACCAAAATGGGATCTTTCTTAGTACTACTATTCCATTATATGTTGGACCTCGAGAAAAGATAAAAAAAGTTACAACTTGTGTTTTTAACTGGATTTAACACAGCAAACACGGTGTTTTTTTGTTTTCAGTGGTGAAATTCAAGGTTTAAACTTCTACAAGGTGTACCAAAAAACTTTCTTATTTTTCTCAATGTCCAACATATTTATAATGGAATAGCTGTACTTGGTTCTTTTTGATTAAAAGAACCAAATCAATTCAAAACTTCCCAAGATTTAAAAGAAAAAGTCAAAAAAAATGTATGTTATTTTATTTACAACTACACAAAATTTACAAGAAAGATCAAAACAAATTACAAAAGTTTTAATGATTTATTTTTGTACATAGTAGAATGATGAAGGAAAAAAAAAGATAGATTTCTTATAAGAGAAAGGAGAGAGAGAGAGATTAAATTAAATGATCATGGCTAAGAAGATTGTACAAGCTAAACCTCCTGCTAGACCTGAAAAGATACCGATTGAAAGTGCACTTGATTGACGTTCTTTTTTATCTTTTTCCTAATTACAATGTGAAAAAGATGAATATTAACACAAAGGGATTGATGGTTTTAACACAAAGGGATTGATGGTTTTGTTAGATTTTATTGAGAGTTCATTAAGGAAAGAAAATGGATGAATTGCTTACTTCTTTGGATTTGTTTGGGTCTTGAATTAGTTTAAGATTTTTGTCATTAAGTTTTTTGATCAAGAGCAGATTGATTCATTTAAGCCATATCAGTGAGTCATATTTAAACCATCAGATTTGGATCAAGACAAGTAGATTAACTCACCATTTTCTTTTCTAATAGTTTGTCCACTATTATTATCTTCTGGACTAAGCTTTACATCCTTACTGCCAGATTCTAAAAGATGAATTGATTTTATGAAGAGAACAAGTCAAATAAGTGAGAAGATTGAAATATAAAGTTTACAAATTTACTTACTCTCTTCTGGGCCTGATGTTTTTGATGGTTTCTTTTGAGGTGTCAAGTAACCAGATCCCCCCATGGGTATATCTCCACTATAAAATGTTGTATCATCACTTGTGATTGATGGTGTATTACCACTTGATATGGGTGGTGTATTACCACTTGATATTGATGGCGTATTACCACTTGATATAGATGGTGTATCACCACTTGATATTGATGGTATCTCGCCACTTGATACTGATGGTATCTCTCCACTTGATATCCTTGGAGTGGCTTCCTTAGACTTTGATGGCATCTTTGTGCTCTTTGAACCTTTCAAAGTGCCTCCTGGGAGATTATCTACATCTTCCAAATTTCCACAAGATTTACAAGGCAGTCCAGTTTTTTTGCTATCATTTTCAATTGCCCCACTGCTAGCGGCTGGTGTGAGATTGCCAAGTTTGGTGCGGGTTGGATTTGCCCCACTTTTCGAAACACCTGAAGTATCTTTACCAGTGTTGGGATATTGTTCTATCACTACACCAGATTCTGGTGATAAATTGGTAGGTTCCTTTGCTATGAAAAAGTTGACTTCGAACGTTGGAGATTGTGGTGTTGTACTGGTATCTGATGGATCATTTTCAAAAGTCTCCAGAGTTTGCGAAGCGGTCTCTACCACTGTTTCACTCGCCAGATTGTGTGGAAACGTATTCATCACTGCATCGGACTCTGGGGCTAAAGTCTCAGAAGAGTCTGATTCTGATGTCGTTGAGTCCTTTGATGTGCTTGATGGAATCTCGGGTGATGATGATGTTTGGATTTCCCAGGATTCGTAATATTCTTCTGATGGATCTACAGCTGATATGCTCGATCCTGCAAATGTTGCATCCATATCCACGGGTAATGCAGAATCTTGGCCTTCAGAAAGACTATCAGCTGAGGATGCTATCTCAGAGTCTTGCGATAAATCTTGAGCCGGTGCGTCAGACTGACCAGACGTCAAGATGAGATTGGTATCTTGTGTCGCCTCCTGCTGATCAGGGACTGTTGTTTCATCTTTTGCTACCACATTTTCATCCAGCGTGTTTGGTGTCTCTGTTGGGTCATCCTGAGAATTGTCTCTTTTTTGTAGCACGTTAGAGAATTTATGCGGTAAGTTGGCATTGTTCTGATTATTTTGATGGTTATATTTGCGAGATGAAATGGGACTATGATATATCCAGACCGGCAATCGCCGATTTGAGATCCCCAAGAAGTTCGAAATAAAGACTCTTTGAAGAGCTTTTTGATTCTGCTTGGGTACCAGCCCAGAAATCAAGTCCAAATGTGGTTCTGTAGATTGACTACTTTCTTCAATTGGATTTGAGTAAAATTGATCTGATGAGGTTATTTTCAGTATAGGTTTCTCAGAGGTATTGATGATTAAAGCTGAAGTGTGCATTCGGATCGTAAGAATGAAAATGAGCAACAAGAAAGGCAAAGGGCTATTGGTCATTACGAAGCTTGGAGGCAATCAGACTGAATGAGGGTGGTGTATGGTATGCAAAGCTGGTAAACAAGATTGCGAAGGTTCCACTTGTGTTGAAGCCTGTCATCGAATGTAGAGACAGCGTCATCTGCATCAGTAACATTATTTCACCGTACGAGGCCTTCATAGAATAGTTGTTAGCTTCTTTGATGTAAACTACTGGAATGCACTTACTGGGGCATGTGCGAGAATCAACACTCGGCATCAAGTCCGCGTATGCACACCCGGGGACTTGGCCAGAATAGAGACGACAATACTTGGAGAATTGGCGAGGTAGTTTGATAAGGCTCTGTGAGCAATTGTATTGTGAAGGTTTGTTTCCCTTGATCACATCACACGGATCTGGCGGACCTATGTACGGCTGCGTCCAAAAATGCCAATCGGCGTTTGATGCTGAGGCGCAAGGTTGATGTGGGTAAAGAGAAATTACAAAGAATGGCAAATAGGGATGCCTTGTTGAGAGTCTCAAAGTGGACAGATTGAGATATTTCCTCTTCACTCAAAATCATACTGTTCTCGACAACGCCCACAATCAGTTTGATAGAGGTCGGCTTCGACAGCTCTGGAAGTCAAAATCCTTTGGTAACTGGCGATCGAAAGACTCCTAAAGCATGTCAATTTTCCCGCTCGTGATGCCAACAGAAACGTGCTTCAATTTGATCAGTTTCTCGGCATCTGTTGACGCACATTATATTGAGCAACCTACCATTTTCCATTGTTTGTAAAATTTCCAAGCGAGATTTTGTACGTGTCAAGGGTAGCAGCTCATTAGTAGCCCTCTAGGACATCTGTGGTCAGCTGTTTACTTTGAAAATATCATTCAAAACACGACCAGAGGTGATGTGGTGCCTTGAATTTGTACCTGTTGCCCTTGGGTGGATGTTCATTCAGGGATGTTGTTAAATAACTGGCGCGTGTTTTTCCAAAGTTCGCGCTATTTTCTCTGTTCATCCTCAAATCGTTGATTCCTCATCTTTTCCAGCAACTCACTTGCCACAACTATCTGTAACTCTTTGTCTCAAAATATATATCAATCTCACATCACGAACAATCAAACCTTCAAGATGGAAATCATCAAGCACCTGTCTACGATGCTTCTTTTCACTCTCCTCCGGTCAATGCTTTGCAATGCCAATGTTTATGTTACCCAGCCAACCACCCAAACTCAGTGGGTAGCCGGCACATCAGTCAAAATCGCTTGGGAGGACGATGGCCATAATCCTCTTCTCAAGGCTAAGGGGCATTCAGTTACAATCTCCTTATTTCCTTCCAACAAAGGACTATACCCGAAACCTTTGGCCGTGTGGAAGAACGTCGATACGCGCTCACAACTTCTTGAAGTGCGTGACTTGTCGAAACTTTTGTGTTATGCAAAGATTGATCATCCCTTACTTTGACGCAATCTTAGGTACACATAAAACCAAGCTTAGGTTCAGAACTCCCAAATACCTTCTTTCTGCAGTTCAGACGACCGCGATCACACATCACGGATGATGTATACAGCGCCAGGTAAGAAGCCCGGGCTAGTAAGTTAGTCTTTATAGCTACTGACTTTATTCCGTGTAGGTTTTCAATATTACCTGCAGAACACAACTCACAGGAAGAAGCCTCAAACTCTGCTCACCCTTCTGTACCCAAAGATGGGGAGAGGATACAGTCCAGTACGTTATTTAGCGGTAAGATGCTTCTTTGTAAGATTACTAACCGCAAGTTCTCTCTGCAGGCAATGACTCAACAGCTACATCAATAAACCCGAATTTCGGTCCACATACTGATGCTCCAATGTAAGTGAATCTCATATCTCTAGCCATCCATTTCGAAGCACCTTGAAACTGAACTTGAAAACTATAGTTCATCGGACAGACCAATCCATCTTCAAAATGAAGCCAGCGGTCACAAATCTTTTCTTGTTTCAATCACAACTTCAAGTTTGATCACAATCCTATCAATGCTTATTGTTATTCTTTAAACTATGACCATCAACTGATGAAATTTTTCTAGAACCTTATAAACTCTTAATTTAATGTCTCTTTTATTATATTTGCATGATCTGTTTTCGAACTGTTTCTTTTGTTATCTTATTGGACCTATTAGTTAGCTTGAATACTCAAAATCAGTTTAATTTTATTTTGCGAAAAATGATAATTTATAAAAACAAGTGTCTTAATCTAACATTACGGAGAGCTCATTTAAATGACTCCTCATCAAATGAAAACAGTCTCTAAGCTCATTTTTTTCCTCAGAAAAAGTCCAATCTTCTTATATCTTTGTGCTCAAAGAACACAACAAATAATATCCTATGGGGGTCATTATATACTCTGTGAAATCTTATCCAACTTTAGAAATTTATGCTTCAATCAGGGGACATCAGACCATCCGGCCAATTTGGTCCAGTGCATTATATTTTGATGGTTGTAAGTCAAAAGTTCTACAGAAAAGAAATGTTAGTGAAATAGAAATTTTCAGAGGCCTTCATATATAATTGACTGATAGTATAACACATTTTCAACCAATACCGCGCTGGATGAGAAGCAAATTAGAATTGTTGAAGGTCCATGTTTTATTCGAAGACTGAAGTGAGATGAATGTGGTAGAGGAGCAGAGCTGTTCATGTGTGCACTGTGTATGCAGTTCCCAGATGTCACAAGTGTGTTTTGTATGTAAAAAGCCAGCCTGAAACGAAAAAACCATCGATCAAGATTCCAAAGATTTCAAGTTTTCTGTTTTCTTTCCTCTGTCCTTCAGTCTTCAATCAATCGATACCTTCAACTTAGACTCATCCATTAATACCTTCATCTGAACTCTGACAGGATGTCAGGTCGTCCTCAACTCCCGAGTATGCAGCCGCAGATCATCTTACTTCGTGAAGGAACCGATACTTCTCAAGGCACACCTCAGCTACTCTCAAACATCAATGCTTGCTTGGCCGTAGCTCAGACAGTTTCTTCAACTCTCGGACCGCGTGGTATGGACAAATTGATCGTTGATGTGAGATATCTTTCTCTATTACACAAAGCACTTGATCACGAGTTCCTCATCATGTTTACAATTCGATCTTTCTCTTCGCAGACCAATGGTAACGCAACCATTTCTAATGATGGTGCGACCATCATGAAACTCCTCGAGGTCGTTCACCCGGCCGCGAAGACCTTGGTCGATATTGCTAGAGCCCAAGATGCTGAGGTTGGAGATGGTACTACCAGTGTAGTCATACTTTGTGCCGAACTTTTACGACAATGCAAATCATTCATCGAGGAAGGTGTCAGCCCTCACGTGATCATGAAAGGTTATCGAAAAGCCTGCTCATTGGTCGGTAAAATGATCTCTTGATCGGTCAAGAAGCTTTGAATGTATGTTGACCCTATACCTTTTTGTATGTCAGGCAGTAAACAAGGTCAAAGAGCTAGCTGTGACGGTCAACAAGACTGACGAGGTCAAGTTTAGAGAACTTCTCATCAAATGTGCTTCGACATCAATGTCATCGAAATTGATCCATCATCACAAACCTTTCTTTTCCAACATGGTTGTTAATGCTGTCATGACCTTGGATCAAGATGATCTCGATGAATCTTTGATCGGTATCAAAAAGATCCCTGGAGGTGGTATGGAAGATAGTATCTTGGTCAAAGGTGTAGCCTTCAAGAAAGCATTCTCTTATGCTGGCTTTGAACAGCAGCCTAAAAGCTTCCAGGCAGCCAAGATTCTGTGTTTAAATGTTGAACTCGAACTCAAAGCTGAACGAGATAATGCTGAAATCAGGATTGAAGCAGTAGAAGTGAGCAAACTCAGTCGTATTCTTGATTTCGCTCCCTGGCCTCAGTGTTGAACATTTTTCATTCGGCTCATAATTTGATCCTCAGGACTACCAACGAATCGTTGATGCTGAATGGGAGATTATCTTCCGAAAATTAGAAAGTGTGGCTGCTACGGGTGCTAAAGTGGTTTTGTCACGACTTCCAATCGGTGACTTGGCAACCCAATTCTTTGCCGATCGTGATATCTTTTGTGCTGGAAGGATCCCAAACGACGACCTGAAACGAGTTGTCCAAGCAGTCGGAGGGTCAATCCAGTCTACTACATCGGATATCAAAGAATCGCATCTTGGATCTTGTGAAAGTTTCGAGGAGAGGCAAATTGGTGCTGAACGTTATAATGTCTTTCAAGGTGGACTGAAGTCAAAGACATGTACGATGATTCTAAGGGGCGGTGCGGAACAGTTCATCTCAGAAGTCGAAAGAAGTCTACACGATGCGATCATGGTTGTCAAGCGTGCCATCAAAAACAACCAGATTGTAGCAGGTGGTGGAGCCTGCGAAGTCAGTCATTTGAACGTTTTAATGCCTTTCACCCATCTTTCTTACCAACTTCTTGACTTTGATGAACGTTTTGATAGATGGAGATTTCCAAGGTCCTACGTGATGAGTCACGTCTGATTCAAGGCAAACAACAGCTCATGTTGGCTGCATTTGCCAAAGCATTGGAGTGTATTCCTCGTCAATTATGTGATAACGCCGGTCTTGACGCAACCGACGTGCTCAACAAATTACGAATGTTACATGCACGGAATCAGGTATGGATGGGAGTGAACCTGGAAGTAGACGCTGATCTTGGAATTGCCGATAACTACGAGAAGTTTGTATGGGAACCGGCTTTAGTGAAGACAAATGCTTTAGAAGGTGCAACTGAGGCTGCATGCATGATATTGAGGTTCGTCACCTACTCTCGTACCACATCTATATCACCTTTGAAGATGTTGACGATTCTCATCTCTTGGTTTGAACAGTGTTGATGCCACAGTCCGAAACCCTCAGTCTGAAAAACAGAGTGCTGGACCACAGATGCCGAGAGGTGCAGCTCGAGGGGCTGTACGTGGACGAGGAAGAGGACGGTAATGGTTGTGAAGAAAAGTAGATACCTTAGTAATTTTTAGTCTGTGCAAAACAGATTGCGCAATTCAAATTTATGACCAGACTTTGTGTCACAAAACCAACTGTTGGCATGATATTGTTTTCCGTTTTATCGATTCTTACAGGACACTGCCTCCCAAAAAGTCAATGCAGAAAAGACTGCTGCTTAAATCACAGAGTTGATTGTAACATCAACTGAAAAGCATCGATTGACCCATGTCTTGGGCAGTCAGATAGAGTCAATCTCCTAGGGACACCTTGAGTTTTTGACTTTCAGGCATGTTGCTTGATCGTGCTGAATTTAAGTCTGAAAAATGAGTCAAGAACCAAAGCATCAGACATTCAAACATCATATTCACCAAATCTTTCTTGTTACTTTCACAGCCCTGGGAAGCCTACGTCCTCCTCTGTATCGTTCGATTATCTCTAGTGATAAGTTTCAAGTAATAGAATATCAGCCGGAAGGGTTGCCAGTGACGAGTGGATCACATGTTCCACGCTCATAAGTCAGCCAGCTTTTGACTTCGCTTCGAATCGTCTTACTCAAGGTGGGACGACTCGCATCTGTGGTGCTGTAACAATATACGTCGTGAGCACCCTGAGCACTTGCAAGGATGATATAATTCAGGGCGATTACGAGCTGAAGTTGCTTTTCCCAAACATGGCTCAAGCGTATCGCAAGCATATGATGCGATCACTCGGAACGAGCCTTTACCTATTGTCTCGTCGGGCTCTCATTCCTGATTGATTTTGTTTGGTGGCTTCGAGTGAAATTCGTTTATAAACCTTGATACGCACCGTCACACGACTTCAAGTCATCATGGTGCATACTCCCCTCTTGACTCATCGCCTGAAGCTACTTATCACAAGCTCTATGATTAACAGCGGCATGCTTTTCCTTCATATCGCGTACTTCGTACATCCCCAGGCCAGCCTGATGAAAATGTTTACGCAATCCTGTCTTGTTGACCGTACTGTGATCATTCAATCTCCATCATCGTTTTTCTACCGAAGAAAAGCTCACGATCTTCAAGACATGCTTCTGAGTATAAAAGTCCCCTTCGCATGAGTGCTTGAGTCGAATTTCAAACATAAAACTCAACGTATCAAATAATCATCGCAACACCACATTATGTATTCAACAAACGCATGGCGAGTTTATTTACATTTCTGTCTTCTTTCTACCCTGTGCAACTTCTATGAGTGCAGTCAAGCCATATCAAAACTTTTCGAGCTTCCTACAAATTGTTCGCAGAGAGTTTATCCCGAAGAAGACCAAGCTGGTCCAACGCCCTTGTCAGCCTGGATGGCGGCGTATCGGGAAGCCAAAGACAAAGGATTGATTCCAGACCTCGGACCCTCAGTGATGTCGAACCAAGAACTTTCGTATGCAGATTATTCGACTGAAGAACTTAACAGTCCTGAGAAGGTTTGTAGTTGGACTATCTCGAAGTGTGTGGTGGATGAGGAGTGAGTCAACTTTCCTACACTTTCACCACACCGATCTGTGTGATTAATTTAGCTCATGGCCTGTACGTGACCTCACCTTTCAGTATCGTAGCAGCACCCAAAGGGATGATGGGAATCTCTTTTGATGACGGCCCTGCTCCGGCCACTACCCTTCTGTTACCTTTTTTGCTAAAACATAAACAGAAAGCAACCCATTTTATGATCGGCTCACGAATCTTGGATAACCCTGAAGTTCTCAAACAAGCAGCCAAAGTAAACCGTGATCATATCGCAGTGCATACCTGGTCGCGTAAGTCTCCTTTCTTCTTATCGCCCCCATCTTCCTCTCGAACTTTGATGTCTTCTATTTGTGATCTGTCTTTTATCACTTTGGATCTGATTCATTCTTTCTGCATACTCTTCATCAGATCCATGTAAGCTCAAATATATAATTCATATTGAAACTAATGAGGAGTAGCCTGAGTATCATGATGCTTACCAAAATAAAATGAACACTTTTGATGAAGATATGACTAGCTTGACAGACGAACAGATTCTGGGTGAAATAGGATGGACCATGCAAATCATCCGAGACAAAGTCGGATTGATTCCCGCATTTTGGAGACCGCCATATGGTAAAGAACTTTTGTTTATAAAAGAAATAAAAAATACATACTGAAGCCTGATCCGTGCTCATATTTGTGAATCAAAAAGGAGATATTGATAACAGAGTCCGTGCCATTGCAAGTCACGTCTTCAACTTGACCACAGTGATCTGGTCAGATGTAAGGAAGTTCAACTGACTAGACCTTATAGATATCCGGAAATATTGATGATCGAAAACCTGTCCGGAATTTAGGATGTTAACGACTGGTGCTTAACCGATAAATCGTACCCTCATTCCGAATGTGGACGTGGATCGGGACCTCAAAATTCACATGATTTGTTAAGCGATTTAGACCGGATTACCAACCATACAGAGAGACCTCAAGAACGCGATTCAGGTATTATCATCTTAGAACACGAAGCTGATGAAAGACCCATAGAAGCTTTCATGCAAAAGTATCCAAGCTATAAACAAATTGGATGGGACCCAAGACCGATTCCAGATTTGTTTGGGTATGTCAAATGTCTTGATCTTTTTTCTTGTGATATCTTAGTTGAGCTTATGAGTTTAACCTTTTTCACCATCTTAACACACATATCTGATTTCAAAGCTCGCGATGGTACCAAAATCCACACCACTTCACACATCATCATCATACGAATTCTTCCTCACTTCATCCCAAAATCCCTAGTAAAAGTCAATATCCCGATCAAACTCAAACGCCTTCTTCCCCACTTTACTCCCAAACCATTGATAAGAGTCATATTTCAAATCATACTCGTTCTCCTTACATACCATTGCCATATATGAATTTTTCACCAATTGTAACCATAAGTAAACCTATGTTGATGTTTAGTCTGTATGCTATTATCAAACTTTTAATGATCATGTAGAAATCAAACTCATGAATGATTAAATACATGCCATTATAAATAATTCCATATCATTTTACATATCTTCTCAAGAGATTTTCACCTCTTGGCCATGCTTTTAGTATGACCAGTATGGTGCACTCAATTTTACGTTAGATCTTAATTGTTTGACCAATTTTGAATAGAATAACTTTGGTCAGGAATCTTTGGAGGGGGGCACGGTAACTCCTAAAGTAGTTGGCTTTTTAATTGTGAAAAATGTCTCGCATTCGCTTTGTCAGTTATCTCTCATGCCGTATTTGTTTCCTCGAGTTCCAAGTTGAAAATCTGCCAAAGACATCATATATCGCAGTGATGAAGAAGCCTACCTTGGACTATATGGGGATCTTTTTGTCATAGACGTTTTATGGTTAGTCTAAATACGCGAATTGTCTCGTATATTCAAGTTATCAAAATTTTGACTAAAGAGCTCTTGCACGTTGCATTCAAATAAACCCCAAAAAATAAGTAAAAAATAAGCTTAGATAAAAAGTGATTTGATCATAATTCAAACATATAAATTGTAACCTGTTCCAGTAACGTAGATGATATGTCACAAATTGTCTGTCTGTTCTCTCACTACACTAACAGCATGTTTTTAACAAATCATTCATGTTCACGAGGCTCCCCAGGAAATGGGAGTGGTGAAGATAATGGACAAGCCAAAGTTCTAGGAGCTTCTGGAAAATTGAATCCTTTGATTGATATAGGATTTTCATCAATGTCACCTTTCTCTATTGGTGAGTCTGATTTTTGGGACTTGATCGGAGCCGAGTCTCCACTTTGTGGTGTACTTGTACTAGGTCCAAGGAACATACTTTCTTTGACTGCTCTCTGACATGGAGACATAATTTGTTGTGTTGAACCCGATGTACTGTCTATGTTTGATTCCATGGTCATTCTTTTTAAAACAATTGGTGAAGCTGGTTGAAGAACAGCTGGTATCACAGGTCTTTGTGTTCGGGTTTGAAAGCCTGAGTCATGAGATTCTCCAGGAATCTGAAGTCTTGAAATTATTGGTCTTTGAGACTGAGTGTGCGTGGGAAGAGGTGGTGGTGTTATATTAATAGGTAGATGAGGAACTGATATAGAGTGATTCATAGGCATCGGTGCATGTTCGGTACTTGAAGCAATCCCATATTCGTATATCGGACTTGGCAGTTCAACAGGATAAGATGGAGACTGTCGGCCAAGTCTCGAAGGAACAAAATTCCCTCTGTGTGGATTTGGATGATGAGATGCTTGACCGTGATTGTTCCTAGCCACCGAATTCTCTGATAAAGAAGAAGCAGATCGGTTTCGCGATGGTGAACCCGCAAAGGATCGAAGGTTATCTGTTCTTGCAGAACTGGGATCCAAGAATGTTCCTGGGTAATTCTGCTGGCTTTGATGATATTGGGAATGCGAATTGAAAGCTGAAAAGCTTGCACGTGTGTAATGACCAGGTGTGCCAGGAAATGGAGCATTAGAGGTGGGGGGCTTAGATGTAGGTGAAGGTGTAAAGTTATAAACTGTCTCGTGATAATTCGGATCAAATGTTTGTACTTGAGCTTGTCTTGGAATCAAATCTGGTGGTAATGGATTTTCTTGAGACCATGTTGTCTGTTGTCCAAAGGAAGGTCGACTTGATTTTTCTGAGTTTCCTCGAACACGATTAGGAGTGTGAACATGATTTTCAAAAGTTCCAATCCGATATGGAACCACAACCCGTCTTTCATAACCTTGTGTCAAATGATTTTGATGATCCAAGGCCGATGTCGGTTTGAGCTCTCTAAAGGCGGAGCGCTCGGTATCATGCTTTCGCCTTTCATCGTCGATAGGAAAGACTGGCCTATGTTCTGTAGGAGTGGCGCTCGTCACCATTTCATTTATCAATACGCTCTGACGCTTTCTACTTTTTCGGTAGCTCCAAAAGGCATAAACTAGAACCAAGATGCCCAATGCCAATAAGCCACATAATCCCCCAATGATTTCAGGAAGATGGCCATCAGTAAGTCTACCAGTTTGTTGAGTTCCCGAGTCGCTAGTCTCAGGTGGGTCCGAAGTAGGAGGATGACTGGGTGAATCATCAGGAGTATCCACAGGATGTGAATGATTGGTAGCAGTGACTGGCGAATCCCCCGAGTGAGCTGGAACTGCGGCTGGAGTTGCAGCTGGAGTTGCGGCTGGAGTTGAGGCTGGAGTTGCGGCTGGAGTTGAGGCTGGAGTTGAGGCTGGAGTTGCGGCTGGAGGAGCATGGGCTGGAGTCGCGGCTGGAGTTGCCACATCTGCTGTGTCTCGAGGCTCCGGCGGCGTAACAGGGATGGTCCGGCTAGTGTTCATGCGCGACCTGTTGGAAACATGACCTCATAAGTCTGACTCTTTTCACAAAGCGATATCCAGTGTTCGGTTTAGAAATCACTCACAATAAAGAACCTAGATCTGGTAGCTTTGATTCTGCCATGCTGAGCAAATGTGAAGGGGTTCAAAGAACGAAACACAGTTTAAAGGCAAAGAAAAAGAGCTGAAGAGCATCTAGTTATGTGGAGCTCCAAGGCTCATTGCAAAATACTTTAGATATTTCAAGTCTATTTCGGTGGTACATAACTGATAGAGTAAAAGAAACACTTCAAGGTCCAACCCTTCGCAGTATCCATGAATTGATAAGACAAGTCGTATCTTGCTTGGTACCATACCAAACCTGTCGTCGGTTTTCATCATACTTGATAGGCCTTTCTCCTTCAATTTTCAATGTTCTCTTTCACTTGTACGGCTATTCAGGAGATAGACTGGTCACTGGTCAACGTTTGAAAAACATATCATACAGATTTCTTCACGTCCGCTCTATGTATATAGCTTCTTTCTTTTACGTATGAAACCAAGCACAATTTTTCTTCACTCGCTTGCACCGGTCCTCGCTTGGTATTGATTTCTCGTTGTTTTAACTTGACTTTTTGGGAAGTAGTGTGTGTACACTTCCGTCCAAACTTTGAGCGGGAGTTATGTATCCAGAACCGACTAACAGCGAAGCTCACAAGTTCATAGGTCTGTGAAACGTGATTGAAGTATGTATGCTCACCAAATCCATCCACTGATGTCCCTTGAGGTGAGCTGACAATTATGCGGCTGTCAACACAGGCTGATGCCGCCCATCATGGCTTCGGCCTTCTCGAGTCGAATTATCAAAACTTGCTACGATAGTTTGTCTTACTCTTAGCGTGCGAGTAGGTGCGAGTAAACAAGCAGAGGCGGAAATTAGCTATGATGCCAAGCACTGTTCTTAAAATCAAAGAGATGCATATTTAGGGCGTTAGGAGTGAAGCTAGTTCCAATATGCATCTCATGAATAAAGATTTATGTAAAACTTCATGGACAATCTTGTGCCCTTTCTTTTGACTTCTCATGTAAATTCTGTAAAGCGCTTGCTTATGATTGTGCGCAATTGAGAAGTGAAATAAGACAATCTCCATCGCTCTCCGAATGATCTCTACTCAAGAAAACTTGAGTACATCTTATTCACGTTTGTGATGATTGGGGTACACAGCATGCTGGAGGCATGCAGTCTCAGGTTAGTTCAGTGGGATTAAATTCAATCTCTTCCGTCCTTAGCCAGTCATCTTTTTTCGGACGAACGCCATCTGGATTCCACAGATACCAGGTATCATTCTATACAAACCTCAAGCAAGACTTGTGGATAAAAACCCACATTCGAAGCGCCATCACTTTTTACTGACATGAGGCTGCGTAGCTTGTTGCTCCTGAAGCAGACTAGCCTTTTGTGGATGTTCGATAACAAACATCTGAAGCTATTGAACATTAGATATAATATCAGTTTTGTCTTTTCCACTGGATACTTGAGAGGAGAAACAAACCTGGATCATCCCTAAACCCTCACTTTTGAATGGTATTAATCTCTTTTTAGGTTCACGTGTCAAAGTAGTTCGAGATGATGAGGCAAAATCTTGTATTTTGATTGACTTTTGTACTTGTGCCTTCAAAGCTATTGGATCACTTGCTGGAACCCATTGTGGTGGTAAATCCTGAGCAAACAAAAGACAATGAATTAGGTGACAGTAAACATTGGAGATCTTGTTCAGAGTACTTACGGATTTTTTAGTTGATTCTGAAACTGGTTCTTTGGTTGGATCATTCAATTCTAGAAATGTGGTCCACGTCAACTCTGTGTGTTATGATAATTTGAATAAATGAACACGAATTGGAGTATCAGTAAACTTGAGAATAATCTGGACAACAGAGAGACTGGGACAGAGATTGTGCTAACTGAACCTCTTTGGGGAAGCTCAGTGATTTGTTTATTACATTGATTGATCTTCATCAAAAATGCTCTTAGATGAACATGAGCATCAGCCAAAGTCCCAACACCTGTCATCGGTCTTCAAACCAAACGGTTATAATAATGGTATATTAGCATGGGAAAATTGTCAAGTAAGGTGATTGACAAACCTGATATCTCGATCACTTTCATCTTCAAAGTTGGTGATCGGGTCAACTAAATATTGAAAGTCAAATACGAAATGCTCAAGTGGTTCGTATGGAGGGGTTGTTGCATCTTGAATAGCAAGTATCAATTTATTCACGAATCCCTACCACATGAATCGATAATCATCAATAATGAATCAAGATAAATATGATTGCATAGATTTAATCATTGCTAAAAGTATACTGACCTTGGAGATTTCTTCGACTACTTGAGATACCACTCCAGAGATATAAGAGGTCAAGAGTACATGTCGTGATCTGAAGATAGGAACGTCGTATTTCTTGCAGGACTCAAATAAATCTGCATACCCAAGAATAGTTTGTTAGCTTCTTTGGCCCATGACTTTTTGGAGAACAAGTCAATCAGTGCATGTACAGACCTGAAGGATAAACACCTCTGACATATAAGATGTTATGAAAAGCAACTTCGACTTTTTTCGATAAATCGACAGAATCAGGCTCCAGTCAAAGCTGAAGATCAGATGACGTATTTGTTTACTAACGAAACTCAGCGATCACTTTGATAGTCTCTGTGAGAATAATTTACCAACACCAAGATCAGTCATCAGGCTCTTACGACGGAGTTGCAAACGTATGGGAGGTGAAGTCACCGTTAAAGGTCATATTATTGGAGTTCTCCAATGGCTCATCTTCTTCCATCCTGACCGTCCGCTGGTTTATGATGTGTATGTCTGGAGATGCTTGGGTCTTGATTTGTACTTGACACTGAGGCCTTGAATCAGTCAATCGACTGAAAGTGTGATGCGCGATCGACAATGACTCATCGAATCATATCAGTAATAAGCGTCGAAGTCCGGATATGGAAAGGGTCTGATAGGGTCTGAGCTATATGGTTTGTTCTTACGCTCAAGTTCCACACCTCGATCTTGATCAGCTTTTATGATCATCGCCGATTGGCAAGGACTGGTGAAATGAAACGACAAATTGGTAAAATGAAAAGGGACAGGGGGTCTATGGGTTTGACTCATATATAAACCCATACTTTGACTTTATTGGTTGATGTTGATTGGTTGGAACTCAACTTGACATCCTACTTTCACCGAATCGAGCTACTCTTGAATATCATCATCATAACAATGGCAACTGCTCGAGTAGCCCTCAAACCATCATCTCGTTCAATATCTTCAGCCATCAATTTGCCTAATTGTTCATCGTCTCGTCGAACCTTTGCCACTATCTCGCCCGAAGTTCCGGTTCCTCCAGTCAAGACGCATGGTGGATTACGTGATTCAGATCGAATCTTTCAAAATGCTTATATGCGTCATGACCATCTATTGAAGGGTGCTCAGGTAAGCTTTACAGAACTATTATACATCCTTTTCAATTTGACCTCTTAAATCGTTCAACCTCAACTGACCACTGTTTAAACAACACTATCATATGATATCATAGGCTCGCGGAGATTGGCATCGTACAAAAGACATCATTCTCAAAGGTCACGATTACCTCATTAAAGAAATCAAAGACTCAGGTCTCAGAGGTCGTGGTGGTGCAGGTTTTCCATCAGGTCTTAAATGGTCTTTCATGAACAAACCTGGATTTGAAAAAGATCCTAGACCAAGATATTTAGTAGTCAATGCCGATGAAGGAGAACCAGGAACTTGTAAGGATCGAGAGATCATGCGAGGCGATCCTCATAAATTGGTCGAAGGTTGTCTCGTTGCTGGTCGAGCCATGAATGCTTCTGCTGGTACATGTCCTTTGCCTCAACTTGGTGCTTGTCCGCCTAAAATCGGTATACTGACATATATATCTCTCATCCCTATTTGAAACCCTACCTTCACAAAACAGCCTACATTTACATTCGAGGAGAGTTTATCATGGAAGCTGCCCATTTACAAAACGCCATCGAAGAAGCCTACAAAGCCGGTCTAATCGGCAAGAATGCATGTAATTCGGGTTACGACTTTGATGTCTACCTTCATCGAGGTGCAGGTGCCTACATTTGTGGAGAGGAGACAGCTTTGATTGAGTCTTTAGAAGGAAAGCAAGGCAAACCAAGATTGAAACCTCCATTCCCGGCCGATGTCGGTCTATTTGGTTGTCCGACTACGGTTGCGAATGTCGAAACGGTGGCTGTAGCACCTACGATCATCAGGCGAGGCGCTAGTTGGTTCAACAGTTTTGGAAGAGAACGTAACAGCGGTACCAAATTGTTCTGCATCAGTGGACATGTCAACACACCCTGTGTGGTTGAGGAGGAGATGTCTATCCCTCTACGTGATTTGATTGACAAGCACTGTGGTGGAGTTATCGGAGGTTGGGATAACTTACTTGGTATCGTTCCTGGAGGCTCATCTGTACCAGTTTTGACCAAACCCGAATGCGAGGAAGCCTTGTGAGATTTCCTATGGCCTACAAGTTTACACTTGATCCCTTTTCTGACTCTGTACTGATCGTACATCATTTTCAATAGGATGGACTTTGATTCTCTCAAAGACTTACAATCTGGATTAGGCACAGGAGCAGTGATTGTGATGAACAAGTCGACTGATATGATCTCAGCCATTGCCAGGTTTGCCAAGTTTTATAAACACGAATCATGCGGTCAATGTACACCTTGTCGAGAGGGTACGACTTGGATGGAGAAGATCATGGACCGATTAGTGGTTGGTCGAGCACATGAACGTGAATTAGATATGCTCTGGGAGCTTACCCGACAGATTGAAGGACATACCATCTGTGCATTGGTGAGTAATTGCTCTTCAGACTACCTCCTATCTATCAGCTTTAACTTACGCTTGTTTTTTCGAAAGGGTGATGCTGCTGCATGGCCTATACAAGGTTTGTTACGAAAATTTAAGCCTGAAGTCGAAGCCCGAATCCAAGAATTCCGTAGCAAAAACGGACCAGTTCTTTTAGGCGGTAGACTTCAATCTGAGTGAGTTTTTCCCAGTTTAGAATCGAATTGATATGAATTTTTTGACTCGTCCTGATGGTCTAATGATCTTTCGTTCTTATCTTTTCAAGGGTACCTGCAAGTGAAGTGATCCCGGACTCTTTCAGTGCAGGATACGATCGAAAAAATCAACAATCTCTCAATTAGTCAAGTCTCAATGAAGTTTTCTTCGTTGATCGTTTCAAAGGCTTTGCATGCTCATTAGCATGTTTTTAAAACTTCGTAGAGTTTCTAAATTTGTGTGATTTCTATTTCTTTTTGTTTCACAACTTTCGAATTTTGTTATCTATATCTATCTACATTTCAAATTTGCTTACAATATGAGTAAATTGTATCCATTTTTTTGTTCTTTGGGTTGAGTTGAAGACTACATGCCTCGGCTCCAAAATTGAGCTTTTCCTCTTACCTTTACACTAGGAGATCTGGTGAGGATAGCTCCATGGGTGTGTTTGAATCTGTGCTGCTCTGATCATGTCTTCTTCATAATGCCACGAGAGAAGGATGTACATCCCCTTTTTTGAATCCTTGCCATTTACATACATACACAACACCCCGGTGAAAGCCAGCGATCTATTTCGGGAATTAACCGATCAACACCTCACCCGAATTTCTGGCCACCCGACTGGTTTCATTCGTTTTCTTGTGGCAATCATGACGTCATGGACTCATGGTCTTTCTTTCTCGTGACCATCGACATTGATCCTTCTGGTTTGCTTCTCAGCTCTTGTAGTATCCCTTTCTAGTCTGATCAAAATTAAATCATTCTTGTTTCTGTTCAATAATTCCGGTCACTTCATCGCGTAACTCGAAGGAATAATCTCGTGTCGAACGAACCTTCGCAATACTAAAGTTCAGCAGGATTTATCGTTGCAAGACAATCCATAGCCTATCAAAGCTTCCCAGCGCTGCCTTCTCTCAGTCGAGCTTCTTGAAGAGAAGTCTTGATAAGAAATACACACGAGAATCATTGCTGGACGAAGCCTCCGACCTCGTTTTTCTACGAAGCCTCTTCAAGTGACTAGCCCCTCAGCAAAGTATAGCAGGATGTCATCTAGTCTCACAACTCAGCTATGCCTTTGGCGAGAAATTGTCACTGAACTTCACGAGACAAATCACCCAGTAGATCAAAATCCCAATTTCATGGAAAAGCGTTTTGAAGAACTCGACTCCAAAGGGTTTATCTGGTCCAAGGAATCGATCCTCAGTGCCTTTCTTCAACTCCGCTTACCAAAAAGTGTACATGATCATGACAGAGTAATTGAGCCACGCGATATTCAAGTAACTAAAAATTCATCCATTGAAGTCAAAGACATAATTCAGATTGGTAGATTGGAGCTTAAACGTCAACCTATAGGCCTCATGGATCTACCTATCGAGGTCTTTGACAACATACTCAAAGTACTTGATTGCATAGCACAGCTTGAAGACTCTGAGATTTACAAAGAAAGGAAAGAAGGAGAGGTGGTGATCTCTGGTCCAGGCACGCGAGCACCATATGCAACTTACTTGTACCCACACTTGCCAATCTTGAATAGTAAACAGACCTTTTCCGTCACTTCTCGTAAAATGTATCAACTATGTCGACCATGGCTATGGAGAGTAAGTCCTCTTATCAACCTGTTTGTGAAGGAATGTTTTCTAATCACAATTAACCACTCCTACTAAATCCTAGAAACTACAATTTCCTACATCTCTTCCAGCACCGATTGATCTATGGACCAAAGATATCCTCCTCAAACAAGGGAGCTATGTCAAATCACTATCACTCTTCCTTTCTGAAAATTGTAGTGAATCTCCTGGTGAATTTTTCGTGGATCCTTTCTACGATAATCTTAGGCTTGATGTGGACGATTTCGTGAGATTCCTCTCTCCAAGCAATGTAAAAGTCTTGATAGATCAGTGCCCCAATCTTTCTGCGCTGAGTATTGATCAAGGATATCTTGAAGCACCTGAACGCACAGGAAGAGTTGAGGCTTTCACAGTGTCATTTTACTAGTCACTGGCAGGCCAGTGAGCTCCATTCACCTCAATCCTCAGGCCAGTGAGTAGTAAAATGACACTGTTTTATAATAGGCAGTCTAGTTTCACTATTGTCAAACCTCATACAACTTTGGCACTTGACATTAGGCAGTCCATACAGCATGAAATTTATGAATGAAATCTCAAGGAATACTGTTGCAAGTCTACCTTGGATCAAGTCACTCACATTAGGCGGAGGATGTTATGATTACTGAAATCACGTTGCTATGATCAAGATGATCAACCTTTGTCATGGACTGACAAGACGCTGTGTTGCCCTGAGTTTGTGTGTGCTGACTGATTTTGCCCTGAGTTTGTATGTGCTGACCAAACGTTTGATGAAGAATGACATCACTGATATGTTTCACTTCTATGATATAATTGTTGTGAGTCTCGATGAACTTGTTTGCCCTTCTCTCATCAAAACAATTATAGTTGTTACCATCAAGACTCAACGAGCCTCGGGTCGGGTCACCAAAGCCGTTTGCACTGAAATCGCTATGGATGGAAAAGCGATGTTCGCATCCTTATCCTTGAGTTTTTGAAAGTTTGGAAACGGAAATGGAACACTCTTATCAATCTCTAGAGTATTCCAGCCCGAATAGGTCGGCCGATTTTTTTTTACATAGAAATGAATTAGTTCAAAGATTTGCGAGATTTGTTTTTTTTACAATATGATTTTTGATGTGATCACTGTAGATTCTCTAACATGATGATGATTTTTGATCGGAGAATAATCGAGTGCATTCTTGGGGAGTGATTAGATATCTGTACATAGGAATGCGATACAATGATAATAATACAGTGATAAAATTGATAGCTGATGGACAGTTTCTCAAACATTTCCAGCGGTGCGAGCAACACAGCGGTGTGAGCGATAGGTTTGAGCAGCTGGGTCTGGAGCTATGCTCTTTTGAGCAGCTTGTCTGCAAAGAGAAATCAAAATGAGAAAAGAATCAAGCCTTTGCAATTGGAAAGACTCGCCTGAGCTTCTCCTGGAGTCCATTGATTTTCCAAAAAAACCGTCGGATGGTTGCCAGAGGACATTCTTTTTGAATTCGATTGAACAGGTCTTTTGCCTCTCGGAAGTTATTGCAGGTATAGCTCAGCAAACGAAATTCTAAATTAGTTTTGGATGTGTCCGGATGGTCAGCGATCTAATCGAGGTTTATCAATGTTTGATTGAAACAAGAAACTCCCACTTACTTGTTTTGATCAAGCACCAATAAAGCTCGATCGGATTGAGCTCGCAATGGAATTTGGGCAAAAAGATACAGAGATGGCCAGCGTTTTCAATGATCTTCTGTATGATTGGTTTTTCTTCAGAAAAGTCCGATTGGGCGGATATAATGGTGAACCAACAGCAGTCTTTTGGTTGATCAGACAGGAGTTCTGGTGGCTCAGGGAACTCCTCACCCGATTTGCCTTCCATTGAGTTAACTGCTTCTTTGAGGATACGCTCAGCTCGGGTGATTTTATCTTTAGCAAGACCAGATCGTTTGCAGTCTTCGCACTTCAATTTGAGAGGCGAAAGTTGTTTCGACTTTCTTTGATCTTCATGGTAGGTCCATAGACCACGCTCGATTAAGACCTGTTTGATACCTTTTGACTTCCCAGCAAGCTTTCCATCTGAGTAATCGGAAGGAAAAACCATGGACTGCGGGAGTCCACACAGCTCGATTGGAATGTTGGGATTGTCACTTGGTATCACAGTGTCTCGAAGTTGTGGTTTTGCACCCCCAGTACCGAGGATCATGTTTGCAGCTCGAAGAGAATTCTCGCCAAATGATTTGTGGGCGGATGAGCAGTTGAATACATAGAGAGCTTGAGCACCAGGATGGAGTGCCTCAAAAATTGGAATCGCCCGAAATTCAATCTGATGCATGAGCTGTTTTGAGTCCCACCAGGGATCCGAATTTTTTCCTGGAGTGATGATCACGGCAGCATCTTTCTCTTGAAGATCTGTCATATGATCTGGAGGTATTACAAGTCTACCAGTTGTTTCACAAATAAAGTCAGAGATGTGAATCAACTTTCCAAGACTTTTCGAGCGTAGATCACAGTCCTTGGGTTGAGCCCAGTGTGTTGAAGATTCTTCATGTGCATGAATTGTTGACTCGTCGTGGTAAACTCTAACAAGCTCTCTAGCTGAGCCACTCAAGTTGGGTTCAGTAATTTTGTCAAGATCGTCTCCGGCATAAGTCTTTGAATTTTTGCATAGCTCATCAATCTGTTTTAAGTATTTATGTCGGTAGAGAACTACATCAGCTCGTTCATGTCCGTCGTAATACAAGCATTTGCTGTATGCTTTGACACTAAAATTAAGCTTATGCATCCATCGGTTTGCTGTAGTTCTACAAATCGTTTTTTGGTATTCAGGAAAGGAAGGGAGAATTATCGAGTTGAATTGATGAGCAAGACTTGCTGGTGTCACCTAAGATTTAGCATCAAATCAAAAGGTTTAGTTGATGTTGACAGACTCTTCAATCATAGAAGCAAAAACATTACCTTTCCTACTCTCACAGTGGCAATCCAATCGGTGATCGCTTTCAAGAAGCCCATGTTGTCAAGCATACAGCTGTGCACAGTCAATTTCCCGCGGTTTTCTTCAGGCAGACGTTGATGGAGGATCACAAATGCAGCAAGCTGTCGAATTTTGCGAGCATGGTGTACTCCAGCCCCTTCGCAGTCCGGATCTGAGTTTTGTTGTTGGCGCATAGAGCACATGGCTGTCTCAATTGAGGCCGGTATTGAGGCGGTTTTTGAACTCTCTAGTTCGAGCTTCTTCCTCAAGAAGTTGAACTCTCTCAATTCTTCAAGCTGATGTGATCGATTAATAATCTCTTTGATTGAACCAGGATGAAGCTCGTGATATGCATTTGCTGCTTGGTGTGAGTTGTCTAGCTCGAGGTATTGATGATTGATGTCCTCCATCTGACGCTCAGTCTTGGGAGGTTTAGTGGCCGGAATCGCTGGAATTGCTGGAATCGCTGGAGTGGTTAAAGTTAGAGTGGTTGGGACAGGAGGAGTGGTTTCTTCAAGCTCCTGAGACTTTATCAGATTGATCTTGACTTCTTCGCGCTCACAGCGAGCTCTTTTGGCCTTATTGATGGCCATCTTGATGGTCAACAGAGTAGATATGTGAGGAAATACAAGGATTGGTATATACATATATATTTTCCCATTGTAATTTATTTTTTTATTTAATTACACCAAAGGGCCCGCCATCTTTTGGAAAAACACCCGACCCGAGGCTCGTTGAGTCTTGATGGTAACAACTATATTTCATCCTTTTCTCTTTATCGTTTTCTCTTGATTGATTAGAAAGTTCTGCTTCATTTCATTTCTTTGGTTCTTACAAACTCAATACTGCACCACAACCCTTTCAACTAAAAAGCTGAATCTAAATCAAACTTCAAATAATCACCAAGAAGGAAGGAGGTATAACTGTTTCCATTACTGATCTTATTATTGAAATTGTTATCTTTTAAGTTTCTCTTTATCTGACTTACTTCTATCAAACGTAGACTCCTTTTTTGGCTACTTTGTTTGATTTAAAATTTGTGTTATAAAGTTGAACTTTTATATGTGCAGTTTTTGTTAAGGTACTACCTTTCTCTTTTATTTCTCTTTATCAAAATGTCTTTCTTCTTTTAACTTACAATGATGTTTAAACAATTTGTTAAGAAATCAAAAATATACATTTGACCTAAATAAAGAGAGATCTCACAATTCACTACAGAGGATACACAGCATCTGAAGATGAACTACGGTTTTATGACGGGTGTCTTGGATCCAATCTATCCAAGCTCAAATCCTTTTCATGATTACATCTAGCAATATAAATGCAAACTGGTGTCTTCATGATTGGCCAAGAACAATAACTGACCTTAAAATTTATCATTGTGGTAATTTATCACCCTTACACCCTACCTACAGAATCTTGGCCTTGAATTTGGCTACAAGCAACCAGATGACAGCTTTGAAGTCAATCCTAGCTGGAGTCCTTGTTTCTCTTTTGCACAATTAACTGACCTGAAACTGTTGATCAGCCATGTGCACTTCCTGGACAGCTTTGAAGACTGTAAATCCCTATGTTACCTAAAATGGACCTACACCACATCAGAGCATTTCAGGATACTGAACAAGATGATACTCAAAGCTGCTTGGCCCAGCTCAAGAAAATATTTGTACTTTCTCACTGGAGTATGGAGCTGCCTGATCTTGATCCTCAAATACAAGAGATTGAGGATGAATTACTGTTATTGGAAAAGTATTGTAAAGAAGCCAATATTAGGGATGCAAGAATATGGCAGCCTTATGAGGGGTGATTGAAATTTTGTAAGTGAATTTGGGTTTCAATGAAAGAATTTCATCATTTCTGATTTACAACCCATCATGTTTCTCCTCTGTTTAAAGTCTACTGTGGCTTACCTTTGCTGGCAGTGATGGTTGTGTTCTTTGTGCAATTGAGGGTGAGTGGAATGAACACCCGGCAGATCAACTTTTGTAATATTGTGTAGTCTTCTCTATCTATATTCTTTGGAGACTGTTCTTGAATCTTTAGCACTTTGAATCACAGTTATGTCACTCACCGTAAAAAAACCAATACAATCTTACTCCTTTTACCTCTTCCTTTTCTTGTTCTGTTCTGATCCATTTAGCATGATAGTTTACAGAGACAAAAAGGCCAGGAAGGTTATAGAGAGCCAAAATTGAATATGTTATTCAAACTCATTGAAACCAACTTTCTCTGATGTAAATGTAGTCAAAATATCAACCAAGCCATGAAACTTCTCATTCACTTTCTGAATTTATCCAAAGTGAAATTACTTTGTACGGGATATCAAGTCCCAATACCATGCCCAAATTAAAATCACTTTAAGTTATGCTACTCTGAAATTTGGATTGGTTGCGTTTCTCATTTTACTTGGACATGTCTCTTTCTTCATTGATTACTTTTCATCTCTTCTGATTTTATCAAGGATCCCACTATTTAGCGCCCGGTCCGCTTACCAGCTTTCAAAAAGAGAAGCGGGCAAAGATTGATTTCTTTCCGGATTCCTTCTTTTCTCACTTTGTGTTTGTCACTTTCTTGTTTTTCTACATCACGCACGCACATGAAATGCAGAAATGCAGCAAGGGCACAGTCCAATGCATGGCATAAATAAATAATCAATAAATCGGCATAAATCGGCATAGGCATAATAGGCATAAACGCATAGTTAGCATACATTGAGATATTGAGCATAGCACACACAACTAAGCAAAACCAAAAAAACAAAGAACAGAGACAAAACAAAACAAAGAACAGACACAAATATGAGCAATAGGAGAAAAAGGAGGTCAAAACAAGAGAAGAACCCATGTAATCACGCTTTACTTGTCCATGCGGTCGTTTCGATTTTTCCACATGTCAAATTGACATACATACTTCGCAATCCACTGTGGTATATTTGTGGTTCCGATTGTGGTTGAGGTGGACTGGCCGTAGAGATCAGGAAAAGGGAATGATTGCGCGCCGGGACTGAGGTTAACAAAATGCATACCGTCGACAAATGTGAGCACAATAGGGTCATTGTCATTAGGTGGTGTGCGATAGGGAAGGAAAGAGTAACAATAGGCCTCCACTGGATCAAATACAATAAGAGGACAGTCGTAAGCACTGGCAATAACGTATCCTGTGTAAGGCATGCGTAACCAGAATTCTCGAGAGCACGTGATACCCTGAGGTTGGAGTCGCATCAGTAGATCATCAATCACTTCGGCGGCATACGGTTTAGTATTACGTCTAGTGCGCATTCCTGACTTCATGCCCGGAGTGGTTGAAATAAGTTTCTGATGGTCTTCTCTATATTCAAGGAGCTCATCGTATAGTTTTTGGCGAACTGAAATGTAAGATTCTGTTGTGTACTGTTTGAGGCCAGCAGCAATGGCAAGGTATCCGCAATTGCCAAAGGCCGGTGGGTTGAATACCGACTTGACAAAGGGAACAATGACTTGAGGTATTTGTTTCAAGACTTTTTGTTCGACACGTGATACCAGTGAGCTTTTAGAAGATGATTTGAATGGATTCGTGCTCGATCTTAGGTTGAGTGGTTCCTTTGGTATGATGGCCACAGCTTGGGCTTTTGCTTCCTCGTATGGAAATACGGCGGAGCCATATGCACGACTGGCTTCCAAAGTGCAGCGTACCTTTGGATCACTTCGATCCAATTTGAGATCGTCTGCTATTAAACACATTGACACTTCTGGAATAAGAACTTGTCGCAAATAAACTTCTGGCCGAAGAGGCAATGCTCTTATTGAATTGAGATGTGATTCACTAGTTGAATTGTGAATGAAGAGCGCCTCCAGTGACCGCACAATAATTTCGAAGCCCTGATAACCATAACTGATATAAGTGACAAATGCACATCGTAAGTAACTGAGTTAATCAGAAGGATAGAGTCAGTTTCAGAACTCACTATCCTGGTTGCTCAACCTCAAAGTCTTCGAGTGTGGCAAATCCAAGGTTTCTCTTGACACCTTTTCCCCTCATCTTGGCCTCGGCCTCCTCCAAAAATTCTGACCTTTCGAGTTTACCGACAATCTTGCTGAGAAAGGGAAAATGGCTATTGATCCGCCTGTTATAAATAGAAGGTCAAGGGTTAATGAGTTGCAATCTTTGTATTTTGATAGAGTGGACATACGCTGGTAAATAATGAAAGTCAATAGTGGCAGGCCACCCCTTGCTGACGCCTGCGGGAATGATCTCTCTTTCGGCCTCATGCAATGCGCAAAAGTCTGCTGTCTGGGCAAACTATAAAAACCAAATCGTTAAGAAACCCAATGCATAAGCGTACAGAAAAGGAAACAAAATCACAACATAGTCAGAACTCACTGGAAGTGACATGGCTCCTGGTCGACCAATCCCTTTGCGGACGTTTGGCATGGCAAGAAGAGCAGCTTGCAAGTTAATGAGCTTCAAGGAGGGATCTTTGGGTAGAGGGTCGTCACAAAACGGAAACAGATCTGCGTGATCTTCTTCGAGAGATTCGGAGCTGTCTGAGTCATTCAACTCGGCTTCATGGAAGGTGTCTAAATTGGATTCTGATGATTTGTAATTATCGGACTCTGATGAGGACTCTGATGATTGAATCTTAGATTTCGGTAACCGTTGTTCTTTGTCAGAACTTTCTTCAATCACATCCTTGGGTGCTGGTCCAGACGATGTTGAAGCCACAGGTACTAAGTTGACCTTTACTTTACCGTTTTGGTCTTTGACATCCTGAGCAATGCGACGTGGACAAGTTGTGATTCGGTGACCAGAGGTATGACAATAGCTACATTTGTTGCTGCGTGGTTTCTTTTTGGCCTCGTCCATTTCGTGCTGAGATTTCCATCTGCCTTCATTGTGAGTGGGTGCAGAACGTTTAGATTTGTTTGCTCGTGGCCGGCCACGGTTGTTCGTTTTGACGATGGCATTCAACATCGGCACAAGCGTGTAACGGTGAGTTTCAAGTAGTCCAATTTCGCAATACAATTTGCGAAGCGTGTGTTCAGGCAAGTCCAGAAGGCTGTCAAAATTCATGCGTGCGGCCACCTTCAGCCCGTCGTGGTGAGCCGGAGGTATGTCCATGTACAAGTGCCACTGGGGGTGAATAAGGTCTGCCGAGAGATAGTCGCTGTTGTTGCGAGCAGTTGATAGTTTGTGAGAGCATGGAAGCCCCCATGCTCCTCGAAAGGTGTGAGTACAAGGTATGTTGAGTGTGTTCGGGATTAAATCGTACTGTTCCTTCAACTTCTTGAGGGCAAAATGGGATACTACACAGTTGAGTTCTTTGAAAAAAATTGGGAGACCTTGAAGAACTTTGGTCTTCTCAATTCCAACCAAAACTGTAATCTCAGTTACCTGGTGTTCTTCAAAACGTTTGAACGAGTTGAAGCACGTCAGGAAGTCATTGTTACGACCATCCAGGAATCACTTAGCTCGGAAGTGACTACCTTCAACTCGTGAGGTTGAAGAGTTTCCAAAATGGGGCGCCTGTGACGTGAAGAGAGTGACAAATTTTTCCGTGCGGTGAAGCCAAGTACTTTGCAGATATTTGAAGACGTTGTGAGATTTGGACACCTTAGTAACTTCTGCAAGGTTATTTTCATAGTCTTCAGTGGTGGAAGATGCAACAAATCTATTCCAAATTTTCATAAAATCCGTCCATTCTGGTTCGGTGAATTTGCTTTTGCAATTTTTTGCTATGTTTATATTGATATGCCAAACGCAAAGGATGTGAGTTGAATCAGGGAAAACCGTTTTGATGGCATTGAACAGGGCTGGCTCGGCGTCGGTTGCAAAAGTTTCTGGCATTGGAACAGGTGAGCTGCCGTCCTCGTTGTGAAATATGACATTTTTCAACTGATTTAAAGCCCATTTGTACTGAGACTCAACCTCACTGCTCATGAAGCACATGGCAACCGTGAATGACTTGTGTGTGTTAGTAGTACCAACTATATGTAAGAGAGGAAGATTAAAACAATCCGTTTTATACGTGCAGTCAAGGCTGAGCACTGTTGGGAAACGACGAGCTAGGCGTATCGCGGAAGGGCTTGCAAAGAAGAGATTTTGAAGAATTCCCGTGTCCGAAGTAAGAGTTCGATGGGCCCAATTGCTCTGAGCAATCAAATCAAAGAGGCCTTGAATGGGAGATTGTCCATTGAGCCAGGTATCACGCAAGCGAGATCTCACGTTGTGTATATCGCGAACTAATGGTTGAGATACAGGTTCTACTTTGATAAGGGAACGAGATGCACGGCATCCAGCCGATGATAGAAGGTCGATTTGTTTAATGATCTGAGTGGGGAAACGACGGTAGATTGCCAAATCGTGCGGTTGATCAAAAGGGTCGTGATTGTGATAAAGTTTAACAGCGTTCTTGATGTCTTGCGTGACAAACCAGCGGTCCTTCGCTGCGCGGTAGTTGAGAGAAATCTCAAATAAACATCCAGTTTTCTTCGAGGATGAACATTGTATTGTAGGTTTCGCCGGGTTAGAGGGTTGAACAGCAGGAAGCATGGTTGCACTCGATTTGTGACCAAGAGCACATCGTAAGTAGATTCTGACAGTTGCCTGACCTTCTGTCTTATGACTTTTGACAGCAAGTGCATAGCCTTGGTGGCGAGCTACAGCGTACATGTACATTAGGCCATTCTCCATCTCCAAGAATTGTTTGCCCACCTTAGGGGATCTAAGCAAACGTACAGGAGTTGCTCCTGATGAAATCAAAAACCAAAACAAAGGCATTCGTCAGTTTGTTACTTGCAGATGACGTGATATGAAATAGAAACTTACCGATTGCTGGCCAGTCGTCATCCCGTTCATTCGGCACTTCTTCAACATCATCGTCCAATACAATTGGTTAAGTGGTTGGAAGGTGAGTTGCTGGGGTGGTAGCTGATGGATTGACTGCTGTGGTCTGGGTGCTCACAGGTGAAATGATGGTATCGGTTGGAATGCTAGTGGTGGTGGTGTTGGTTGCTGAACTTTTTGTAGATGGTGCGGGTGTTGGAGGTATAGGTGTACAAGACACACCTTCTGTTGCTTGGGGATAGACGTGAGGATGTTGACTGTAGGGAGTCATCGAAAAGCCTGAAGATTGATGATACACATGACGCCACGGTTTGAACTGACTGCCTGCAATGCTGGTGTTGGGGAACATTGGCGCAGTAGCATACGACAGGCCTGGTGGTGGTGGAGGCGGATACCAGTATACAGGTTGATTGAAGTTGTTATGGTGGTTGAAGTGGTTAGGAGGTGGGGCGTTTGAATGAAACGCATGTGGTTGAATTGGTGGGTATGGGAAGCTGGGATTGGGGGGATCGGGGTACTGTACAACCTCTGACACGACCTCCGATGTCAAGGAAGCCCTCGGATCAATTGAGTGATCACGTTGCTGCTGATTGGACATTAGGTGGCCTTGAAAATCCAATACACTACGGGATGCGGGGAATTATGCAGTTGCAGAACAGATGTGTGGTTCTCTTAAAGTTTGATCGATGAGATCAATGGATGCTTGATGAAGTACGGTGGGAAGATGATTGTGATTTGGTGGGTAAATAGCTGATTAGGTGGTGGGAACAAGGGAAGTGATTAATGGGAACAAGATGGAAAGGGAGCTGAAGTGGGAAAAGTGCACAAGGACAAACCGCAAGGGCAGGTTGAGGAGGTCCGTACTTATAGGAAGTGGTGTCAGGGGCCGGTCCGGGCGCAGAGTTGATGTTTAGCCCCTTTCAGCATTCTCTCGTAAATTTTCGCTTCTTTTGTCACATAAATTAGGGAAAATATGAGCAAAACGGGCGGTGTTGTGGCATAGTGCCCTTGAAAGGAGCCCTCGAGGTCCGAACAGGCCAAAATTTGGCTGGGCGCTGTCGGGCATCTTCAGGTATGTCGGGTAATACACCGGGCGCTGGATATCAGCTAAGCGGGCGCTAAATAGTGGGATCCTTTATCAATAAGTATGTTCTGAAGGATTTATAAACATAAAATCATGTGCTGACTATCTCACTTTATCGTATGAAAGATCTTCAGGTAAGCTGTAAGTGGATATGTATCATTCACAATTACAACTCCCGTGATGAACCCAACAGTTGATGATGAAACCCAGCTATCTGTGCATAGATTCCTACAAATGTGAGTGATTGATCACAGGGGAAACTCATAAAGGAAATAAGATGATATTTATCAAAAAAGAAAAGAAGTAAGAAGCTTACTTAGAGCATCCACAGTGGTCCCCCAATTGTGCAGGCTCTCAATGATGCAGGGGGTCAAATAGCCAAAAAACACTACAACAAACCTCACACCTTTGGGGGTCAGACAAGACACCAGAATACCCATATAAAGGGTGGTCATTAGAAAACAGGAATTTCAAGCTTGCTTGGAAACTTTTCCCATGCTTTGTCCATAGGTTTAAGACTAGTTGAATCTTTCTAATCAGCTGTATCAAACTTAGCAACTCTGAAATCCTTGATAATCAAAGGCAGAAACCAGTAAAATCTAAGAGAGCACTGTATAATCCCATGGGGTGTGGTTCCACTTAAGCCCAAAAGTCATGTTTTCTGATAAGTACCTTTTATTATAGGGGCATTCTGGGGTCTTGGTGTGTTACAAGTATATATTGGGGAAACTCTGGTGAAACTTCATTACACATGTCCCCAGTCAAAACTTGTTAAGATAGGTTAAGTTACTATCTTGTTATGGAGTCAAAGATCACTATCCATTTATGGTAATTGGATGTTTATAGAAATAGAATTTGTGAGCGTTGGACTAGATCAAGATCTGTCATGCAGTGACTAGTGCGAAAATCAGTGAAGAGTACAAAGGGGCTATTTGGGAAATTGAATCAAGGGGTAAAATGGTGGATTCTTTTGGGTTTATCTTTTCTCTTTTTGTAATTCTCTTTTCCTCTCTTTTTCTGCTTCTTTTCGTGTCAAAAAGAATCAGTAAGTTTCTCCTAAATTCATTCTCCTGATTTCTCATTTACCAACGAGTCTGATAGTGTTATCTTCAACTTAGATTTCATATTTTATTTTGTTCATTCAAACCCTTACACGTGCTCCACACTTTTGCTTTGAGCTCGCAGGTAGTGATATCTTATCTACTTTATCTCAAGTTATTGTGTTCTTTTCTGATCTCTTTCACTTTCACTTTTGTTCTCTTACTGTGCTGTTAGGTTAGTGTTTTAGTTCTCGCCGTTGAATAGCAGAAGCTATAGTCTAATACGGAACCTGCTGCCCTCAGGATTCCCTCTCTATACTATACGCTTTTCTAGCTACACAGTCAACCTAAAGATTCAACTTGAATCTTGAGACAAAAACACCTTGAGAACTTCTATAAAACTCACATTTGTGCTCCACATCACCACTACTAGTTGTATCTCTCCTTATCCAACAATCTCAATAATCAGGATACCAGAACCAGAATTAGACTAGAACCTGTATGTTAGCTTAAAATAACTCACAAGATATTCTCAGCCTCAAACAAAAATAAGCAATTTGGTCTTGAACACTGCTGGACTGTTCTCTGTGTACATCAAAAGTTGACAATGGCTTGTGATCAACTTAAGAATAAGGGTGAAGAATCAAACAAGCAAAAAGCTGCACCACCACCTTCTTCCAGCATGGTGAGTTCCAATTTGGGTACTGCACCACCGTCTTCTGTATCTTCTTTTGTTTTCTCCAACTCTGAACCCAATTCAGACCCACCAAAACGACTGATTGGTCAAAAAAGGGCAAAAGTGGCAAAACTCCTTGATGGGGCCGAGCCAAAGGAATTGACTGGGGCTGGGGATGAGATAGCTGCAGCAATCACAAAGCTGGCTAGCTCTTCTTGAGCCAAGCGGCTGCTGCTTCTTGTCAGGAATCAGATCAAGCGGATGTTCCCAACTCCACTGGAAAATTTGGACAAGATGAATTGTGATACTTGCACGCCTGGCGCAAACAAGTCATGGAGAGATCTTGGGCAAGACAACAAGGTGTAGGTGGTTTAAGTATTCCATTCAATAATCAGGGCAATAATTTGATTAGGTTTCTTTCTTTTGACCATATCAGACACCAAATCCAGATGAGTATGTAGCTGACCGAGAGACCAAAGTGTAGTGTAAGACAAATTGATCACAAACAAAATTGGTGTTTGTGAATCACTGAGGAGAGCATACAAATATAGAATATGCATAAATCTTTGATAAATGTCCTCAACTACCCTTCTTGTTTGCCATTCTGCTCCCATACATGTCAATCAAATCAACATGAGTTCTTGGTATTGATGTTTATCCCACATTGCACAAAGTTGGTTGAGGTAGTGCTCAAATTCAGCATACAAGTCAGGAGCTGGCTTGGTTGCTGGTTGTGCATTTTCAAGGTAAGATGGAATGCCACATTTGTAACAGCCAGCAATTTGTTTTTTGTGACTTGCTTATTGTGCAAGATCACTGTAAAATATACTATTTGCAGCAATTCAGCTGTGTCCCAAAGCCTTGCAGGCCAGTTGAGAATACTGAATCTTGCAAATAAAATTGCAAAGGTGCACTTGACATTTGCAAGGCCTCTTGGAGCTTTGAAAACAATTAGATAATCTGAGTCAGCTACACAATGAGCTCAAAGTAAATAATACATATGTACTTTTTCTTTTTGATCACCATCTGAGACATGTTTTATTAAAGTTGCCCAGTCTGGATCAATTCTGTCCACTAAGTAATAACCCTGGTGATAAGTTTTGCCATGGATTGTAACTCCACCTCGGGAGCTTTATCAGAACACAGAAGAGAGGTGATCAATCAAGTATAGTGATATCTTTCAGGGTTCCTGGAAGGCTGAAAAATGTATGCCAAATCCATGTATCATATGAAGAGACTACTTCCAAGACCATTGTGGGCACTTCTCTTTGCCTCAATATTGAATGTGCCAAGCAGTAGGGCAGTTCTTCTACTCCAAGTGGGTACAGCCAAATGATCCTAACTCCTAACATGTGCAGAAGTCCACAATCTTGAGCTTCATTAAGTAACCTCTGAGTATCTTCTACAGTTGGCCTGCACAGGTATTCCTCCCTGTATAGCTGAACAACATTGTGACAAAAGACTTAAGGACATTCAAGCTCTGTTGACTTGCTAATCTGAATATATTTGTCATGACCAATGGCAGAAATCCCAGTGGTCATCTGTCGCATAGAGGCCGTGATTGTTTGATGAGGAGCAGACCAAGATGTTTGGTGGCATCATATTGCTGAATCCAGTAGTTGTTGTGGTTTTGAAGATCAATCAGAAGCCTTTCAAATATGACTCAATCAACTTGATACCTTCTTCAGAACTGATGGTTGGTGTAAGAATGATCCAGAGAAAGATGCTGTCTGTAAATGATGTTGTGTGCAAGCTGACAATACTGATTTATTTATGGATGTGGTTGGTTCTCTTCAGAAGGATCTTGTTTTGAACACACCTGATGTGCGCATTGCCCACGGCCTGGCTATGTCAAATCTTACCAACCAATGAGAAATGGATTTCCTCACTGCTAGCCATGATAGCCAAATGGTGATCATACATGATTTAGCATACATATTGCAAAAGATCTACAGATGAATGGTCCCAAGGATACATGATCTTCATGGGAGGATCCTCTTCCTGCCATATTGCTCAACCTTGTGAAAGAAAAAACTGAGTAAAACCAAAACTATGAGATTTGCAAGGGAGAGAATTTTTGAAAAAAATGGATCAACCATTGTTGGAACGGCTGCATATATAATGGCTGTGACATCACTGTGACTCTTCCGAATTTTGGACTTCTCAGAGTCCAGACTTAAGTACACAGCCTACAAGATATCTGTATTATGTCAAGAAGCTGTATTTATGGAGATTTAGATTTTGCCAAGCCGAGGCTGGGTTTGAGCTTAATTTGATTTTGAGCTGTTTCCGACCTGAACTCGCTTGGCATGCCAAGACTTGCCAAGAACGATCAATCGATCACAAGCTCAATCAAGCTCATCTCACAGTAGACAGCACTTAACAGTCACCACAACTTCTCTTCAAGCTTTAACTCATTGCTCCATCTCTTCTTCAAACTTCCCTCCGAGACTACACAGTTTCCTTGTCTGTCTGTGTACCGTACTTGCCAGTTCCAACTCTTCATCTCCTCTGTTGTTCACTGTGCCTTTTTAAGAACTTGCAGATACAACCTCCTTTTATTTATCAGCCACACCCGTTTGTTTGCCAAGCATATATCCTCTACACTCGAACATTCTCCGCGGGCCATGGTACATTCGTTGACCCACTCCCTTTCCGGTCATCTGCTCGACTCAACGGCTGAAATATTTGCCTGCGAATGGACTGAGCCTTCGTGTGGTTTAGTGTTTAACGACCCAGAGGTAGGCTTTCGATATCAGATTAGTTCTTCTATCTCGCAATTTATTCGCTAACCATCATGTGCAATATTTCTATGAAGGCATTATATCATCACCTATGTGATCAACATATCGGTCGTAAATCGACAGGGAATTTAACCTTGAAATGTCATTGGAAGGTAGAGCCGCTCATATCTATTGGCTTGACGAGCACTAGACTGATTGTGTTCTGCTTTATAGAATTGTGACACAGTCTGTGTGAAGCGTGATCATATCACAAGTCATTTGCGAGGTAAGCACCTACTTTTTTCTTGCCTTCAAGCCTGATTTTCTCAGTCCAAAAATTGAAGGATCCATCTTTTATTTACAGTGCATACGCCACTCAAACCACACAGTTGTGAGGTACGCTACCCATTTCCATTTTTTGCATTGGTTTGAGTGCCAACACGGCAGATCGAGACCATATGACAACCAGGCTGACCCAAAGTCAATCCCTCCATAGGTTTGTGGCAAAGCATTCAAGCGCCCTCAAGACTTGAAGAAGCATGAAAAGATTCATACCGAGGAACATCACATACAGCACAAACACTCTAAAGCCATGACTATCAGTGCTTCGACTTCCAGAACCGATTCTTCACGTCAATATGCACCTCTACCTCATCACGCGCAATCCCAACTCCAGCAACCAGCATACCCGCTATACTCGGGACAGCAGTCGACCCTACCTTATCCTGGAATCTCAACTGCTCATCTCGTTGGGCAACAGCAGCAAATAAACCACCAAACTGCTCTTCACCAGGCCGCCCAAGCGGCCGCTCAGGAAGTTTACAATTCGGTTTTAGCTTCGTCTAATCTCAATGTGCCCGGCAATCATCATGCTCTTCCACCTAGCACAACATCATCATACCCCAGCACATACTGCATGTCAGCTCCTTCCTATCCGTCACAATCTTCGGCTGTCTCGATATATCCCAGATTGACCCCCCCGGGAAGTATGGAGAACTCCGCCACAGGCTTCGCGCCTCTTCCCGTAATGTCTAGCAGCGCATGCGCATATCCAAACTCGGACACTGCCATGTCAGCTTGCCAGAACAACCGGCCTCCTACAAGTCTCAGTCATGATCCTTCGTCCTATCGTAATACGGACCCTTCTATGTCTCATGGACATCGCATCTCAGTCGAAGGTGGTCCTTCTACACGTCAAAATTTAGATGCTTCTGTGAACCTTTCTCCTGGTTTTCGAGCAAACCCTGTGGACAATAACAACACCTTCAGAGACGCGCCGCGCCCAAATCCCGGTACCATCCCTATTGTACAAGGACACAAACGCGAGTTTGATGAAGTGACGCACGAGTTGATCTCAAGGCTAAAGCGGAGTAAATACGATGAAGGTTTGGAATGTTAGTAGCCCTTTCTCTTTGATGCGCGCATCAATTTGATGCTAAGAATCTTGTTATCGTAGCTATTGAACGCGTCGCTAGGTTATTATCACCAGAAACAAATTATAGCCTCCCAGACTTGGATCGTCGCAACTCACTTTCCGATATGTCTTCTACCGCTTCTTCCCCTCATTCCTATAACAATGATGTTTCAGCATCTTTCACTCCACCCAGCGAACTTGAATGGCTCGCCGAACAATCAGAGGCCGATAAGTTAACCGATCTACTGGCGTCGATTGGAACCGAGATTGAGTCCGCTACTGCCAATGCAATTGCTGGTACCTGGCCGGAAGACATTCCATATAACGTGGCTTTCCCGATCGATCCGAATGCCAATTATAAATTGCCATTCAATTTCTCACCCCCCGCTCTCCCTCAAACGTTCAATTCCAACCTAAGTTCTGGCTCGTATCAAAGTCAAGCTCATCGACGTGGACCTGCACCAAGTTACCATTCCTTATCTCCTCCCACCAACTTCAATCCGACTCCTCATAGTTACCCAGTTCTTCCAACTTTTGGCTCAGATCAAATGTTCAACGAAAGCATGGCCAACATCCAGGAAAACATTCGGGTTTCAAGACCACTCGCTCCTCCACAGATTGCATCCGTATCTCCATCTTCTCATCCGATGAACATCCAGAGAGTCACACCGTTGCAAAGAGCTGTGCCGGTCGTTACTGCCGCTTCAGAGTCGTATGTGTCGGTTGACAGCCCAGGAACGGGCGGTTCGGACTCCAATCACCTTCCTTTCAACCAAAATGCGGGCTGCGAGGATCCTGATTGCAAATCCAAGAATTTAGAATTAGCACCTTTGACATCCTCTAACAAGTCGAATTTAGGAACTAGTACTACCTTACCCCCTCTCAGGACATTATTCCGAAACGTCAACACGATTTCAAAGAACTCTCCTAGCCCTCCCGCTTCTAACAATTATTCGCGACCTAGTGACCAGAAAGCTCTTTATCCCTCTTTGGTCAACCTCACTGCGTCCTTTTCGCGTCTAGCGGATGAGGCGCAATCCCCAGGTGTGGAGCGACCAGGAACGGCTGATTCGTTGTCACGTCGGGTACACGGTATGAAATTGGCATCTAGGAAAGGCAGTGTTGCATCGCTCAGATCGGCACCATCGCCACCAGCTTCAGAGGCTCATTCAATTGAATCTTTAGATGAACATATGGCTGCTTCTGAGACGGAGTCCCAACATGACCCAGAGCTACCGTCTAAACGGTTTCGAGTCTGTCATGCATCCAATGCCTTATCAGCATTCACTCCATCGAACGGTGCTCATCTATCTGTGGAACAACAAGAAAAGTTGGATCAAGCAAGAAGGCAATTGGCAGTTGTACATGCGATGATCGTTAAAGTTAATGAGATACATCGTGTGATGGCTTCGAGGCGATTAAAAGCCAAGGTTATTGAAAGAGATGGTACAGGAGGTTCTGATAACGATTCACTTTGTTCGACTTTGAAAAAGACAACATTTTAAGAGGTGATTTGGTTATTGTGTATACTTCACAGCCTGAAGAACAAATACACGCTTATATTTGATTGATTTGATCGATGTTTTGAAAATCCTCATCTTTGTGGTTGTATCATCTTATCGTCAATTGAAGTCAACCTTTCGGATATCTCATTCGGATAAGTTCACGATTATCTTCATCATACGTTCTCAGTATACATATCTATTTAGCTTGTTATTTGTTTATTTTTTATCATGAGTTTATTTTATCATTGGGTTTTGTTTGGTTTCTTTTCGAAATTCTTTTAGTCTTTTGTTCATCACTCTTAAGTATTTAAGTTCTTATCAGACTCATTCTGAGATTTCAGATAACAAACGTAGTGTTTTCTTTTTCGTTGTATATTCGTTTTGATTTGTGGTTATAGTTGTTATTGAAATTAAACACTGCACAGTATTATTTACATTGATCTTCTTGTCACTTGCCTGTGTATGAGGACAGTCTTGAGGCAAAGACAAAGTAGAAAGAATTGATGTTTCAAGCAACATTGAGCAATGCTTTTGCCACAGAGTACCATTAATTCCTTTTTTGTCTCTTGAGTGCATTGGCCTTCGCTTAAACCCGTCATGACAGAAATGATGTCTCAAATCTACGATCGCAGCATGATCTTGGCTAAATGCTAACAGTGTATCTGTCACACCATCAAGAGTTTTCAGGAGCTCATATGAATCAAATGGCAGCTGTCTGGAAAGAAAAGCAACTGGAGTGAAGAAGTGGAACAAAATTAATTGATGGGGTCCTCAAATTCTTTCAGGTTTATAGGCAGAAAAGTGGCCACAAAATGGAAATGAAGATAAAGGAAAGTGCTTATTTGTCTCTCTTCAATCATAAAATAATGGTTCAGACTCTAGAGTATACAAAACTCAGACAATTCAGAACAAGATCAATCCTTTATGTGATAGCTTCAAGATTATTACAATTTCTGATAATAGTATTATGAGTAACTTTGGATGTTTTTCACATAGGCATCAAGTCTCGAGATCTCCACATGTATGATGAATATATCATTTGGTTAAAAAGTGAAGATGGATAATAAAAGCAATAATCACATCAAAATATGATCTAGGCTGGAATCTATTCAGATTTATATGTACACCACAAGACATAATTCAAAAGGGGTTTCAAGTGATGATGCAGAAAAGGAAACTTCCTGTTTAACTATTTATGTCTAACCCCTTCTTTAATGATTTTGATGTTTCATGTAAAGGACTCAATGAGATATGATCTACAATTACCTAAATGAATCCCATCATTATTTTAAAGACTTGATACCCATTATAAACAAATGTGACACAGGAAAGTTGAATGTTCAGAAAAATCTAGCCATATATCGAAGTATACGGCCACGTGCACCTGTTGAGCTAAATGTAAATGTGAGAAGGGCTCAGTGGTGATAAAAGCATGATGAGTTACATATTGTTAAAGAGTCGTAAAGAGAGCAACGTATGAAATTATCTAATGATACAGAAAAAAATAAAACTATATTATCAAAGATATTGTGAGCTTTCACTATTGTTAATCAATCGTCTAAATCCCAATCCAAGTCACCAGCGCAAAGTCCACTAAGTAAAGAAATTGATTCATCATGATGATGTTGAACAGACTTGGTTGTAGAATTAATAGATGGGGAGGTAATAGATGTTGTAGTGGTCGTCTTCCTGGTGATTGGGGTGATCTTGGTGGTCTTCGTTATGGTCGGTGCGATCACGGGAGTTTTTGTTGTAAAAGGTTTCATAGTCGTAACGTTCGTTTTATTGAAATTGGTTTTAACGGGATTGGCGAGAGGTTGTACACGCGGTAAGATTTTTGGTCCTGCAGCTGTTGTGACTTTTGGGACAGGCGGTGGTACCTTGGCAGGCACCCTAGAAATCGCTGTTGGGTTTTTGGTAGATGGTGGTGGGGCTTTTGCTACTGAAGCCAGGCGAGGCCCATTTGCTGGATTAACAGAGTTCGTGTTTGGAGGTTTGCGGGCAGGGCCGTTGGTAGTAGAGACTGTAGGGCGTGACGTGCGTGTAAGGGGTACTGATCGATCAGAAGGAGGGTTGGAAATAGAGTTCAAAGGAAGCTTCGGCAAAGAGGGTGCGGCTTTAGATTGTAATGCTAGACTAGTAACTTTGAGTGGTGCTCGATTGGACGTTTGTAAGGTATGCGCGTTGGGTTTGAGGCCAGGTTTAGAGACTGTGGTCCCCAGAAGGAGTTTCGGGCTCCGATTATCAGGGGTACGTTTGTGAAGATGAGGATTATTAGTATTAGTGGTCGAAGCGAGAACGCGGGGAAGGATGGGGGTAGTTTTGGTAGGTGTTCGACTTGGGCTCTTAGTCAACCGTTTCGGGGCTAACAGAGACTGGCCCTAAGTATCAAAACAAAAGTGAAGTGACAAAGAAACAAGGTCAGTACATCTGCAAACAGGTTTCAAGTGAAAACACTCCATAGGAAGAGGAGACCAACGCAGGCTTTGGCTTTCGTCTTGTCGACTCTCTCTGCCAGACGATTAAGCAAAACATCAATCTCTGGGTTGGGACGCGGTGTAGAAGACGCGCTATTCGACGCGCTTTCAGAGGCGATGACTACAGCTTTCCCATCGCTCAAAGATTGACGGTCTCTCAATCGCTTATGTTGCCTAAGTGACCTGCGTGATTCACTTGCGGTGGATAAAGCCAGTGGAGCTTGTGGGAGCCCATTTGAAGGGGAAGAATGAACGTCAATGACTGTTTTTGAAGGTGAAGGTATTCCTGCAGCCGTAGAATCTCGCTTTGGTTTTGGTTTCAAAGGAGTCAGATTAGATGTTCTTGATCGATGATGAGATGAATCTTCCCAATATACTAAGAGTTCTTCATCTTTAACACCTGATCGAGGTAGTGAAGTAGGAGTGAGTAGGCTTTGATTTCGCATATCGTTGGTGTTTCCTATTGTTGATGTTGATGTTGATGTGAATTGGTATTCCCTTCAGTTGGAGCTTCCTTTGTTGAGGACGAGCTTGATTTAAAAGTCTTAAGTACATAGATACTAAGCTTAGGTCTTAGGATATACTTAAGGTCTGAAGCTTAAACCCATCTTTACATAATCAATTCCAATTTGAAAGTTTCGATTATCTCCCTCACTTCACTGAGTAAATCCTCAACAAAGGCCAATCAATCAACATCTCTTGCTGAACTCTACCTTATCTTACTATTGCTAGCTCTAAGGCAGGACCATCGGGACGCTTTAGGTTATACCTCTTGAATTATTGAGTCTGAAAAGATGCCAAGTTTTTGACCAAGCAAAGAGGGGTAGTTTGTTGATCAGATTCACATTATAAGATGTCAATTTATCGCAGTTGCGCCTGTTTTTACTCAGACCTTTAAAAAATAATCGCATGATGGCTGTGGACCTCATGTTGCCGGAAAGTGATGAAGACTTTGTGCAGATACATGACTCATGAGGTTGATTGAAATAGAACCGGTAGGCTCTTTTTACTTTAGAAAGGAAGCAAATGCAAATAAGAGACATGACCAAGGAAATGAACCCTGTGTGGACTTAGCTTCTTTTACAAAACCCAGTTATTCAAAAATGACGGGCTGCAGATGAGTTAAACACGTTTATCAGTCACAACTGCCCCATTTGCTACTAACATCATAGCTAATCATAGCTATAAGGATCTGAATGCGATGAACTAGAAGAAAAGACTCATTGAAATAACAATTATTACATTAGAATGTATCAAGTCAATGGATACTATGAGAGAGAAGGGTTGAGATCTGATTTATGCCTTCGACATGCCCATTAGATGCCCATTGAAAAATCAATTACTTGAGGAACATGGATATGAAAGTAGCCAGAGTACAACAGCTTCAAGAACGCTTCTTGGTCTCCCTCTCTTTTCTTTTCTTAGCCCTAAGCTCTTTCCTACCTCGTGGATCGACCATCTATTACAGAGAACAAACGCATAAGATTCACATGCAAAAAGTAGAAAAAGGAATGGAAGCTTTTGTTACGCACTTTATAACGACCCTTAACACCCTTTGGCCTTCCTTTCTGTCCACGGTTGAATCCTTTGGCCACCACGACTTTCACTTCATTCTTTTGTTTCGGGTTTTTGCTCATTCGGTTCATCAATCTTTCAATCTCACCCGATTTTTCCTTTTCAGTCAAATCGCTAGATGCATTCACAAGGTTAGCCTTATTCTGCATCTTTTCAATCCTTCGTAATGTTCTCAGTTTCTTTCGACCCTTGGCTTCTGCCACTTTCTTGATCGGTCGAGCGTCCAGTGCTCTCATCTTGTCTCGTAAGATCTTCACAGCTTCCTTGGTGACCGGTACGTGTTCACGAAAATGTCGCATCTCATCATCTTGAAACCAAGGTGGTAATTGATCTTTTTCGTCAAAGAAGGCATCTCTTCTGAACCCAGAGTCAACCATTTGATCTTTTGTTTTCCGTCGGTTAACAAGATCAAGAGCCAGTTGCATTGCAGCGGGAGTCAAAAGTCCTTTCTCTGTTGAGATCAGTAAGGCGCAAGGGTCAGTACAGTGATGAAAGAGATGATGCAAAGACGGATCATAACATACGTTGCACTATACGAGCGTTCTTTTCGTCTTGGTCAGAGTCTTCTTCATCCCACACAGTTGGCTTTACAGGCTCCTTAGGCACGATTTCAAAGTCATCATCACTCTCGTCAAACTTTCCTGTTTCCTCATCCGCAGACTCGTCGGATGATCCGGCATGCACTTCGTCATCCTCATCTTCATCCTCGTCTTCTTCTTCTTCATCATCATCATCAAAGTTCAGTTGTCCTTGGAGGCCCTTAACATCCTTGAAGACAGGTTGATCAAACCACATCTCTGTAGCTTGATTTTTCACTTCGCTAGAATAATTTGTCTTTTCTGTTAAGTCAGTCAGCAAACGCTTTTTGGATTTAGAAGTGGATGCTTTTGAGCTTAAACCCCGTTCAGCCATAATTCGCGCAGCTTGATCAGTCACATCTTCTCCTTCACTATCACTATCTTCCTCATCGTCAGATTTACTAGTCTTGGCAAACCTAGCCCGCTTCTTTCGAACCATCTCAATATCATCACCACTATGTACACTTCCTCCATCATCTTCATTCAGACCAGTCCATTCCTGTTCACCTTCATCGTGATGTCGACGAAGTCGTGCTTCCTCTCGAACTTTACGTTTGGTATCTTTATTCAAAATCTTTTCTTGATATGTATCATATGCTACACCTACAGAGTCTTCCAAGATTTGTAACTTCTTTTCATCTTCTGATAAATCCTCATCATCACTTTCTTCAGAGTATACAGATTCTTCTTCGTCACTCTCTCCATTTTCAAAACCTTCTTGACCATGGTCAGAACCAAAGTCATTCTGATCAATTTCTTCCAATCCGAAAACTTCGTCATCTGCTCGTTCTAATCCGATATCCATGGGTGTTGTCATCTGAAGTTGCATTCGCTGGAGATCTCGCGTGCGTTTCTCGTTTAACCTTCTTCGCTCGCGTTTCTTTTGTAGGCCGCTTTCTTCTTGAATACGTTGAAGCTGTGAAATGGAGACAGTCAGTTAAAATCTATTAATCACAAATTCCACCTACATCGTGGAGCGGGATAACTCATCCAGCTGATTGTTAGAGAACTATTTAACGCACTTCTTGTTCCATTTCCTCATCTTCATCTAAAGGCTGAATCTCTACAGCATCTTGTGGTAAATCCTCCGCAGGGTCTTTTTTAATAGTGAGACCTAAGATTTCTCTAACCGCAAGACGCCATTTCAAAATCTTTTTGAATTCTCCTTTTCCTAATACTTTTAAATCTTGAAGATCTGTTAATATTGCCTTGCTGGTACATTTCATTTTTAAAATCATCTTATCTTCATCTGTTTTTCCAAATGTGATAGTATTAGCCACACCAAGAAGTTTAATAGGATCATTAGCCTTGATAAGTTCTGTAGCTGCTACAGTTTTATGTAAGATGTAATCCCCATCTTCATAACCATCACGTGCACGTTTCTTCTTTTCAGGTTTGAAAACATTTTGAGCATTCGGAGTAAGCTTGTTACTATGTCCCTCCGTATCCCCATCAGCTGCTATTGGTACTAAATCAAGATCTTTGAAAACATGAGCCGGATCGAGAAGTCGAGGATCGATTTTCTTAGGAGCTAAGAAATCTTGACAAACTACAAAGATTTCGGCTGAAACGTTACGAGACGAAGGTGGTTTGGTTGATTCGACTTTTTTGAAAAGTTGATTAAAGACATATAAAAGTGAATTATAATCTTTTGATCTGAAAACCTTTGTGACGAACGTTCCACCTGGAGCTAACATCTCAGTGGCCAGTTTAAAAGAATGTAAGACTAGCTCTGCTTGACTGAAAGCGTCTTGAACCCATGCAGTACCGACATTCGGTGCACCATCGTGCAACACACTGATTTTGAATAAGAAGAGGTAAGAATCAGCTTGTGTCGTCTTGAGTCAATGGAGATATACTTTTAACTAACACATCGGCTTTCCAATCCTTGAGTTCACTTCGAAGCCATCGTCTACAACTATCAGTTCGAATATCCTCTGTAGCCGTTACAACCTTTGGTATAGGCTTAATAGGTACCAAATCAACCCCAAGAATCAGACCTGGTGTATCACAGAAACTCAATCAACCTCAGATAATCAATACAATAAGACAAAGACAAAAAAAATGACGTACTGTTAGCTGGCATCCATTTAGCAGCAACTTGAAGCCAACCACCTGGTGCAGCACAAAGATCGATACAACATCTAGCCGATTCAAGAAATTGATATCGTTTATTAAGTTGAATAAGTTTGAAGGCAGATCTAGCTCTATAACCTTGTTCTTTTGCTAATCTATAATATTTATCTAATCGACCTTTTGCTGTCTTCTTTTCTCGTTTACCCATTATGAATTGTCCTGATATGGGTAATTGGTTTGATCAGAAGATTGCTAGAAAGGAACTTGTATCCTCTCAGATAAATTGGTGCGGTTTCGTTCAAAAATGTCAGTTGACAAACTTTTCTCAATCGACCAGTAAAAAAATCGATCTGCATATATGCTTATACCGAATGTTTTTCATGCAAAGCTGCATGCCCCGAGACTCCGGTAACACCCGACCCCGAGCTGACCGGAGCTACGCATCAAGACAGCCTGAACTTCTGAAGCACAAAGCCTCAAATCAAGAGCAAAGCGGGAAATGGAGCATCGTTATTGCAAATCCAACTGCTAGTTCGCCAGATGGCATTCATCAAGAAATTATATAAATCTCTACCACACTTCATATCTCAAAAACTGAAACTGAAAAGTAATGTGTCATCTTATGACACATTCATCAAGCCTTCTTCAAGAGTCATTGGTTGTGTTACACTTTCAACCAAAAGGTATATCATGACTTGGCTCAACAAAGACCTTTTAATCAACACATCAAGAATGAATTTACATTTTATGATCAAATCTGAAGCCTCCTATCTTGAGCCTTGACTGTGACAGAAAGAGGAAAGAGTAATAAAAGGAAAAAAGAAATCAATGTTTTTACTATCATACAAAAAAATCAAAGTGAAAATCACCAAAAAAAACTTTTAATCAACAATCAAGAATATATGGAAATTCACAACAAACCCCCAAAACTTTGTTAAGAGATCCAAAACCAACTTATAAATCAAAGATTCTGATGAATCTTAGGTTCGACTAAATTTTCTTTTGTCCAAGACCATTGTTGTAAAACAGTACCCCAACTTCCAACATGTCCAGGTTGATTCTGATTTAATTTTTTTAATTGATTTTGGATGGGTGGATTGTATTGTAAATCGATTTTTTCTTCTGGTCCTTTCCATAGTTTTAATCCTGATGAACTTTTTTGTGGGATTTTGAAGGGGTGTGATGCCGTGTTGAAAACAAAATTGTCTAGAGATATAAAGTTGGGATCTGTGAATAACAAGTAATAGTATTTGAAGCTGTTTTTGGAAATGGTCAGTAAGAGTTTCAATAAGGAGAATTCGCAGTGCATAGGCGATGTACGAGTTAGTTTTATCTTACAAATAAGAGTCATGAAATTTATAATTTCAAGTATGGAGCTTACCTTTCTGCAAGGACATACACGCCTTGGTTGTCATCCAATTCAGCTCCAGTTTCTTGGCTTATATCTTTCAACTGAGCAAATCCAGTTTCAGTTATACATTCTTCAACCCAATTGGTGAACCTTTTTGATTTAAAAAAAATCTCCATAACATATCAGTATTCTCTTTAGAATTCCTTTTGAGAGACAATTTTTGATTTAACTCACATTATCCATCCTTTGTCTTGCCATTTTCTATCACCAGTCAGTCTCCACATGTAAAACACAGCTCTGAAAAGGCAGAAAAATCGTTTAGCAATTGGATTTATAATAAAAAGATGAGGAAAAAACCAACTCAATCGTATCTGGATATGCTAAAAATCTAGGATCTTCAAGTTTTACACCTGGAATAGGATCTCCTATTGGGTTTTTGTATGTGGTATCTGTGAAGTTTGAACACAAGGAGAAGAAGCAAAGTCATCAGATTCTTAGCATCCTGAAGAATTTTCTGTTGGATTTCAAATCCAACCACTCACTTGTAACATTGACCTGTGCCCAATACTCAGTGTTTGAAGGATCTTGAACCACCATACTCTCAGCTGCAAGTGTCACAGGGCTAGAATCGTAAGCCCACAGGCATGTTTCTGTTTGCTGATAGTAAAGAACAGTAAATCCTCAGTCTAATCTCCCTATTAGAGTAACAGATCCCATCCGGCTATCGGGTAACATCCCTTCATTTGACACCAATTGAATGACAAACCTGTAAAGCAGTGTCCAAGTCATTTTGCCTGCCCAAGATTCTTGCTCCCATACCAATGAATGCTGCAGAGGAACAGCTATCTTGCGTAAGGCTAGGAGTGTATACCGTAGTTTCTCCTGTATTGCTTCGTTTACCAGCAATAACAAGCCCTTCAGCGTCACGAAAAAGTGAAATCTTCTTGAACAAGAAGTGGAATAAAGAGTCTAGAGAAAGCTTGAAGGTATCATATTCTCCTTCTTTGCTACCCAGTAAAATTAGCTTTTGTTTAAGCTGAACTCGGTATCTTTTTTAGTATGTTTGATCATTTGATGTCACTCTATGGAAGAGAATCACTTACCAGGTATTCATAGTAGCAGTTTGTTTTGTGTCCTAAACTGTATTCGCCTTTCATATCTTGTGGTTTTTCAGGTTCGAATGTAGTTGGGAATAGGGCTCCTAACCTCGATGACGATGTGAAGTCTTTGCTATTTAAAAAACCCATAGCTCGTTGCGCCTAGGATATGATATCGCAGTCTTCATCAACCTGCTCAGCATTCGAACGTAGAGCTATTTGATCCACTTACAACATTGATGTAGTATTCATTACCAGTGAGCTGTGATAGTCGAGTAAGTTCCAACACAAATCCGCTGGCTGCTGCCAAGTGTGTAACACCTGTAGGTGATCCTGCAGGATTTCTATATACATCGAATTCAATGTTTGTTTAAAAAAAAGGAATAACCAAGATACCTTCAAAACCAAGACACTTACAATCCAAGTTGGTAGCTCTCAATGGGGATCCCAGATTTCGTTCCAAATGCTGGAAGAAGCCAATTGGCAAGTTCCTCAGCTTTCGATAACATCAACCGATCACCTGACAGGTCGTAAGCCGATATCAAGGCCCCAAGATCTGAAAAAGAAAGAATTAGATTAAGCTTGTTTATGAGGTTGTAAGATAATCCTGGGCCGAACGGCTTACTTTTAACGATCGCCTCAAATATATTGATAACATTTGTGGATGATTTATCATTTAGATTAGAATTCATGACGCTCGACCAATCAACTGCTCGGATATGTGTCCTTGCATACTGAGAACGTAAGGGAAGAATGAGTATATCACTCAAACCTGACTTTAAGTTACAATTTCAAGTCAAATATGTAGGAACTTACGTTGTACTCTCTGGTCATATTCATGATGAGCAAAGTATCCCTGAGATCATAAGGTTGATTAAGTAAATGTAATCAGACCACGGCTGAGCTGAGAGTCTGATCACTCACAAAGATTGAATGATAGTAGATCCCCATCCATTGAACGTGTTCACGCCTTTGTTGCTCAACGGTCGTACTTCATCAAATCCCCAAGCATGTTTTTTGTACCCTTCCCAGGCGTGGCTGAAGGCTCGAGTGACCCATTCTTTTCTCTGCTTAGTGACTGACTTCTGATGTGAGCTATCCCATAGAGTTTTATCCTGGAAACCGGGCCACTGAATCTTTAAAAGCCTTTCACTTCCTCCTGATAATTTGGCCGAAGCTGGATCCCATCTCTGACGTGGAATTCTCCAGGTTTCTGGGTTTGTTTTACCCTTCGATCCTGTTGATTGTCCATATATCTGATCAATCGGAACAGGACTTGAATGTTTATCTGAACGAGGTTTGATTGCATTGGGTGAAGGCCAAGTTAGGTTTGGTGGTGCATGCATACCCTGCCATCCCATAGGCAAATCTTGGGATAGAGTGAGTGGAAACCTTTTCTTTGAAAGGTACTTCAAAGTCTTGGCACCTTTTTCGGTACTTGGATCCCAAGGTGTCTCTGAACTCGGTAAAAGATTTCCATCTGGTCCTGCTTTTCCAGATAAGATATCAGACGAGAATGGAATCTGTCTTGAATCCCTGCGCGTCTTCGAGGTAGAGAAATTCGCTATGAGGTTTTCGGGTAAAACAAAATGAGAGAAGTAGTTGTGAGTTTACGATGGAAAATAAGCATGGCGTATTTTGATCTGGGAACGTACAAGGATTTTTATGAACAGATATGCCTGGATTAGGTGATATCAAGTCGAGTATAGCATAACTCAACAAAACGCAAAGAATGGAATAGAATGAGATGGTAGAAATCGAGAGAACATATGCACAGAGTGCTGTTTTCCAGCTGGAGGTATTGGCTTGTGTCTCGCGCATGAGCCTTGGAACTTGAAGAATGAATGATCCGCCTAAAGATCAGGATCTGCTTCTCAACTAAAATCTTAACAGAAAAGCTGAATTATTCTCGATTGTTGAAAGTATTTACTTTGTATACAGAATGGAAGAAGGTCCTGTGAGAGGAAAAGGGTGTTGATGGGGACCAAAAACACACAAAACACAGTGTTTAATAAAGCGAGCCTTGAAGAGGCTGAACAGCCTCTCTGGAGTCATTTGGCAATTGTTGAGTTGCACTGCAACTTGGTCTAAAATGTCAATTATCTCGAGAACAGCGCGACATGTTGCATTGCCAAACAACCTATGGCGATTGAGATTCCAGCGCCTATAAGAAATCTGCGACCTCGGCAACTGTAAGCTATCACTGGAGCTCGGGGGTTTGCTGGCAGTGGAGTGGACACCAGGGGAGGCAGCTTTATTACTAGGCCTCGGATGCACATATTTTGGTCTGGTTGCGTTCCCAAAGACGCTCAACAAACCCGTATCAGTGACGTACATACATCAAGTAATCCAGTGATGATATCCAACAAACAAGTTCATCCAAGACCCCTCGCAGTCAGAGTGTAGGACAGATTGGATGAAACCAAACCATGCATACCTGAAAAATTCGTCGAATAATCTGCAAGCTCACCCCTCCTTTCTCGATGATTTCGGAGTCCGGACTGATAGACCAGGTGTCATGAAGCAGGAGCCTGTGTGCGGGTCAAAAGTCTGGTTGGTTTGGAGCAATTATTTGGTTCCAAAGCTTCATGAGAGTTCTGAAAGATTGTGTCATTATCAAGTTGGTTTATAAAGCACAGTGAATGTGATACAGGGAAGATGCTGATTCTACTTCTGGTAATTGAGGCTGATGCCAAAGGTTGATAGTGAAACAATTCGGTGCCCTCACGACTGCTCTTATATTTATTCAAATATCAAAACCAGCTTTGTTTCTCACAGCCTACTAAAAAGATAAATCTTGTGCCAGACCAATTATTCAAACCTTAGAGATCTCCTTCTTCATAATTTCTCATCTCCACAAAGTAAATACGAATCCCAAGACATTTAGACCACGTGTAACTCACACATCCCTTTTAAATAGAAGCCAATCCATTGCATTCCAAAAAAAAACTACTGAAGACGAAAAAGACTCAATTTAAGCTGAGCAAAAAAAAAGAAAAAAGAGTGTAATCTCATTTAAAAAAAGGGGCCAGAGGAAAAAAAAAATCACACAAAACAACACGACAACAAAAAGATTTGAAGATGGATTATGCAAAAAAAAAAAATCAGAGAAGAGCAAAAAAAAAAGTGAATAAAAAAAAAGATGAAAATGGGTTTTGGAGAAAACGCTACCATATGATATAGAATAATCGATTGGTAATACTTGAAAAGAGTTCTTCAGGAGGAGGAGGACAAAAGAACTAAAAGGGAAAAAGAACAGGCGGTCTAAGTAAGAGAAATAATGAGGATACTTGTAAGCGAGTGTAGTGAAATGAGAATAAGTCCGATGTGTCCGAAAAAAAACTCTTGATGTGTAGCAGATCAAACAAATCAAGTTTCACAAATAAGATTGAGGTGTTGATTTGATGATCAATGAGCCGCAAACTATCTTGTGTCCTGATTGTGATCAGAGTGGAGCCTAAAGTTACAGTTCGGGTTGCCACTGAGAGTTTTGCGGATATTCGACATGGAAGAGAAAGCTTGGAAAAGTGTAGCCCGATTGACGAGAATCGAATGCAGCGATCTCAGATTGGTCCTTGTTTGATTGAAAGCTTTGAACAAGAGCTGGTCCATCTGACGGTCTGTTGGCCACTATTAGCGCTGAAATATGGGTATGATGTACTGAAGGTGAGAAAATGAAGGATGGGAAGGCGTCTTTGAGGTTCGAATTATATATGTACACTACACTGAGTCAAATTGTCGATCAAAGAGATAAAAACCCGGCCGACAAGAGGACTCCGAGAAGCATTACAAGCTGACAAGCGCGAGCATCGAGTCCAGCTGCAGCACCTAACTTTTGACTTGTGATCTTTCCTGGGTTCTTAGTTCCCGATCCCCCTAAGCCAGCTGCACCATTGGTGGTGTCAGACAAAGCACCAGCCGTCACCTTGGTTAAGAGTCCGGCTCCGGTTGAGGTGTCATGAACACCGAGTGCAGCGACTAGCAAGGCTGCACTGACATGCTGACTTCGAACATATTTGATGGGCTGAGTATCAGTAGTCCAGTTTCCACCGCAGTTCCATTCTTGATCGCACGAGTTTTGTACCATAGCTTGGATAGAGGTATCCAGAGTTTTTTTGATGCCTTCTTTGATATCCCCGTTGTTGGTCTCTCGGTAGACGTAAGCTAGATTGCGAACGTAGTTGGCTTTGAAACCTTGTTGATCTCGATTACATTTAGCATTCGGCTCGCAAGTTTCAGTCACAACTCCAGACGTGTTTTGACCATTAAAAGTTGTAGTAGCATATTGATAAAAGGGTGTCATGAGATCAAGGAAAGTCTGATTGTTGGTGGCTTTGTGCATCCAAGCCATTGCGCCAAGTAGTTGTCCATAGTTGTAACTCCAGACATGAGAAGTAAACGAACCGCAAGCGCCAGCGTTCATTCCATCGGCCAATACACCTGTTTGAGTGTTACCTAGACCGGAGCTGATGACCCAATCAAAAGTCTGTTTGGAAAGTGCAAGCGCAGTTTCATTTTTCGTTTGGAGGTAATTCCGAGCACCTTGCATGATAAACTCAAGTTGAGTAATCAAGGATTTATAAGGCGCAGACTTTCCGTTTCGGTCACGAGACTGTAGAAATAAGTCAAATGTACATGAGTGAGAATGCCGGAAGATACCTATATGCAGGAGAAATTACCCAATAGATTCCACCGCCACACTCAGCATCCCATTGTTCAAAGGCCTGGTCATATGTTTTCTGGGCAGGAGTAATCCACGGCCCATTGGCACCAGGCATGACAGAGTTAGGACCATAGATCTCGGCACCTCCCACCGCTGAAATCAAACAAAAACAAAACAGTTAGTATCGTATCAACATCAAACCCAAAGGCAGAACAAGGAGATCGAGTGCTGAAGAGCCGGACCTGCCTGAAACATCATAATCGAATTCAGTTAAAGAAACAAAAGCTAGCAGCACAGATGATAACTACTCACTAAGCTTCCCCAAAGAATATCGTCGTTCCACTTTCCCAACAGAGTCTCTGACAAACCAGCCATCGAGCCACCAAGAAAATCTCTATCGACACATCAAAACAAAATGAGACAAAGGAGACCACATGTCGAAGAAGCATGATGAACATACTGGTTGGAGCCGTAGGTAGCATTGACAAGGGCACCAGTGACGATGTCGAGAAATTGTGTATCACCCGTGTATTTAGCATGATCCATGTATAAACCCCAGATCATTTGAGATTCGTGCCAGGGTGTTTGTTCTTGTGGAAAAGCGCCGACCTAGTGAAGTGAATGACGGGTATCGATATCAGCTGACGAAGCTCAATGAACAGCTTTGGTTTGGAAGTTCGATTGGCAGCCTAGTTTGGTTTAAGAAGAGGATGAAAATGAATTTACCGATGTTGGTACATAGTAGGTCAGAAGATTTTTGAGAGCTGCCGTTGCTGCTGATCGAAGTGCCGCAACATCGTTGACATTCAAAGTTGGTGAGTAAGACGCCCCATGAGCCGAGAAAGCGAGGCCAAGAGCAAGAAGTCCGGAGAGTAAGCAAGACTTCGCCATTTCGATATGAGTGAATCGACGAAGATTTGAGGTGAAGTCTTTGTTTTTGTTTGGCTGAGAGAAGGGCAGAGAAAGCGAATGAAAGACAAGTGTATGTACTGGCTAGTAAAGTAAGAGCTCAGACCAAACTTTCCGAAAAGAAGGACTATTCGAAGAAACGAAGGAATTGATTAGCACAGCCAACAGGTTGAATTGTTGAGTATACCTTCCGTCGATGAGAAAGCAGAGATGTGAGAGCGGAGCGGAGATGAGGAAGCGGTTGAGAGGGATGGATGGATGAGAGTAAGAGTAAGAGTAAGAGAGTGAAGAGAACTTGGCAGCGAGTGAGGAGAGTTTGGTCGAAAAAAGAGTTTAATCAACAAAAAGGGTTAAATCTGATTGAATTAAATAAATAAATATTAAAATCAAATCAAATACAGCAACTTGGGATTCTCTCAGAAACAGAAAGAAGACAAGCGAAGAAAAATTAAATAAACTGTCACTCTCTGAAACCTTGATGGTCGAGCGTTGGTCTAGCTGTCTATGACCTTGCCAAACCAGTCATCCCACCTGATCCTCAGCAGACCAGAGCGGATGGTTGCCGGCCAAGTTGATGCTGCGATTTGTTTAGTGATAACGAAGCAGAAGCTTACGAGGAAGCCGAAGAAGAATTGACAACGACTATATTTTCCGAAGGAATCAAGGAATTGTAAGACCGGGAAACTCACTCAGGGGAAGACTCGCAGCTTCGTGAAGCTAACTCCCAAGGTCCGTATGGGTTAAAGCCTGTTCGTCGTTGCAGTGATTCAGGTCGGTTATTGAAAGGTGTGGATGAAGTCTTCGCGGATTGAAATCAGTTGATACGCAAAGATGAGTTAAGCTTGGGGTCAAGTGGATGAGTGGGTGAAATCAAACTTCTTTCCAAGACTTAGTCTTGATTAACTACGGAGCTGTAGGTGATGGCTGATGACCATGGATGTGAGAATGATTATCAACCCAGAAGCGGGTCCAAAATAGCTGCCTGGTTCACATGCATTGATGGCTAGCCCAACTTGAACGGCTTAGAATTTGCTCAAAGCTAGAGCCGAAATGTAAATTACGTTCGCAATGCTTGATGAACTCTGCATCATTCGACGAATCAGTGCGCAAGAGAAATAGATAAAATCACAAGTGCTGCATGCCAGTCACCAATCAATTAGGATCATAGGGTGTCCGTGAGATATGGTCGAAGGTCAGGGAGGGTCTGAATCTTCTGGCAGGTTAAATGATCCAGGATTGCATCGAAGGGAAGCATCAATATATCGAACCATTTGAAAGCTGAGTCTTGAATCATGTCAGGACCTGTGCAACTGAGCCATATCCAACCTGCAAATAAATTTGCTCAGGTTTTCTCTACAGATTTGGCTTGAGTGTGTGGTAAATGAGCTGTTCTGTCCAAGTTGCAAAACACCCGGTACAACCAGTTTATTTGAGACTGGAAAGACAGATCAGCCTCAAAAACTGACCAAGAATGTCGCAAATGCTCAGAGTGACATGGGGATCTCATCAAAAACCTGAAGAGTCAAGCTTCATCAAGGTGAGATTCATGTTGAAGTATGTGGACATCAAAGTGCCTGCTATCTCTGAAATCTCAGACTCATGCCAAGACTCAGAGGGAGTGTGATTTTGATTGAGAAATCCTCAACCCTGATCTCCCACAAAAGATACTCTCTTTCTCCAGCCTGAGGCACAAGCCCACTTGAACATATGGACAACAACACATATTGCAGAGGGGTGCATATGTGAGGCTACTCAATATTGAACGATGATGATTCAAATTATGTTGACGATTGCATTTTTAAAGTAATGGTAGCTACATCAGCGATGTTCATTAGGAGGTTTCAATTTTGTTTTTTTGCATAGTTTTTTTGCATATTTGGACAAGTTGTTCATAAAAAGTAGGGGGGCTCAGGTCAAGATCTTGAAGGTGTTTCCTTAAAAAATCAAGGAAACCTTTTAAAAAGATTTCCTGTTTTGTAAATCAAGATGGCCAGCAGTGACAGTGTCCAACAGCAATCAACAGTTTCTTGAAAATCCATTCATCCACAATCTGTTTTCTTTTGTGGGTGTTTACTACAATTATTGTATCAGTCTCAACACCTTTCTTTACCTTTTCACCTCACATTGTTTGTCAAGATTGTTTGGTTTACAGTCATTTGGGTTTTCTTATTGCTATAGATTTGCATAAATTTTAAGCTTAACTAAACCCCTCTTCCAACACGGCCACAACCACTCTCAAAGATGGGAATCATGACCAACCCCTTGTCTTAGACCTGAGCACAGCAAGATTTTCAAGTACTTTTGTTTGAAACCCCATCATGAAGGCTCTAGACATCTTTTAACCCCACAATAAAATTGGAAAAAGCTTCTTATTTATAAGCCTTGTACACACACACTCGTGCCACTTTTTTCACCACTTTACTTGAGTAAAGTGACACAGTCAAGGTGTTGAGTTTTTTGAAAACTGGCTCTTATTCAATATTACAGGGCCTATATGTGTGTTTGATCTGTTCAAAATCACTTGATCTTAGAGTCCAATTTCTTTGTGATCCATGAATGCTGACATGCTAAGATTGGTACAAGAAGATACAGAAGACCTTTGAAGAAGCTCTTCTGATTTTTTGGGTAAGATTTCATGATGTTTTGAGCCCTCAGGCGCATATCAAGCATTCAGTCCAATGCACTTGGAAACCTTACTGTACTCAAGCCAAACCCAAGCTTTCAGTCACAATCACCTCTTTGAGATCAAACATGACCACAATGGGAAGACTTAGTTAATCTTACATAAATGTTCTGCTCATAAAAATTCAGGATTTCTTTCTTATGGTCAAATCAGCAAAATCACTTAACCTAAGCCTCCCTAAGCTTTGTAAAACCAATTTTTAATTCAAGACACTGTAAGGTGTTACATAGGGACGTACAGCAATCATGGCTGAAGACAGGTTCTGATCAATAGTTGTCAACGGCCCTAGCTCCACGAAGATCTCTTTCTTCACCGAAATCTTTGGCTGGAGCTAGGTGAGCTATCATTTCTCTTTTCATCTCTTTTCTCTCTAGATTGTTTCTCTTCCATTTGTTATCAGTAGAGCGTAGGAACTGACTTCACCAAAATCTTCGGCTGGAGCTAGAATTGTGCTAGGAATTTATAGAAGGGTTTTAGTTTAGATTTAGAGCCTTGCTCTCGTGCCTTGTCATCAGTGAAGACTCCGCTTTGGAGTCTTACAGACACCTAAAAAAGTGTCCCACTTTAAAAAAAACTTACACATATTCTACACCAACACATGCAAGTTTTTATGGGTAAAAACCTTGAACTTGAAACCTCCTATTGTCATTTTTATCAACTTCTTCTAAATTACCTTATATTGCTTTTTCCTTCAAGTTGATAACCTTTGACTGACATTTATTACCAACTTGGAAGACAGACTTATCTAATCTTACATAAATGTTCTGCTCATAAAAATTCAGGATTTCTTTTTGATGGTCAAAGCTTCAAAATTACTTAAGCTGAGTCCCCCTAAATTCAAGACACCTTTTTAGGTGTCCCACTTTAAAAAAACATACACATATTCTACACCAACATGCAAGTTGTTGTGGGTAAAAACCTTTTAACTTGAAATCCCTTATTGTCATTTTTATCAAATAGTTTGACTGACATTTAAGTCATAAGAAGTTTCAAGTCTTCTGGGTATTTGAAAAATACCATTACCAGTTATGCAATTCTGCTCATATATGAGAGTGATTAGTGGTGGTAACTCCAAACCAACTGAAATTATGTAGGACAACATATTAGTTTAATTAAAACACATCTTGACTTGCCAAACCTGGGGTTTCTTAAATTTAGTTTGTTTACATGACTGTGAATTTGAGATACATGCCTGCTAGATCAGTCAAACTCAATCAAGACATTCCCTGCACCAAAAAAAATCTGTCAATTGCATCCATCCTATATCACTTTTGAATGGTCTTTGAAATTACTACCTGAGGCTGAATGTTTATGTTTCCAAGTCATACTCAATTATTCAGTTTGATCTTGAAAGCTTTCTTATGTCTGAAGAAGTCATGATATTGGGTAAATGAATTACCCATACAATATACCAATATAAATCTGTGATTAAGACTTCATGTAGTAGTCTTTCTACCAAATGTTCTGGTAATTACAAATTAGAAGGTTAAAATTTTACAGTGGTGAAGGAGATACATAGTATCAAGACCATACATAAGCCTAAGGAAAATAATAAGTAAGCTCATCAAGTTTGATCCAGCAGTTCTTGCTTGACTCAGTTTTTGTTGGAAATAAATAAACCCCTGAATTCAAGTATCAGAAAGATCAGACCAGCATGATAATAAAAGTCTAGAAAAATGTGATAGATGTGAAATCAGAAAAGGTCAAAATCTCAAATTTCGAATGAAACCCAAAATGACTTACAATATTTGAGTCATTTCTTGATCTATGTATCTACTACACAATGGAACCGGACTACCAAGTCTCTTGCCTAGGCGGGATGTACATCTTTGGTACGTTGTCACCCCGAAGTATGATGGCTTTTATATTGTTTTGCTTACAGTGTTTCTCCAGTGAATCTATTAAGCTGTCACATGCTTGAGGTTCAAGTCTTATATTCGCACCGAATATCCACGTATGATCCACCACCATCAGTTTCTTGAGATGAGGCCATGTAGCTTGAAATAGGATGTCATTCAATGTTTGACAGTGTGCTGATGTCCTATAGTCCCATCGAAGGTTGGTTATTGAAATACAGTCTTGGAAGCTGCGCAATGAGTTTGGGTTTTTCGTAGAAAGCTCCAAGTCAGTCAGAAATGGAAGGGAGAACCGACATTGGTGATCACCGATAGGATCGATTTTCCAGCACTCTTCATCATTCCTTTGGACAAATCGAAGTGCAAGCTTTTTAACTTCAGGAGCAATGGAATGGACAAGTAGATATGCCGAAATCGGCGAGAAATGACCACAATGATCAATTGCAAGGTCAGTGATCGTCCTTGGCCACTCGTAAACACACCAGCTTTCATTTAGATCGCTAATATGAGATAGATGTAATTGCGATAGATGTTTCAGCTTAGATAGATGAGATCCAAAAGAGCCATCGCCTATTTTTCCATCATCTCCAAATCCTCTGAAACCCATAAAATCAAGTGATTCAAGTAAAGGTAAACCGTCAGCAAGTTTTGATGGAAACTCTTTCATGCATGCGTCAAGATTGCCATCCTTGAATTTCAGATGCCGAAAGTTTTTAAGATTAGATAAAGATGGAATCAAGTTTGATAGAAAAGCTTCGGTTCCACCTTCATCTTCAGGATCTTCAAATTAACAGTATTCGATGTTCATCGAAGAAAGGTTAGGGCAAGACTCTATCAAGTCTTTAACAGTCTTTGGGGAGACACATGCAGTTCTTGCACCCATATAATTCTGAAAACTGAGATTATCGTATGACGGATGATGCTCTATGAATTCACCAGGAGGTTTGCTGCAGTTCTCTGAGAGATTGAGCGATAGAGATTGAACATGGGAGCCTTGTCTGACAAGAAGGTCGTTGGTCCATAGGTCTATTGGTGCTGGAAGAGAACTAGGAAACTGTAGATTCTAACAATCAGATCGATTCATGGTTAGCATTATATCCTTATGGAAAACTTGATCTGATTATAACTCACTTGCCATAGTCTTGGTTGACAATGTTGATATATCTCAGGTGAAGTGATTGCAAATGCTTGAAAACTGTTCAAGATTGGTGAGTTTTGATGTAAGTAAGTGTTATATCGCTTCTGATCAGCAGGTCCTGCGATCTCCACCCTACTTTTGTAATTTTGGTCGTAAATTTCTCTAGTTTCTTGCTTGGCTATGGAATCAAGTGTTTCGAGTATCTGGTTAAATATGTCGATGGGTAGATCCATTAGGCCCAGAGGACGGGTATGAGATGATTCCTCATTTTTGATAACTGCTTCGACTCCATCGGATGGAAGCTCAACTTCTTGATGAACATGAGAATTAACCATTTTGTTGACAGATGTTATTCGGATAGAGCGATTGGAAGGAACAAAGTAAGGATCGATTCCTTTGACCAAATGAAATATTTCGAGTCAAGTTCTTCGAAACGAGTTCGAATCAAGTTTAGATGTTGGTTTACTCAATGGTTTAGTCTCCCTGTGAAGTTCAAGAGAGCTTTAGAGACAATCTAGAGAAGAACTATGAGGTTCGGATTATCAAGAGCTTTAACTTAAAGCTAACACACTGAATCTGATCGAACGAGATGAACAATCAGAGGAAACAAAGATGGATAAAACAAATCAGTTTGGATTTGATAAAGAAAAGGCAACAATCAAATCAAATGGATGTAGACCTTTTAAATATCAAGATCGAAGTGAATGATGTCATCTCATTTAACACAGCATTGGATCAAGTAAGAAAAGAGAAACATTCTAAAGATCAAGTCAGGATCTTGCTTAATCAGACGACAAAGTGCAAGGTGATCAGCGAGACTAGCGAATGTGATCTTGATTGAAATTCATCAAGTTTTAGTCAGCCATCAACCAACTCAACTTTAGAGAACAGAGCTGAAAAGGTTGGATATCAACATCAGCATACAAGAAAGAAACATTCTATTCTGTCAATGTTTAGATCCACCTTGAAACACCATCAATGTCTGATCTCTTGTCTATTTGAACAAAAAAAGCACCGGCATTTTTCAAGTCAGGACAAATCATCACATCATTCCATTGACAACCTTTCAATAAATTCCCATTGCATTTATCAAGTGATGATAGCTACATCACAGATGTTTGTTGTCTTTTTGATTTCTCACTTACTCACTTTAGATTTCCAGGATGTTGGTGATCCTAGACACTTCTTATCCACATACACAACCCAAAACCATTCAGAGCATGTACAAACATTACAAAGTTATCAGCTACAATTCCGAGTGCTTATAATTCACCTTGGGATAATTGAGATAATTGATTGAGGACTGTAAATGATTCTTGTGTGGCCTCCTTGCTACCAGCTCTTGCAATGAGGTTGAAAATAACATGTTGATATACTAAAAAAAAATTGTAGACAGATATGACATCAGGTTTACACATTTCTCAAAAGGATAGTAGATGATACTCACAGGAAAATGTGTGGATGAGCTGCCACAATTTGACAAAGACCAGATACCATAGTAGAGTTCATTTCCATTGGCGCTGGAACTAGGCTTCTGGTACATGTTTGCTTTGAAAAGTAACAAGTATTGTACTAAAGTGCAAAGATAAAGGAAACAAATGTCAAGAAAAATGGTGCAAGGTTACAATTGCTAATGTTATCAAACTAGCGCTTCGGGGGCGGCCCGCCGCCCTTTCGGCTTCGCTTGACGCGTCAGTCATCGCTGCTACATCTCACTTCGTTGCATTTGACCTATCGCATCATACATATTGCGACATCCTCGTGTAAGTTACTGTATTCTGTCACATTGTTGCATAGGCCTGCGTTACGTCATAGCTACGACATTGCATCACAACTTCTCAAAGGACAGTGCCACATTTACCGTTCATTCTACTCCCCTCTATCCCTCAACAAAACCCAGAATACATGAGGTTTCCCGCGAGACTGGTATTCTACGCATTTGATGTAGACTCTCCCGTTCACAACCCTCGTTTCATAGTTGAAGTTCTGCATGTCATGTCCACCATTGCAAAATTTGTCTCTTGAGGCATTTCCATCGCAATCCTTTGTATGCTTTGACATCCTAGGCAATCGTGTCTGCAACTTATGTGGTCATTAACTTCGTTGATAATCATCAATGACAAAGCTGCTGCGACTTACGCTTTTTAAGCTTATAAATTGGCCTTAAATGCTCCGAAGATTTTATTGAACTTGTCTTTCGCTGCCTATTACCGATTTCGCTGTCAGTATTGGTATCCGGCAGCGAGAGTATTAATTACCGACCTGACTTTGCGTTTTTCGACTATTCGCGAATTTACTGACGGTAAATAGGGAAGTCGTGACTTCGTAAATGACAACTTATTTCCGTCGCAGATCTCACAACCTCTACTAAACGACGGGGTCGGATCAACTGTGTGACTCGAAGACCCGATATGTAATCGGTCAGACGGGGATGATGTCATTTGCCGAATTGTAATCTCATTGCAAAGTTAGTTCCTACAATTCAAAGTCCATACATGCATTCTTCCAGCTCTCCTACGTGTTCTTCACCTTCACTGCACTCGTCTGCTAATTTGGGTTTGGCACCGTCTTCGCAATCAACGAAACATCGTCTACCTATAGATATTGTTAGTCCATGTTCATCGATGTCGGATTGCGTCACTCACGCATGATTATCCAACCTTCCGCGCCAATCCGACCAACTAATCGCATGGCCTCTCACCTCGACCGTGTTGCCCTCGTCCAATCACTGAACGTTTTCTCTTTGCTCAACACGTTCGCCATCATAGCAAATACTCTGCGGTAAAGTCAACCCACACCAAAGCCTATCACGCGAAGTTAGTACCAATCTGTGTAATATAAAAAGAGGCTTGCACACCGTCATATCCCACTGTTGATGCCTCACGCATGCTACATGATAGTTTGCATCGCCGTATGTTGACGGAGCAACACGATGCGACACTACGATACCCCGGCCATGAAAGCGTATTGCATTGCTTGGTTTCTCGGTTGCAAGTCTCGTTTCACTGACAGGTTTCACTGTGTCCCGCATCAGGAACATTCGTTGTTGCGCTGTGAAGTTGTCCATCACAATTACCCCCTCGAGCTTGTAATATTTCGATATTTGCAACTCGGGGCCTCCGCTTTCATCGATCACGGCAAAGGGAATGTTAGTTATTAAACCGCCTTCCACCACAGTTCGTGACTGGTATGCGACTCTGAGCCTGTCTCTTCTTCGAAAACCCTGAATCTGAAAAGATGACATTAGAATCTGTCGATAGTGCAACGGTCAGTAAAATCACGGACCTCCTTTTCTAATTTAAAGATTCCGCTGCAGCGCAGAGGCATATGTTCGTATTGTCTAATGCCTTTCTGAAGTGTCCTCGTCGGTTGTAACATATCTTTAGGATGTAAATATAATGAGAGCTAGATGACGATATAGCTGAATCGCTGTCAATATCAATCACGTTGATCCGACATCTTATATAGCAAATCTGTGTTGTAGAGTTCAGAAATGCAGCCATTTCGTTTCACAATTGCGTTAAGTCGATTCCTATTAGAGCCAAGTCGGGATTGACCGACGACCGTGGCACTCACGATCTTCATTCCCTTTAAATAGCTTTGCCCAGGTACTAATGCAGCCTTCTACATAATGATTTCGGTAGCGACTGCCAAATTCAGAGTGCAATTCTTAAGTTCATTTGGCCGACGCTCGCCATCTGCGTCGTCTCGGATTCAATTGCAGAAGCACACAACTTTGCTAGTAATCAAAACCTACACTGGTCAGATTGCAATTCCTCATAAGACAATAGAATATATTACATAATGACGACGCGCGGCCAATGATAACTTTATAATAAAATGTCATGAAATACAATGTTTTTTGTTTCAGTACTTTTGATATCCCGTGACATGCAAACCATAATCTTATCTGCACGCGTGCACCTTGACAGTGCAACATATAACTGGCCATGTGAGAAGACTGGGCTCGGTAGGAAAACTACTACAACCCCACCGCTTTGCCCCTGGGATTTGTTCACCGTCATGCAAAAAGCTGGCGCAATTGGATATTGGAATCTATAGAATGGTAAAGGACATGTTGAACCACCTGTGTGGTGTAAGTTTATTCTGGGCAGCGTAATCAAACTCCCCACGCGGTTCCCAGTGATTATGCGGCACGATAAAATTCTCCTGCCTACGTGTGTCACAACCATCCGTGTCCCGTTGCACAATCCTCGTTTCATGTTCAAATTGCGTAATAGAATAATTGGCATTCCGGCTTTTAAGCATAAGGAATGCACAGGGAAATTTGGCACTGCGAACGTGTTTAGCATTTCAGGTGTCAATGGTTCACCCGTGGTTGAATCGTCATTGGCGTCGATAGAAATTGAGTAAAAGGCCTCTCCGTCCAGACTGTCCAAGATATCCTCATTGATTTGTCCAACGTACTTGTTCAGCGGTGTGATGATACAACGGTCTGCATAATAACTCGCCAGGTCGCTCCATTGGCTTGGAGAAATCATGTCATTTGCTTTGTCATACAGCTCAAGGGCTATATCCTCATCGAATGTTAATGCCGAAGGGATAACTTTATGAGCAATATGCTCGAGTTGGATATCGGCTTCGACTTCCTCTTGCAGATCACCTGATCCTACTTTCAGCAACCAGTTAGCGTATTCTGTATTTCAATTTGCAACCTCAGGTGTCACATTTGCCACCGCTAATCGAACGTTCGTCGTCAATTTATGGCGTCGGAGTGTTTGCCACAGATAAGAACAGCGTAATGAAGCTTCGGCCTGTTGTGCGATGGAACCTCGTGGAATAACCGGCAGGGTCTGCCGAAAATCGCCAGAAAAGAAAACCATGACACCCCCAAACGGTACGTCTCGACCTCGCAACTCGCGCAGCGCACGGTCCACACAGTGGATATCATTTTTGTTTTGCATCGATACTTCGTCCCAAACAATTAGTTGTATACATTTCAGCCTATTACTCAATTCGTCTTTTCCCGAGAGTTTACATCGAGAGTCATCATCAGCATTAATAGGGATTTTGAAAGCGCTATGCGCTGTTGTACCTTTCAAAAGTATTAGGGCCGCGATGCCAGATGACGCAACTGCCGCGACTTGGTGTTCCAGAGCGTTGCAGTAGTGCAGAATCGCATTTAGCAGGAATGTCTTTCCGGTACCTCCGGGTCCGTCTAGAAAATGTAAACCGCCGTCTCCTGCAACGATTCCATCTCTTATGTCGTGAAACACAGCCAGCTGTTTGTCGTTCATCAAATTTAACGACTTCTCCAGAATCATCATGCTTTCTTCACTCGTGATGTCATTCTCTTCGTCTAGTGAAATCAAAGCTGCATAGGATCTCAGTATTTGTGTGTCTGGCTGCGGGAGTCCGGCTCTGGTCAGCGTCAGATTTACTTCCTCGAGTGCAACGGCCATTCTGCAGAGACCCAATGCGGTGACCATTTCCGACGTTGGAATTTCGTCAGGATTATATTGCATCATAGCGTACTTGCAATCGTCACATAAATAGATGGCGAATTGATTCCATATTCGCAAAGGATCAGAAGGTGGCCCGAACTTGAGGATAATTGCGAACATTGCTCGTAATTGATATGCACTATGTACTCTGGCGCACTCATCCATAGCGGCGATGTAGTGGTCGTCGTTAAGGAGAAGGCCGCGTGCGACTGCCGCTGCATTGAATGTAGGGTGTACGACACCCTCGAACGTCTTCAAATCGTCAAATGAGGTTGGCCCCTTGACATTCATAAGGAGGAGACGCATAAAGTATCTCTCGCCTTGAGTTAGGCTGGCGTAGAACACCCTTGGGATCGTCTTTGAAGCTTGAACCCCGGGTTTCCAATGTTTGGCGTCTTTATTCCACGTGAAGTAATAGACTACTTCAGGGTACGTCAGAGATCGGATTGTCTCTGTATCGTCCTTGATTTTGACGTTGGCTTTACAAAGCGCAAAAAATTCGGTCAATGTCGTTCTAGCAGCTTTACCAGACTCGATCTGGTTTTTTAAAGACCATTTGTTTTTGAAATATACAGTGTTTTCTCGCGGCATGTGAACTGTCAGCTTTTGAACGGCTGGAAACCGTGAAGACATCCAAAATTCAAATAGTCTCCAACACGCTGCAGGGTGACATCAATGGTCTCAGTTTTGTCCGTTCAAATGTGATGTATTAAACGTACCTTCAGTTCCCGTGAGCGTCCGTCCATCAATGTAAGTGTCAATTTCATTTTCGGCGGTGATTGAAAGCGCAGCTCTATCGTGCCCCTTCGTAATATATTTGTATAGGTATTTCAAGGCTTGCATGCTGGAAGCGACCTCAACATTTATATGACAATTGAACTTGAGTAATAAATAGGGGTTGTACGGGACAACGTCTCTGTTTGTGTATGTGTAGCCGCCCTTCTTAAAATTTCTGCCATTATTTCTTCTTCGATAGTTGGGGTAAGAGTCGTCCGTCATTGTAGTTTCTTCCGCGTAATCCTTTGGAAAATCAAATCGACATTTGCCCTTTCTCCAACAGCTACTACCCTCGCGGCAAGGACCATGAAGCATTGATTTCGTCACAATTTCCCATAAATCAGGCTCGAGCTCGCGATCAGGAATTTCGGCGCGGACTACCAAGTCTACAGCATCTGGCGTTCTAGGACATGACGCAGGCTCCATAATCGGTATAAAATGCAGATGTGGGCGGCCGCGGTTCTGGAATTCGATGGTGCGTACATGAGAGAGACATTTACCCAGGCGACTTTGCTTATTCACATCCTTCATCATTGCTTTCATCTTCATCTGAAATACTCTAACCATCAATTCAGGTCGATCCATTGCAATTTGCCCCGGCAGAAGCGCAGATTGTATCTCAGGCCAATTATCGTTGGCTGTCATCGTGATAAAATATGACGGTTGCCCGAAATGTCGAACCAGAGCCATCGCGTCGTGGTAGAGCTGAGTCATATTCCTAGCGCCGCCAATATGGCCTGCCGGCAGGATAACCCGTCTACCAATTTGGAAATCATTGCGACCTAAAGACTCTTTCGCTCCAGAGTAAAGTTCCGCATATAGTACATCTTGATTCAATCTAAACCAGTTTAAACGTTGATTTTCAACACAGGCATAAAGATCAATTGAGAATTCTTGAAGGAGCATTTTCGAAGACAAAATTGCGGAGAATTCGTCTTTCCGCTGAAATAATAGATACGCGAACCATTGTAAAGAACTTACTGTCGGCCCGTCATCTGGAAAAAAAGCAGGTTAGATTATAAACTTCTATAAAGGTGCTGAAACACTGACTGTCGGGAGTCGGTACTCTATAGAACTCGTTGTATCCAGCTTGACCCCATGGGAACAAAAGTGGATATCGCAGCGGTAAGTAGCCTGTGTGTCTTTCGGATATTCGTTCCCACGCTCCTTCTTCACTATGCAGAATGAGATCACGATCTCTTTCACCAACTGCACCACCTCCGGCGACAATCATCGCGACCTCAGTGGCAGTTGGTCTACAGTAAGTTCGAATGTCATGACCTGCCGATCCTGACTCGGTAGGCGGAATGGATTTGAGCTTTAAAGAAACTGATTTCGCCTCTTCTATAATTTGCTTAGCCATTTTAAACTGTCGTGCATAGGGATTATGCTCATACATAAAATCTTGTATTTCTTGGATAATATTGAGTCGAAGCGTTTTGGAACCTGACATGAATTTCCGATGGGCCGCCTCGTTAGCAATCTCGTTACTCATGACGTAAATTTGAGCAAATGCCGGTTCGGCGCTGGGCCTCGGCAAGATAAGGCCCATGTCGTGGTAAAGAGCTCCTTGTATTTTAAAGCACCGAATACCAAATGGACCATCTACATTGTGTTTAACCTCCGTACCGAGAGAAGTAAACGACAGACAGTTGTTGTATGCGCGAATGTTGTCTTGAAAATTCTTACTCCCTGGATAAGATATATCGTCAGCTCCTAACTTTTGATTCAGGGATAGTTTTCTCAACGCACGCGAGTCGTTGCCCGTGAATAACTTTCGCAAAAATTCTGGCACGGGCGGGAAGTCAAAGTAGTGTTCAGGTAGCAGGACTTGACCACTTTGACAGCAAGTAGAGTATATCGGTCCCGATTTCTTCGTGTCGCGCGTTCGTTCGCTTACCCAATGTAGGGCGTCACACGTTGTGCAAACATCGTCACACATACCGACGTCATGAGGTATCTCGGCTTGAAATCGTAATTTAATTGATTCTTCATTATTTTCCCATTGAGCTCGTACTGCGAGCGGTATAGCGAACCGAGAAGAAGTTTGATTGATTTGGTGGACAACAAAGACGTTGGAGATGGTTACACTGTTGGCCCTTGTTTTCTTTTTCAGTGAAATGAGCGGGTTGTTAGTTAGGAGTACCGAGGTGACTGCATATATGATGATTAGGCTGGATTCATGTTTCAAGTAATCGTAATTACTTCTATAATTGGTTGGAGCTAGTCTGAGTGGGACACCGCGAAATCTGGTGCTCGAATACGACGGATTACCGGTCAAAATGGGTGCACGCAACAAATTTATTTTCGGGATCATCGGTCATGAGTGGATGCACGCAACGGATTTCTTTCCCCATTCAGAAGTTCATACAAAAAAGCAACAGATACATGATAGTGATGTGACAGTGTAAAGTCGAACTGCCCAGGGAGCTTGACTATCACCACAATGGGATACATAGTGCAGATCAACGTTCAACAGATCGGGAAATGGGTCTTAGAATACCATGAATACGGGACAATGACGGGCAATAGAGTGAGAGAGAAGAGAACACAGAATCATACTCGTCGACGTTTTAGCGGTGAAGAATTCACTGGAGTTTCTGGGGCTTCGGTGTTCTCATCTGCCTCGGTGCTTTCGACTGCGGTGTCGATAACGTTGCCAGTACCTTGTGGAACGGGTGGAGTACTGCTTGGATTAGGATCCAGAGTGTTAGCGGAGGTGCTAGCGGCACTGCTAGCCTTGTTCCTACGTCTGTAGTAATCGGTCAGTATAATGTGGCAAGTTTATTACGATCTGACGCTGGCTTACAACGTTAACGGTACTCGTCCGCCTTTGGGAGTACCAGGTTTGTTGATGACCTTATCAACTAAACTGGGGGCGTCCCCGGTGCAGCGACTGATTGCAGTAACCTGATCGAGTAATGTTAACTTGGAACTACAAATCGATATTGTTGTGTGACGAACCTCGGTTTCCCACATGAAGTTCACCCCATCGTAATCCTTGATGGCGCCGACTAATTGAACCTCGCGGCCAACTTGGCATATGTTTTGTGCTTTCTCCATGTTACAAACGGGAGGGATATGATGCTTGGTGTAGAACGTCACTGGAATTTTTGTCTGTCGTTGCTGTCGTAAGTATAAGGATAATAAAAGATGACGTTTGTGGAACTTACAATAGGATCATAGTCTTGGGACTGTAGCGTAATTACAACAGTCGCTTTGCCTTTGTAAAGAGGGTCCTTCACAGTTTCGCGCGCTGTCACATACCCAAGCGCAATCATCACGGTCTTGTCCATGAGATCCTCGGCAAAAGACTCGCCGAATCTCGCAACGTCACCGAGATCAATTCGTGCAGAATTTTCGAAGTGAAGATGGTCATCTTTGTCGTCGTTGGTACCAATCATCTTGCAAGTCATCGAATAGACGGAATTGGGCTTGACGGCGTCAGCAGTGGATCCATAAGATGTCAAGCGAATAGGATTGGCAAAGGGGGCACCTCCATTCATCCCAGAGGTGGCGATAGAAGCATGAGAAGAGATAAACCCTTTTGAATTAATGTGAAGGGAAGCAGCCTGCGAAATAGACATAAATTAAGATTAGCATGGTGTATGAATTATATCGGTTTCAGGCGAGCGGAACGGTATCTTACTTCAACTCCCGCCTGTCCGAAATAATTGACCCGAATAGGGTGAGAGGTTGAATTGGTATTGGGGGCGACCATCGTGGCAGATAGATGAGTAAGCAGCGGTATGGGAAATTGAATGACAGATAATAAGTTAATGCGAAGTGATTGCTATCAGTGAAAATGCAGATGGATAGAAATTAATAGGATGTGGGTGCATCAACGACTTCTTATAGTTTTCGTATCGTGGGATGACACCGAACGCAAACAACAAAGCGGCAACTCTTCGTCGGCTGGGGTGCACCGCCAACATAACACGGATGGTTTCGAAATCGGCAGCTTGGAAATCAGGGCCAGGAACATGAAACGTGTCAAAAAGGACCAGGCGAATGGGCGAGCGTGTGATGTGCTGCTGATTAGAGTATTGGCTACAGAAAAGAGGGTGCAAATGTGATTGTGATCACTTACACCTGATTTGGTCACTGTGTTTATTGTAGTAATTTGCCGCACGTCCATAAAGCGGACTGTATTGTTGTTGGGACTACTGGGCAGTCAGATCGAGTGTCCGGCGATTGGATAATGGATGTTGAGGGCGATCGGGAGTACGTGGTTGGGATATTGGATATAGATTGACCGTGCTGGATAAAACTGTTGCAGTCTAAAAATAAGAATAGGTAAACTACTTGTCGACTGATTGAGATCTGACTTACTATGAAGGTGTATTTAGGGCTAGGTTAGACAATGGTTGGGTAGAGGCTCAGCATTGTGGCTTGGGGGCTAGGTTAGGCAATGGTTTGGGAGTGGCTCAGCGTTGTAGGCAAAAAAAATTTTGATAACGTCTTGGCAGACTGGGAAAGTGGAATAGAGTGTGGACCGCGACAGTCTGACGTTGTTGGACCGTAACGCAGACCACGTATATCGACATTTTTCGTAGTCAACACCATCTCCTTATTATGTATGATAATCTACATACTTGCAAATTTCAATGGAGAACTTTGCCACAGACGAGGAGCAAAATCCTAGTCATTCAAACACCAATAGAAAGCAGAGAAGTAAACTGAGATCCAAATACTCTTCACAAAGTTCAGATCACCTAACCACAACATCCTTTCTCTGGAAAAAAACACAAATAGGAAACAATATGAATCTGCGACAAAGAAAAGTAGGCATTCAATTCTGTCTTTCAAGAATATGTATATACCATGCACAGGCAAAACTAAATTATATTCCTAATCTGAACACATTTTGTTTGGTTATGAGTTGATCAAAAGAATTTCAAAAACTACACAAGATACAAGACCTTAATACACCAAACTCTCTTGAACCCAACCACCTAGAAAAAGACGTTCAACCACAAAACACCAAACAACAACTCCCAAAATATCTACACTCAAAAAAGATTTATAATCTAAGCATAATGAAACCCGATCTCAACAAACACATATCAAGATCGGCGAAGCTCTCCGATCGATCCTAATGACCAACTTACCCACCAACAAATAAATAACCGTAGTAACCCCACTCACACTCAACAAATGTACCTCACAGATCTTGATCAATCTCTTTTTCATTTCTTCAAGTGGTACAGACCATTCTTCTTGATGAAAGATAATCGGTAATCCATCCCCATCAATTTCACTCAAGCTTTTCAATAATTCGTAATAAAAACTGGCTTCGATTAATTTATTGGGTGTTAAGGTTGGATCTACTTGGGTAGGGTATGATTTTATTAGTTGGGCAAGCGTTTCACTGGATTTTATTCAAGTGAAGCAGTCAGGTATCAGAGTTCTGATCTATATGGTGAGAAAAATTAGGAACACAGAGGGAATCAGGTCTATACTGACATTGTTTGTTGGTAGTTGAGTGTTCCTTCAGCTGTATCAAGCGCTCTTTGAAGTTCTGGATTAGCCACTTTGAGCGAATCCAACAAAGTATTCGATCTCCAAAACGAATTCGTCAAGCGTGAAAGAACAGCAAGTCTTGATTCTGGTAAAGATGACGGAAAGTCTAGTGGCGTAGGTTTTGATGGTGGACTAGAGATTTCAATCAGTTTCTTGGTTTCGTTTGAAGAAGAATGGAAAGGATGATCGGTTGGGTCTTCGCAAGGCTCAGGTTCGGGTACGACCAAAGGAGACATGGAGTCAAGTTCTTGTGATTTCTTTGGTGAATCGGTCAACTGAAGTAGTTGTGTTTTTGGATCATAAGCCGTTCGAGTTTTAAGTTTGGTCAAACTTTGTTGTAACCGTTTATGCGTGGTAGATTGAGGTGTGGGTGTATTAGGCATATGATGATGATCATCTTCATGATCCGAGACTCCTGGTGCTTGACTACCAGAACGGATCTTGGGACTTTTGGCTCTTTGAATGATCCGTCGGGTTAGTTCGGTTCGAGAGATGAAGGGATCATATGGGTCTGTAGAAGTAGAAGCTGAAGGGATCGGTTTCTTGGGCGTCTTTCGCTTCTTGGGTGAAGTCGAGATCGGTTCCATTTGAGCCAGTTGTTCTGCTAATTGACGAGACTTGGATCCGATCACGAATGCAAAGCTTTCAATGACTTGAACAAGATAAGCGGGAATACAAGAATGCTCACTCACCTTGGCTCGTTGTTCATCTCTCAAATCGGTCAAGGCCAATATTTCGAGTGATTCTCTTTGGATCGCCTCTTTGATGCTCGCTGAAGGCTTCGGTTTGGTCTTGACACGTGGTTTTGTAGGTAATGGAGCTGTGCGTGGAAGCTGTATATTTGAAGAACACGAATATCATGATGATCAGTTATCTTTGTACTAAAGTTTGGATAGTGGGAAAATTCACTAACCTTGAGTTGCTCTTGTAAGCCAGCAATAGACGATTCCAACGTATTGAGTTGTCTGATAAGAGCATTAACATGATCGTCTAGTCTAGGCATAGGACTAATATTATGAAAGAAATTGCAAAATAACGTGTAGATGTGATTCAGTAGAAGAAGATAAAAATAAAGATAAAGTGATGATAAACTAACTAAATCGAAAGTAAAGTCTGAATAGCCATCAATGAACTTCTAGTAGCCACCACATCACCGGTTTCTCTTTGTTGTTTAGATTTTCCAAGATTGACTGTTTTCGAAACATTTGCTAATTCTTGAACCGTAGAATCTAAAATCATTCGATACCCTGCTGGTTGATGATCATCTAATTGAAATAAACAAATTTCATTTTGTTTGGCTTCCCTTAGATAGGTTTCTTCAAATTCATCTTTGGTTGATAAAACTGAAGATGGTAATGAGGTGCTGATGGTAAAGTTTAGTTGTCGTGTTTGTTTTAGTGTGTTGGCTAGTTTGTAAATCGATTCTTCTGAACTTGATGCCATGTTTTCTTTGTTGATGAGTTGATAGTTGATAGTTTGGTTTTGGTTTCGATCTTCAAATGACAAGATTCCCAATCGATCTCTCAACTCATTCGACTGGTAGGCTCGGATCGGGTAATCTTCTGGGGGGCTATCGGATCGGATACTTCTTACACTTCACTCCTCATCTTCACCAAATCAAGTGGTTCATGAATTATCTTGACATTCTCAGTGATCAAGCATTGGTTCTTTGTCCCACACAAAAAATATAGGATTTTACTAAAAGCAGCCCCCCCTTCAAAGGCTTGACCGCCCCCTTTTAGTCGGGGAAGAAGAATACAATATAAAAACGGCTGTCAGTTATTGATCCGTGTGAATGCAAAACTGAACATCAAGGGGGCGGTCTTGAATTCAGGTGAAATGGAAGCCAATCGTTAAAAGCATCGTTATCACCTCCTCCTGCTTTCATGGCTTAAGATCTGTTGTTGGACTTGGTGCTTGGTGATTCAAAAATCTCCTTCCCTGGCGTTGTTTACAATCACAAATTTCCTCTTGCCCCCCTTTCGCAGTGATTGATAAATATTTCTACTTCTTCCTTGTTCTTTCTTGTGATGATTAAACACATGCGCACGTAAAGAAAATCGATCGGTAATAACCGAAGCAAAGATTTGATTGATAATGATAAGATCCTTCATTAGATCAAGGTTATATGTTACACCTCACATTCAGACCAACATGTATCACGGTTGATAAGTGATGATGAAACATGATTGGATATTTCATTGCTTCATCGTCATCATCATATAGAGAAAGTCGATCAGAAGAACATGCGTTATCAGGTGTTGCCTCTGACATGCCAGAGACTGGAAGCAAGATAGTATCAATAGCATTCTGTAGCATCTCATCCAGTTTCCATTTCACCTGAATTCAAGACCGCCCCCTATGTGTTGTTTTGAATTCACACATATTCACACGCTTTTGTATTGTAAACGTCTTCCCCGACTAAAAGGGGGCGGTCAACCCTTCAGAGGGGGGGCTGCTTTTACACCACCGGGTGGTCTGGACCGCCGCTGGTCCGACCAGGCGGTCCAGCGAAGGGCGGCCCTTCTGTCTGCGGTGAAGGGCGGTCCTTAGGTCGACCTCACGCAGACCGCCCACAAAAGGAATCCCTGAGGCGCCCTTTGGCTGCTGAGGAAGCGGCCAAAAGTCGCCAGATAGTGGATTTCCGAGGCACATGAAACGAATCGCAATTTGCCACAAAATGACGACGGACAGCCGCCTTTTCGAATCTTTCACGTCGCCCAGGCACAATAATAATCCGGTAAAAAAAACAAAAATCAGGGTGTATTTGGTATTTCATTTTCAATTGGGGGTAGTGGGAATGAAAAGAACAGTTCAAAGACGACAATGAAAAGCACAATTCGCTAAAAATTTTGTCAGCTAAAAAAAAAAATTTGTTCGCGCACAATTTTTTGATTGGGGGATAGGTGAAGGAGAAGCACAGTTCAGAAAATGAAAAGCACAATTCGCTAACAATTTTGTCAGCTTAAGAAAACAACTTTGTTCGCGCACGATTTTTTGATTGGGGGATAGGTGAAGGGGAAACACAGTTCACAAAGTGAGACGCTAGTTCAATCGCACATAAATGAATAGTGCAGGCAACTTCTGTGCCAGATGTGAGACAAGATAATAAAAAAAGGGTCGTTGTCGACTACGTGAAGGACGTTTCTGAGAGTGTCGGCTGACTCAGGCTGAGAGTCATCGACCCTACTCGTCATCTTGATTGGATTGTTCGGCACCAATTGCATCTTCAACAACCTCGTCGGTTGGCAGCGCAAAATCACAGGTTTCTTTAAGTTCGTCAAATAAGTTCTTGAAGTTGAACGCCTCTCTGTCTTGATTATACACAACTTTGTAAAAACTGAAGTCCATCCCAAATTAGTGCCACATTCATTGACGATGATCAATGAATTACTCTTACGCAATGGTATAGTCGTCCCCTTTGGCTCGCAAGCTGGCGAGTTTCTTGTCCACACTGGCCCAAACTGACCCAGAACCGCGGCCGTTTTGGAAGATATGGACAGCTTCGCGGCGCTGGTGTAAGAGAGGGACAAAGAGTAAGAAGTTGGAGTGTGAAAGTTGCTTGAGACAAGGAGACTTTTTCGAATCGCTTACTAGATAAGCGATTCGAGCGCGGGTGGGCGCATCGGTATTGGCCCATAAAGAGTTAGCATCGGCGTGTGAGCCGGCGACGCCCATCCTGTTTGCGATCTATGAGTGAGTTAGATGAAGATATATCAGCAAAACAACGAGAAAAAAATGGATTAAAATTGAGTAGGAAACAAACCCTGTGCCATAGCAACTTGAGGTTTGGCACTGGGTCGTCCATGACCGCACCAGTCTTGGGATCGTAAATCCCGGTTAAAAGCTGAAATGGAAGTTTGGAAAAGTTTGCAAGGTTTGGAAAGCGGAAAGGCAGAAAGAGTGCAAGGTTTGGAAAGCTATGGTTAGAGTGATAACGAGAATTCACATATGAGGGGGAAAGCACACCAAGATATGAAGTTTTTCACGAGTGTGCTTGCACACATTCCTGATGTGAGTAGTCAACAACCTAGTGCCAACGCTGTCTTGGATTCCAAGACTCCCTCCTGGAAGATGCTGTTGCTTCCATTCATTGGGTTGAGCATTGAGGCGGGTCTGTAGATTGGAAGAGGTAATGATCAGTTTCGTAAATGGAGCGCCAAAGGTAAAATCAACTCACTCGTATCGAGCTAAAAAACGAATGAGAAAGCCAAACACGATTGGCTTCTAAAGCCGTGTACGACTCTAGACCAGGTGTCACAATGAGCCTGTTAGACAAGGACACTATCAACTCCTGGTAGATCCAAAGGCTGAAGTCAGCATTGATTGAATGATCTTGGACAACAAAGGAAAAGTAACACATACATGGAGTTCCGGAGAACAAACCCAAGCCACGGCATTCGCACTGGGCCCGTTAGATTGGGACTCAGCCGACAAGTGGTTCTCAAGCATGCTCGAGACCTCTTCAAGCTTTTCTGCCATGCGGCCTACCGCGTCAGAAAGCTTATCGATGTTGAATAGCGTTTTAGCTTGGGCAACTGATTGGGCAATGTGTTGCGCCGCCAATCCGTTGACCTAGTTGATGAAATTAAAAAGAAAGATGAAATGGAGGATAGATATTACCAAGGCAAGATGAATGAAGTGATCAAAATGAAAAAGACGTGTTGCAAAGGGGTAAACATGAAACAGATTCAGCTTGTGAAGAATACATAAAACTTGAAGAAGGTTGAGATGAGTTACCTCAGCAAGGTATTGGGCATATTCATGATGCACTGGGTCTAACCCAGCATTCATTGACATGGTCTCGAAAAAGGCCTTTTCACCACCAGCCAAAGTGCGACGTGCGCTGCTTAACGTGAAGGCGGTGGCTGGCACCTGATTGGCAGGTGTAGAAGCTGTGGGCGAACCGAGTTCGCGTCCCAAGTCGTCACCACTTGGGCTAGGGGAACGGCGACTGGATGGCCCTCTATTGGAGGGCGATGAGGAACGTCCGTCACGGACACGGCTGGACATGCCTGGCAAGCGAGAAGCATTACGGCGTAATAGAGAGTGATTGTTGAGGCTACAAAGCTGAGAAGACATACTGAAGTTCGGTGCGATATAAGTTTGGTGGTTGGGTCACTTTACAAAGGACAAAAAAGATGGAAAGTGATGGAAGAAGACTGATCTCAGGACAGGATGAAACCTTGGGGGAAAGGGGGACAAAAAAAGTGAGAAAGATCGTCCTTTTAATGTGCAGAAGCCAAAATTCAGCGACTTGGGGAAAGAAGTGAAACACTGGAGGAAAGAGCTCGTGTCTTCCACGCGAAGTGGTGAACGCGCAGGCTGCCCTTGGCTTGCCAATCGCCTTTGAATAGCCTAAACGCGGTGTCTGACCAATCACAGATCACGACCTTTGAGATGAAGATTGAGAAAAATTGAGCTGAATGGAGTCAATGAATCGGAGTGTGATGAGACAAAGATGAAGAAAAATTTGAGTGTGAAATCAATCACAGAGCGGAAGTGTTTGTTGGTGCCAAGACAGAAAGAACGTAATTTGATTTGACTCGCCATTCAAACTGATGTCAAAGGTCACACAACTCCGGTTTTCCACACTAACACACCATTCATGTTTTCAACACGAAATGGTTGAACGCGCAGGCTGTCCTGGGCTTGCCATTCGCCCTCCCGTGGTCTAAACACGTCTGACTGACCAATCAGAGAGCACAATCTTTCATGAGACAAGAAAGATTGGGCTAAAAATTGAGATGAGTGATTCAACCAATCACAGAGCGTGATCCTTTGTGACAAGATAGATCAAACTAGAACTGGAGCTGAGTGATTCAACCAGAAACCTTGCATTCTTTCCCAAGTGTTCCGCGCAAGGTGAACTGATCTTCATGCGCGCACTTTAATTTCACAAAAGTAATCGACATATGAGAAGTAAAAGACAAAAAATCTCAGCGGGCTTCTTGACAAATACAACTATTGTAATTGTACAATGAACGATTTAACAAGATCAAATAGCAATTTGATTGTATATCATTCCTGGAATGGATGGATTAATAAACGACTTGAAATGATGGTGCCTCCAATGCATTTGTAATGGAGAACTGATTCACCACCTTCACTGGGCAAGTTCTTCCTCTGTCTGATGTCTTGAGACGCTCTTTTGACGCCTCATTTTTCGCAAAATCCTTATGAATAGGCAGCATATGGCTTTGCGAGATGATTGATAACATTGGCCAATGTCGATTGTAGCAGTTTGATAGGTGCGAGAACAGTCTTTATATGGCTGAACAATGCGTACGAAAAATTTTGTACGCTCAAAGATGAAACTAAAAGGAAGAAGTCAAACAAGAAGAGGTCATTCAGCTCAAGGCCACAAAAATAGAAAGAGACACAAAGGTAAAAATATATTTTTGTCTTCAGTCAAGAGAAAATGATATGACAGCGTAGCACGCTTTCATGAAAAGGAACTAGATTCATGACACAAACGCCAAAGGAAAAAAATGAAATGGGTTGAGAAAGAAATGAAGGTAGAAAGTTAGAAAGATATATGTACATTAGGTGATGAAAAAGTCGCAGTGTGCAGTCATGATGTTACAATATCTTAGGGAAAAACAAGGGCAAAGTCATCTATTCCTTTCTTCTCAGCTAAGCGCACCAACTTTTTACGGGCTTCCTCAGGATAGCCAGTGAGAAGAGTGCTACGCAGTTGCAACCAACAATCATCGCACAAGTCCCCGCGCATGTTATTGACCTCTTGAATTCTCTCAACCAGGCGTTTGTTTATCTGGCAAGCACAACCAAAGCGAGTGATACTGCCTCGCGCGGGGATTACTCTCACATTATTTTTGTTGAACGTCTTTGAGTTAGAAGTGTGGTGGTCAGTTTGAGATGCCCAGAGCATTTCAACGACGCCATCGCATGCGTCAAAGTCCACCGTCACATTGTAGTTGTCCAAAAAGAATTGTGATCCATTAGAATCGCCTTGAAAGGGGTCATTTCGGAGGGAATAGAGTTTCCCAGTGTGACGATTGATGCGTGTAAAAAAACCAAAAGTGTACTTGCTTTCATCTAAGTCGGTATGTTTGGCGTTGTAAAACTCGTCGTAGGTGACGGCTATGTTCGAGGCGAACACTTGCGCGTTGGGAGAGACGTAGAAGGATTCTCCAGCCCAAGATGGAACCCCCACTCTGGAAGCTAGTTCGGCGTTGGAATTGAAAGCATATGAAGATAAACCCGCAAAGCGCTCAGCATAGAAGTCCTCGATGGCTGGAAGGTTCCCTTGGCGCTCAAGATCTTCTTGCATGCGCCAAAGCTGGCCACTGGTAGTTGCATTGAACGCATAAGGTCCTAGGTCAAGATTTAGGAAATTTGTCAGTATGGTTTGACGCATTAGGCATGAATATTACAAAGAACTGACCTGCTTTTGCAATGTGATCGTATCCAGGCCTAAATCCAGCTGCGTGCATCTTGCCGTACTTGCGTAAGTGCGCTTTGACCTTCTTCGCAGCACCATTAGTCTTGACGATTCCACGTGCCTTGGCATGATGATAAACTGTAGAGATAGCGTGGTTGTAACGTTCGAATAGAGCCAGATTGGTTGGAGTCCGCTCGACGAAGCGTGCAACTAATAGGAGTTCGCTGGTGTCTTCGTCGAGGCAAACGACAGTGCCAAAGTGAATGCGAGTAGGTGTAGTTTGACCTTTCTTGAAAAAAAGAAACTTTGTTTCGGGAGGTAGTCCGTAGAGTTCAGTCAATTGTGCAAGTTTGACGGAGCGTTGGTTTATTGCTGGTCTATTCTTCTTGCGCTCAAGTTTTTGTCGGAGAGAATGCGCTTTGCGACAACGAATAGTGCTAGGAGACTTATGCTTTGGCTTTTTAACAACTTCTTCCATTATATCAGCACTGAAGTACCTGCTCAACCTGTAGCTTCAGGGTTATGCGTCGAGCTGAACTCAAAGTTCGAAGCAGGCAGGTTGAGTAGGATACAGACAGAGAGAATTTGGAGTAGCGGAAAATGGGCCTAGGCTGCTCTTTGCGTACACGAATGGAGAGTTGAATTGAGTTAAGGGATGGTAAAATGATGATTGATTGATGATAATAGGAACTGATAGTATTGATAATTGGAATTCAGAATTCAGATGCGTTAAGATAGGAAGAGTGAAGAACTACGATGGGGTGGGCAAAACGATGCACAAATGCAAATGGTCTCTATTTAATATCGCGAAACAAACCCAGTTTGTTTCGTAAATATTTGAGACCTGAATCACTCAGGTGCAAAAGGGAAATCTCCCATCTGGACTGGCTGAGCACAGACATCGCGATGGCTACGTCAGGCCATTGCCATGCTAGTACTTGTGCATATCCAGTTTCTGACCCTGGATTCGCTTCCTGTGTTGCAATGGGCAATTACCCCCATCACAAAGAATGAGGAATCAACAAACACCAGGGTCGCAAGGGGCCGTTGGCCACCATGAGCGTTATCGGTTTCAGGTCATTAGACTGTTTGAAGTCATTACACTGTTTGAACGCGTTCAAACAGTCTAATGACCTGAAACCGACGCGTTCAAACAGTCTAATGACCTGAAACCGATAACGTTAATTTATATCACAGCTGCAACCATATGAAGGTAATTCGACCACACCCTTCTCCAAGCTGATACTCAGCCAAAAAGGGCAGTATGGGAATCATGCTACTTATCAAGTGTGTAATGTGTTTCATTAGTACCAAAAATAAGACTCGATTTCACTAATCTACAATTACTAGAGTTGTTATTGGTGTTATTTCACTTTACCTTTTTTTTGGTGAGATACTCGTGCCACTGAATGGTACTGGGAAATACAAAGAACAGAGTCACCATTCTCCTGACTGATATTTTGATAATCTGACCAAAAGCCATATCGCAGTGGTCATATTTACGTAGCTTGTATGGCTTTTGGCTTGAGAGTAATTAATCTAGTCTTCCGTCAGCGTCTCGCCAATTATCGGATGCCAGAAATGATCATCACACATTCTTCTAAATCAGAAGAGGTGGAATGAGAAGATGGTTTGAGGAATCGTTTACCATCGCCTAGAACACACCGCCTCAATGAAAACTTACGCTCTTTTCCTTGATGCATTCTCGCTAACACTTCAACCTATCTTTGGGGCTTTTGGCAATACTTTGATTGTGGAGTCAGTCGCTTCTTAGGAGAATATAGTGCCACTGAAGTTCAAAGAAATCAGTTGGAAAGATTTCTTCGACCACCTTTGCGTTTGATATCACATTTAGGCATGAGGGTGAGTAGGGTTCCGATTATAAAAAAAGAAAAAATCGGAATTGTCTTAATTTCTTTACATGCTATTAGATATGTTCTTAGATTATCAATTTGAATAATCATGAATGAGAATTGAGTGGTTTTGGTAGTTCCACCATACACAATCGAACTTGGAATTCACAAAGAAGAAATAAAGGTTGATCAATCATCTGACTGGTCAGAATCGATGGTTTCAGGTGGAACATTGTGACGACCTCGCTTAGATTGCTTAGATCCCTTTGCCTGGGTTGCACGTGCACGTGGCTTTGGAGGACATACCGGTCTCTCTTCCCAGGTTTTGATCCCACTGTTGATGGCTTCGTTCCATTGGGCGCAAGTGACATCCGACACTTGTACTTCAGATAGGCGTCTATGTAGTTCTGCTGAATAGTGCGCAGCTGAATTCAAAATAAAAGAATTTGACTGAGAATGACAAATGATCGGAAGTGTTGCCCCCACATTGCGCCTCTCGATACGCCGTCCGTTTGACTGGCCAACAGGACAATTGCCATCGTGACAATTGTGCTGCACGTTCATTAGACACTGAACTGCCTAATGAAATGATGGTAATGGTCAGCATCACGTTTGACAATGTAGAAATTTGGACAAATTCAAAGTGTGTCAATTATTTTTACCTTGACTCGCTTTTCCACAATTTCTTCAGTGACAATGAACTCTCGCATGCCATAAAATGGCACAATTCGACCAGGACGACAGACCTTCAATACCAGGACTGTTTTTGAAGGTGACAAACCATTAGGCTTCCATATTGAAGATACTTGCCTGATATTATCTGTATCTTGTAACTATAAAAGGAACCTTGGAGCTCAACAAAAAGAACGCTAGGTATGCAAAAAAAAAATTAAAATTACCAGGACAAAATCACCGGGCTCAATCTTCTGCCCATTTGGAAGAGTGACGCTCTTCATCTCTTGCAGAGACCCTTCGGCATGGTGTCCCAAACACTCAGGGTGCGGACCCTGTGGTTCAATAGGCTCTGGAATAAGAGTTCCCAAGGTGATCAGCGGCAATTGTCTAAAGAACTACTTCAAGTTTGCAATACTCACTTCCACACGTATAGAGTGCGTCACCGCTGGAGCCTTGCGGACGTCTCAAGCCCATTGCTGTATACAACTGTGGAATTTGTTGTAACAGACCTGTTAAAAGTGGGCCACCTCTGACACGCGCCTGAAATTCGTGATCGAAGAAAGAAGAGCCCGACAAAAGGATCCGCAAAAGGACCCGGTTGTTGAAAGTGTTGCCGATGTCTTTGCTAGGACTTCCTTTGTTAGAGTGAACCGAAGCGTTTCGCAAGCTAAAGTTGAAGGACTCGAATTTTTCACTTGCATATAAGATCGCCGGGCCAAACCTTTGAATGCATTCTTTGAGGTGAACCAACATGTGGAACTTGGGTTTATTGACCCACTGAGCTGAAAGGTGAATCAATTGATGGAGAAAGGAGTCAATGCGCGCCTCTAATTCTTTGAGATAAACTTTCAGATCAGTAATCTCAGATTGAAAGATGTAAGAGCTCAAAAGGCATAACGACATCCAAAGATGACGTTTTTCGACATCAAGGTGTTCAAAGAGAACAAATGGGACCGTTTGTAGGACTGTTCTGAATTCCTTCCCTACCAGGCTGCGATTGAATTGTATGAGAGTTGTTGGAATGATTGGAGGAACATTGAGGCCTTTGATCGAAAAGCTGCTCCAACTTGCATAAACTTCATCATATTTCTTGGACCCGTACTTTAAAGACAGTTCTTCCATGGTTTCACGAAGGAGGTATTTGGTATGGCCCAGTAAGACCACATGAAGGGACTCAAAGGGCGTGTCCTGATGGCCGTCAAATCCTGAAAGAAGCAATAATATAGCCACTTCAATGCCATGAAGTTAAGATCACCCAATAGATACAATGGAATCATACGCACCTCGAAGCCTGAGCATGGGATTGAATAGATGCAAACCTTGCTCGTCATTCAGCTTTTTGAAGAGTTGTTCAACATCGCTTGGTGAGAGTTGGTTATGAGCTGTGTGCATTTTCTTAAGGAAAAAATCGTTGACGGTATCTTTCTGTCCATACGCCCGAGCAGTCTCTTCAATTAACGTCTTTGTATTGCTCCTTTGTGCAAGGTTCCAGATCTCCTGGGTACGTAACTTGGTGACGTCCCATTTCCGTCCTGGCAAATTGATCTACCTCATCCAAACAATTCAGGTGAATGATAACATAATTGATGAATTAAAGAAGACCCACTTTCTGTCCTAGGTCGTTGCGGCCCAGAAAATCACGTACATATCGGTTGGCCTTCTTGTCTGCCTGGCGTGCCACGTGGAGGTCGCATATTCGACAGGGGGTGAGGGTGATGGCGGGATTGGTAGTATTGGAGATTTCCGCGTGCATTGGTGAGTCACCCACATGACAGAGGACTGCTGCCATGACTAACACTTCCTCGCCAAGGCAGTGGTCATATGCCGTAAATCCGTTTGTACCAATGTCGCTATTTGAAACATGCGGTCAGCCAGACGTCTTTGGGGAATCATAGAGGCTTACAGGAATCTCACTTGATATTATCAACTATCTCATCAAGCAAATCAAGAGCACCAGCTGAGTTTGACGTCGCCAAAAAATGTATATTAAACTCTTGGTTTGTCCATTCAGGGGCTAAACCGGCTAGAGTGAAATATACACTCATGTGCTTATTGAACTTTTTGGACACATTACCAGAGGTGTCGTCAGAGTATAAGGTGATGGGAACATGTCGAATGACTTTCCCTTGCGCCTTTTCTCGCCACGGGTTCACCAGTGGTATGGAATACAAGTCGTAGCTGTCAAGTTCTATATCGAGCAAACAGTCAGATTCTTTGGTCAAACTTGGATGAAGTTTGACCAAAGCAACTTACGATACATATTCTGACATATGTCACTTAGAACAACACCATCATCCCCAACCCTAATTTCGTGAAACGATCTCCATATATCATTGACCTCAATGATATACAGCTCGTCTGAACCAAATCCACGCTCCTCTGGTAACAATATGTGGAGACGGTTTGGGTCACCAAGGTGTGGTTGAACATCGGCAGGGAGGCACTTTGCCATGATCTTGCCGTTTTGTTGATAAAAAAAAATTGGAACAACCAGCTGATGCGTTTGGAGCTGAACAGGCTCATATATGTATATGTGTTTGTTCTTTGCTGAAACAACCATCTGAACTCTTAAAAGCGGAGAATAATCTTCTCGCCATTTCTTGCATTGGGAAAGACGACTGATGGCTTCGTGGCTGCTGGGAAGTTCTGGAAGAAATACAATGTGGGGGCTGACAAGAGGATTCGCGAGCTCCTACAAAACAAAGGACTCAGAACCAAAACAAGTGTATAAGAATTAGAGACAAACACTAACATTTTTTAAGATATTTTTCACATCCAGTCCAAATAAGGGTGTGCCTGAAGGACTGAGCCTCTCAATGAGTTTGATACCCAATCTGTTCTTCAATCGATTGCTCAAATCCCTCAAAGAATTCCACGTAGGCAGGTTTACAGAGCAGATACGTAAAATCAAGCGAATCCTGTCGTACTGAGATCGTGAAAGGATGCTGCGACTATTCCCGATTATCAAGAGGGCAACGACTTGCTGTTGTTGACCCAATATCAATTTTTGTGCTGGGACGATTAGGGAAGCAGGATGATTCCTCACCTCCTTCCTTTTAAATGGGTACCATCCGTTCATGTCATCAATATTTGACGTCTCTTCTAATTCTGGCTCCTCCTCTTCGAATTCATCGACGTCTTCTTCCTCCAGGGCGGCGAGGGTTTCAAGAGCTTGCTTCAAGTTATGAAAGCTCATTGGGTTATTGGATGAATCTGAATCGGAGGATGTGGCGTCATCGTCTTGAATTCCTGATAATAACCTGCGAAGGTTGGTGAGCGGAGAAAGTGGCATAATGGGGGATGCTGGAGGTGGAGGCGAGGGTGACCTTCGATATTCAGGAGGTGTCACCGGATGCAAAAAGGGACTGAGTTCCCTGTCTGCCGTGCTGTGGAGCCCCGGCAGCATCTCTTGTTGCGCTTTCTGTTGATCAATGAAATGGGCTATGGACCGTTTATGGTTGTCTGCTGAAATGTGTGCCAAATAATCTTTCATCGGCCGGCCACAGCAAACTTCACATCGGAACTTGGAGTCATGCGGTTGGAAAGTGATATCTGCAAGTAAATGTGTGCATTAGCATATGTTTGATTATGAAGGTACAGAGGGACTTACAACGGTCCGGTATAGGAAGTAGCGTGGATATATTAACCATCACTGACAAAGTAGCGAGGTTGGTGGCGTGCGTGTGGTTGAGATGTTGTCTGGCGAGTCGGTGGTGTGACCAAGTGCGTGTGGTTGAGCAAGCTTGTGGTGTTTGTGCTGTGCGCGAATTACACTGTAGGACGACTTGCGGGCTTCTACCCGGAGTCTGACATGTGCCTTCAAGGCAGCAAGCAGTGATCTCGGGCGGGGCGTCTCACAGGCGCATCTGAGGCCGAGATTGTCGGACTCGAGGCTCCTTCTTGGCTGGACCGAATTTGGACCTGATGAGGCGATTTTCCGGCACAGAACCACCCGGTGGTGTAGTACTTAAAATCCAAAATATAAACCACTGACTTTGAATCAATTTGTCAATTTATATCACAAGTCAACTTGAATTGAACTGTACGGTAACCCAGTTCTCAAGTCTTTTAAGTTTGGGCAGTACTTTCTTTTGCAGTCATAGGCAATGAAGTTTTTAGACTTTATTTCAATTGATGTTTTGACCCAAATTGATGTCTCAATTTTTCAATTCCTCAAGACCAAGTATGAGATAGGTTCTCTGTTTTAGTACTATTCAATTCATCCTAAAGATGAATGGAATCTTGATATATGTTTATACGCATATTCATTTGATGGTGTGTTGTGATTGATATGATTCTAGGAATGAGATGATCCTTTCTACTAAGATTTCTCATATTCTTAGTCTTGTTCTCCAAAAGTATCCTTTGCTGTTTTTTTTGTCTTATCTTTCCCATTGTGCTTAGTTTGTTGAATGTGATTGGGTATTTGGATGCCCTTTGGTGTTAAAGTTGAATGATTGTTAATTTAAAGGGTTGATGGTTAGATTTGAATTGATAAGAATACAAAGATTCCATTGATTGATTTAATTGAGAGTTGTTGGTTGACATGACTTTGGTTGGATTAACAACGGCTACTAGTAGTAGTAGTACCAGTAAGCTGAGTTTTAACAACCAACAATACACTTTAAGAGATACTTCTCTATACTTTCTATTAAATATACTTTCTATACTTTCTTTCCTTTTTGTTTCTATCAAATGTCTTTTAGCAATTCATCATCAAATCATCATCATCAACTCTTCATGATCGTTAAAGGTAATCATCATTCAACTTCAACTTATCAACTTCCATCTACCACTTCAAATACTACTTCAAATCATATTAAATCCATGTCAAGATTAGCTCAACTGGGTCGTAGAAACTTGAAAGAAAAATCTTCAAAATCTTCAAAAGACTTCAACAACCATCATCATTCCTCTGGTCACGGTGCTTCAGTTCAAGTTTCTTCAAATTGGGCTCATACTCTAGCCGAACCACTTCCTGATCCTACTCAACGTCATCATCATCGATCAAATCATAAACAACTACCTCCTTCTCATCCTACTACCACTACGACTACGACTTCTTCTTCTTCAACTGCTACTAGATCTACTTCTTCTTCAATCTCTTCTTCTAATGAATCCACTTCTCAAAATCAATCAAACACTCAACCTAACACTCATACTCATACCCATTCAACTTCAACTTCTCTTTCATCAAAGTCTCTCACTCGTAATTCAGAAAGACAACAAACTATCTATCTTCGTAAGTCATCATTCAATCTATTTCTAATCAATACTAATCTGTCTCTTTCATCAATTCTGTAGCCGCAGGATTCGACCCTTTCAATCCCAAACTATCTCAAAGCCTTACCTCTCTTCCAACATACCCTAATCAATCAACCACATCACAAGCCGCCAATCCCACCGGATTATGTGATTCACCCGCTTCAATAGAACAAGCTCCAACCGTTCAAAAGACTCGCACAGCTCTTCTCGATATCCTCCAAGACGGATCCCAACATCCACACGAGAAATCCATCTTTCAACGACGTCCAAGTCTATCCAACACCTCATCCAAATCAGGTCCCACTTCTTCTTCAAGAAACTCGAGTGCAAGTCTACGACGACAATCAAATTCGACACCTATCATTGGACTTAACCTTGGTTTAGATCCGCTTAATTCATTCGTCTCTCATCCTCCAAGAGCTTCGACTTCGACTCTTTCGTCTTCTTCAGTTGGCTCCTCACCTCTCTTAAACAATCATATCAGTCCATTCAGTCATCTTACTCATCATTCACACTTATTCAATCATCCTACTCTCATTCATAATCTTAATCTTCATGATCATGAACGTAATCTGACCAACAAATCCAATCGAGCCAGTGGATTACCTTTTGCTCACTCTGACTCCTCAAACTCTCGTTTCACTCGTAGGGCTTCTTCTGTCAATACACCTAGCTTTAGTCAAGTTCAAGATGATCTAGATGATGATTTGCCACGTTCACGTAGACCTTCTGCACCAAACTTGACATCACCTTTACCTACAGATCTAACCTTTAAACTGAACCCGACTTCGACTCACTCAAGATCGTTTACAGAGTTTGGAGCGAGTTTAGAAACCTATCGATTTGGTACGGCTCAACTTTCGGATGATCTTCAATCAGGTACCAGAACTCTTTCAAATGATTCGTATTATCGATCTCAAGGTTTGACTCGTCCTACTCGATTTGATTATGATGATCAACGATATGAGAGTGCACCTCCTCTACCTCCTTGTCGGACCAGAAGACAATCTACACTCAAGAATGATTCTCTTCCTGAGATCAATGATTTGTTTGTTCCATTCGATAAGTCTGCTATTATCTCCCACTCGAATCTATATACCCCTCCCTCCCAGAGTGGTTCTACAGGGAGTGATCGTGAGGTAAGGTCTTTGATTCATTCTTCTTTCTGATGGTGCAACTGATCATGTCACTTTCTTTGTTTAGAAGGATGCCCCACACTTTGTACGAGCACTTTCGACGGACATGTCACTCTATGCGCCATCTGTCAGTTCATTAGATTCATACTCTACCTCACATCATCGATGTCGAACGGGATCTTATTCGAGTGGAAGTACAAGATGTCCATTACTCGATCCAAACTGTCCAGATTCAAGACGAGCATCAGATGCAGGCTCGATCATGCCCATGAGACCGTTACCTACGATGATGCAAGCCGATCATTCGCAACCTTCTCAAACCCATAACATGTATAATTATTACAATCCGAAACCCAAGGGCTTTAGACATCCAGCACCATTAGGATTGATCAGATCGAGTCCTACAAGTATGATCCCTTCTAGTTCAATCTTATCATCTAATCCTTCATCATCATCATCATCTTCTTCGAATCACATAGGCCTTCCAAGTACTGGACCCAACGTCTTCTTACCACTCCGTAGACGCTTCTTACCCAACCAACTTGATCAACGAACATCAAATACCAAACCAAGAGTGGAAACCCAATTGTTAGGAGAATTGTTATTAGCCTTAGAAGAGTATGTTGGAGCGTTTGGTCGGACGGTCAAGGTCTCGGGTTCTCATCGATTAGGAGCTAGTTCATCATCGTCGGTGGCTGCTACAGTTGTGGTGGCTGTGACGGCTGCTACTGGAGGATCGAGTGAATCGAATGGAACGAACTTGTTGGATTCGGTGGTCGATCTTCATAGATTACCATCCCCTTTAATCGAACTTGAAGAGGAGTCATTTATACCGAATCGGTGTTCTATTGATTCGTCATCATCATCATCGTCATCAGAAGAATCAGAAATCCCAATGAGATCTAAATCAGAACTTAAGATTTCGCGAAACCAATTATCAGAAGTATGTGAAGAATTAGAATACGTGACAAGTGAAGTGGTAGATGTAGTACCAGCTTTTGGGGAAAAACTAATGCAAGGACATTACGGACCATTAGCAGTACGGTATCCTAGTAATTGTAGTAGTCATTCACCACCACCACTTTCTTCTCAATCGAATCTGACCTTAACGTTTAGGAATCGAACGGCTATGGAACGGTTCAGGGAATATGAACCGGGTGGAAGTAAAGATGGATCGGATGGAGGAAATGGATGGTGGGCTGAAAGGTTATTAAGAGATTTATTAGAAGGATTGGTTTCAGAATCAGTTGTGTCAACTAGTCCTTCGAACCTTTTGTCAAGTGTGAATCATAAATCTAGAGGAACAGGTCAGATGAATAGGAAAGATTTGAGTGGGGTTGAAGAAGTTGATGAAGGTGATGAAGCTGAAGATCTTTTGCTTCATACTATTGGATCTGTGGGTCTTGGGATGGGTGAGACGAGTGATCGTTTGGTCGATTCGGGTCATCGGGAATTGTTGTTGGATGAAGGTAGGAAAAGATGGTTGGCTTATCAAGCTCATAAAAGAACTACAAGATGAAGGTTTTTTTGATCATGTAAGAAGCGTGGAATTTGAAAACTTCAAAATATGAAAATCTTTCGGTGTGTTTGTAATGATGATGTTTGTTTGATTAGATAGTGTGTTGTATGTATCCAATCTGTTCAAACCTTGCTGTTGTTGTTCCATTTTGTTGTTGGTCATACATATCATATAAGAACTCCGATTCCGATTTCTTTTTTTTTTCAAAACTTTCATTTTTTTTAAAACTTTTTGGATTTGGATTTTGGATTTGGATTTTGGATTTGGATTTTGGAAGGGTTTCAAGAGATTCGATCAAAGAATTTCAGATTGTTGATAAAGATGACGAGATTTGTATCAGTTTTAGTGGTTTTTTCATTTCATTTCATTCTCAGTTTGATCTATTCTGGGTTACAAAGGTTTTTTTTTTCTGTGAATATATTGTATATATGTTTTGTTATTTGTATAGAAAAGCAAAGTTTTTTGGGATACAAAGAAGAAGAAGTAGAAGAGGTTTGAGTGAGAGATTGGAGGTTTATAATGGTTATTGGGATTGGTTTGAGAATGGAATATGATTTTGAAAAGTTGAGGTTTATTCAACAAATTACGCGAGTTCAGTTTGATCAATTCTTACTTTTGTTTTGATTTCATTCATTCAAAAATGGTATTATCAATTGTTAGATTGTTATTATTCTTTTCTTATCATCTTATTAATTTTTACAAACTGGAAAAACTAAATTTCTATGAAAGAGACAAGTTTGAAAGTTTTAAAAAGGAAACCACTATTTACCGCCCGGAAGAAAATACCCGACGCCCCCTTTTTTTGGGGTAATACACCACAGACACGTCTGGCGGTCATATGACCGCCACAATTGACCGACAAAAGTCGGTCATTTTCGAATAGGATCGCGCTATTCCGACCCCCCCCAGTTTGCTAGTCAGACCCCCCCTCTGACCCTAGGCCCGCATAGGTAGCCTTAAGCAGCTTACCTAACAGCCTCGACAGTGTGCCCGAGAGTTGAGAAGTTGTCTTTTGCCTCCTGATGCAAATCAATGTGCACCAATATCAACATAAACATTTCCACCACCATGGTCATTGACCCTTCCTTAACAGGTGCTACCTCACAGCCAACCCACCAAGAGTCAACCTTGTCTGATTTAGATGATCCTCCTTCCAAACCGATGAATCTGGACGCCCTCCTCTCAGTCTACCCAAGCCTGGAAGAGGCTGAAGATGCACTGCAAGATTGTGCCACTGCTTCTGGTTACTTCCTCAAAAGAAAACGTTCAAAAAAAAACAAGAAAAATGAAGTACGCAAGGTGGTTTTGTTCTGCACACACGGAGGTCTTTATCAGCCGAATGAAGATCAGATTTGACAAACGTCTAGCCACTTGATCAATTGCCATTGGTCATGTCAAATTTTGAGGAACTCAACAACTCTTGATTGGAGTGTGAAGATAATCAATAATACACACAATCACCCACCTTCAAAGACACTAGCCGACATACCAGGAGCACGACGCCTCACGGATGAACAGCAACAAACGGTCATTGACATGTGTAAAGGAGGTGCCAGTCCCTCAGTTATCTTGAGCACGCTGAAAGCTTCCGACCCAACTATCATAGCAACACCACACGATATCTACAACCTCAAGCAAAAATTTTGTAACCAGATCCTTCAGCACCGGACATCCCTTGAAGCTCTACTCTACAAACTTCAAACTGAGGGTGTATATCATGCTTACCAGAGAAATTCATCAGGGTCTTTGACCTGTCTGTTCATTGCTCCAGAAGTTTGTGTATTAAATGCACAGGAGCTCGCCACTTGTGATATTCTCTTGATGGATTCAACCTACAAGACAAACAAGTAAGTTCTCACCTCCCTCATACCCAAAGATGAACTCTAGCTGATGGGTTTTTGTCTTTTTGTTTATATAAGGTACCATATGCCACTCTTGCATATTGTGGGAGTCTCTCCAACACATAACTCGCTCTCCTTGGCCTTTTGCTTTATGCAACAAGAAACTGAAGAGCACTATAATTGGGCTTTGGAGCACTTGAAGATATGCTTTGGATCACAATTGACCAAGCTAGGTGCTGTGGTCACGGATCGTGAGCTAGCAGTCATGCGAGCGATAAAGAACGTGTTTCCAAATGCCAAGAACCTCCTTTGCATGTGGCACATCGAGAAAAATATCCTTTCAAACATCAAGAAGGGCATGTCGGACAAGGATTGGGACGCTTTCCTTTCCAAGTGGCGACTCGTATGTAATTCGATGTCTCCCGAAAGCTTTGAAGACCAACTACAAATCCTCCAATCAAAGATCACCAACGAAGCTTTTAACTATCTGATGAAAACCTGGATCCCATACAAAGAAATGTTTGTACTTGCCTGGACCAAAGATGTCAGACATTTTGGTCATACAGTCACGTCTCGCGCTGAAGGGGCACATGCAAACATCAAAATCTCAATATCGGTTTCAACGGGTGATCTAGCTACTGTATACGATAGGCTTGTCCTTGCGTGCAAGCTTCAACGACACAAAGTGTCTCAAAAGATCGAGAATCAGAAGTCTCACTCGCTGACTCGTCTCGGAGCAGCGTTCTGGACCAATGTCAATCGAAAGATATCGCATTATGCGCTGGGTAAAGTAAGTCAACACTCCACCACCTCTGGGTCTGATCCAATAATTGACTTTCAAAATAACCAGGTCTACGAAGAATACCGGAAAGCAATCCTCCCGAACTACAAAACTCCATGTACATATGTATTCTCAAGCTCTCATGGACTTCCGTGCTCTCATTTTTTGAAGCACCTGATTGATTCTCGAAGCAGGCTTACAATTGACCACTTTGATACTCACTGGCATCTTCAACAAAAGCATCCAGTGGTTTCAATCCAGCGAGTTGGACTCCCTACAGTTTTACAACACATCCAAGCTCAATACACCCAATTACCACCACATCAAAAGCGTCTCTTTGAGGACCGACTGGAGCTGATTCTCCAGAATCCTTCCGACACAATCCACGAGCCCGAACCAATACAAACTCGTGGACGACCTTCGAGAACGACCAAGCGACTCAAATCGCGTCATGAACACGTTGCAGCCGAGTTGGGGGCTCCAGGTCCAAAGTGTGGCAAATGTAAAGAAACAGGCCATAATGCCCGTACTTGCACTTACAGAGGGTGATTCACTTCAAATTAGCTCGATGTCCATCCTTCAAACCGATCACAATAGATTAGTTGTTTGTTTGTTACTCAAGATCACTCGATCACTATCCTCACTACAACTACATACACTATCTTTGTTACCTTTGTTCACTCAAATTTATTATCTTCGTTCACCCAAAATTTACAACAGTAGCTCGATCGTGTTTGATTTTGATGCTCTTTTACACCAAATCATGTTTTTAGAAGTTATAATTGTTACATTTGATTACTCGCATCTTTGAGAAAACAATGACTGTCATCAAATTTCAGAGCCCTCAAAATCCTCTCAGGTCAGTTCATCATGTTCTACATCTAAAGCCATCATCTTGAGGATGATGAGGTTATGTAGAATGCATCGGGCACACTGTCGAGGCTGTTAGGTAAGCTGCTTAAGGCTACCTAAGCGGGCCTAGGGTCGGAGGGGGGGTCTGACTAGCAAACTGGGGGGGGTCGGAATAGCGCAATCCTTCGAATATTGGAAAAGGCGGACTTTTGGTGGGCTCTAGCACAGGGCGGCCATTTGGCCGCCAACCGGCGAGGCTTCTGATGGCCTCGAGGTTGATTGAAAGTCCAGCACAACTCGGCCAAAAGACCGCCACTGCGTCCAGGTAAAATTACGGACCGCGCCATTTGGGCGCGCTCATGGGGCTGGTTGCCACCGGGGTCACTCAGTTGGCTCAAAAAGGGCAATGGTGGCTTGAATAATATGGTTTTCCACACAGAAAACAGTTCAATTGCAGAAGGAGTTGAGACGGTGTGGACAAATGAATATTTTGGGTTGTAGTTTCAACTTTCTACCAGTCACAGTTTATAATCAATTACTATTGGCTGATCACGTTAGCCCCTGCCCCAACTGGGATTGCCGCCTCGACCTCCGCATCTGATGGCAATTGGAAGTTAAAGCGCGCTTTAACTTCCGCAAAGGTAGCCTTTCCATTGAACAACTCGAGATCTTTGTCATATACAAGCTTATAAAACCTATTTTTGGGAATGATTCATGGTCAGTTGGTTAAATTGTTTGCTGATGATCTTAGAAATCAATTACGCTATGGTGTAAGGGCCACTTTGCAATTTTAATTTGCCGAGCTGGATATCAACAGCATCCCATATGGAGCTCGATGATTTACCATTTTGGTAAATTCGTGCGGCTTCTCTTCGCTTCATCCATGAGAACCAGTGAAGTGTTGATTGTTATCTTCTCCCTCACAATGGATATACATAGAATTTCAATACATCACTCACCACGTATGCCAGTCGCGCACGGGTAGCGCCGCCGGTGGCAGCCCACATTGATTCTGCATTTTGATGTTTGCCAGTGTTGCAAAACCTTTGGGCGATCTAATAAACAATAGTCAGTGACATTGGATGGGGTCTTTGGGATTCAGTGCAAACAAACCGTGAAATAAAGCTCCTCTAATGCTGGAACTGCCAAAACTCCATCTTCTTCACCAATGTCAACCTCATCAATTCCTGTCAAAAGCTGTGGAAGCTCCATAGTTATCATCAGATTCCAGTGTAATAACTATGGCATTGACTAGTACATACAAGTTTATGAAAGCGCTCGCGAGCATGTTTCAGATGATATCGTATTTTTTTGTGGTATTCGGCGGTTGCAGTGGCATCACTGACGCCTAGCCTTGTGGTAGGAAGGTGAAGCGCTTTCCATTCAGAAGGTTGATTGGCAGCATGCGTCTGGAAAACATTATTGCACATCAGAGACAGACCTGAAGGCATAGAGAACATACTGTAACAGACTTTTACACTATTGAACAGGGAGTAAGTCAGCCATACTCCAGATCGTCGACCTCGACCTCGTTGACGTCCACCGGTTTCGACGGCGGTGTAAGCCTCCAATATTGGGTTGGTCATCATCTTGAGGGCTTGACCAATAATCAATTTCTGGCAACATAAAATCGTGTCAAATTAGGAACTCGATCTTGTACAGACTGATGCGTACATTGAGTTCCTTGCTCACAACCCAAGCCTTTTGGGTGGGTTGCCCTGCGTCCTCCGGATCATTCATCTCGCGGTTGACCTCGCCTTGGGTGGCGACGTGACGTTGACCTGGGTTATTTGTACGTGGTGACAAAACCTCGACTACTGATTCAAGGGTTGCAACGTCTTTGCTGAGGGTCTCGACTTTGCGCGTGAGGTTAGATACCTCCTCTAAGACGGTGTCTAGCCCAGCGAGAATGCGGCCAATGTAGACGGACTGAGCTACGTGGCGGGCTTCCCCACCGTACACCTAGAAACAGAGTGATGTGAATGCTGTGATGATACAAGTCAACAAAGGGGGCTCACCTCGGCCAACTCTTGAGCATCTGAGGCACGCTCCCCTTCCAATCCAGCGGCAGTGCTCAAAGAGGTGAAGACATGTTGATTACCAGAGCGAAGGGGGCGGCTGTAGCTCTGGGGTAACATATTGTCCATTTGACTCGATGCCGGAGACTCTTCACGTGGGTCCTGAGTCACGTCTCTCATGCGCGTGAGGGTTCCCATGATTTGTTCTTGATCGTCATGTGGATTACCCATCCCCGTTGATGGCCGGTTAACATGCGGTGAAAGCCCTCCACCTGCTTCATCCATGGCGGTTTCACCTGTCACTTGGGCTGTGGTGGCTACTTGGGGTGAAGTGTCTTCTTCTCGATCAGTCACCAACACGGGCAGAGATAAATTAAACACGTACCAAGCGGCCCATGGTTGTTCAGTTGCCCTAAGGCATCCTCAATTGCGGGTGTAATTGAGCGCCCGTCTTGGGATGGCCCAAAAGATAGGTCCATCAAATCGGCTGGGAGAATCATAATCAGTGAAGGAGAGAAATTTGAGGAGCCGTCCCACTGAGACAAACTCACTCAGGGTCTGGGCTTGGGTGATGGGCATGATACAACGTTTTTCAAAGCGTACTTCAAAGGAAAAGGTAAAATGGGTGATGTGGATCAGCTGAAGAGGAGCGAAGTAAAATGCAATAGCGAGGATAAAAACAAGCGTCTTTCGATGTGGAGGGAAGAGGGAGACATCATTTGGAATTTGGACCTCTTGACAGAACCACAAGTTGGCAGTGGTGCCATATCTCATTGAACAACAAGCGTGGAAGCACACTTGGTGCTATCGCACGAGGAGATTGATGCCGTGAGACACCGGCGTGTCTCATCCTTGGCTGATTGTTTTTGAGGCGACTTCCTCCAGCAATCCAAAAAAATTTGGATTATATGGCTTCAGCTTCTTCACCGACTTGGCAGGGAGACCCTACTGAAGATCCTCAGAATCCTCCCAGCATGCTCCGGGGTGCATTACCAGTCACCCCAACTCCGCCACCCAATGCATCACATCACACCGTGGATGACGATGCATGGGCTGCCCGCCTTCTAAGCTTGAAGGCCGCTGATGTGCTCCACACATATGATCAAGTCGTGAACCATTTTGACATGACAGACATCGTGCAACAAAGAATAAGGGTCATATTTGAGGTTGGTCCGTCGTTTTGCCCTGACGATCTGGTGTTTTCATGCTAAATAACCAATTGCTTGCTTGATGTGGTTTAAGCAACCTTCTTCTGAGATTCGCCACATGGCAGTCCTTCAATGCTTGACAGAGTTTGGCTTGCAGCAACGGAAAAGGAATTTGGTGGATTCGGGCTTGGCTCATATACCACTTTGTGTAAGTCATTTGTGGTCCATTTGGGTTTTGGCACTTAACTCATTTGAAGTGAACAAATGCCAGGTTGTGATCCGTGTTTTGGCCACCAAATACTTCCTGGATGCTGAAATTAATAGGTATAGTCCAAAAGAGCATAACAGCGCGCCGGCGGTCGAGTGTCGCATTAAGGTGTCTATATATTATCACTTAGCCTCGTAAAGTTTACAGAGCATCTAATCATTTTATTCTGCTGCAGATTCAGCTTTGGCGCCTCGCGAAAAATGATGAGTTTATACATTTCCAGAAGGTTTTGAAATGGGCGCGCACGAGGTAAGCAGGCCAGTATTTGCAATGGTAGATCACATTGCTGCCAAAACACGAGCAACCTTACATTCTTTGGTTAGTAACTCGTTGATTCCCGCCTCAGTTTATTGATTACTGACATAGTGGTTCCCATAGTTGCTTTTCAACATTGCTCGCCCACGGAAGAGTAAACCTGCCGTGCCGTCTCTCCCGCATTTGCTACTCAAGGTATCTTATGTTTTTAAACAAACATAAGGATATATTTCTCAGCTGACTCCACATGTCATTAGATCAAACAATCATCGGCAGGGAAACACTACCAATTCAATGATGATGACATTAGGCGAATAGCTCTCATGGTGAGTCCCCAATGCCCCGTGGTACACGACGAACCAAAGCTGAAACCTGTTTATCAGCGCTTGATTGGATTGCAGCAACTCTATTTGGCGGTGCAGGATAGTCCAAATCCAAAAAAGGATTGGGCACCAAACCCTTTTTGGAGAATGGTAGATCAGCGGATCCACCAAATAGCCCTATTGGTACCACAACATCATCTTCGGAAGTAAGTACAATAATTGTTCGGTAGTGTGTTTGGATATGTACTTATCCTACTGTTAAGCAGGTACTACAAAACAGTCCTGGAAATTGATCGACGAATGTTTGATGGGGTGCGCTCAGTTGGAACCATCCTGGCGGAAGATATGCAACTGTTGAAATTGTTCAGGGGAATGGGGGGAAGCCCCTACTCTTACAGACTTCCTCCCAAGTAACCATTGTAATACAATCATAAATGTAGTTTGAATGGTGGTGGTTGTTTTGTTTTTGACAATGTTACTCAGTGATTTATGATTCCAATCTTGCGGCACTGGCCTACAGGCCATATCACCTCGTGAGATGCCTTCAGTTCCACATCTCGTGGAATGCGGAACTGGATTACAGGGCATTGCTGACACTGATACCATGTTTCCGCTGATTAATTACAGCCAAGGCGAATGCCCTGGTCAAACCATAAAAGGAGATAGTTGAAGAGGAGGTGACTTCAGAGTGGAAACCCGGTGGGTCTGTAACCCCCTCTCATTTTATTAAGGAAGTAGAAGCGTAGGAAACCTTAGATTAATGATTACGTTCCCTTCCTTTGGGGAGATATGCAAAGGAGAACAAAGCACCAAATAAAATTTCAATATATTTCCGTTTATAATAAGATCTATTATACCAATATCCCCTGTTTTATTTCCTTCTTTCCTGATGATTACATTCCCTTCCTTTGGGGAGATATACAAAGGAGAACAAAGCACAAAAAAAATTTCAAGATATTTCCGATATGTCAATAGCACCTGTTTTATTTCCTTCTGGCCTCTTCATAATGGTTTAGATATTTCCATTTATAATAATATCAATCAGTATCCACCCCCTCCAAGTACCTATTCATGATAAATTCTGAAGTTTGTTGCTTAGAATAACCGATTCTATGTACCTACAAACCAGGTGGTAGGGTTTGTGCGCGTGTCCCTCCTAGCCCACCAGTACCAATTGTTTGAGTGATGCGAGGTAATTAATGTCATTACAAGGTACTCACGTGACGCGTCTCGAACCCCTGGAGCCCATTCATTTTGAGTGCCCTCTGCCGCTATATACAGAGCAATTGGTTATCACCTATTGTGTGGATGGACTTAGCAAGAGATTTGATCAACTTACACGGGTCATCCACGGTTAAAGATTGGGTGTAATCTTGACCGTCTTGAGGGCCATCATGACTCGAGGTCGAACCGTCACGACCTCCGTTGAACTCGTGTTCAGTAACGGACGTGGCTGCTTGACTCGCCGTAGTGGCTATTGAGGAAGCTGGCGTCATTGATATTACAAAAAGTTGGTGTGTGATAAATAATACGAACGTACCTTCCACCTCGATGGAGCCGAGTTCATCGATATCGTCCGAATGTTCAGTGGCGTCAGTAACTGCTTGACTCGCCACTGCTTGACTAGAGGCTATGGAATAAAGGTGTCATTCCATGTTGATAGAGGGTATGTGTGAAAAGGACAATCTACCTGCAGCCTCGATGGAGTCGAGGATATCAACATCGTCCGAAGACAAAGTCATCGGCGCTTCAATCACTGTGCGCGGTAAGTAAGCCCCTGTTCAATATTTCTAAGGGAGGGGAATTCAGCATACCTTCTTCCAAAGCTTCAGCGGCGAGTCTTGCAAGATCTTCTTTGGACATGCGTAACTTGTCCACGGTGTAAGTCTTGCCGTTGGTGGATCGACGCCAATCGTTGAAATCGGGGGCCTTACGGTCGGGGTTGGTGCTTATGCATCCAGTGGTGATGCGACTGTGGCCGAGCTCGCCACAGTCAAAGCATTGGTCCAATCCGGCAAGGATGTCCGGATGGGATCTTTCAGTAATGGGGTAAGGAATGATTTCGGATTTTGAACGATATGATAGGCCTCTGAACCAGGCGAGCTCTGAAGCTGTGGGGTTTTCCCACCACCGACGACGAATTGGAATGGTCATGATATTGATTTATGGGGAAGTGATGGAGAAGGATGTTCACTAAGGTATCAGAGAGCGTCATTAAAATAGGGAAGATTTTGGGTGGTTTGAGTTGATTGACTTCGAATGATCAAATGATCATTATGATATCCAATCTAAACGATATCATAACGGTCTTGATATCCTAAGTGCTCTCAAAGGTGCATATGGCATATGCGACATGTGAGTTTGCTCTGGTTATTTGTGTTCGGAATATGAACTGTAATATTCCTTCTTGCACTCGTAAAGAATGTCTTTTTTACTGGCATCGCGATTATTTGCAGACATTATAGTCTGTAAATTGTAGTCTGTAAAAACCTAGATGTTTCCTATCGTGTATGTTTGACTGGAAAAAGGAGACAATCATGTAAAAATCATGATTGTCTGCTCATCACATTGTTGGTAACAATGCACGATCCTATCAAAGGGATCCCATGACACCTTGCCTCCATCAGTTCCACATCTGATGGAATGCGGAGCTGGCATACAGGTTTGTAAGAGATGCAGAGTCGCCGATAGGAAACCTAGATGTTTCCTATCGTGTATGTTTGACTGGAAAAAGGAGACAATCATGTAAAAATCATGATTGTCTGCTCATCACATTGTTGTTTAGATTGCACGATGCTATCAAAGGAATTTCATGACACCTTCCCTCCATCAGTTCCACATCTGATGGAATGCGGAGCTGGTATACAGGTTGTAAGATTTTCAGAGTCGCCCATAAGAAAACTAGATGTTTGTTTGACATGTATGTTTGGCTACGATTATCGAACAATCATGTAAAAATCATGATTGTCTGCTCATCACATTGTTGTTTAGATTGCACAATGCTATCAAAGGAATTTCATGACTAAGATATTCAATGTAAACTGACGCTGAGGTGTTTGCTCAGGCCAGGATATTCAGATCAGATGGAAGTGCAGTCATCGACCACACTTACAATTCCATAGTAATTTTCATTCCTTTAAAGGCTTTTTCCTCAGTGTTTCAATTCTCTTATTCTAACTCAAAATACAGTTCCACAATCCGTCTTACAAACGGGTTTCCCCTATAGATTGATCAATATCCAAAGATTCTGAGCCTTATAATTACAGATGGAGTTTCCTGACGTTCGCCAATCTGGCTCTCACAAATCTGGACTGTTTCCCTCGTTCAACTATCCCGTCATCCCATGCAAAGGCGATAATATGTTAGATTTCGAAAACAATCCTGCCGCCAAGGCCGGCCTGTTAGAGATTGTTGGTCAAGGTAAGCCATGTGACACAAGGACTCCAACATCGCATGGGTTTTGATAAGTTGACATGTTTGGCTACACAGATTACCACGAGACCTACTTGGCGCCCGAATGGGCATCAATGAACACCGTCTTCTATCCTAAACTTACCAAAAGAAATTTGAAACGGTCAGAATATATCGAAGTATTACGCCGACAGTTCAGTATGATCACCGTCATGATAAACTCTGCGCCAATGTCAAGGATAATCATGGAGAGTTGGCGAACAGTTGGACGTGCAATTGCAAAAGAGGCCAAAGGTCAGTCTTCAATGATTTCTTAAGATGTTGATATCCAGTTCTGACATTTCGATCAGATCTTGAAGACAACATCTTTATAAACGACACGGAATCGGCTTTGTGGGTGGATTTAGCAGGCGAAGAATCAACCACTCCGCCCATGTCTCCCACCCCCAATCGTACTGCGAGGCCCTCGAAAATGGCAGAAGAACATTTGACGACTCCTGCCATATCTCCAAGCCCGACGTCTTCACCCGCTCAAATATCACATGTTGAAAGCAACAACTTCATAAAGCAGACAAAATCAGCTTTGTGGCTTGATTTAGCAGACGAACAATCAACCACTCCGCCTATGTCTCCCAACCCCAAATCGACTGTGATCCTCTCAAAAATAGCAGACAAACATTCAACAAGTGCTCCCATATCTCCCAGCCCCACGGTTTCACCCGCTCAAAATGCGAGCCACATCATAAATGCCTTTTCAAACGGTTCAACCCTCGATGTTCCAACCTTACAAGACACCAAAGTGTTGCCTATATCATCTGCGGAATGACTCTCGGTGGAGCCCGACTTTTGGCACGCTTTTGACTCACCTGCGACTTGTTCAACGTCAGCCCCCAAGGAACCAATCATTATTCGGTTGAAACGCAAGATGCCTGATATCAGTGAATTACGTGGTTTCACTCACGGGCCACCCAGCAAAAAAACACTTCCCCCAAAAGCGGTTAAATTGGATGAAGTCAACATATTAATCAAATCTATCAAGAATTTATCTTCCTTGCTGTCTTCAATTCCTCAAGCTGCCTCAGACAACCGTATTTTCTTAGATCTGAAGAAAAGAGCTAAATTTGAAACCTTTACACCTTATGTTGGTGATCTCGAAGTTCCCTCATATCAGTTGAGGGAACTGGATTGGATCATCCCAGATAGCCACATCAATTCCCTTGTGCGCCTTGGCAAATGGGGACTCGATGCTGTACTAGCTCACATCAACTGGCTACGTGACCAAACTTTTTGGAACTCAGAAAGCGATGGCCACCTCTTGAAAAAGCTAACCCTGATCAATAAACTTTTGCTCAGCTCTGCAATACGTCGACCTCAGAATCCTCCTCTTTTTCGAATGGATGATTACCTTTCCGATGACGATTCTAATCACACCAATTCACCCTATCCCAAAGAGATTGAGGAAGGTCCCAACACGATTCAGCCAACTGCAAACATGAATCACGAAAATCTTACTTCAACAACTATGCCGGTCAAAGATCACCACAGTTGGCCGGCCTCTCCTTTGCCTAATTTGAATATTGATGACGACACTCAGAGTAATGAACACAACGACACTCAGAACAAAGATTTTGAGGACTCACCTTTGCCACAATCGAATCATCATGACGACACTCAGATTAATGATCAGGACCACAACAATGATATCAAGGACTCTCCTTTTCCTCAGATCGACGAACCCGCCGAGACTCAGAAGATCAATCACGACGAGACTCACAACAATGATCTCAATGATTTTGAGGACTCTCCTTTGCCTCAATCGAATAATCATGACAAGACTCAGATTAATGATCACGACCAGAACAATTATTTCGAGGACTCGCCAATTCCTCAGAACAACAAACACGCCAAGACTCTGAAGAACCATCACGACGAGACTCAGAACAATGATCTCGAGGAATCTCCTTTGCCTCAGAACGACGGACACGCCGAAACTCAGAACAACCATCAGGACGAGACTCATCACAATGATCTCGTGGTTTCTCCTTTGCCTCAGAACAACGAACACGCCGAGACTCAGAACAACCATCACGACGAGACTCAGAACAATGAGCTCGAGGTATCTCCTTTGCCTCAGAACAACGAACACGCCGAGAGTCAGAACAATGAGCTCGAGGTATCGCCTTTGCCTCAGAACCACGATCTCGCCGATACTCAGAACAACAATCACGACGAGACTCAGCACAATGATTTCGAGCAATCTCCTTTGCCTCAGAACAACAATCAAAACGAGACTCAGAACCATGACCTCGAGGTGTCTATTTTGCCTGATTCGAATATTAATGACAAGACTCAGACTCAGAATAATGATTAAGACATTACTCTGAACTCTCATTCTAATCAAATTCCGGAATCCATACCAGCAAACCTCAACACTCAGAAGACGTCATCACACGCTGCTAATCATCAGGTGGATTTGCAGCACAGCGATTCAACGACGGCCAACCATGTTTCTGACCCCTCCGAATCATCTCTCCCACTTATCAGGACGTTCAGCATTTGGAAAAATCCAAGCAATGCTAATTTGGATATTACATGCACATCGGTTTCTTTCAAGAAAGAAACGTCACAAGATTGTGTTCTTATGTACAACGCGTGTCGACGGATGTTACGTGGACGCCTGCGAGCTATCAACACAGTGTATGACCCAAACGAGCGATTTCGGGGTGATAATCAATTATTTACCAGCAAGCAGCTCTCCCTGAGCAAATGGGTTACCCAAAAACACAGTGAGTTATTTCCCTTATCCCCACACTTTTCAATTCTCTCACTAAAACCTTTTTTGGCGTACAGCAATGGATCTCTTTGTTCCAGGTTGTGAAAGCCTTTGGCACGGGGATCAATTATTCGATTGGAATTATATTGACAACCATTCCCCTGAAAACCCCGCCAAGGACCCATTGGCGGAATCCCTATGTTATACATTGAGATACATGCGAAATGTGACCAAACATCGGTTGCTAGTGGCCAGGAAGTTTGTGTTGGCGGCGTATGGCATGGTAGGCAATGAGGGGGGGAGTCTGCCGCCTGTAGACAACTTGACCGATTATAACCTGCCATACGTAGCTGTCAAGGATGCATTTCAATGTGCCATGCATTATCATCAGATGCAAACAGAAAACCGAGAATCAGACCACCGATCCGACACAGTTGAATTCAATTGCATTGACCAGCTTTCGAGGTTGGTCGATTCAATCTATGGTTGTATTGAAGCCCTCGCGGTCATTCGCGCGCATTACCTCCACCTAACGCATACCGACCAACTACGACTCATTCCTGCAAATGTCAATGCGAGCTTTCACAAAATATCGGGAACCGTTAAGCTGAGAACAGAGGCGCTAGCCCCCCTTGTATCATTTCTTGCGCTTGGTTTCAAAGGTCTGCTCACGTATTGGCGAAGCCCATCTAGAACGCCAAAGACTGGATTGATTCAACTATGTCTGGTCACTTCGCAAATGGGCCAGCAAGGCTATGTTGAAGAACCAATTTGGAAACGCTCAAGTTCTTATGTACTGACCACTATTTGAAAGGCCCTGTTTCCAAAAGGCGGCGACAAGGAACTGGTGGATACACCAGAATGGGAACACGTTACATGCAAAAGGTATGATCTGGCCCGAGAAATGTACTTAGATTTGGCAGAACACTGCCAGCTTACTGCCGAAGAAGCTCCCCAATATCCCCATCACATGTTACCAGTACATGACAAACTGACCCCAGATGAAATGGAGTGAATTTCATAATGACGGATGTAAATGACTTGTGCAGAACATGACTAGTTATGATGTTGGTATATTTGTTTGAAAATATATTTATATATAAATATAAATATATTTTACCTCGCAACCAGTTTTCATCAATTTTGCAATGTTGGCAATTTTGGAGAAATATCACGCAGTTTTAAACCTTTGGCAGCTTGATGTCAACACGATTAATTAAGATCGTTGTACACCGACATTGTGAAGTCAAGGAGATATAGATGTGATCAATATCTGTATTGGAGCTCCACATTTTGGGAGATGCGGAGCTTCAATACCCTATTTATCCAACAGTCCCGTTTGGCGCGCGCGCGTGCTTGTGCCATTCTGCCAAACCATTATCCACGGCGTTGTTCCACTTTTCAGGCGAGACCGGCCGGTATTGCACGTTGGCAAGCCTTCTATGTAAATCACCATTGAATTGTGCGGCTGAGTTGATTATGAAAGAATTGGCAGCTCGGTGTTGTATGCCGCAACCCTTGACACGCGAAACTCTTCTTTCCAACCTTAACATATGGGACATTGTGACCTCACATTTTGCCTCGTGACAATTATGCTGCACGTTTAATATGGCCAAAACACCCTTACAAATCCCAAATGTAAGCAAACCAAGATATAAGCCTCAAAACCACAGCCGAGGTGAATGAGATAGGGTCCGGTTTAATCACCTTGACACTGTGGCATATATGCTGATTTGTCAAAACCACTTCCCGCATATTATAATAAGGAACAACACGGCCTGAAACGCATGGATTTAATACCATCCAAGCCCTTTCGGCGTTGACACCGGGTTCCTTCCAGATTGAATTTACTTGAGCAATTGCATTGATTGACTCAACCTGCGCAAGAAATGAGGTTAAACAAAGCATATGTGCAGTTGCGCGATGGCGTGAGGTAATGCAAAGTTGTACTTACAAAGACAAAATCCATTGGTTCCACTTTTTGCCGATTGAGTAGTGATACGGCCGTGAAGCTTTCAAAGCTGTGGTGTGTATCAGTTTGCAGCACACATGCAGGAGGACTTCCACTATTTTCCACGACCGCTGAGGAAGATATCATGAGTATTATCAGTCCAAAAATATAGAGGCCATTTCAAAGTGGCCACTAACCTCCCATGACAAATTGATTAGCGCGTTTCGGTTGACACAGTCCAAATGCCCGAGCCAAGTCTGGGAGTTTCAAGAACAGCTCCTTCAATTTTTTACCCGCAGTGACACGCAAATTTAAATCTTTATCCCAAAACGATGAACCCGATAATAAGATCCGCAACATCTGTTCATTTACAAAGGTATTTGCAATATCCAAACCAGGCGCTTGTTTGTTTGAATGAATTGAAGCTTGTCGAGTTTTCCCATTAAAAGACTCAAACTTCTCGGTAGCAAACAGGCACGCCGGACCAAAAGGGCGAATGGAGTCTTGTAGGTGAATGAGCATGTGGAACTTGGGCTTGTTGACCCACTGCGCTGTTAGAGTCATGAGGTGCTGTAAGAAGTGACTAATTAATATGTCCACTTCTGCTAGATAACGTTCCATATCAGATATTTCAGTCTGAAATATGTAGGAACTCAGACAGCAAAGCGCCGTCCAAACTGCCCTTTGCGCCGGATCAAGATGCTCAAATAAAACAAAAGGCACAGCCTGTAAGACAGTACGAAATTCCTTTCCTACAAGGTTTTGATAGAAATTAATGAACGTGTGGGGTTGAATGGGAGGAATATTCAATCCTTTCTTATTGAAAGCGCGCCACCTTCCAGACAGATCATTATACATCTTGCTACCGGCCTTTGATGGGTTGATCTGCTTCATGGTATCTTGAAAAAGATACTTTGTGATACCTAACAGCACTACATGGAGAATTTCCACTGGGGTATCAAGATGCCCGTTGAAACCTGCAAGATAAGACAAAGATAAAATAAAAAACAACAATATATTGGAAAAATAAGGGTGACACTTACCTTTCAGCCTCAACATGGGGTTGAAAAGGTGATAGCCGTGCTGCCTGTTGAGGTCATTAATAAGACCTTCCACATCGGCCGCTGGTTGTGTTTCGTGTGCCTTTTGGACGATTTTGATGAAGTAATCCAGGACAGTGTCACGGACCCCATATTTGCGGCCCAAATCCTCAATGAGGGTCTTGGTGTGTCGTCTTTGAGCGGTGCGCCATAGTTCCTCAGTTTGTGCCCTGGTTTTGTCCCATTTGCGCAAAGGTAGACGTCCCTAAAAACATGCATCAGAATGTATGCATGTAAGCAGGCCCCTTTAATGGAGTGCTTACTGGGTGACCATCCTTGTCAATTCCCAAAAAATCACGAACAAAACCGCTGGATTCCTTATCAATTTTGCGATCTACCTGCAGTTCACACATCCGGCACGGGGTCAGGGTATTTGCGGGGTTGAGTGTGTTGCAAATCTCCGCATGCATTGGTGAATCGCCGGCGTGGAAGAGAACGACCCCCATGGCCAGAACGTCTTCACTGAGGGCATGATCATAAGCGACCAAACCGTTCTCGGCCATGTCACTGCTCAACATCAGCCCATTGTCAATAATCAGATGATAATGTACCACAATTCAAGCATTCTGAACCTTACTTTAGATCATCCACCACCTGATCAAACATGTCCAACGCTGAGGCTAGGTTTGAAGTTGACAAAAAATGAATGTTGAATTCTTGATTGGATAATTTTGAAGGCAAACCAGCCAATGTCGTGTATAAGCTCATATGCTTATTCCATTTTTTTGACACGTTTCCGGAAGTATCATCGGAATACAGAATCAGAGGTACATGTCGGACAGTTTTCCCATCTGCTTTAATTCTCCACTTGTTCTGGAGCGGAATAGATGATGATGTTGCACCTTCGATTTCTGGAGATGTTCACACAGTCAGTTGCGCTAGGAACCTCCTTACCACTCCACGATAGTGCACCTACGATACATGGATTCCCCACATAAATCTTTCAGATTGACATTGTTATTCAGTTTAATGTCTGTAAATGGCCTCCAGAAATCGGTGCAGGGTACAGTGATTAGAGTGTTGGAGTTGAAATCAGGCTCATCAGGAATGGTGATCTTCACCGGAGGCAAAATTTCGCCATTTGGCTGAACTTTTGCAGGCAAGCACTTGGTAAATAGCTTTCCAAGATTTTGATAGAAGAATACAGGGACTACCAGCTGCCGAGTCTTCAGCTGGACTGGTTCGTAAATGTAGAAGTGTATGCCATGCTCGGTGATCATTGGTACACGGAGTTCGCGTGGAAGCCCTTGTCGCCACTTGAAACACTGGGAGAGTTCGCAGATAGGACCTTCTTCAACCAACTCGGGGATGTAAGCCAAGTGAGGGCTCACTAGGGGATTCGCCAGTTCCTGCAATGCAAAGAAATTTGACAATCAACAACTGTCAAAAGACAGTCCACTCTGACTCATATCACTCACGTTTTTAATAATGGTTTTGATATTAATTCCAAACAAGGGGATTCCCGCCGGACTGAAGCGCTCCGTTAGGTCCAGCCCCATCTGTTCTTTAATTTTTTTGCAGGCAGTCCTCAACGTATTCCAAGCCGGGAGGTTCACATCCAGCAGGGTGAAGATTGTGCGTAAACGGAGATAATCTGTCCGTGAAAGCAGGTTGCGGGGCGAGCCGATCATGAGGACACCAACTACGTGCTATTAGGTTGATCATCAGTATCAGCTACCTTCATTGAAAGCTTTTGTAAGCACTGACTTCAATGCTCTTGAAGGGATACCATTCCCCCGCTGTGTCTGCGCCCCCGGCATGATCATCTTCATCAACATCTGGATCCTCTTCAGAATCCGTCGTCTCTCCTCCGAGTAGTTCCTCAAACGCTTGTTGAAGCCTGATGAAATCAAACTCTTGGTCTGAGTCTGGTTCGACGTCGGAATCGTCAAATAAGCCCAGCGGATCATCACCATCAGGTGGACGTTCGAATAACAGTTGAGATTGAGGTGGATGGGGCGACGCAGCACGGTCACTTTGGTGATCTGCAATCATTTCGTCTTCGTCTTGCGCCAGTGAAGGTGATCTTTCAATTGCAGGGTCCAGGTTCATTAAATGTTCGGCATGTTGTTGATCTTGGTCAGCAACATGATGTGCGACCGCGTCTAAGTGCGATGGGCATTTGATGTGCCGGTCGTAATTTTGCATTGCTCGAGAGCCCACACAAACGGTGCACCGGTATTTTGCTCGGTCCTGAAGATTTGGATCGAACACAATGTCTGCTTAATGCCTTATCAGTGTGATGTGTGAGCCCAAGATGCAGGTCAAAGGGATGAATTACAAGGGTGAGGCTGTTCAGTTGTTGACATGGTGTTTGTATCCTGTGTCCTGGAAAAGAGTGGTGGTAGAGTGGTGGTGGTGTGAAGCGCAGAGGTGGGTGCCACCTTCTTTTGACTAGGCCAGTAACTTCGTGTAGAGAGTATGACGGAAAGGGAAATCGATGTGAGAAGGTAGTGCCAGAATGGTCATGTCAAATTACTCCTGGCACGTCAGCGCACTGAAGGAACAGATTTTTCCCAGCTCACGAGTGTAATGACTCTAGCTCTGCGCTCCCCCAGATTACCTCCCTCTTAGAAGGGTTTCCATCTATTAAATCCCATCGTAATATCTATCTCTTCGAATCCATACTATTATCACTAAAACTTATTAACTAACAATTATATCTCCTCCCACCCACCCAACACAGAACATAGGACCATCAACCAGTATGAATTTTTAAAGTAAAGTGAGGTACAAAAAATACAAGGGAGGGGTCTTCGGATTGTGAAGAACTCTCCCAGTTAAAGGATTTGAAGTACTTTACGAACTTCTCAGATATCTCGTGAAGGAGAGTTCAATCAAAGAACTTTCTTCACGGAAGGAGACTTGCCTCCCGGTATAAGACCTTCCCTCACGTAGACATAAGAGACAAGGGAAGGGTCAAAACCTTTTTTGGACAGTTATGATTGATGTTGTTAATAAGTTAAATGGATGGAGTGTGGCGTTGTGGCGCGTCTCAACGCGCTCACGGTCCCGCCGAGGAGCACGGAGTCCGAGGGCCGTCTGCAAGCTGAGTTGAGGCGAAGTTTGGACCCAAAGGCCATGGAGAGTGCAAAAGCAGCCTCAAGTCGGACTTAAGTCAGTCGGGGGCAGGTCTGCAGGCCGCCTCTTGGCCCTGACCTTTTTGAGACCTGCTTGGACCCGCGGCGACCATTCCTCGATCCAAAGTAGTCCCGTGGTGTACCCGCAAATACCCGTGTAGTACCGAGGTTTTTTGGTGTGTTAGCGACCCAACGGGCAGTACACCGGGCGACAAATCCGGGCAGTGTCGCCCGGAATTACAGAACCGGGCAAAACCGGGCTGTACCTTGGTGACTCACCGCCATTCTTCCAGCTGATAAGGAAGTTAGCCACCACACCATCCCAATCCATCCATCCATCGAGCTAACCACCAATCTCAATCGGCTGCCCTGTATGCAGGGCAACCAACACCCAATCGAGGCAACTCAAGATCACAAGATGTTGGTTTGCCTCATGATGGTCAGTTTCGTCATCTCCCTCCAACATCCTCACTCTCACTCACCACTGCTGTTTTCTAACGATCAATTTCACTTTCGTACAGACATTCACATCTTCCACTATCACTATCTCATTCGATTCCTCTAATATTGCCTCCGTGTTATTACTGATCAGCTGGATGTCCCAAAAGCGAAAAGAACCCGGGTCCTGCTCTTCAACGGCCTCGACGTCAATCGGTTCCCTATCTCACCCACCGGCCATTCAACCTATCTATCAACCATCACAACTACCACCTCATCTTTGGTACCCATTCGCAAATCCCTTTGTATTTTCAAACCCAGCCGGAAACACATTCATACCCCATATTGGAGGAACCCCATCTCAAGCAAAACCAGCCTTCCTTCCGAATCCACTTTATAATGGACCTATCCCGTTTCCCAATCCTGGCCTTCATTCGATTCCGAACTACTCAACCATTCAACCTTCCCTCCCAAATCACATCGAAGTACCTGCAGCAAGTAATTCGACCATACAACCTTCCCTACCTCATCACATCACGGTACCTGCTGCAAATAATCACACCAGTGGTAAGTATTCAAGTTGTTTAAGATGCAGAGTTAGGAGTTTTAACTGACAGACTGTTTATAACCGTCTCTCTCGCTCACAGACAAGGCCAATCAAGTGATTGATGAAGTTAGTTTGGACCTTGACGATGTAGAGAGCAAACGAGATACCGACTGGCCGCCTATTGGTAGGTTCTGTCATCTTCACTTCGGATACCTCGTACAGAAAAGTAACTAAGTAATCCAAATATTGTAGGTGTTGAACCGGTGCGAAATATGCAATTACCCAAGATTGGGAAACAATTCATCGACAGGGAACAAGGACTCATGTATTTAAACGCGGTTGCACGCCATCAAGGGTATGTGTTATCAACCAAAAGCCACAAGACCGACAATCAGCGGATACTTCGCACCTACCTCGAATGTTCCAAGGCCAGTAGCCATGTCAAACCTAAACCCTCACTCAATCCCGACAACTCCAATTCTAAAGACAACGCCAAGATCCGATCTTCTTCATCCAAGAAGACCGGGTGTACCTTCAAAATTTCACTCAACTACCATGCTTCTAAAGGCAGATGGGTGGTCACCTCTGATGGCATCAAGAATCCACTGAAGAACCTTCATAATCACCCTCCATTTGACGAGCCCTCTGACAAAAGCAGATATCGACGCATTGGCACCGAAAACAACGAGCAGGTGGCCCTACTTTCTTCAGCAGGATGCCGACCTCGCCAGATTCGATCACTCCTCAATGTCACTCCCGGTTCCAAACTCCTGGTGCGAGACATATACAATGCGCGAGCCCGTCACAAGAAAACTTGGCTCAACGGAAGAACCCCAATTCAAGGGTTGTTTGATCTAGTAACGGACCTCAACTGGGCATTCCGCACCGTAACTTCACCCAGAGGAGTCCTTCAATCCTTCTTTTTTGCATCACCTAACGCCATTAGCCTCACTCGCCGATTTCCAACAGTCCTTGGAATTGACTGCACCTACAAGACGAACAGGTTCAACTTACCGCTCTTGCACATTGTCGGTACGACCAGCTCTCGTAAGTCCTTCACGGTTGCACTGTGTTTCATGCACAGTGAGGTTGAAGACCAATACGAGTGGGCTTTGAACCAACTGAAGGCAATTGTATTTGAATCAAATGACCTTACCGAAGAAACTTACGTTCGGCAACCGAAGACATTTGTTACCGATGCCGAGCCAGCTTTATTCAACGCCATTGGTAAAGTTTTTCCAGAATCTACTCATATCTTGTGTATCTGGCACATAAACGAAAATATTAGCAAGAACTGCAAGAAACAATTAGGATCCAATTGGGACGACTTCATCGCAGCATGGAACCGCTTTTGTTTCTCATCAACTGCACAGGACTACGACAACAACTTGAAAGTAATTACTGATCTAGCTCGAAAGCATGATATCCTGACTTACCTTGAACGAAGTTGGCTGCATCGCACGAACAAATTTGTCCTTCTATTCACATCATCCACCCCACACTTTGGGAATTCTTCTACCTCACGAGTCGAAGGAAGTCATTTCGGGTTGAAGACCTTTATTGAAGGCAAGAACAACGAATTCTTGACGTGTTTCAACGCATTCAAACGCCACGGGGAGCATCAATTCAACGAGATAACGGTATCTATGGGTATTGAACGTGGAAAGACACTTCAGGATGTCCCGGCGTTTCTAGATAAACTTCACGGCAAGATCACACATTTTGCAATTCAGAAGATCATGCAACAGTTCAACTTAATCTCTCAGCCCGACCACAGCAAAAGGCCATGCTCTCGTACTTTCAGGACTAGCTGGGGATTGCCATGTTCACACGACATCGCGGAGGAACGTCTTATATCTAAATCCCTATCACTAGACCTTATTCATGACCAATGGCGACTCGGCATGGACATACCTCCTGAATCTCGCGATGGTCTTGAGGCTGCTGCGCGGTTGAAATTCAACTCATTACTTTCGCTTCCCGAACATTCACTTAGGAAAATATACGAAGAGGTCAATTTAATCAAGACAGGACGTTTTGCTCTGGTTCCCATTTTACCTCCCGTGGTTAAGGTCAACAATCGTGGCCGACCAAGAACTGACAGTAAAAAGAATGCGACCTCCAAATATGGCCGATACAAATCGAAACATGAGGTGGAGGAAGCCAAGAAAAAAAGAGTCAATAGATGTGGACTCTGTAGACAGAGTGGACACTCTCGAACCACGTGCCCTAAACGAGAAATAGCTGCTGATGAAGATGAAAGTGGCGACTCTGACATTCAAGCTGTTGAAGACAATGAAGACAAAGACATTGAAGCCTTTGACTCAGATGATCATGACCATCAACTTGAAAATGAGATTGACAACGAAGAAAAAGAAAATGAAGCAGTCAAACCGAAGATTCCCAATGAAGACGTCAAATTGTTTGAAGACGATGCTGAAGATCAACTCCCGAACCTCGTCTGATTCAGACGATGGGAAGGACCTATGTCCTTTTTGTGACGAAGAAATGCCACCGAACCCTTCAAGTAAACTCCTGAAGATGAAGGCTGAACTGCTGTTGTTGCCCAATATTACCAAAGGAATCGGACGGCCAGGAGCCATGAGTCTACCAGTGAGTCATTTCTTTTCGATCTAAACCACCGAAACTTTGTTTTTGATTTGATTTTTCTGTGGCCTCTGTAGTGGCTGCAAAGGGCGTCCTTCTGTGGACTACACGATGCCGAACGTGAAGTAATACCTCATGGGCTTACTCAAGGTTGGCCAACTTCAATTGACTTCAAAAAACTTGAAAGGTATGTTGCAAATGGAACTTTAGGGTCTACAACATGCTGAACTGTGTTTTTTGATCACAGCCGCATAGGGTCTCATTCAAACTTGCTTTTGAAGATCATCCAGCGTAAGATGCGATCATCTTACTTGGACCTTGCAAGAGTAAAGCATAAAAGAGGGGGACGCTCGATGGTTTTGAGGTGGAGCAACCTGGGTAGTAAGTGCACCTTTTGTATTTGTAAGTAAATCTGAAGACACTGACCATTGGATATCTCAGCTATGGATGCAAAGGACTTGAGGTGATGGTATCCACGCTGGAGCTGCTATTTTTATCGAAATTGTCACAACATCCTCTGACCAACGAATCGGCGGCGCCTCTTACCCCTGAAGATTTTTTACGAACCGTCCTTGTTCCTGAGGTCAGCCTTTCTTTAATTGCGGAGGATCTTGGCTTGCCACGTCAAGATCCGAAGGTGAAAGCTACACTCAAAGCAAGTCGAACTTTTGGGACCATTGTTTTTCCGGGCGACGGTGAAGAGGTGGAGGAGGTCAAGAATGAGGTGCTGGATTGTAGTCTGGTTTCATCCAAGAATCAAGACTATTTGAAGCAACTTCCAGCACAAATCGCCCCTTGCATCAAATCGATCCATGATCCACCAGCCTTTGGAAACTGTGGTTTCTACGCAATTGCAGCGTCCTTGAACCTCTTTTCGAAAGACGCCTACCTCGTAATCCGGAAGAAACTTCAGGCTGAACTCTTGTCAAACCCCGAGGTTCATGTCAAATTGATATCTACACCATCCAAACGACCCCGTAGAAACACAAAGGCTCACCAATTGATGGCGGATAAATTTGTTCAAGAAATGTTAGGTTGGCTTGATCACGAGGGGGTATCATGCGCTGAGGAATTCTGGCTGAGGATGCCAACATTGGGGTACATTATTTCCAGTGCATTTGACCGACCAGTAATCTTTTTCACTCCCTCCAGAACTACCAGTTACAGCTTCTTCCCATATCAAACACCTCCCAACAAAGAAACTCCGATAATTCTTGCGTTTGTTAACAAGAACCACTTCGTCAGTCTGGGAGTTGGGCGCGAGTCCATACCTTTTCCTGAAGTTTATGGGAAGGTTCTAAATTCAGATATGCTTGATACTACTCAGGTGCCGCGATGGGTCGAGGCTTTTCACAGTGAGCTGGAAATGTGGGCAAATGACCCAGGCAGTTTAGTTTCTTCACAAAATGTGATGGTGGCAAACACGCCAATAGTTGTACTTTAGTTACTTTGTTTTGTTGATTGTGAAGTGTCTCGCGTGTCTGTTCTGTTACATATGAGAAGTAAAACAAATGAAACTTTTCGTCCTTCTACTTCTACTTGAGAGCGAGGAGAAACATCTTCACATTACATTACATTTACATCACATAAGATGTCAAAAATTGAATGAGCTAAGTACAGTCGTCTCTCCAAAAATCCATATACCCAATAAGCCATACTCTCGCATATCCCATGCTTTTTTCCGTCCATATTTTTTATGGGCGGGGGAAATTGACAGAAAATCCATATCTCCATCATTCCCCATAAACCATACTTTTTTGAGGCCAACCAGCGATGAAAAACCCATACTTTTGGGTGATGTAGATTCAGACTGGTGAACAAGAGTTTGAAATTCCTTACTGTACAACTTACTTTTGTCAGCAATACACCCACAAACACACAAATCAACACACAAACTCCACCGCATAAAGATGATTCCTAAAGACCTAACAAAGTTCACCCTCGCAAATATTCAAGAAGGTTTCGATTGGCTGAAATCTGAAAATGATCGACGTATGGGTCCACTACGAGACCTTTTGAGCCAAGGGAAGGCGCTTTCAAAGGCAGACGAAGATTTTATCGATAACGCTGGAAATATGGTTGATGAGGCTCTTGTCCTCGAGAAAATAAAAAATAGCAACAATGTCTCTGATGCTGCTAAGACCTTCAGCAAAGATGAGCTGAAGACATTAGAGGTCTTGATTTATAAGTTTGAGCACAAGGTTTTTGTGGACCCATCTGTAGCTAAACCTCGTGAATATCTCTTTGCAAACACTTCTAAAGCATCCAATATGTATGGTGAAATCTGATCCCTATGTATTGTTCAACACCCAGGTCCCAAGAAGCGAAATCGAGACAATCCTTGTGTTGAATCTTCCAATCAACCAAACTCGAGTTCTTCTAAAAAAACCCGATCAAAGTCTGCTCGTACTAATGCCACTCTGGCTCAGCGTATATTAGTGTTAGACTGGCACAATAAAAATGGTCGAGTTCAGGTCAAGACAGCAAAACATTTTGAAAATAGTTTTCCTGGTGTTATCATAACACAACCTCTAGTCTCGAGTTGGGTACATAATGAATCAAAGTTACGAGATAGTTACGAGTCTGGTGTAGGACTTGGCATTAAGCGGAGAAATGAGACTGAACATCCTCAAGTAACAGAAGCCCTACAGACTTGGGTTCAACAGGCTGACATTGCCGGACTTCCACTTACCGGAGATGTGATACGAGCCAAGTGGCGTCACTTCGCAACACTTTTCAAAGTGCCTCAAGCAGAGTGGCTTAAGCTCAGTGAAGGCTGGCTGACCAAGTTTAAATTACGTAACGGTCTTAGACAAAGAGTCAGACACGGCGAGGCGGGCTCAGCTACTCCGGATAAGGTCGTTGCAGAACGAAAACGAATCCAGGATATCACCAAGTCCTACCATCCTAGAGACATCTATAACATGGATGAAACAGGATTGTTCTATGCGTGAGAACATTTGTACTGTAACATACTTTTGATCTTTACTAACAAGCCTCGATTTCTCAACACGTACTGTAGAATGCCACCAGACCGAGCCTTGTCTAAAGACAAACAATCAGGTGTTAAAGGTGATAAGCGACGCTTGACCTTTGCACTCACATGTAATGCAGATGGAACAGACAAGCTCAAACCGTTCATCATCGGAAAAGCAAAGCGTCCAGCCTGCTTCCACAAAAAGTCCGGCGAAAATCTTGGATACTACTATCGGAGCAATGCAAAGGCATGGATGACATTTGAGCTGTTTTCAGAGTGGATTATAGACTGGGACATCAAGTTATTGGCAGAAGGTCGTTCTATATTACTCTTAGTTGACAATTTTTCTGGTCATAAGGAGCCTTCCAAGTACAAACTTACCAGTATTCGCCTCGAGTTCTTTTCTCCAAACCTTACATCACATGTTCAACCGCTGGATGCTGGCATAATCGCATCATGGAAATGTCGATATAGATCTGAATACATTACATATGTGATCAATCGCTATGAAAATGAAGTCCCCATTGGAACAATCTTCAAAATCAATCAAATCGACGCTATGGAGCGAGCTGAAAACTCTTGGAATGAAGTGACTCAAGATACAATTTCAAACTGTTATAGGAAGGCGGGTATCATTTCCCCTCGAAATCCCGATGGATCTTTGCTGCAGGATCCAAACTCAGCGGATGCGAGTCTCAACACGGAGCCTTTGATTGATGATGTTGCTCATCAGGATCTTGAGCAAGACCTTCAAGAATTGATCTCCTTACGAGTTGTTCACAAATCAAACATGATGTCTATTAGCGAGCTCTTAAATCTTCACGGTGAGCATGCAAGCGGCCTTGAAACCTGGACACCCGAGGAAATCTTTGAATCAATTCAGGAACGTGACAGTCATGAAGATCTCCCTCAACCCGAGCACATTGAAGTTGAAGTACCTCCACAACCATCATATTCTGACTTACTGAAATCAAGTGATGTTGTAATGGCATACCTCAGGCATGAAGAATGCAAGGAAGCGAGGGCTTGCGGAAAAACCCTTCGCCGAGCGTTGCGGCAGTTTAGTTCAGCACGTTCAAAGAAAATGAACCAATCAAATTTGAAGCACTACTTCTCATCCAATCCTTAAATCTTCCCGCTTTTTGTTCTACTTCACTATTTACTTTGCTTTGAAATAAAAATTGTTTTTTAAAAAAAAATCTCTCTCCTAACCCATATTTTACCCCCAAAATAAGATTTATGGGTTATCAGAGAGATCCCCATAGGACATACTCCATCAAAACCCATACTTTTTGGTGTCCATAAAACGGTATGGGTTATTGGAGAGACGACTGTAAGTATCAATAAGATAAATACCGGGCGGAAAGTCATTTACAGCCCGGGCGGTATCCGGCAGGGGGGCGTCGGGTATTTTCATTCCGGGCGGTAAATAGTGGTTTCCTTTAAAAATAAATCAACTCAAGATGATATATATATAGATAGAGGTGTTATGAAACATTTTCTCAATTTTGAATCTATTCTGGTTAATTCCTTCATCAGACAAAAAGCAAAGAACCATATGATCTTCACCAATCTATCTCTCTAGAATAAGAAGAATACAAATCATAGGTACATATCAAAAATCCAATGTTTCCAATCAGGTAAATAGAGAAACTCTCCAAAATAAACAACTACAAATAAAGATTAAAACACAAGATGATGAATTGAGGAATGAAATTAAATGAGAAGTTCAGCCATTAATGAAATATGATCAGATGGTTCTATTCTTAGTCTAGGTAAACCGGGTTGAAGGTCTTGAGTTCTATGAGTAGGTAAAAGACTTATCACTTGGAATTTAGGATTTAGAGTTGGTGATGATGGATTGGTTTCGGATTCAGGTTCAGATCGATCATCTAGTATAAAAATATAATCTAATGTACATCTCCAAAGTGGTGTAAAGTTTGCTATACGAAACCCAAAAATAAAACCAAAAGAAAAAGAAATGGTCAGGATTGGATAGATCAGGGTATAAGTTCAAGAACCAACTTACTCCACATTGGTTCAAAATCCCCTCTCAAGATCTTTTCTTCTTTACTGATGCACACATCAGGTTTAGTGGCTTTAATGATTTCTTCTTCTCTATCTTTAAATCGATTGCCATCTTGATCCTTCATCCTTTCACCCCATCTACCATACAAACTAATCCAAGACTTTTTTCCATGAATCTCTTTTAATTCGGTTTCATTAAACAATTCATCAGGTTCATTAAGCTTTCGAACTTCTTTAAATACTCTATCATCATCACCTTCAATAGTTTCATAAACTTCATCTTTGATGGTTCTATTCATCATCACATCTACTGATTTATGAATCAATCTAGACCTGTTAAAGTTTTCTCTTTGGTGTTCATCTGATTTGATACCTGTCATTAATCTGTATCCAAACGAATTAGGTTCTTCATTAAAGTCACCGGCCAAACAAGTTGTCCAGTTTATTGAATGATCCAAAGAAGTTTTAAAACTTTGAATCCCACGACTCAAAAAAGCGATCTGACGAGACCTTTCATAAACAAACCTAGCATGCCAAAAAAGATGAGCCGTACCAATCACCAAACCTACTGAAGACGAAGAATCAAGTTTAGATTTCAAAGCACATATTAATCCGATATTACGTGTGGATCGACTGATTCCGATCTTCTCTTTATAGGTTTCTTCATCTAATCTTATTAAATGTTCATTGATTTGTTCATACTCTTGACGTTTCCATCCAATTAATAATCCATGTTGTTTACCTTCTTCTTCGTAACCTCCAATTTTGTATGTATAATCGTATCCTGCTTTTGTAAGGATTGGTCCATGATCTGTTAACCTATCTACTTCCTCTTTTAAAAATCCATCCCCCCCAAAAAAACAGCTCAAGATGATGTTTTTCCCTTGTACATTGAATTTATGATGGGTTTGGGAGAGGGGAATATATTCACTTACTTGTAAACAAATCACATCTGGATCGTAATTTATGATTTCTTCAGTAATCGTTTTTCCTCTTTCTTTCCATTTCAAACAATCAGAACCAGGAAACAAGTTTCGTTTAACCAAACATTGTGCCAAAACCTAATCAAAAAAAAAATCAAAAAAAAATCAAAAACCAGTCATTCATTCAGTTGATAAATATAACAGTAAAAATCAAGGAAGATTTCTGTCAAGTTTACATTCCATGTCATGATTTTGATTTTCAATCGACCAGTTTGGTTGATCCAACCAAGACATTCTTTCTCATTACTATAAACTGGTTTTGGTTCTCTTGGTAAGAAGGTTTGAGTGATTGATGACATTTGTTTGAATGATTTATGGAATTGATTGGGTTTCGGTTGGAGTGATGGTCGGATTGAGAATAAAAATGCGATGGTGTGAGTGAATGTCATGTCTTGAAGTTGCGCCACCATTGAATGATCAGGAAAGAAGTTGATCCGAAAGGATCGGTACTTATTGCCTATCCCTGTGGTTGGGTTGATCGGGTACTGTTGATCGGTAGTCGGTACTGTGATAGAGTTGGTTTGAGCGATATCAACTTCAACCACTACCAATCTAACCCAAACCTTCAACCATACTCTCAACAAACAACTTAAACAATCCCAACAAAAGACATCCAACCTACCCCAAACCTTCAAACTCACTACCCCAAACCATAAAAAAAAGCAAGAAGATAAACCAATTCATCAATTAATTCATTCAATCAAAACCGACTTGAGAAACAAAAGTAATGGATAATTTCTTAACCAACGTGCCTTTTACTACTTCTGGTGCATTGGTAGATATAGTTGATAGTTAGTTAGTCCCCCAACCTTTTACCATTCATCTAGAATCAAATCATTCTCTAAATGGGTTTATTAAAATGAATTGACAAAAAAGAAAAACTAATGGGTTTGAATTATGTGATTTTTTTTGGTTTAGAAAAGATTTTAGTTTCATTAAGAGATGGGAGATCGTTAATAGGTGTACTAAGATCATACGACCAATTCGGTAAATCTTTAACCATACAAATCTAAAAAAACCCACCCAACTGATAATGATGATGATGATTTTCTTTTGATTTGGGGAATAGCTAATTTAGTTTTACAAGATGCGATTGAAAGGATACATGTAGGTGTAGGAGTAGGCAAGGATGAAGAACGTAAAACAGGTCAGTATGCAGATATTTGGAGAGGTATTTATTTAGTTAGAGGTGAGAATGTAGTCCTTTTAGGTGAAATCGTTCGTCTTTCATCTTCTCAAAATCCTCAAACTCTCAAATCTCAAAGAAAATTGATTTTGAAAATGGTTTTCTTTTTGGATTGTTTTTTTTTCTTAGGATTTAGATAGAGAAGATGAAGTGATTGAAAGATGTGAACAATTACCTATTGAAGAAGTTATAAATTTACAAAAATCAGAACAAGTAACAAGACTAGAAATGATTAAATCAAAAGAAAAGATTTTGTTTGATCATTGTGGATTTGGTAAAGAAGGTGATGAAGGTGATCGATATTGAAAAGCTTAATCAATCTCAAATCAAAATCCAAATCAAAGATTTCTTTTGTGTTTGTTTTTTGATACTATCTTTGATTGGATTCATGGATCAGTGTTGAATGGTTTCTCTGGTTTAAAGTTACTTGATTCTCTGCATTCTCAAGTACATACTCTTCTTTGAATTGTAATTCTCATCTAGATAGTAATACACTGCATAAGAGTTTTAGCAGACACTTTTTTAGTATGCTTTATGTAGATGCTTGAATGGTATCAACCAAAAACAATCAAGATTGTTGATTCACTCTCAGATTAGTCTTAGCCTCATCAAAATTGTGTTGGTTGGGTGAATCCTTGAAGTTAATTCATTCAGCATATATTCAAATGTACCGCATATCATCATCGAACCTCTGAATGGTATTGAAGCCCAAGTACAAGAATGAGAATATCTAAGCTGATCAAGAGAAACCTTGCAAGTTGAGAACAAGTTAATAAAATCTTTTAGTTTGAATTGATTTTTTCTTTCATGGTGTGATTCCCTTATCCCAAGGTTTACGATCTCCATGAACATATTCTAAGACTTTATCAGCATAACATTCTAAACAAAGATGATGTTTTCGTTTAGATTGACCACAACCAGAACAAGATGAAAGACCTATGTTGACCACAAAGCAAAGAAAAAAGGATAAGTTTGACTGATCTTTTAACGATTATGATGATTTCAAAAAAACCACTAACCTAGATCAGGTTTAATTCCTTTATGTGCACTTCTCATTCGTTTACGAGAATGTGATACTTTTTTCTTTGGAACTGCTTTAAGAATCGATTCAGATATCCATCTTGATAAACTTGAACCCCATTGAATTAATTTAGCGGAACTTGATGATGATGTTGGTGGGGATTGATAAGACTGATGATGATCTAATTGTAAATTAAAGTAATTTAGAGATGGTGATAGATGATAAGATCTTGATGGGTTTGATAGTCTTGATGGTTGAAGTAGTGATTTGGTTGGTTTTGATTTGAATAAGAATGTTGAGTTCATGGTTTGGTAGTTGGAACTTGTTAAAGTGAGCAATCGATTCGCGACTTGGGATCCTTCTGATTCGATTTCTCATTCAAAATTCAAAATCACTTGGAAGTTGGGACCCGAGGGGACAGAGCCCTGATGTGGGGACCATTTCATCGGGATTATTCGGCTCGGGTGCGGTGCCGGACTTCAAGAAGGCGTAAATACCACTGCCAGTGATCCAGTCAATCCCCATTCACATAAAATCACTTCCTCATCTCTTTTGAATTTCAAAGAATTACTCTACATCCAATCTTCACTTCTACCAGAATATCAATCAGAAATCAGAAATTTGCCTTTTGTACTCACCTGGCTTTGGCTCCATGATGAGGTTTTTATGTTGCAAAGATGTGTTCTGCTATGTATCTAAAAAGTGTTTCTACAATCAGGTCTGTTGTCTGAGCTTATCAGTGCTACGTCCAAGGCATGATATTTAGAGAGCAAGCACTCAGTCCAGTAAACCAGATACTTCCTCTTGAAAGAATTTATTTGAGGAATCTACCAATCTCCTTCTTACTATTGTTTTCCCCTTAAAGATTATGTGAAAGTCTAGCATACCTTATTCTCTATCAAAAGCCAAGAACAGTTTGCATTTGTGAATTAAACACTTTGGAATAATCTTGGGTGTGTGAAATATAAGGCATACTATCAATGTAATTTCCGCCTCACCTCATCAAAGTAGCTAGAACAAATTAATTTCATCAAAAAAATAGCAAACAATACGAGGACCTGTGTGCAAGATGAGTAAATATGATTTCCAAACAAAAAACAAATGCCATTGATTATATTCTACATTACTGTATATAATGTAAACTACGATTTAAAATGTAATACAACAAAACTAATTAATCATCATTTTAGAAACAAAACAAAAATACAGTCGAAATCTCAAAATGTAGTGTACTATATGTTAGTATACTGAAACATAATAAAAAAACTAAAGCTTCATCCATGAATTGAAGCTAAGAAGCTTGATAAAACTCAACCTTTCAACACGAAGAATCAAGGATGATGATGACCCGGAGTAGCTCTTTTCCTTCGATTATTATAGTCACGAACAACCCTAGAGAATCCAAACCAATCAAGATAAATATCAACTCACACAAGATACATCAAAGGAAGTTTTCTTACCTTTGAATATGTTCAAAAAACCAAAACCTTGTCCCATTATCCTCCAAGGGTAAAAACGGATGACTTCTACCAGTCCGAAGAAACAATCTGATCCCTTTACGATCCAAACTGATCTCCCTTAGATCAGGTAGATATAATTGCCAAACTGTTGTCAACTTGTTCATCTTGATCATTAAGATCTGATCAGTCGTCAAAATGCAAACTGAGTCCTCGTCATTGGGTAATTCGATATGTGCGACATATCTACTTAAATAGAATTTTCCGTTGTCGACTGATCTGAGCCAGTCTTGACCTTGAGCTTCACGTAAATTGTACGACTAAAGAAAGAGAGGAGTCACTACTTCGCTGTGATAAGATTCATCAAAAGAAATATACGTACTCGTAGAATTCCATCACTTGGAATATGTCTCGGTAAACGTGATCGGCCACTTCGACTGGGATCGAAAACGGTCGTGGCGTTTCGTAGTCCTCCCGAAACATTGCTAAGGAAATCGAATGTACCAACGGCTGGTTTGGCTACAACACTACAAGAGGCACATCTGATATCAGAATCTTATTCCCATATCCAGTCATCGCTACTGACTGACCCTACCAAGCCCTTTCCAATCCCTTTGAAAAAACCCGCAGCGCCTTCGCTTTCGGCTCCCTGGATGGGCTTCATCTGCAAATTCAAAATCCGAGGCATTAGTACAAGGCAGCGCGATGCAAAAACAAGTCACCGTACGTACAGCCACTCCTTGAAGACCACTGGCCAACGAATCAACAAAAGCACTAGCACCGGTAGCGAACCCGTTGATCTTGTTTCTATTGCGAAATTGACGACGTTGTCGTTCTCGAGCCCAAGCCGTGTCCAATGCTGCTGCAGATAAGCCTGATCGAATGCATTTGCGAGATGAGTATCAAGAAGTCGGAGAGTGTAAAAGGAAAGTGATTTACCTTTGCTGACAGAACCTGTGATCTTAGACACACTGTCGGTTACACCGAATGCACTCTTCTTGACAAGACTAGCCGCACCCTAGTGATGTTTCACTCATGTCAACAAACGATGACGTTGAGGATGAGTATTGTGAGACGGACCCTTGCGATACCGACTCCAAGCTCTCCTCCACCATGCAGGACGACACCATTGAACGGTTCATAAAACAAATCTTGTACCCCCGAACTAACGTTGCTAAACAAACCAGCAGGATTACCCAGGAAGTCGGCCGATCCGAGCACTCGGTACAACTGAGAAAGTCCTTCATTTTGATAATGTTGGATAAGACGATTGAATAATTGCCCCTGTGTCATGCGTGCACTTTCAATCTTGAGTTGGTTCAAGGTTACAGGTGCACCACTGATGGTCCCGATGGCCATCGTGACCGCATTCAGCAGGAAGTACAATGGGTTGCGAGAGTCAAATGTCCTATAAAACCATCCCGTCAGTATCCTTCTGATGATCAAAGGCGTCCTTAGAAAGAAATGAATTACCTTTCTGAGACATCGACACTATCTTGTCGTTCGAACGATATTACTATCACGAAAGGTTGTAAGTGTAATAACTCAAAGTAGAGATTCAAACCCCCTCCCTCTGAATCTGGTTCCGGGATACCGTCAGGCTCAGCTGTCAATTGGCTAAAGTATCAAGTATCAGTGGACGCCGAAGAGGGTTCTGAAATGAATTTAGCAAGACGACAAACTTGTCAGACTCCTGCTGCCACGAAGCGCCTGAAAACTTCGTAAACCCGACCAAAGCAATCACAAAAGACTCGTCCATCTCTAAAGACATCTTTTGAAGTAAAACGGTCGCATATTTGAAGTACACAACACCGTGTTCTAAAACAACTCATCAGCACGAAGAGATTGTTGTGAGATTCGCTGGGTGAACTTACTGTCGTCTTTGATGACATTTGCTTGTATCTGAAGGTTGGGTCGTAACTCGATCTCTTTAGGATCTGTCGGCAAATCGGTGGGTCCAAAAAGAACAGGAAACAGAGCACCGTCTAATTGATTGTCCAGTTGGATCCATCGAATGATCAACCCATAATCTCTTTGAAGTTGGGTTTCTTCGTAGGTGATATCGATCCCTCTAAAAGAAGCATAAACTAGCTCTCGGAGGCGTTTGTCAATGACTGATATTCCTATACCTTCCAAGCTAATCGCAGCTGTCAAGGAGGTGATTGGTGTAATATCGGCAGTCTCAAAGTCAACTTCACCCAAGCTGCTCAACGTGTCAGACCGTTGTATTTGGTTCGGGCGGTCTCGGTTCCGTCGAGTCGGTTTCCAGACATTTGTGGCTTCGTTGTAGTCTGAGATGACTAATACCTGCGCTTGACCTTGTACAACAACGTCGAACGCGAGTTTCTGTCCCTTTCGCTGTGGACAAGATTCAGTTTGAAATATTCATGGCAGATGAACAGTCTCATGGACCACTTACATATGTCCGAAGAGGTTCTAATTGTCCAACCTCTAGAACGTGGACATCACGATGGAGAATGACCTGCGCCTTGGCGGCAAGTGACGTAGATGCGGGATCCAATGGACAAACGATCACACGGATTAGACTGTCGATTGCAGCCGCGGGTTCATCCCAAGCGTAATTGGTTTCGGTCCCTGGCATAGAGCGGTACGAGCGCATGATTCCCGACGAATTCTTAGTTGGCGCTTCGCCAAACTAACGGGCAAAAGCGGCACTAGATTAGCGAGATCAGGCAGTCAGGCAATGAAAGGATGATTCCCATACCGTCTGGCCAAAGTCAATTGCGCAACTACTTTTGTTACGAATGAGGAACGGCCATTGTTCTGGGTTGACGTCTAGCTTGATGAAGATTGAGGGTCCTTGCAAGAGTATTTCCGCATGGACCAAAGTCTCTACGCCATTGGAGTCCACGCGAATAAAAACTTTGCCGACGTTTTGAATTCGAAATCCTTTAGACCTATGGGAACCAATCATGATTAAGCGAGAAGGAAATAGGAAAGTGTTCGAGCATTTCCTTACCATCTTTTATTGGTATTATCAAACGACAGAACCAATTGTGGATCCGAACTATCCTTGAAGAGGCTGAGTAAAGCGCGACTGCCGGATTTGACAGTCAAAGACTCTTCTGACGACTTTTCCCTCAGGCACAGCGCAGATTTCGAGTTGTTTTTGATGATAAATCGAGGGTAAATGATCACTACCTTGGTCAATTTGTACTTCAAGAGAAAAAGGGTCAGTTCATTGGCTCTACGAAGCTAAAGAAGGTACTCTTACGTTGCCAAGCCCTTCGGATATGCTCAGCCCGACCCTATATTCATTCAACTTGGTGGATGTCTGCATGGTCACCTGCTGATTGGCACCGACAACATCAAAGCTGATAGGCTGAAGGACTCAATTGAGTCAGAAAAAAGCTATATTCCTTCCAGGATAAGAGCTCGCTTTACCTTGGACCAATCAGAATCGCCAACACGGAGCACCGCACGGTTACGTTTGTCATCACTGAGATGAGAGAACAGGAAAGGGCGAGAATCGCGGCGTCGGCTGGCATCTGTGAATAGATTGATGTCAAGGGACGGTCGAGATCAAGACTGTACGAAAATTCACTTACTTCCACATAAATTCTGACCAGCAACACTCTTGGCCGAGCCGATGAAGGGCTTAGAACGAACCGCGAAATCCAAGCCCGTCTTATCTGTAAATCAAACTAGAGATGAGCGTCGCTGATGAGATGGACAACATGACAATTTCACATACTGATAATCACATAAGGACAGTAAATCTGGATTTTACAAGCTCCTCCTGACATGGGATATCGCCTGTCGTAAGATTTCATCAATATACGGTATTTCTCATAAAGCACAAAAATGATATGACTTACATGTAGTGCAATCGAAGATTCAAGGTCAGGCCGTCGTCATCGTGAATTGTGAGACGGTTTTCGATAGGCAGGTCTTCAGGATTATCGGTGTTCACGATGGAGTAATCACTCTTTTGGAAGCCAGTGATACCATCTTCTTGGAATTCAATACCGAGAAGCGTCAAATCCATTGGATCAACGATATGAACCGGGGATGCTCCACCTTTACGCAAGAATGCGGAGTAGGTATGTTTTTGTTCCTTGAGGTAAATTCTATACTTAATGTCGTATGGCAACAAGTTCTCCACTTCAATCGGCGCCCTCAAGAGCAACGTGAGGATGGGATAGTGTCTAAAAGGCAAATTGTGGCAGTGCGTGTGAGTTCGACAGTCATGAGAGGCCGTACTCTTCGACATACCTGACTACTGGATCATCCTGGTCGTAAATGGTCGCTGCATTGAAACGCCGTGCTGGCTCTTTTCCACTAACCGCATCGCACGAGATAGTACGGACAGGGTGCTTGACGAGATCTTTCCACGTGTAGGCTTCCTTGCACCATCCGAAACCAAAGCCGACTGTAGATATCGGGTAACATGAGTACATTGCTGATCAGTATCGTGTGCGAGATCAAACTGACCGTCTGGGCGAATCTTGATACGCTGATGATAGGCAGCCTCAATCGGAACACAACAAGAGCCTCCGGGCACTGACAAAAAGAGCAGTTAGTACTTGAACTTGATTGGAGATCGAACGAGTCTCGATACTAACCAATTTTGTATGGATTTCGTATCCGCTTGCCATCTGACCCGATCACGCACATCTCCACTGGTAGGGCTGTGTCGTTTTGCACTCGAAAGGTAGACCGTAAGGTCACAACTTTCAAGTTGTTACGGATTTCCACGTGACACAGGAGTCTGTGTGTTACATCGGCTACTGACGGCTGTAAAGAATAAACTTGCTCGCCTTCCCGTATCACAGATATGCCTGTGACCGGTGCCCAGTTGGTGTCTTGCAACATCAGCCCTAAACTGTCCTGGCTGGACGACGACACGTTCTGCAAAGAAGACAATGCAGTCTGAGCTAATGATTCGTATCTATAGACTTGATCAAGCTTACTTCACGCATAAGTTTCCAGTCTTCGAATCGCCAAGGAATGTCACTATCATCTTCTATGACATGTTCAGTGGGCTGGGAATTCTCGGTGTCTGAATGGGTCCATACTTTCATCGCATATCCTGTTCGGTTCTTGATCAGATACGGCGCGTTCATTCCCCTACTCTGACGTAAGACATCGTCGCCTTCACGTCCCCAGACATCGGCACTCGTCATGACGAGATCGATAAAAGTGGCAGTGACGTTTAATTCTAATCGCTTTTTGGACTCTAAAGACATAGTCATACACGGAGGACTTCCCCTTTGACTAATCTAAAATCCGCAATCGAATGATCAAGTTCAGATATAAAATCGCATTTCCTCTATCCAACTCGCACTTACTTTTAGAGAGACCGGCCACGGATCCATCAAAGGTTCCCAATGGGAATTAGTTAGGTTATAGGCTACAAAGAATTGATAATCAGTCATCAATTGTCACAACGTTGGGTATGTGGGGTCTCACGTACAGTTTATGAGAAGACATATCGCTGTTTCCATACAAAGCTAAAGGATCGAGTTCAATAATAGAACGATAGTAGTTTATAGTGAATAGTAGTGACTAACCTGATTGGACCAATCAGTTGCCCTGACCGAAAATTCTTTTGTGCTGAGATTCAAGAGGGGAAGCTCGTGAATATCGCCTATCATGATTATTTGAAGTTTGTCGACCGCTACTATAAGCTGGATGGTAAAAAATTGCACTTTAGATTTAGGACTTGATATTTGAACTGCAGAGACTTGACTTACGTCTTCGGTTGATTTTGGCAATCGAGCCGAAGTGATGTCCTCTTCGCTGATTGTCCCCATATGCGAGGCTGATCCTTCTTCGGAAATTGGGAGCGAGGAGCCTGAACCACTGACCTCCTCGGTAGCCTGTCCTTCGGAGTAATTGACCGCCTTACCGTAGATGGAATAGATCAGGAGAAAATCGCGATACGAAACTCTGATGACAAGTGGGGTAGAGTGGGCTTGAATCGACATCTTCTGTTGACCTTTTCGCGCTCGTTGATCGATGGTGAGAGTCATAGTACATTCATCTAGGAACTTAACGCCGTCTTGGTCATCGCCCATATTACCGAGTGACATTTCCAAATTACATATCGTGATGGCAAGAGCACCTTGTTGTGATACCGATATCTTTTCAACAGTCAAATGTACTGCGTCACAGTCAACTCGTTCTGGATCTGAAAGGATCGTAAGCTGGGGTTGGATGATATTGAAGCGAAACGAGGTCGTTGTCTCGACAGGTGTGTTATCGGAAGCTGGTTTAGATGCCTTAGCATGCGATGCTGTTGGTTGTGTAGAGGTCTCCACCACATGACTCGGATCATCGGGGGGAAGCGTAAAGAATGCACTGATAGATAACAGATAATCCACAGAGAGGATAATGTTTGGTGAATCGAGATCGAGGTTGAGATTACTTCCTCCACTGGTTTGATTGTAACTAAACATCAACTGATCACTATCGTGTTCAACGACCGGAATGATCTCCCGGAACTTGGTAGCCTTCGAGGTGCGGGTATCGATCGCTCGCAAGGCTTTCAATAAGAATTCGGCTGCCATAGACCCATCAGAGAGGGTCTTGAAGTGAACACGGGTCCCATTCAACGAAAACTTGGCCAGACTGGAACTTTCATTGGTTTCTGCTTGCGGCATATCGGCATCAAACAGCTCGAGCGTCACATTTGAGACAGTAAAAGCGAGCTCCATGGTGCTCCAAAGTGGAATTGGCCGTCCACTTGGTGAGCGCGCCATCGAAGCCACCTCCGGTAGCATATCTGTAACAGGACCAGTGGGTTTCGGTTGACTGGCTTTGCCCAACGAAGAATCTCCGTGCGAAGACTGAGAAGGTTCATTCTCAGCATCTAGATCGCTCAGGTCGAAGATTTTCGGAACGGAGGTCGCCAATTGCATCACTGCTGAATATTGAGCTTGCGTAAGATTGACCTTCACGTCTGATATATGGGCAGCAATCTGGGCGTTCATGGAAAAATTAGTAAAGCGAATCAATCAAGTCTTTGTGCAAACGGCAATCAGTTCGACTTACATCTGTGTCGGGACCTTGTGGCATGTCCACCGAGCGATCGACTTCAGCAAATGTGGCCATCACTACATCAATGTTGACGTCGCCCAACATTTGCAGAGTGTGACAATCATCCTGATTGTAAAGCTGCGATGTCAAGCGTATGTTGTGCAGCCCGGCTTCAGTCTTGGTCACAAGCTTGCCATCGGGCCACGAAAAAGAGTTTGAGGCGTTGATTTCTCCGAGATGAGCCACCAAATAGTCTGTGGATGATCGATCGCGGGGGAAAACAATGATCGGGGTTCGTATCAAGATGTCATAACACATGCGCGAGTCGTTTTGGGCGAGATCACTGGCTTGTTGACGAGCTGCTTGGCTGGCAGCATCCATAACAGCTTTCATCCGGGCGAATTTAGAAAAAAATATCAAGATCCGATGCAAGATGTCATCCACCACCGTGAATTGAATTGAGCCAGATCTCAGGTAAATCATTGAATCGTGACCAGGTGGTGTTTTTTCGGTCCGAGGGAAGGTCTCGTATTGAAAATCAGCAAGATCGTCCCCTTGTATCTCGACCAGATTTCGGAACTTTGAGCCAATAGAGTGTTCGGTGTCGTCTCGAAGTGTCAGATTGCCTAGGCGAGCATTGACTCTCATTGACGGTCCATTAAGCAAAACAGACACATCGGCGGCCGAGAGTGAAAGTGTAGCCAATTTCATGCCGCCATCGTTCAGTACGAAAGAAATCGTACGAAGCTTTGCTTTAATTCTGAGCTTCTCGGGATTGCCTTCTAAGCCAGGTGTCGCGGGTACTTGCAGGAAATCGCCCGCGCTGCCAGAAGCTGGTCCAGCCACTTGCGGAGTAGGGTTCGTATCTGTAAAAGTGTTCATGATCCAATCAAAGAGTTCAAGCTTGGGAATAACAAGCTTCAAAATCAGCTTCATCTCCTGAACGCAACAAGATCAACTTGTGCTTACGATAGTCGGCCTCGTCACCGATACATTGATGGTCGACAAATCAGCATCCACGCTCTGTTCAATGAAAGGGTGTCAGAAAACGGAAGACTATGTATACATTCGCTTACATAAACTCACCTTACTAATCCCTTCAAAGTGAGTCATGAATTCGGGATGGTCGGTCTGTACTTGACTGTACTTGAATTTAACTAGATCGACTTTATCGGAGGACGAGTCTTCTAAAACTTGTGACGTGGCCAACTTTTTGAAAGCCGATGAAACCGGGACACCTTCATGTACGATTTGATCTTCGATATACATCGAATGTAGAGTGATTTCAACCATCAAATCATAATTGCGTAATGTCAAGCCAAACGAGAAGCCTTCGAGAACGGAATCAACTAGCCGTTGATCCTCTTCATCGTGCAGACTAGATTTGAATATCGAAGCTGTCAATTTGCCTACGGTAAATTTGAACTCGAAGTTTGCCTGCTTAAAATTCACAGACTGGATGATCATAACGATTAGTCACTATAGGCGGCATTGGAAGAAATTTGAATTGACAAATAGCCTTACCTGTTCTGCTTGCGCTAGGTCTGGAGCTTCGAAAAACTCGTCCTCTTCAAGCGTAATGCCAGGAGTATCAGGCGGGTTGTCTCGAGCTCTCTCATGCTCTCTAGTAGTTCGACGACCGGATTCAGACCGATCCGCTAGAAAAGATGCCGGCATTCCAAAGCCTGAGCGGCGGCGTGATCGAGGAGATTCACTTCGATTACGAATCGGTTTAGACTTGCTTCCAGGGGGTTTACCTTGCCCATGAACATCGGTGTGATCGTCGGAGTCTTCGAACTTTGGCAAGGCGACGTCTATCATAGACATGACAATTTTGTATTTCCGGTCAGAGAAATTCACTTTGAGCTCAGGTAGATCCCCTTCGATCTTGAATCGTGTCAAGTTCGGTGCATTATTAACGATGCAGTTTAATACTTCAAACTTCATCGAGATGCGTTCGAGCAAGTGAACATCTTGTCGACCCTCGTGCTCGTGCAAAGCCGATGAACATTGGTCAAAGGACTTGCCGATCAGAAGCTACAAGCTCGAAACACGGTCAGAGATGATGAAAGGTGACTCGGACCAGAATGAAAGAGTCTGACCTGAGTGTCTTTCAACGTAACATGAAAGCGATCATACATCATTGACTCTAGCCTTGCGTAATCGGCATCCGTGTAGTGCTGATTCTGCTTGATTTTGACGCTCTCGATAGCGGTTTCGGGGACGAGATTGCTTGAGACTGCAATGTGCCCAGCGTCAAGCATAATATGCGGACAATCATGGCGAGTGACATCTTCGGGGACGATGATGATAGGCCTGGTTTTTTAATAAAACAAAATCAGACTATATCCATGAACAATATGACAGGAAAACTGACGCATTCATATCGACTTTGATGTCAACAGTCTTATGTGTCTGCAAAGCATATTCAAAACTAGCTCTCGTGTCTTTCCGAATACCTTCTAGAGTTTCACTGGCCACGTCCATCAAAGCACCGATTGATTCAAGCTGACTGGCGGGCGGTCGAAAGAATTTCGCAACGTCTTGAACGTAACCGGGGTGATACACAATCTCCATGTGTCGCATATTAAGGGTGATCCCATTGTCTGCACGATCATCCAATGGCTTATGTTCAAATTTTAAATAGAAGAATGGATCTACCAAGGCTTCTTTCGCAGCTTCTTGAATTTCGTCTACGGTGTCATCAGAGCTTGTTGACCCTTCACGTATTGTCGAGATCTGAGAAGACTTGCTCGATTGACTGTCTTTGACTCGAACGATTTGTGGATGTTTGGTCCCTTTGATCGTCCCATCATAGACGCGGAAACCAGCAAGACTAATACTGAACTCAGAATTATCGGTCCTTTGGATAGCATCGGCTGAAAATCCATCAAAGACCAAAGAGATTATATCATGAGCAGTCCATCTGTTCTCAGGCGCTGAAGGGTTTGTGTCCACTTTGCCAGAACGCAAAGTGAAGGACCCAGTCTTCAGCTTCGCTTGCACATTCAGATGAATTGCATCGCGCGGAAGATCAAGAGTCGATACGCCGGTATCTCCTTCATCCCACTCGATAGCATCATAAAGCTGCTTTCTTTCTTCCTCACTCAAAACACCTTCGACATTTTCATCACTATTATCGGTCGCTGAATTCTGATTTCCGCCCCACATCCAGCCTAACCAACCCCCATTCGCTTGCGAGGTCTTTGTGTTCTCGAGCTCTTGTTGTTTGGCGGTGATTCGTTCTTTGCGCATCTCAGAGCGTGCGAGTGATCGATAGAACCGAATGTCTTGATAGCCTAAGCGCTTCTCAAACTCCATGAGATCGGGCTGTGGGTGATATTGCACAAAGATTCCAGAGACGAAAAGCACTCAGTAATGTATATGGCTAGAGAGATAACGATAGATTGAGTCAACGTACAGATGTGGGCGGAATTGCGCCTTGCTGCACAGCTTTGTACGCCTGCACATATGCTTTTCGGTCGTCTCGGCGTTGACGAAAGTAATCCCAACTCCACTTATATGCTTTCTCATGAACCTCGTGCCTAGTAACTCGCTTCGCGAATTCCCATTGAGCCTTTGGTTTATTCGTCTTGAAGTCTTCTTCAGATGGCCTAAATTTGAGATAATCACGATGTCGAGTATAGAAATGAAAGAGATCAAGACAAGATAGCGCATCGCGGTACTGATCCGCGTCAATCAAGAATGCGAGTTCGCTGAATATCAACTCGCAATCGATCTTAGCCAACTCCTTGGTAGGAAGCTTCCGAAGGATCAGTTTACCCTCTCCGCTGACTGGCTTCAACACATATTGATGATCAGGGATATGAGGCTGACTGTCATCTGTGGAGACTTGAGTCCGAGGAATAAGCTCGGTAAACTTCTTCTGAAATAAGTCTGGATCCTCGAGATTGGCCAATGAGACTGAATCCGTGTTAAAGTAAATAGCCAGAGAGTCGAGCTTCGTTAACTTATGTACACCGGTCTTGGGACCAATCACAAAACTTTCTTCCCAATTTTCGTCGGTCGAGACGGCTGAAAGCTCGGCGAGTGTCAAACCAACGGAGAATGGGTGGCCAGGTACCGAGATCTTGTCCTCATATCGGATATGCACGTTTTTGATACGAAGCTGTAAGTTATCTAAGATCTTGTTTGTCATCGCAGCAACAAAAGACTCATTTTTGTTACTTTCTTCTTGTGTCGAATTCGGAGAGGTGGGGTCTCCAGCAGGAGAAGTCAATAAGAGCTCTGAATTCTTTAATTTCTCCATCTTCGATGCTTGTTTCCGCCGATCATCCTCTTGAGGGTCGAATTTACTCTCGCTGGCAGGCACAGCCAGAAGATAGATGTCTTCTATAACAGCCTTCACTGGTCGGCTCTGTAGACGATTGAAAAGGGAACTTTGTCAGTTCCATGGATAGATCACCCATCAAAACGTAGCTACAAAGCAAATGGGTCTAATACACTCACTCCTAAAGCTGTCCATCTAAGTCATATACCAAAATTCCCCAAATGCAAAAGTAATTTCATCATAAAAGTCAATCATACGCATCACAACTATTTCCAAAAGGTTAGAAGAGAGTCAAATCTGGTCATACGTACGGTACAGTCAGTACCAAACTCCCTATGGACCCTTCTACTACATCCACCGGCAGCCGAAATTTGTCCAATGCACCGCGTTTCAACTTCAAATTTCTGTTGGAGGGATTGACCAAGATAAATGTCAGTTTAGTATTTGATCTTGCAATTCTGTAGAGCAAGAATCGCGAGGTATAGCTTCAAGAATCTGCCATGACTCACTTTAACTTGATATCACCACCCCAGATCCCTACATTGAGCTGCTTTGGGTTGAAATTCTCTACATATGCTGAAAGGACTTGATTGAGGACCTAGTATTTTTTCGTCATGAGATCAGTATGGTACTTTCATAGGTTGATATGGCGTGTAGCTAACCGAAGAGACCACGCTTTCTAAAACCATGACGGCAAACGGTTGTCCTCACCGCCTTACGCGGCTGGAACCACTAAATTCTGTCGGGTACTGGTAACCGATGATTGATTGTCGCCTTGAATGAATATTTCCCGAAAGTGAGTTAGAATGTTGCGGTTCTAAGGATTGAGCGAGTAGTGTTGGTAAGTTTGAATAACACTGATCGATCGATACTATTACTTGAGATTAGAGAGTGAGGATCGAATGAATTATGAGCCGGATGTGGTAAACTTCAAAAGATGGCTGTGCGGCTATAAACTTGGTTGGATGAACGATTTTCAAACAATACAGTTTACAAAACTGCATTTATACTTACTTCACTTGAGTTTTGAGCGGGACTGGGCAGACAATGCGATATCAAATGCCGTTTCAAGAACTTCATTAATAATGCCTTTCTACGGACTACATTGTAATACCTTTACTTCATTTGTTAAACTTCTCAAGGTCACTGATATTTCATGACGTCTTGTGTGGATTTCATTCTCGCTGGAATTTGTCACGTTGAGCTACATACTACATAGACGTTTATTGTTGGTCCGTGACAAGATATAGGTTTGGCCTCAAGTGTCGCACTGGTCCATGAACGGCATCAAGTATTGTCACATATCTCATCAAGCACAGATGAACATGAGCTCATCAAGGCTGGAAAGATGACACAGTTGCACAGCCAACAAAGACAATTCAAAGATATTAGGGGTTTCAGTATGTTTTTTTACGTTCCTTTTGAAAATTTGGTCAAGTTGCCCGTATACAAATTACGCATTTCCAACGGGCAAGTTTCCAAGATGTAAAATTGCATAAGAAACCAAACTTGAAAGCCCCTATCAGGGGGGCTCAAGTTGGCCAAAAAGTGCCTAAAACTTTTTACTTTAGTCTCCCACCTCTTCAAATCCCAATTTTGTGCAAAAAAACACAAAAATGTGCTTCTCAGGAAGGGCTTTCTGCAAGTTATTCAAAAGTTTCAAAATGATGGGCAGTGTTTTGATGTAGGGGCACTTGTATTTGAGGTGTTTTTTAACTTGACACTTATTGTCAATTGTATAAAAGTATGTAGTCTTTCATTTCACAACTCTGGTTGCTTCTGACTCTGAGAAGGCTTATATATTTCATAGCTTGCAACATGCACAAATGTTGGCAGGATCTTTGAAAGTGTGAGTATTGAAGGAATTACTAATTGTGCATCAGAGTTGATATTGAAGTGTGATTCTGAGAAAAAAGTATCAAGTCAGTGATAGGATCAAGATATCTACAGCTGTTTAAAAGATTCATGTCATGTCTCACAAATTGACCCGGCAAAGCCCCAGGAGTCATCTAAGATCACAATTTTAGCCTTTTTCATACTGGAAAAAAGACTGAAAGCTTTCAAAAAATTCCAGTTATGTATTTCACCCCCAGGTTTTGGGAGTTTAGTCAACTTAAATTTGGTTCTCATACCTCCCATACCTCCACGTTTGAGGATATATTTTGGGTGTTTTGAACAAGAGAAACTTTCCTTCAAATTTTGGGCAAAGTATGAGCAAATCAGGCTTTTGAGCAGACAATTTGGCATCAAAAGCCATGATTACTTGATGCATGTACTTATAAATGATCTGTGTTGTGCAATCACCCCAGAAAATTTGACTTTCATAAAAGTTTATGAGGAACATTTTCTAACAAAATCCATCAACCAGGTCAAATTTCACACTTTTTGGACATTTTGAGATTCATACGCTCAGACAACCACCCTTTTTGAAATTGATTTCATACCTGTCAGACCCCTAAGTCAATTTTGTTTGTCAATAATTCATACCTCCCAGGATGGGCTTTGGTAGGGTTTGCCTGGGTCCTCAAATTTTTGAATTTTTTTGCAAGCACCACATCCAAATACAGCAAATACAGCTGTGTGTTGATTGCATGCAACCCAGAGCTGTACTGTCAGCCTGAGATTTCCAGTTGGGGTAAACTAGAAGTGAAGCAGTGCTGAACAGTACTCACAAAATGTATTCTATTGAGTTTTACACAATTTGTTATTCAAAACTGGAGGGAGATTATTTTTCAAGTTCTTTGTGAGTAGGAAAAAGAATACAATTGTTAGTTATATTCTGTCTTAGGTGCGGGATAAAAACCGCTGCCAGTTATTTAAAGTAAAAGTGCAATCACTTTTATTTTCTTCCAAGGTGAATACGTTTTTAATTAAAAAAGACGTAAGCTATTCCTTAGGGTGACGCTTCAGCATTGGTTTGATAAAAACAGGTCTTTTATCAAAAAATGTAATTGGAAGGAACTTTAGTCGAAGATAGTTACTACTATCACGATCTTTAACGTCCTAGTTTATTTTTTAGAGATAAGAGAGAAAAGATAGAGAGAAAAGAATAGGAAGTGGGAAACTGATGTTAGGAAGTGAAGAAGTAGATTTGATCTAAATTCTAAAAGAGTAACAGGAGTTTCGAACTTTTTTTTAAGATGAAAGAAGTGATCTTTTCTAAAACAGAAAAAACGGGTTTTAAGAAGTAACTTGTAATTTTTGTTCGGTAGATTTAAAGATGATCCTCGTTCTTTGATTTTGCGAAAGCGAGGTTATATTTAAAGGAGAAATTTCATTTTCATTTTTTAGTTGATCCAGGGAATAGAAATCTAGACCGGGTGACGTTGTCACTGTTTCAGCCTGGGTCTGGTTGCTATTCGCCTAGTTGGAATTGCTTGGTCAGGTTGGTGAGGTCATTGGACCCTTATTTAGTTTTGATTGTGATATTAGATTATTGCAGGGTCAAATCGAGGAGAAGGGTTCAAAAATATTGTTTCTAGTTTTTTGGTTTTTACTTAAGGTAACTGTTAAGTTTTGCACTCTTGAGACTTGAGTGTTAGAGGTGTAAAGGTTCTTGTCTCGAACCGGTTTTATGTTTTTAGTTTTATCTTTAAGATGCTTTTAGTAAAGCATGTAGTTTCTGTTGCAACTGTAATAGGAATTCTGCTCCGCAGAATTCCTCTCAGTTGACATGTACCCTAGGGTAGTTATGCTTACCTAGGCCAGAAGTCTACTTCCATGGTGCATGGTATTGTTTGGCAGCAAAATTCAATTACAAACCACAGCTCAGCAATGGCCACCTAGGATTTTTCACCATCCACTGGATGTAGCACCAGGCTTCAATCATCAGTTGCCAATCAGGAACTGTTTGGGCACACCATTCAATAACAAATCCAAAAAGCTCAGCAGCCACCGCCTTGGAATTTTCACTCTTCACTGTACTCAACGCCAGGCTTCATTCACTGGTTCAACACCAGAACCGCTCCGATACGCTATGGATTTCAACCCATTTTGGTATCGGAGCGGAGTAACCGCTATGAGATCACCGATACTCGACCAATATTTTTTTAAAAAAAATATCACAAGGTATCGGAGCGGAAGGTATTTTACCGCTCCGATACCGCTATATATCGCTGCTATAAGGGCTAAAAGGCATATTGAAGTGCCCTCAGACCCTTCCCATATCGGAGCGGTCAGACCGCTATTGGTTTTCTCGCCTTGGGATGGCGGAGCGGAGCCACCGCTACGTATAGTGGTCAATATAGCGGTGTAAAAACCGCTCCAATACCGCTCCGATACCGCTATATGTTGCGGAGCGGTTCTGGTATTGACTGGTTGGTGATCTTGATGTTTGGCCAACAATGAACTCACCCACTGTATCCAAGAATGCTGACCCAGGGATTCCTCTGACCGCAGGTCAATTGCAAACTAGTAAGGACTATTTAAGGCCACCATCCTCTCCTTATGGCCTTTACCAACCCAGAACCTATCATCACACTTCTTGCCCATCATTGCACCTTTTGAAAAACAACCATCCCACCTTTCATCATGGTCAACAGGAGACTCCCCATGTTTGCTCTTTACTTCTCCGAGTCTCACTTCCTTTCATTGGGATACTTTACTGACATGTATCCGTTTGAACATCAACACAGTCCCACCAAAAACAGAATTCACAACATATTATCCCCCCTTGGGAAATATGCACTTGCAGCTACCAGGCCATGCTGTCTCACAGTATGGGCAGAGATTGGTAAGTCTCTTCATACTTTGTGAAAGTGAAGCATCATGGAAACATCTCTTTGACTTGTTTGATCCGGTCAGGATGTCTCAAACCACCACCCCTGTGTCTCACTCCCAGGTTTACTTTGAATTCAACACTGCCAGCACCCTTTTATCATCCCCTCTGTACCCCCCACCTGCCACTGGCCTGTCAGCTCACCACTTGACATCCCAGCAAGACCTTGATATGACCCACCTGGGGTGATCACTCTGTCAATCACCGCACAATCGGACCTTACCCCAATTAATCTTGGCCCTTCATTGTCATACCAGTTGTCTTTGGTCTCCCACACCACCCCTCACAAGAGTCCCATCATTTTCACAAAAATGTTTCTGACCACAATCAGTTATTGCCTTGACTTCATACTCCAAAGTCATGTTGGATTCCATCTTTGACAACACCCCTAGCTCTCCCCTAAAGCAACCCTTAATGCACCTCAATGGTACTAGCCCTGCCAAGCACAAGACTGAAAACGCTCATGTCAATGGAAAGCAGTGCTCTCATCTAGCCCAATACCACACAAAGTGCTGAGATGTGCCATTATTGCTAGTCATAGACCTTTCCCTTGAAAATGAAGATACAAGTGTTGCTCCTAACCCTGCTACCGACAACTCAAATCAACCGGTTGTCAGCAAAAAAATGAGGAACAGATTATCAAAGTTCATTTCAACCTCTGGCAACTTCAGGTACCCAATGCTCCTGATCCCAAGAAGCAGAAGCAAAATATTGGTGGCCACCAACCTAAAAAAGGCAAGACCCCATCTTTAACTACCACAACTTGAATCCTAAGATCCCTTCCTATCTCCCCTGCTGCCCTTGTAATCTGTCTTTAAGTGCAATATATTCCTCACTCACAACTCTCAACTTGCTGATATCTCAAAATCTCTTGAACAGGAGTAGTTATCTTGTGACATTGCAATCCAGGGGTTTCTCCACAGTGCTTGTGGACATAAGGCTAAAGACAAGGTGGTGATCACAGATTCAGCTCCCATCAAATACTTCATCACATACACTATGGTAGTCCCTTCAGATACAACCATGGGCTTCAAACTCCTGTACACAAACCCCAAATCAACTGCAATAGCTATCCAATCTATCCAATCTTTTCAGAGTGACTTACCTGGTATCTAACCATTCTCAAGGTGTAAGTCTGGACAGACTCTTGTGACCTGGAGGTTGCACTGACAACCTTTCTAAGTCTGCTGCTCCGAGCCCAGGAGAACACAAATGTTGCCTCTTGATGCAGCACTTTGAAAATGATTTCAAATCTGGCAAAAACTTCACCTCAGTGACCAATCCCAAAGACCTGGGAGTTCTCTTCAATAATTCACATATCTACATGTGGGAAAACAACTGAGTAGGTTGTTCATTCTCTCTGGCACTTCTTTTTTTTCCTGAGGAAGAATCCTAATTGCTCTGTCTGCCTCTTTCACAGGAATATGAAGTGTCCGGCATTGATGAGATCATTCTGGTGATGCACCATCAAGAATTTTTCTGGATCCCTGCAAGAACGTGCAAGCAAGAGAGGAACAAGCTCCTGGGGATCACCAACCACTGCAAAATGGCCAATGTGGTGGTCCATCACAATTGTCATGGTCATCAATTCTTGCCAAATGGCCTCCCTGTGCCATCTACATCCACCATCCCTGCTGCTGAACCCCTCCAATTATCTCTGCCTCCTGGCAAACCCCATCCTTTGAAAAATTGTCAATTTTTGTGGGGATTCTGCCAGAGATGGTGAAGAATTGCACCATGTAATTATTAAACAAAGGCATCCAGACTTTCCCATGTTTCTTGGACCACAGCACTTGCTCAATTGCCCAAATTCACTCTTTGTGAATGCCATTTGGTCCGGCTGTCAGTTTTTTCAAGGTGGTGCCTGAATTTATCAATCACCCAAGATTAGAATGATGAAGAAACAATACCAATTTTATTACAAAATGATGTCTATTTGGTTTTTGAATTGTTTATCTTTTCCACAACAAAGTGTTTGTTCTCTGGATTTTTTGTCACAAAGCTTCATTTTGTATCTGCTTAGTTTTTGTTATCTTATTCCTCAATCTTATGCACTATTTAAAGGCATTGCTCTCCTAATTATCTGTGGTTTCAAGGATATTAAAAAATTTGAATCCCCCCAAGCAATATCTGAAGCTTTGTCCTTCTTATCTTCCTTCGATGGTTCCAATAACATCATTGTCCAATATTATTAACAAGTTTACACCAAAGGTTTTTTGCCTCAGATTGAGTCCAAAAAATGGCCTGAAACCCTCCAAATTCTTTTCACACCAGGGAGGATAGTCTCAAGCTTCATGATCACCCTGCACCCTGTGTGAGTTCATCAAGTTTGGTTCTCCATGATACTCCAGGAATAAAAGTCAGCTCTGAGAAAACTGGGTCCCTTTCCAAGTCCAAGATGGATTCCAACAAAATACCTGATAAGGACTTATTATGTTTCCAATTCTTAACTCAGGTAAAGACACTTTATCATTGGAATGTGCTTGTGAGGTACTTGATTCAAAGAGTACAATCAATGCTTCTATGGATTCTCTTGGAGTTTTCGAGAAGATTGTAAATTCGAAGAGTGAAGCTAGAATTTCTTGAAGAAGTTCCACAAAACTTAAAGGTCCATCAAAGAATTCCTCGTCTTCAAACTCAAGGTGAGCTCCTGTGAATATGAAGCCTCAATCTTTATTCATTCAAAAATAAAGTTGACCTTTAAATAATGCTTTGATTTACTGGTTTGAATTGTTGGTACAATAAAGATGAAGATCTTAACAATCATGATGAGAATAAGAAATTGTGGTACCCAGTAGTTGTCAAAAGAAAACCCATACTAAATCATTGTCATCATCCTACCGCACATCCAATGACCACACACAGTGTACAATTTATGCATGGGAGATCCTGAGAAAATGTCCCAAGTCTTGTCCACAACTAAGTCAATTTTCTCATTGGCCAGCATGTGGAGAAGGCTTTGTGTACGTCAAAATTAAGACTTGAGGGTGCCAGAGGCCTTCTCAGTTGGGTTGATATCAGGCAAGTATGGAGGCAGATACATTACATGTATATCTCTTTCTTCAGCCAGCTTGGCAATTGGCCCTCCATGGTAGATCCATGTACTGTCCATGAACAACACAGAATTGGCTTGGGAATAGTGGTTCATTACCAGAAACTGCTGGCCAAAAATGATCATTATTGTGCATGGTAACTTACAAATCCCTGAAAAAATAGTAACCTTCTTGGTGTTTCAGAGCTAAAACTGCACCCCTGAAGATTACTGGGAGAAGCAAATATTGTTTCCCACCGCAACTCAATACATTTGGTACAATGCCCACAAGGAGCGCAGCCAAATATTCTTCCAAGAAAACTCTCCTGGACAGCACGCTTGTCTGCAGAGTCAATCAATCAGCTTGGATGCATTGATACAGGATGTGATTCATGTGAAAGACAATTCACCTAAAAAGACTAGCATGTTTGAGGTCAAGGCCCATATGGCGTGTGAATATTGGACTTGCTGGGAGGCACATGGATTGGGGTGCAGAGTGTGTCTGAATTTGAGTGTCAGATTAGGTCAAGTCTTGAGGTCACTGGAAATTGTGATAAGGGAGCACCACTTTCTGGTGCAACAATAGATGCTGTGTCAATACTCTTCAAAGCAGAGACTGGGATTCCCATCAAGAAGCTCAAGCATAAAACCTTGATCTTTGTCCATGAAGGCTGTCTTCCTACCAAGCCTTTTGTATTGGTCTTTCTTTTACACTGGTCTATGGCTTTGTTTTTTCACAAGCCTTGTCATTTGCTCAATGGCTTTCATGCCTTTATATCATAGTTAAGGGTTTTGTAGCCTTTATCATATTGTTAATGGTACACTGTTTTATAGGCGGGTTGGAGAGGGTTTGTTTTTTATCACACAAGCAATATTGTCCCCCTTGGCCGATGCCTTGGGACTCTCACCAAACACTGTCCAATTCCCTTTTGGTGTTTTCATACCAACCAATCTGTAAGTTACAATAAGTCCCATTTCATGAATTTACATATTAAACAGCTGCACAAAATGTGTCTTGAGCTTGGTTCAAGAAAGTCAAAAGTTGGATGTATGCATTTTTCAAGATAAAGCGGTCTGCTTTGCTTGATATCTTAGATGACACCGCGAGAATCATTAAGTGTGAAACCGGATTGAGCAAAGTCGCGGTGTCCGGGTCCGCGACTTCCTTCAATCACGGATCTCGTTTGCCATGGGTTTGCCATAGGTTTGCAAGCCCGTCTCGAGCTGCCCTCTACATAGTCATCCACTCAGGCTGTAGTATGGACTAATGGAGGTACCATATGTCTAGACTCTTGGAACATATACATAGGGCTATGACCCGGCCCTGGCCCTGACCGGCCGAGTGTGCCCGAGCGTTTTCTAGGTGAGGTCGAGGCCGAGCCCGGGGCCTCAAGTCCAGCCTGGGAATAGAAAAAAAGGCACCGGTACAGGGCTACTCGGGGCCGGGGCCGTCGCAAAAAATCTTTATGGAGGCAATCTTTTGGAAAAATTGACGTCATCAAGCATCCTTCCCGAGCTCTCAAACACGCTTTCAAGGGGATGGTCCGAGCCAGGGCCTGCCCGGTGCTGCCCGGCAGCATCCTTGAGTATTGCGTGGCCGAGGCCGGGCCTGAATCGGCCCCGGGGCCGGCCCTGACACTTCAGGGCCGGGTCATACCCCTACATATACATGATAAAGCTCATGACTCATACATGATCTTGAGTGGTCTGAGGATATTGAAAGGAAAAACATGCATAACATGTACTGCAGCTCAGGCGGACAACTCGAGGGGAGCTTGATGCAAGCTAGCAAACCTATAGCAAACCTATGGCGAACAAGATCCGCAATTGAAGAAAGTCGCAGACCCAGACACCGCGGCTTTGCTCAATCGGGTTTCACACTTAATGATTCCCGCGGTGTGATGAATGAAGAAGATGGGGAGCAAAAGGGCGGCCTGAGAGTCGCGCGCAATTGATTTAGTCCATAGGTTCAGACGTAGTCACGATGAGATCACTTCACTGGGTATGGACAGCTTGTTGGCTCTTGCTCAAAGGCTATTTTGATAACTTATCGGTGAAAAGGTTCACGCAGATGATCATCTGTTGCATTCTAAAAACTGGACATACCAAAATCGTAAACCGATGACAATTCAAAAAGGCCACAACAATAAAACAAAGCAAAAAAACAAACTAAACAAACATGAGAAAACAAAAAAACGAAATCTTCATCTTAGATCAGAATTAGAAAAGTCTCATCGTTTGGTAAAAAGAGTTAAAATTCAAATTAATGAATCATTCCTCTCGAACACGCTGATCGGTTAAGAAAAGGGCGTCGCCAATATGACTGTTGAGCTTGATATATTCATTTTTTTAATTCATCATTTCGATAGACGTGAAGATATGAGTGATGGGAAAGGAACGGATGAGGTCGTGTTGGGAAGAAAATTCGGATGCATTGCAAGGTTGTTTGACAAAAGGTGAGTCGGACGCCGGTAGCAAGTCGTTGATGACGGTGGTGGGTGGCTCTCGGAAGTGGAAGGGGTCAAGCGATTAAATACTCCGCTGGAACTGAACCACAATCTGAGCGGTTGTCCCTATCATCACGTGCTGAATAGGTTTCCACATACAGACCGTTGCAACGTGTAATTGGAGATGTCACGTCAAGGAATTCAACAAATACGAAACACGCACTTGGGAAGAATGTGACAGAGCTCCATGAAAGGTCTTTGGTGTCAAAACAATCTTCACAATCTTTAACACGATGTGTTTACAAAATGTGGATTGCCTTTGAGATTCAACCCATTTTCGTATTCAGAGACTTGCTGGTCAATTCATGGTTGAATTCCTTGGTATACTCTGGGTGTTCAACAACTGCAGTTAGAGAAGAAAAAGGACTGGTATGTCTGGTCTACGTATAAGCCTGGCTTCTTGGCTATCAAGTATGATGTAAAACTATTGTCGACATCTATCTCCTGGAAATATGATCGCGGCTCACATTTTATGTATGTGAAATGGATGCGTGGATGTAGAACACGCAGTTCATATCTTTGCAAAACTATCCTGAAAAACGTAATCACATATTAAACAAAGCGTTCAAGTTGTCTCTCATCGTCCCACTTGTGCTAATTGAATGATATTGAATGATTTATCACTCATGTATGAGACTCCTTTCAAGTGGCTAGGTTTCTTTGTGTCTCATTTATCACTGTCAATCTTCAAGCTTTCGAAGAGATGAATGAAAAATTGATCAACTCAAAGTCCCAAAACTCAGCTCAAGTAAGGCCCTCGCGAGGCCAATGTTGAATTTGTAGTACAAAATTCCCCATCATTCACATCAATCACAGAAGACGCAGTTCAACTATTTTTTTCATTTCAAAACATGAAAACCCACAAAGCAAAAAGAAAATGAAGAACAGAGGAGAATATAAGACGATTGTGAACTCCTCAAAACGTATCCAGATCTGTATGTTTGTATAAATGCTTCAGATCTGCTTATCTTTGTAAAAGTCATTGGTCTTATCGAAAAATATAAATTTGCTACCTTTTTTTGTTGGTTACTTCTTTTTTGTGAAAAAGGGTGTTTCAAAGATAGTGAACACCGAGGAACATGAAGATTGAGGAAATTAGAGTGATGAAGGAAATTGAAGACTTGTGGCTTCCAGCTGAGTTTTGGGCACCTAATGAAGCAGGCGATGTTCCGACAGGAGTGATTCCAACAGTCTCGGTCTAAGACAGAAAACATAAGTTCGAATAGATGTCTAGGAACCAGTACCAAATTACTCACATCGTTGTTTGTGTTAGGAATAGGAAACGTCGGAGTAGAGTTAGAAGCTTCAAAAAGTCCATCAACTAAATGAATCACACCAGACTTTGTCAAGATATCAGATTGAACAATCTTGATGGTCTTGTTTCCCAACGTCGCAGTTGTCTCGGCTCCGTCCTTGGCGAAGTGGATCTGACCTCCTCCGGCTGAAACTGCTTCGGTCACATTGCCAATGACTGTCGAGTAAAGTACGGTACCCTATTTTCAAGAGTGTGCTAACGTTAGCCAAAAGATTGTCAGAGAAGAATATTTTATCGACTCACGTTCACAAGGTGGTTGATGAGGATGCTTTGCAGGTTGCTGACGTTACCAGCGCTGCTCATTGCGGCATTGACTAACACGATCAATTTTTGTACGAAGGAACGTTAATCGAAGACTTCGAGGACATCAGAGTCACAAAGGCTGCTTACTGGGTGCAAAGATGGTTAAACCAGGAGTTTGGTCCAAATTTTGGAAAAGTTGAGGAGAGGCTCCATTGACAGCAGAGACTAAACTCGAGAGCTCAGGAATCCCAGCAGCAACAGTTGCAATGGTTCCAGGAACAGTCAATGCAGTTGAGATCATCTAGATCAAAGACCACATTAGAAGGAAAATCCGCGAGGTTATCAGTGGATGTGATTTGACGTGGTGAGCATATAACATATGGGCCCGAACTCCGAGAGATACTCACTGCGAGTTGGAGATTAGAGACTTGAGTAGTGTTGTTGATTGTGATGTTTCGGGTGGGTTCGATGACGGTGAGCGAGTTCTGGTCGCCGGCGAAGACAATGGCTTGAGAGTCATTTCCGGCTGAAGCAGGGAAAAAATGTTCAGTCTTGGCCAACGCGCGCAAGAAGAGAAAGTATGATACTCACGTAGGTTCACGTACGGTTCACCGGCCAAAGAGCTACGAACAATGGCATGGCCACCAGCCGGGAGTGAAGCCGAGTTCAAAAAGCCCGGTAGAACGTGGTACTTGAGTAGGGCTTGTACGTCGGCAGTGTTATTGGAGCCGGTAACGTTGCCGAGTGCCGAGAGAGCCTCATTGGATGGCGCGAGGACAGTGTGATTCCCTTCGGAGAGAGAGTTGACTAAACCTTGACCGCCGGGGGAGGCGAGTAAGGCGGCAAGTGAGGTAAGACCCGCGGCTCCAAGGGCGTTAGTGACAGTGGTACCATAGTCACTCAACCCAGTGGTACCATTGGCATTGGCAGTGCCATTCGCATTGGCAGTACCGTTGGCATTCGTGCTGTTGCCGGCAGGAGCTGGACGAACACACAAGCAAAAATTGATATGAGAGACAAGCCGGTAAGGTCAGCACCATGCCACAAGACAGAAAAACGCTTGAATGTGGAGTTTGTAATAAATCTAAGACTAAAGAGGTGGACCACTGGGAAGAAAGGTACTTTATAGTATTGTGACGCGCTGTTGAATGAACGTCACGAGTTCATCAACGGAGTATAACAACTCTTGGATAAGATGTGGTATTCAATGAGACGTGATAGTGTGATTAAGGCCTGACGGAGATGTAAATTTTGAAATGATTGGATTTTACCTGTTGTACCATTATTGGAGGCACCGCAGATCGAGTTCACATACTGAAGACCATCTAGATTGTCGGATGAGTTACAGTGGTCCCTAGATACAAGGAAGAATGGTCAGTTTGGGCTGGAGTGAGAAACGCAATTACTTGAAAGAGGCATCAGATTGGTCGTCATCAAGTGAAGAGCAGACTAACTTTAAACATTGGTCATAAGCACTGGCGAAGATTGAAATTGAAGAACAATAACCTTCAGAGACTTTGACACGAGCGCAATTTTGAATACAAGGTGAAGCAGTTGAAGGAACTTGAGTAGATACGTGATTGATGAGATGAAGATAAAGGAAAGGCAAAGAGATGAGAGTAGAGGAATGCATGATGACTATCAAACTGAGGGATGAAGACGAGTCTTGATGTTGTCAGAGTGTTCAAGGGACAGAATGGTGAATGCTATAATCTGAGTGAAGAGTGAGATGACGGAAAACAAGTATGACCCGATTGATTGACTAAATATTAGATTGTATAGTAGGATGCGATGATGAGGATGTTAAATGGTTTTTGTGGATGATGGAAAAACAAGTGAAGGGGGTGATGTTGTAAATGGATGGCAGTTTATATGGTTTGCTGATTACCATTCTGAGCTCACAATTGTAGCACAGCCATCGGATTGCTTTTCAAGAAACACAAACAATGGATCGACGCTGAGGTTTGGCTGCAACCCTACCTAACGTTGAAATCCACCTACCAATAGTGTCATTCAAATTGCTATTGGATAGTTGAGAGCCGAGGGGGCGCGAGCTTACCGAAGGGGTTGAAGATGAGTGGAGAGGAAGCAAGGAGATGACGAAGAGATTCTTGCTTAGCTAAGAAACTCATCTTCGTCATCATCATCATGATTCAAGTCCATTCATCTGATCATGAACACTCCGATGTTTGCCGCCAAAATTTTAGTTCTCGCTCTTCATCCTGCTTATGTGTGTTTTCGAACGGAACCGAGCGGAGTCTTGAGGTTTACCATTTCAATGGGCCTCTTTGGCAACGTTCTCGTCAACCTTACAGACTCTAAACTTCAGTCCAAGAGCAATTCATTAACTGGAACTAAGTATGTAGATGATCCAAAGTCGGTCTTGAAAGCTGGAGAGGATATCTGGGCTATCTTGACCCTCAATCAGTTAATCCATCTCCGACTTTGAACTCATTTGACTCGCACTTAAGGGCTTTATGTTCTTAGAGTTTTGAAGTTCTATTGGACTTGGTCAGGAAGAAGTATTAGTTGACAATGTGATCTTCAAATGTGATCATCAAATGTGATCATTGGAACCATCATCACCTGTGGTAATTCCTTGGCTGTTTGATATATCATCAAATTGAAGTTGGATCAATTTCTGGTAAATCACGATGACCAACTCAATTCATTGTTTCGAGTCCCCGACGATGACCTTGATTCTGCTCAAAGGTTGAGGATATGTTACAAACTCAGATCAGTTGACAATCAAACCTGTTGAACTCGGAGAAATCATCGAAATGTAAAATTATTCGGGTCAAGTGACCAGTCCAAGAAGACGATCCTCATTCTCGGAAAGGTTTTATGAGTCATCCAAGTCAGATGAAATTCAAGGATTTCATAGCGATCAATCTTTGCTCCTGAAGAAGCAAAGTCTTTTTGATGGTTATGTTCGATATACATTTCGTGTACTAGAAGAAACGAAAGCTCTCGCCACACAAGCACATCTTTGCATTCTGTTCAGATTGATAAAGCCAATCCACCAAGTAGTAATTAAGCTTGTCAGGACACTTTTTACACCCTCACCACAATTGGGGTACGCTGCTACCTATGCACTACCTCGCATAAGTCTGGCTCCAATGAGGTTATGAACCGACTCATGCCTGAGCCTATCGTTCGCTATACCAAGGCACATTACAGTACATACAATAAATCGACCAACGATACTTGTTGTCATTGAATTGTTTGATTCCCAATGATCGATCAAACAATACCTTGTCCAAACGAGCCAGAACCGAGTTTGTCTCACTGAGATGTTAAAATCTTACAAAATGTGTTTGCGGTCAAGTTGATAAACTTAACCATCAAGTCCCTCGCTGCTTCTACACGCAGACTCGGGGACTGAATCCCAATGACATTTCAAACGTTTTTTCATTTCATCGATGTCATCGATAAACTTTCACTCGAACCCTTGAGCCACATACGTAGCCAAGTCATTTGCACCTGAAACTATGTTCCAGAGCAATAACAGTTGAACAACTGTGGATCATTGCTCAGCGAGTCTATGATACACAGCAGACGGAGGATCAATCCCCATCGTCCCAGCAGCGCAGAATGGCCAGAAAAATCTACAAATAGCAAGCATCCAGCCGTCTTCTCTTCCACCTCATTCACTTTCATTCATTATCTATCATAAGCAAGTTTTTCTTTAGTCGCATTCAAACAAAATATTATATCCAACTTTTGACTGTCTTAACTCAGACTCTTATATTTATTCAAGTTTTGCATCGTATATAAACTTTATCATAACTCATACTTTTCTTCATCATCATCAAACTTCAACCGCACATATTTATTTATATATATTCCATCATGCAACGCTCAGCTTTATTAGGATTTGTCGTCTTGGCTTTACATGAATTGTCTGTTGAAGCCCTTCCATCAGCTTCGATCTCTGCATCAGCATCTGCCTCTGCATCGGCATCAGCCAGCGCCTACGTAAGAAATAAATTCCCTTGAACATTTCCTTGATTCAAAATTACATTCACTTATAAAGGTGATCCAAGAATGAAGAAACTGATAATTAATGCTAATCTATATAGTCGTCGACCTCCAGTACTGGTGGTACTAAGCTTTGCAAATGCGAGGACACTGGAAAACCCATTCCTTGCAAACCGGGCCAAACTCCCACCATAACCAGTCCTACGGGTACGCCTCCAAACCCTTCACCACCAATCACTAGCGGGGGTAGCGACGATAGCTACACAGGCGGCTCTCCATATCCAAGCAACGCCAGTCAAAATGTGCCCGATACGAGTACTCCTCCCTCGGGCCCGGGGAGCGCTAGCGGATATCCTTCACCACCAGTTATCACTAGCGGGGGTAGCAATTATCCTTCAACACCACCAATCACTAGCGGGGGTAGCGATTATCCTTCCACACCATCTACCACTAGCGGGGGTAGCGGATATCCTTCACCACCAGTTATCACTAGCGGGGGTAGCGATTATCCTTCAACACCACCAGTCACTAGCGGGAATAGCGATTATCCTTCCACACCATCTACCACTAGCGGGGGTGGCGAATATCCAACAGGGAGCTATCCGAAGTCAAGCAACGCTGGTCAAAATTTGCCCAATGTGAATGCTCCTGCCTCAGGCCCGGGGGGTGGTATCGACAACAGCTACACAGGCAGCAATCCATATCCAACTAATAGCAACACCACTCAAAGTTTGCCCGGTGGAAATGCTGGCTCAAGTCTTAACCCGCCAACGGACAGCGCAACATATCCATCAGGTGACAATTCACCGGTCGGTAATGAATGTGACGAAGATTCTGGATCATACCCTGGCAATGATTCCGTCATGAAATCCAATCTCACCAATGGACCATCTGGTCCTGGTGGTGTTTCATCTGGAGACCTGGGCTCCTCAAAAGGCTGCCCAACCAAAGATAACGGTACCACCACAGCCACACCCAACAGTCCTTCAAGCTCACCTTATCCTTCTGGAAACACTAGCACGCCTACACCCGCTGGAAACTCGACCAGTCCATACCCAGACGGTGACCCAGACATAACTTCGCCTGTGAGTGAACAAGTATAATGTTTATAGCTTCTCTTGCTTCCTCTGACTGGTTTCTTTTTTGAAAATAATAGACTAGCATGGGTTTGCGTGTCATGGGCAGTGCCACTGGCTTAGCTGCATGTGCTTTCAGTATTGCCTCAGGACTGGCAGTCTTGTTTGTTTGAGATCCACTGCTTTATTGAGAGGAAAGGTAATTCTGAGACCTTTGAGAAACTTTTATTGAAATGCAACATACCTAAAAACCTATTAGATATCTTCTACAGCCATGATGGCCAGTTTATATTATAAAGGGGAGATGATGTCACACTTACAAAACATATCATTCACATCTTCTCCAACCAATTCCAGATGGACAATTTCTCTTCCATCATGTTCATAGAGATTTTTCAAATTGCTTTTGTTTTCTTTATTACTTCAAAAGAAATCCGGAAAAAAATCTGTTTCTTGAATCTTGATTTTATTCAAAAGAAAATTGTATGTCTTCATTGAAAAAAAATCATTCTTTTGAACCATTGTTCTTCACCAAAAAAAACATGATCCACAAAAAAACTTTGTTTACTTAAACTTACATTGTTCATTTTTTTTCTTCAACAAATGTCAACTTACTTGTGATCTTATGAAAATTTTATACATTTTTAGACTTTTTCCATTATTTGTTGGAAATAACATTAAATTCACTTGTTACAAAAGTCAACATGTTTGATGTGTCATTATTGCCTGAAGATTGAGGAGTTTGAATTTGATTGATCCTTCTTTGGACTGTGTCTTGTTCAGTCATTATAATATCATATTCATTTCCAATTGTGGCAATCTTTATTTAGGTCTTATTCAGGCTTTGACCTAGTGTGTGTGGGGGTTCCATAGGCCACAGACTGCCTGACCAAGAAAGGACTTTTGTGGGTAGGGGCAGGCAGTGGCCATGAGAACTTCTTGACTTTGTGTTTCTCTGGATTATGTGAATGGCCAAGAACACCATAAGACCTGATAATGATGTGCTACATATCAGCATACTTTTCCATAACCTCAAGTATGTGAAATTGGGTAAAAGGTAAACCAAGCTAAGTTTTGGGAGGAATAGGAATGTGAGAAAGGTTATTAAGTAAGGTGAAAGCTTTGAGTCAAAGCTGATTTGTAGGACTCCTAACAGTATTTGAGATATTAGTATAGTGATGAGATTGAGAAGATGGGAAAGTACTTGCCCTCTTTCCAACAGATGCGGAAAGGGAGTGATTGGGAGGTGAGGGTACATCTATATCAAGCCACTTCAATAACACAACAAGGATGATGTACACTAAAATTGGTTGGGAATATCAAACACAAACACTGGCATTGCAACTCATAAAAGAGAAGGATCAAAAATAGATGAGATTATAAAATAAAAACCACAGCTTTCATTCCACATTCCACAGTTACCTGTTCTCCTTGTGACAGTCTTGATTGTCTTTCAACAGATCTTTCTTTATTTCATAGAGCGTATGAATTTCACAACTTCTTGGTTTGCTGTATCTCTTAGCACTTATGCCTATTAAACTTTACCTGTTTTCTTAATACTCCTTCTTTTCTTTATGTATCTTCTATACCGTTCACACTTTTTGTGACTATCTGTAAAGTGGGTGGAATAGTTTTTGAAAAATGAAACAGTCTTATTTCTTTTTGGAAGTGTTCAACATAAATCTTTGGATTTATGAAAGCACATCTGAAGTGTATGAGTGATCTGAGGCGTACAGAACTGTGGAGATGAAAATTTCCACAGTTGTATTGCCTGCCTTTCTGGAAGGCCTGATATTGTCATGGCTCCATGCTATTGGACTCATACACTGTGTCACCTGTCCTGATGGAACTCATAGTGACTTTGTCAGGACCCCGATATGCTCCTAAAAGGGGGGCTGATCTAGAATTGTGACTTTTGAGCTTCCACAGAGATATGACACATGGGATTATGTATATAGCTTGCGTGATTTCTGCAAGGTTCTGCCCAGTTCAGAGTTGCTAAAGCTTTGATACATCTGATTGGAAGGATTAAACTTGTCTTAGAGCTATGGGTAAAGATAGGGACAAGATTCCCTGGAAGCTCAAAAGTCACATTTTCAGACACTACCCCTTATAGGAGCATACTAGGGTCCGGTTGTGCCTTTGACCACCAGTGTCAACCAGTTAAATTGCCAAAGTATACACATGTTTTCTGAAATTTTCTTCAGTCAACATTACATATGATATCTTGGTAAAGGAGAGCATTTCAAAGGTGCTATCTGGCATGGACAAAAGTTTCAAGATTGACATGTGTTTCTATTTTTCAGCCTATCAACTTTTCTCTTGAACCAAGAATTTTGCGCAAAAAAGGAAAAATAAGCAAAATGTATGAATGATTAAATTTCTAGAATTTTGAAAGACTTTCAAAAGAACAAATCAACACCTTTCTTCTAGCATGAGGGTTTTAGATAAAAACCATTCATATCCTGAGAAGTATGTACAGACAAAATGCTTTACAATACAAAAAGACCCTTCAAGGTGTATGTTGACTGATTGACATCAGATTTAGAAGCCAAAGTTGGGGTGAAAAAATGAATCAAAAGAGAAAGTAGGTCTTTTTTGATTCTGGTTTCTGGTTGGTGTCGAGGCGTGACTTTCTGATTTTGAGTTTTTTGATTCGGCTTGATTAAACTTTACAGCATGACCTCCTCCAGGTGCTCCGGTAGGATTAGGATCCTTATTTGGTTCACCTGGTCTACCACAAGAAGGTTGTGCATTCCTTTGTGGTGGCATTGGCATATTAGCTGGCCATGGAGTTGGAAGTTTAAATCCAGGATAATTCTTATCATGAGCTGGTTGATAAGTGTCTCTGTTTGGAGTCCCATCGATGTATTTCCCGGTCTTTCCCTCTTCCCATCCAAATGTTCCAGTCTGGGGATTAGCAATGGGATTAGTTCCTACTGTTGGTAACAAGATGATTACATTGAATCAGTCTTGGGTGGAGAGGAAATGGACTGGACAATGATATTCTAACTAAAAATTGTGAAGATCACTCACAGCCTTTGAAACCTCCAAGATTACTGGTTGATGGGAAAATGAAATCATTGTCAGGAATCAACAATCCATACCCTAGAGAAGCAGAATAAATTCCGTCACTCAACTGCCAGACAAAGATGTGTGAGTTAGTAGGGTCCGACACGAGTTCGGTGACTGGTGGAAATTCTGAAAAGTAACAGCAAGAACCATACGACTAGAATCGGGGTCAAGATCAGTAATTTATTTACACAATATGATTCAATTCATGATCACTTACGCAACCGTGGTATGTATCTTTGGAGTGGTCAACAGTGAAAACTGCCATGAATTGAACTGTTATCCCCAATTGATTGTCAGACGAGATGAATAACGATGAGCATTGTGATAGATGGTCACGGAAATTTCAGCGAGACATAGACTTACCGTTGGGGAATGCATTGCGGGTGTTATGCTGAGAAGATGCGATGTAAAAATGGTGATTGAAACAAAAGGCGTAAGCTCAAATCTCATCAGACCGAAGAAAGGAAGATTCAAAAAAGAAAATGGCTTACCGAGCACTCAGCCAGTTGAATATTTCTGGAGCACGATTTTGCTGAAGTGAAATAATGATGCAAATTAAGCAAATTCAATTTCTACGATTGCAACAAAAGTTTATATTCAATCCCTTGAGAAGAGAAATCAAAACTATATTCACGTGGGTTTCTGGCCATCCAGCCAGGAGAGACTTTATGATCATGAACAAAACCAGTAGCTTCATCCCAATTGGCTCGAACTACCGTGAAAAACAAGCACCATATGGCCAGAGTTATGCATGGTGTAGAGGCGTAGGATTTGATAGACATCTTGAATAGTGTGATATAAAATTGATCAAACTGAAAACCAAACACTGTGGTTACTCGTGAGGTCTAAACCCTTACACGCCTGGATGAAAGAAAGATGCGTCGAGCAAGATGAAGTATGAATGGAAATTGCAAACAACTTGCGGTGTTCACAAACTGAATGTTGACGTAGAATGAAAATGTAGAGCCGTGCTGGTACTCAGCAGGGCTCTTTCGAGCTCCAAGCTCAGGGTGTAGTTACACGTGATCTGCCCGTTTGCTGATAGAAGGTCTTGATGCTCGTGTATGGGCTGACCGCGGCTCAACACCCAATCAGAGTACACCTTTCAGGATTTGTCAGACCAGTCCTCAGGGATAGGGAATCCTTCCTTGGGATATGGAGTAGCCGTCGAATGAGAAAGCTGACTTGCATCACTTTTGAGACTTTCCTCACCTTGTCGATTACCAGGCCCTGGACGTTCCAAGGATAAAATTCGAGAATGGGCTCGCCGTGAAGGGGTACGGGGACTCGAGGAGAGTGAATTGGAGTGAGTCTTTTTCGACTCGTCATAGGGCTAACTTCATGTCATCCCCGATCCAACAAACAGCCAGAGTAAAAGGGGTCGGGTGAATAAATTTGAACCACGAGGCCCATCCGGACATGATCCTTCAAACAACACCATAGCACCGTACTCTTCGCCCCCGTACTTGATTTGTCAGGGCTTCCCCTATGCAATGCTACTCGGGCGCGACTCTGCCCACTTCCTACCAGATAATCACCCTCTTGCTACTGACTTTCGAGGCTGAACCAAAGGCAAGAAAAATGATTTTCATTCAATCCAGAGTCTTCTGAGCACTTGTGGCGAACGCGTATCCATACTGAAGAGTCCACCATTCCATAGGAAACGACCTTGAACACTTTTTTTACTGATTGACATGTTATTTTTGCGCAATCGCATCCGAATCTTAAACGTATTGATCTTGAGTCACAGTGTGATCTCAACACATCCATCAGGACCTCAGGCTCAAAGTCCTTCTGGGTTCATTGCCGATTATCCTTACTGAATGTAGAAATTAATTTCAAGTCACCTCTTAATGAGTCTTGCATAGTTATGCTGAGTCTGATATGGTATCTATGTTGGACTGAATTATCATGTCGTGCATATCATTATCTTGCATATCATTATCTGCACTAGAAGCGAGATGTTTCAGACTGCAAAGTTCCAAAGTCCAACTGTTTCAGGAGCTTGTGTGTATGTACATATGTCATACTCACATGTAACGCCTACTATGTTATACAGACTACCCTACAGTATAGTACAGATCGGGCTCAACCGGTCCACTGACTGAAAAAAAGTGGAATTTTGTACAATGTGTAAAATTTGATTCGCCAACCATCGAACTTCACACAATTTTTCACTCTGGCTCAGCAGACAATTTCAATTCTCATTGGGATCATCAAAGCATAGTAGCGTATGTCATTTTATAACTCATCAACAGGATATATGTTCAGAATTTCATCCTTGTTCCGCATTACCAATTTGCTGCCAACAGTTCTTCACCTTGGTCTTTTTGCTCGACAAACGGTCCACACTTCAGCATGTCTCTTGACTCAAGCCTCGTCTTGGTTCAACCTAGCCCAAGCATGCCTTCGGCTGAAACGCTCCCTGAGAACCTAGAATTATCATCTGGATCAGCAGCTGAACAGAATGATAGTCAAGCAGCCAATGCTCCTGATGAAGAGGAACCTAGTCAGTCTTTTCGAGCGTTCTTCTATCCTTCTACCTTTACTTGATCATGATATATGATCAAAGTCTATATTAGAGCCTATTCGAACCAGCATATTGTCTACTGGCTTGTCAAATCCGCAATCTCAATTGAGCCGCTCTAGCGTCGTAGTCAACTCTCTCAGCTCCCAAGACTTATTATTTTATTGATGATTTTGATTCTGACACATCGCTCTATTCGAAACAGAAATCTTTGAGCTGTCCATCTTCATACCCAGGCCATCATTTTGCGAGAAGATCAAATTTCCATCCCTTACGGACGCAGACGGAGCCCCGATAGAATCTCCCTACCTGGAGATTACTTTGACTACGCAAGGATCTGAAACCATCCGTGATTTACAACAATCCGTTATGGAATCCACTGAGGGCTGGTGGTTGGGAACTTTTGGACTCACCACCGTTCAACTTGATCAAAATGGACAGCCTGATCCGAAATCAAATATCTCTGCCAAACGGACAATCTTGGGTGAATTTGCCGAGCTATCTACCGCCTTTACGGAAGAGAAGTACAAAGATCCGACTTTGAAGCGTGCTTTGGAGGCCGTCAACAGTTAGTCAACAAGCTACTCTTATCCCCAGTGGTCCCCAATCCTCACAGATCTTTGACATACACTGTTTTGCTGTCAGTTGATTACAATGACTACTTCGCACGGTTGCATGTGATCCGAGTGCGAGATGTCTTATATAACCAAGCTCCTGGATTATTAATGGGCAACACTACGCCTTTTGTGACCTATGATCCTACTCAAATCGGTCTCTCAGGTGGTATCAGCGCATTCCCCTCGATCCGTGGCTTGGATCCTGAATCCGATGAAACCCGCTCTGGGTTGATTGAGCCTAGTGTTGCAGAGTCAGCTTTGGCTTCGGGCAAAAACAAGAAGAAGAAAGGTTCTGAAATGGGACAATTATCTATCACTCCGGAACCAGAATCACACCCGTCATCGATTTCGGACTTGGCTGATTATTCGTTCAGCCCAACTAAACCCTTTGAAGCCTTTAACGTCATTCGAGAAGAATTTGCAAAGTGTTCCAATCACCCTCCGGCTCGGTATGTGAAGACTTTTACACTGTCGACTTGGAACCCACCTCCTCACCCGCTCCGACTACAAGGTCATCATTTATATTTGACCCTCACCACCCTCGAAAGCGAGACATTCCAGCTCACGTGCCATACCAAAGGGTTCTACATTAACAAATGCACCAAATCACACTTCGATCCATCCCCTCGAGCTTCAAGTCCCTCCTCATCAAAAGCCACTTTTTACCACTCTCTATTTCAACTCATCTGTTCAATCTCGCCATTGTTCGCTACTCGGCTCTCCGAAACTTGGAGTCGAGCTCTAAGCCCATCTCTTCCGGATTTCTTCTCCTCGATTCCGATCACCAATTGCACTCCAGCATACCCTTGGCTAGTCAATCCTCCGAAGCATACTGCCGATGGACTTCGCCCTCAACTCGCCTTCCTTCTCACAGGAAGTGTGACAGCAGAATGTCTTCCCCTGGCTCGAGATTGGGCAGATGAATTTGCTCAGGTTCGAGAATTACCCAGGAAGACGTTGCCGGAACGTACTTTACGTGAGCGACTGTGGAATCGTCTTCAATTCGATTTTACCATGGCGGCCACTAGGAGCGTGATTGCTTGCAATGCTGGCGATGTTCCACCTCTGAATCCACATGAACCAGAGACTGCGTGGACATTTGTTCAGAACAACATGCTGATCAGTCGAGCTGCAGATCCGATTGCAGCTTATGACCACCTAGGTGGCGCAGTGGCTGCACGTGCAATAGCTAGCAAAGACTTGACAAATATCAAGCACCTCAACGAGCTCGATATTCCGGGTGTCTATACTATGGGTAGCGCAGTGGTTGATTATCACGGTAAACGTTGGATTGTACAAGGTATGATCCCCGGAATCTTCCGCCCACCGGACTTTGAAGCCGAGGCGGCCAAACTGCTTGCTGCCATCGACACCACCCCCAAGGATGATGCATCAAAAGAATCGGAGCCTGCAGGGAAGCCGCAAGGGGAGGATGGAAAGCATGTAGATGACGAAGCTGAATGGGAAGATGTGGAAGGATCAGATGCCGTCGTGAAGACCGCTAAAGACGCTGACGTCGACTTTGCAATCCCGCCTCCCACGACCTACGAAATTTTGTATGGAAGTGTGGACATCGAGAAGCCCGAAATGGGCTTAAGGTCGGATCCACAATTCCACAAGCTAGCCGCCAAGGTCGCAAGCGGATTTAACCTTCTCGAACACAAGGTCACCGATTTGACTGGTAACGCTCATCAGCTATGGCTCAGCGCTGATATTCATGGAATTAAAGCTACTGACGGTAGATATTACCTCATTGATCTTTGTAAGTGATTTTTTTGCCAGGAATGTTCAATCTACCCCGTAAACTGACGTAGAAGACGTTGTTCACCTGCTCAGATCGTATGACACCGCTCGATGTACTGTTCCTCAAAAACGATTTCAAGGGTCCGATTTTGAACGAACCTCCTCCTAACCCTGAATCCGTTGAGGGTACCGACAGTGACGTGACACAGGTTGCTCCAGAATACCCTCACCGTTTTACCCTCATACGTTCCGAAGCTGTCTCGGCATTCAAAACATACAAGTTTCGAGTTTTTGCTCTTGATCAACTTACCAAGCGTCAGAAAGAGGCGTCGGAAGCTCCATCTGACACTACGGATGGCGAAACGAAAAAGAGCCAACCCCCCAAGGCCAATGGCGCAATATTAGAAGAAGATTTTAAGTTTGGCTTAAACCCCGATGCGTGCGTTGATCGAAAAAGCCAGCCTTGGGAGACATCGGTCGACAAAGATGAGGAGCAGATTGCCACCGTCAAGGAACTGTCAAGCTTCGTCCGACAACAACTTTTGCCCACTGTGGTACAAGAGTTATGTGAAGTAAAAGGGTTACCGGCAGATGGAAAACGTGTGAGCGACTTGTTACATTCGCATGGTGTGAATATTCGATATCTTGGGCATGTGGCACACCAACTCGAGTCAGCTGCCAACAGTTTTGGTGTCGCAACTGATCATAAGGATGATCAGCTCGTGGTCTTGAAAGCCAACATCGGAATGTTGCACAGCGAAATGGTCTTCAGAGCTTGCAAACACATCTTGAACCGCTTACTAGAACAAAGTTCCCCAGCTGGAACATCTCATTGCATTTCACATTTCTTAAACTGTTTGCTTGGTACTTCTCCTGCTATTCCTCACGAAGCTGATTGCTTCGATAGTGATGCACAATGGATATCTTACACCAAAGAAGGCCTTCAAGCTGAAATCGTCCAAGAGGTTCGAAGTCGATACCGCTATGCGCTCCCAGCGAGCTTCTTCAGCGAGCGATTATCTGTGACAAAAACGCAGATGCTACGTGAGCTTTGCACGCGGATGGGTATTCAGCTTGCTTTGAAGGATTACCAGCTCTCTGAACCGGTAGTGGAGGCAGCTCCTCCGCCTGCCCACGTGCATTCAACCGATGAAGAAGAAGCGTCGGCAGACAGCACACCGATCGCTGAAGGGGCAGTATCAAGCTCGAACAAGAACAAAAAGAAGAAAAAGTCAAAGGCCAAGAAGCCAGCCACAAATTTCGGTACCGACAATTCCATCGCTACTCAAACCTTTTCCCCTATGGATGTATTAAATCTTCTACCGATCGTAAGGGATTCGACCTGCCGTAGCTCAGTGGCTGATGAACTTTACGCCGAAGGACGAAAAGCTTTCCATGCAGGCCACATCGGATTAGGTCAAGAGCTGTGTAATGATGCGCTGACAACATACGAACAAGTCTTTGGTTCAGTTCACCCTGAGATGTGTCGACACTGGCATTCGCTGGCGATCATCTACCATCAACTTTATCAGCGTGCGTTGATGGAGTTGACCGAGCACAACGACCGTTTGGAAGAACTGAAGTTACGTTGTCTATCCGCGACTACCGAAACGGAGAGGGAAACGTTGAGAGCTGAAATCCAAGAAGCACAGAAAGACAGAGACGTTGAAGGCATGAAGGTTGAGGTTGAAAGCTATGTACAATTGGCTGCTCAGAACTTACGACAGAGTGTGATCGTGGCTGAGCGAACGTTGGGGCTCGACCATCCCGAAACCATTCAACAATACTCTGACCTATCGGTGATGGAATATACTCTGGGTAACACGAAGACAGCAATGAGGTACACAAAGCACGCATTGGATCTCTGGTACCTAATCTATGGACCAGGATGCCATCCCAACGGTTCAGCCGTGGTGACCCATGCCGGCTACCTTACCCAAACCAACTTAGAAGCATCAAAGCATTTGAGACCAGAATCCATCTTTGAATTGTCTCAAGTCTTGATTGGAAGTTTCTATGGTCAATCGTCCGGTAAGTTTGCCGAAGCGACTCTGATCCTTTCACAAGTATACGCCCAGGGTGCTCGAAAAGATCTAGCCGTCAGGTATGGTGAACAGGCTAGCCAGTTGTTTAAGGATCGGTGTGGAGCAGACCATGAGCAAACCAAACTGGCTATTCAATTCACTGAAGCAATCAATAAATCAATCGAGGCTCAAATCAAAGGAGATGAAGAGAAAAGTGCTCGATTGGCAAAGAGACTTGGGTTAGACCCTAAACGAGCAGCGACTCTTCGAGCACGCCTAACTGCCTCTTCAAGTCACTCGACTCAAACCAATGGTCGACACCAAGAAAGCATCAAGTCGGACTTGAGAGTACCTTCCTCTTCGAAACCTATCGCCTCCACTTCGAAGATCAGTTACCCACGTAAGTTTGATCTAAATTCTCTACAAACAGATTAACACTATTGACATGTTTGTGCCGCATTTTTGTTTTCTAGTCAAAAAGAACACCAATACCGCAACGATTGATGAGCTAGTGAGATATATCCAGGGTTCAGGTTCACCTACAAAACCGACAAAGGTACCCATCAGGACCCGTGCTCGTTAACGAAAGTTGATCATACCTTGACATCCTTGACCTCACATGATCAGCTTGAATCCAACAATGCAACATAGACAAATCCAACTCAAAAAATAGTAGAAATACGATCTCAGCAATTCTCTTTTCTTGTCAATTTTATTTGTTGATCCTAAAGGCAGATTTTTTCATTTCCTTTTTCACTACTATTGTTCTCTTCATGATGCAGAAATATGCTTCAAATTAAAAGATATCCCCTTTCGAATCATCAGCAAAAGACAAAAAATATAGCGTGGATAAATTCTTGTTTTCTTTCTTTGTTTAGTGCTATATTGGTCCCGATATAATAAATAATCTTGATTCTTTTCTCTAGTTTTCCTACAATTGTGTGTTTTTTGTTTCAAACTATAAATGTGGTAGAGATTTTTTCGGTCAAAATGCTAGTTAATATCAGAATAGTAGAAAATTCATTTGTCTTTTCTATTTTCAAGTCTTTTCCGGTGAGGCTTACAGTTTGCTTGTTTGACTAAAGTTGTGAGTCAGGTATGCCGATGGACACTTTTTAGCCGCGATCTCTCGAGCAAGTTTTGTAAAGTTCTCGAGTATACTGCTAAAATGTTTACTTCTTTTAGATCACATTACTAAACCTATATTGATGTATGTACCTAGTTCTAAATCACAATATCTTGTCCCTATTGACGCAAAGGATAGATAGCTCAATTACTTACACAAATTTATCAGTACTTGCAGTGGTTGCTATCAGCCTTGCCAGACATCTAGATTGATTTTGTAACCCTCCCAGTTGTGTCATGAATCTGTAGAGGATTACCTGAATTGCATCCTATTGCATCTCAGCAAGAAGGCTTGATGAAATGTTAATCTACATAGCCAAAGATTAACACAGATCATACTTGACAGAATGCCTGTCAACCCTGGCAGCCTTCACCCGCTGGGAAACCTGATTGTTAGCGTACATAGCAAGTTCATCAGGTCAGGGTTATAGTTCCTTTTGCCGGCTGATCCTCAAGGCAATCCTCATATGTATGCTCCAGATTTCTCCAGAAGGGTGATGATGTACTTTGATTCATCAGACTATCCGAGAAGTCGCATGCTTTCCAAAAAACCATCAGAAGGTCACTAATACTGGTCGTGTTCAAAGATATTTTCCATTCGATAACCTTCCATCGAAGCTCCAAACTATGGAGGTGTAGTGTGGAAAGGATAAGTAGTCTATTGATTACACTGAGGAACCATTTTAGCTTACAGCTTACATGGTTTCATGCTGTCATGCATCCTTCCTTGATCAGTCCGTACATAAATACATTTTGTAAATCATTGATCATTGGCAAGATCAAGGATCTGCGATATATAATCTAGAGGTATACTGACTGTTAGTGCAACATGCGTCACTCAGAGTGACGCAGTGGACACGCCGCAGTCAATGTGGATGGGCTGTGTGTGACACTCTGAGTACAACCCCGCACTCTAGCTGGAGTAATATTCCTCATGGTGATATTTATTCAATCTCTTCTCAAATTCACAAGTTTACTATAAACCTCGCGTTCTTACTAGTTTCTTTCTATGAATTTCTTCTATCACCTTTGAAATCTACTTAGTTATCTCTCGGCGCTAATCTGCGCTCTCTTTCCTTTTGTCCTCAACATCATCTTCCCTTTGCCCTGATCTAATCTTCACTGTTCGTGATATCGAAGTTCGGCATCTGATTCACATGATCATGACATCCAAGCATTTGACTCTAGATATCCCTTTGACGCATGACTTGGCTGGACCTCTTAGATCTCCATATCCACTAAACAAACCTAGTTTCAATCCTACAAATGCAACAGACGATGATGACTTGTCTAGACTAGAAGGGAAACAACTGAGACCACGAAGAGAATTCGTGAGTATAGGGATTTATCTGACTCTAATTTTCCAAGGCTCGAGAAATCCAGAAAACAATCTGTCACTTCAAACTGATCATTGACGGATTTTTAGCCTCAAAATCATCAACAGCCTTCTGAACCGATGCCAAGGCTTACTGAAGCTCAAAAAATTATGGCTCTAAGTTATAGAGACAGTCAAGACAAACGTAGTGCAGTCACCTTCTTATACTTCGCTCTGGGCTGCGTAGGAAAAGTGACATTCGGTTAGTCCTATCTTGCAATTTTGACTCCTTCCTGAGATGATCCCAAGATCCTCGATCTCATAGTCGAATTATTTTGGGCTTGAAGGGTTTGGGGCAGCTATGGCTGTTAAGGGAAAAATTGGGGAAACACAAGATGATGGAACCTTTAATACTGGTGTCATTTTAGCATCAGTAGGGGCTATAGCTGTCATAACCGCAGCTTTGGGGTTTGGAGCTGCTATCACTCGCGTGCACCTTAAGATAGGATGGACAATAAAATCTCTTGCCATCCTTGCTGGAACGCTTATTGCTATTGGCGATGGATTAGCTCGTACGTTAATTTCAGAGGATTGTTTTTCACTTTTCTTGAAATAATCAAGACTTTGATACGTATCTGTTCGGTTCAAGATTGTTGATGCTCCTTCTCTATCTAACCTAGAATATTATTATTCTAGTACTGATAACACCGAGTCTATAAGACTATGTATCTTTCCTCTTGTTATTGGAACCAGTATTTTGGCCATCACACTGCCTAATATGGTAGCTTATACTGAACTTTATAGAGGCAGATCAATTGGAAGTCAGTATTCCTTTAAAAAATTCTGTCCATTCATGGGTATCTCAACTGATAAAGTGTATTTAATGACTGAATTGATGATTTTCAAATCAGTTCCTTCCGAGAAACGTTCAATCTTTGCATTGGCTTGCATAGGTTGCGCAAATGGTTCTTTTTTTGGGGGGTGGGTTACAGGGGAACACGCGCAATGGCCATCAAGTTTTAATATGGGTATGTATACCATATCTTTCAAAATTTCCTTCTTTTTGCTTTTAATGTCAATGAATTTTAATGTATATTTCTTGGTTTTGCATGAAAGCTGTTGTCACTGTTGCTCTTGCATCAAGTTATTTAGGAGCCGCTATTTTTTGGAGTGATCATATTCGTGAACTTGCAAGTTCTTATCATGAACGTTTACTACTAGAAGAAAATGAAGAGAAAGAACATTCTTTTTGATCCCATTCTCACATTCTATATCCAATTGTTCTTCTAATTTTGACAGTGTGGTGTGATTAACCACTACTTCTCAACTCTACAAAAGCGGGCCTTAGTTTTTTTACACTTTCTCTGGATCTGTAAATATTTATGTTACTGAGGACTATGTATAGATGTATAATTTGCACATTCTTCTGAAGTAGACAGTGTAATCAAGGGTTGTAAGGCCTACAAATTGTTTGACATCTTGTTGCAAGTGATCTTGTCCTATCTTGTCCAGATGATCAGCAGTAGCAAGGGTACTTGGAAAGACACAGGCTCTGCATATGATCTACATCCCACAAAGCTAAACAAGTCAGATCCAGAACACAAATATGACAGCAAACCCACACATCACAAGACGTGGGGGCCTGCCACTATGCATTTTTAATTCTTTCCAACCAATTTGGTTCTATACACAGTCTTCCCCAAGAATTTGACAGATATATCTCTACAACTCCTGTTAGATTATCCACAATCTCTGTCTGTCACAAAACTACCTCCACCAAGCAAACAATAGTCCAGCCTAAGCCAACTTTGAAGCATACTCAATGTACTTGAATTTATACTTCAGATGAAGTATGAAGTACTATGACTCTGATTTTTATTGGATGTCTTTGGAAGATTGAATCTTGCAATTTTCTGAAATGGCAGAATCATTCTTAAAGTTGAGCCATCATGAAATAATATACTAGTATTGCTCATAACCATCAGATCAGACTGTGAAAGAAAAATACAGCTGTCTAATCTATACATAGTTGATGAGCTCCCTTTGAATACCTTTCAGAACATGGACCATGTTGTTATTGCCAAACCCGTTCTACGTTTGAACAGACCCCGGCTTGAGACCAGTTAGTAATTGGTGTGGCCCCAAGCTTGCATTTGCGTTTCCAATTGGATGAGCTGATACGGCCTGTCAACCACTTACATAAAACCTGTTGAAACACCATGATGAACCTCAACAAACTTGCAGGATCTCAATCCTGCCCCATTTTTGGATGGTGAAACACCTTTGGCAAAAAATTCACTAGTTCTGTTGAATCAAAGGATGTCAAAAGTGTTCCCTCTCATCAAAAAAGGAGACATGTCTTTTACCTTAACAACACCCATTCTTGTGCATCTCCAAGCAGTGCTTGCCAATTTTGATAGGCACTTGAAGATTATTATAGCATTGGATGGAAATGAATCATCTTGCAAAATTACCACAATGTATTCATTCAATTATCAGGATTGACTCTTTTTTCACTCACTGATACCAGGTTTATAATCCAGGCTTCACAACGGATGAACAAGGACCCAGCGCGGCCCAGGCATATTTATGCTGCACTTGTTATAGCAGCTGCTCAATTCAGTGGGATTCTATCCGCAATTTCCAAACAAAGTCTCATATCCAGAATCTTGAAGAGCAGTTGGCTTCTGCATGCCGGAAAACAGGTGGAAACAATGACATCCCCAGCCAGCACAGCCAGTCCAATTGCAACAGTGCTTCAGAAGGACATGTCCACCATACTTTCATATTGACTACCATGGTAGACTCTGACAAGGATGAGGTCTCTGATGAGCACTGTCAATGGACCATTGTCAAGTTCTGTTCTCAGAACCATTCCCAATCATTTTACTTCATGCATTGCAGGTTCAAAATAATTGCAGACAAAAAAGAGATTGGTCACAGTCATAATGACAATTCTGATGACCCTGATGATGCCACAATTGACAAAAATAGTTTTCCAGCCTCACATTTTGACCCTTGGCAGACAACTGAATTTGTCATAGATATTGAGGACAATCTGTCCTGGGCCCCATTCTCTGGTTTGGAGGTCTGTGGTTTTGATCTTATATATATTTTATCAATTAATTGAGTTTGGCATTTGATTTAAATGTTGCCTATTTGTCCAGAAACTGGTTGGATTGTTTATTCTTGGGTTGACCAGGACTGATCAGATTTCCCTTTTTGAATACAAAAGGGTTTGATCCTTCATTTCCCTCCTGGGTGTCAAGCTTCTGACATACAAGTCACTTTGTGATTTCCACCAAGAATCAAAATTATGTTATCAATTAAATGTTTCTGTGCATTTCACACCCCTGGGTTGACCTTTCTTCCCTATGTAGTTGAATCAAATATTAACACAAGTGCAATAATTTTAGTTTATTAAATTAAATCTCAGCTTGAGAAGTGTGGGTTGAACAACCCCTATCACGCAGGAATTAAGTAATCTGCACATTACTGAACACCCAAACTTCATGCCTGGATTTCCAACCCCAACCTCCAATATTGATTGTCTGGTACAGTCCAAGAAATGGTGAGAGGGACTATAAAGGGATTTACACATCCAAATGGTTGTTCTACCACAAGAGCGGTTCTACATTCTCAACCAAGCCCAGATGAGATCAAAAGCAATGATAATCCCACAGTTTTTTTCTCAACAGCGAACAGAAATGTTTGCCAAATGTCCTCCTGTGCACCAGGCATACAAATCTTATCCGGAATTCACACCTCACATTCATGCCTGTTTTGATTCCGCAATCCACTTCAATTCTCCACTGTTGATTTTAGTGAATTCCAAGGATTTCTGGAGGTTGTTTGATTCAATTGAAGGAGATATGCTATGGCATGCTTCTGAAGGATATTTGTGGTGATGAAAAGTAAAAGGATGTGGGTGGCAATTCAATAAGCATGCAATTCCATAATCCATGATACAAAAAGAAGGAAAGCAGATCTGTCACATACTCCTGGTCTTATATTGCAACAGCCTTTCCGGAATTCAAAAAGGTGGAATAAACATATCACCTTGCATTTTACATAAGCTGGTTTATCTCATAAACTTTGCAATCAGATGCATCGTTGGTTGTATGCATCTTCAGTTCTCACTGATAAAACATAATTGGTCCAATAACACGGATGATACCAAAGCCCTGTGGACTCTAGCCCAACACCCTGGAACCATTAGTGCTTTCAAAACAGAAATTGGGGAGCTGGGCGTAAAGGACATCCTTAACTACCTCAACTGCACATTTTTCAAGAATGTGCAAGATTATTATTGAGATCTGAACCTCACCCATTCAAATGTTCTTAAGACGTGAGGGTATAAACCTTGAATTTTTGGAACAGTTGTTCAACCATTTCCTGTTGTTAAAAGGTCTTCAGTATTTTTCCATGTTCACATTGATCATTGTATGAATTTGGTTATAGGTCCAGTTGGATTTGGCAAAGTAATCTTGTGACAACACAATTCCACATTTGAGGTATACCCCATATTTTTTTGAATTCACAACAGATCATATTTTCTTCTTCAGTTGTGTAAAGGGGGTGCACATCAGGGTCTTCTTGAGATGAGTCCATTGTGATTTAGTATTGAGGAATATGATGTGCTTATGAAACAAGTGTTTGTGTGTGTGAGTACTCAAAAGTGGCAAATGGGTCTGATAAGGTTGGACTCTTTATTGAGCCACCCTTGTGCATGCATGTGTTTGAGTTTAACTGGATCCTTTGTAAAATTTGTTTATATTGCATTTCAAGCTCACAACAGATGAACATTTTATAAGTTCATATCTTGTGCTACATAACAGATCCATCTTGTGTGTAACAATTTTTTGAATTTAGGATTGAAGGTGGAACTTCATATTTGATATCATTGAGATATGAAGCTTAATCCATTGCCACAAAGGATCTGTGGAGACTTTGCCCCTCTTTCAATTGAGATAATCTCATATTGGTACAATATGATCATGAAAGGATGACACATGCAATGGTTCATCCTTTCATGACCTGATTGAGGGCACAGATATCATGCCCAATTTTAAATTCAACCATGTTCAAACAGATCAAATTTTTCAAACATAACATGAAAGAACAATAATCAAATGCAGCACATCTCACATCCAATTGATATTGATTATTTGAGCTCAGCCTAAATCATGCAGCATAATTGCCATGATGGATTTGTTGTCATTACCAATCCTTTCTCTCTTGAGTTTTTCACAGCATACAAAGCAGCCAAAATCTATTTGACACAAAGCCCTTTATTCCTTTGCATTCTGAGTGTTTTTGAATTTTGTAAAGGTCTCATGAGGCAGTGTGTGTCACCTATCTATCACAGCCCAAAATTTCACAGAAGAAAACAATTCAAATTTGACTCATTCAATTTTCCTTCTTAAAATTCATCCAACTTACTTTTTCTTCTTTCCTCAACCTTTTTGGGCGGGCATGGTCTCAGGAAGGTTCTTCCCTTAAACACCTCAAGTAAGTCATCAACCAACCCCTGCCAATAACCCTGATGTAACACAGTCTCAAACCAAGAGCTCAGCAAAACCATTGCCCAGTGGTAATGAAACACAGTCCAAAAAGAACACACTCAATCACTGATCCACTTCTCAAGGTTGCAAGAACCCCCAGCAGCCACCTCAGATCAAAATATCAAAATTTTGACCCATGGATGTAACCCCAAGCGGTTAGTAAATTAGTAATGGGCTTTCAAAAATTCAACCACTTGATTCCTGCTTGTTCCCAACCCCCAAGTCACACAAACGCTCCTGCTCCTGCTCCTGCCCCACTGTTCACTTGTGAAAATTTGGACCAGTTTTGCATTGGATTCAAAGATATGGGTACGTTTAAGTCATATGCTCAATTATTTAGACAATTACTGAAACCTTGGAATCTTAGGACATGACCACAGCTCTGGTGGTCAGGACCGATATGGGCTACAAAGGAACCATACTTGCAAAGCAACTTCCCCCTAAGCACCCCTTGACACCTTTATCTCACTCACCCATGTGACTGGAGCAAGATTGCAGGTGTTTGATTTAATGGCCAGTCAGGCCAACCTGGATGAGCACCATCAGGCCATTGGTTGAAGAGCGTTCAGAGTAAGGTTTGGGTTTAGATGATAGGCTTGCAATAACAACACCCATTTTTTATGATATGGGCGCCACCTGCATATCAGATGATGGCCACAACTTGTAATAATATATATTTTACGTACTGACTTCCACACAAACAGCTTTGTGAAAAAGCAGCTGAATCTTTAGAAGAGTTGCTTATAGCACATCTACCCCAATCTTTCTACATATATATACAACATTGATTTATCATTCATCAGTCTTCTTTTCCCCATCAATGAAAAGAAGACTGTGAGTGACTGATTTCTTTATTCTTTATTCTTTATCTTTGTGACCTTCTTTGACTCATGTTAATCTCTTATGTTCTTAGTTGTTATCTTTATCAGACCCAAGATAGGACTCTGAACATATTTGTTTTTCCCGCTCAGATCGTGTTCCAAGACTTTCTCATGAATATGTTGCAATGACCTAATGTGCTATTGTACAATATTACTGATATCTTGAACCTGAACCGGTGACAGAAAGCTTGCCATTGGGGCTTAAACAAGGGTGATTATCCCAACACAAGTCTTTGGTCAGTAGTCAATGGCAAATTGGAAAACTTACAGGGCCAGGCCATAAGATATTGTTGTATCACACTTACTGACATATGAGTCCAACAGATCTGCTGCTTTGTGTCTTACAGCTGACTTTGAGATATTCACTGGGAAGAAAACCTTCAAAGAGCACCCCCACAAGGTGACCATTCAAGACATGCAAGACAAGCAGCTGAGCTTGACGAGTTATACCCTGGCCAACTTGCAGGTGATGAGAGAGATCATCAAGGGATTGAGTTGTCCACAGAGGATGATAATGGAAACAATGAAGCTTAGATCTGTGAAAGAGTTTTTTTGTATCTCTCACCCTTTGAATCAAGTCATGATTCCAATTCTTTTCCTATCTTGCTGCTTGTTCTTTTGCTTGCAGTTCCTGTAATGCTCTTTTTTTGTTGGGTCATGAAGTCAGTATCAAATAAAGGCTTGTCCTAACCCTGCGCCACAGCAAGCATGTTTTTTGGTGCCTTGCTCCGCAACATGCAACAACACCCAGCAGCAGAAGCCAGTAAGTACCACAACAAAAAAAGGTAAGGTTGGGCTGCATGGTCCCATGACCGTCACAAAACACAACAGGTGCAACAGCACCAAAACAACATCAAATTGTAATTTTTTGGGGGCAGTAATGCAACAAATATTGTTGCCGCCCAAAAAAAAACTATTGATCCAACACATCTTGTTGCACGGCGGGCCAGGCTTCAACCTAGCAATCTATTTTTTGGTGTGGGGCGGTCAGAATACTGCAACACCTGTGTTGCTGGCCCAGGGTTGATTGTCCTCATTATATAGGTTTGTTTCTAAACACATGCCAAACCACCATTCAGAGCAGAGATGCACCCTGGTTCATTTTGTGGGCGCGGCGTAAAAAGCGCAAAAAGGCGCGCCTAGGTGCGCCTTGAGAGGGAAAATTTGGTAGGGGTGCACCTGTATATAACTTATGGCTTGTTTGGGATTCTTCAGTGGCTTTAACTGAAGTTTCTTTGAAAACTTCACTCATTTATTGTTTCATCTGGCCTTATCTTCAGGTCTGCATTATATTCCAATTGTCAACTTAAAATCTGAACTGATTCATCCTTGATATGTTATATTTAGTTTGCCAGTCTCACCATTGGATGACTCCAACTAGCCTGAAGATGATCTTGGAGGTCGATCTATCACTTGCGCATAACTCAAAAAAGATCAAAAGCGAAAAAAAACAATACTGATGTCGGAATCAAAATCAAAAAGGACCACGACTTAGAACCTCAGCCCACTTGCTTTTTGGGACTTGAAGAACTTGAGGAGTTTGAAGGTGGAGTCTCCCTCAACAGAAGGAAAGCAATCCAGTATTCATGGGATTAGATCCTGATATGTTTACATGATGACATGATAGGGGATCTTTTTGGTTTCACTACTTTTGTACCTGATTTGTTACATAGAGTGCAGTCCACCCATCCAGCTGGTCCTATTGTAGATACATCTGCTGCAGCCCTGCTGATCTTTTTTGATCGTAAGACAGGCAAAGAATCTGTATAAGGGTTTTTTTGGCAATTTTTTACAAGACCTCACGTGCCCTCTGAAACCCTATTTCTTGCGCCCGGGCGCGCCTCAAAAATTGAGAGCACACCCACAACATGAACCCTGGGACTACAGGGCACTATGGTTTATAGTAACCTGCTTGAACTCCGCAGTCAACCCAGATATCTGCACCCACTTTGGAAATCAAATGGCTCAGTATTGGTTGACGCCCATTTGTCACTGTGCAAACAAAGACATTTGCCAACTGTTTCTTGGAATCAGTTGGGCAACCATTTCCAAGGGTTTGTGGTGTACAAGATTGTTTGGACAGTGCATTTTTTGTTACATGATACATATGAGGATCTCATTAGCCCATACTCTCTGAGAACCCATACTTTTACAGCTGCATAAAGCAGCATGGTTGATCTCAGAGATAACTGGACACAAGTGCTGAACATTATGTAGCATGTCTATCATCCCAGGTTTTCAGACACTACAGAGTGTTGGACATCCCAAGCTTTTTAGGGGGATTGTTTTTGAATGTGGGGTAGGGTGCCATTAGAGCTGGCACTGTCTTGTCAAGGCCAACATCTTTTGGTCTGAAAGAGCATCTATATACTGGCTTTTATTGGGATGCCTGCCCCCAGGTATACAAACCTCAGAGGGGTTCACTACTTAGGCCCCGTTTGGGAGCGGTGACAAAGTGTAATGTACTGCAAAAGTGTACTGCATTTTTGGCCCCAATAATGCAGTAGAGATGAAAACCCGCACTTGTAGTGTGGTACAGTTATAATCTCTGTTTTTGGTCATAATCGTTTGGCAATTCAACACCACTCGTGCTGATTTTCTCCTGACTGTGGTATGTATGTATGTATACCCACAAAACCTCTGACATCGTTCGTTCTCGATCCACACTCAAACAGACTTAACAATCTTTTATCATTAATTCACTTGCTCGGTCATCGTAACTCATCAAAAGTTGTGAACCTCATCACCAATCAACTGGAACTTTTCTCTCGTCAAGGAATCATCTTGATCATCTTTTTCATATTGTTAGCGAATTTGAAAAGATACATATCCTTTGATATTCATGAGATTGATTGAAGGAGAAACAAGGTTATCAAAGCGAGTGACAGAATTTGAGAAGCGACGAGATTGATTGAGGGAACGGTGGATTGAAGGAAGAAGTGATAAAGGTACAGTGCGATGAGGTCAATTGACAAACTAATATTGAACTCGTGGTTGTCTTCATCTTGAAGTGTGAAGGTGTTGAAGATGGGTTGATAGTGAGTTTTGTAATCGAACGGATGGAAGGAGCCGATGAATTACAAAGGGAAGGGGAAGAGATCAAATTTGACGAAGTCCCCTTTCACCGTGCGGATTTATTTTTCATAAACAGCTTTTTGTCAATTATCGCAATACCACAGTATTGTCAGATTATTGTCTAAATACTGTGGTACAATACTGCAGCAAAATAAGGTACCAAACGTGGTAAGATCATACCACTGTGGTATTGATGCGATTACGAAAATACCGCGGTAAAATAACCGCTCCCAAACGGGGCCTTAGCCAGTTGTAGGTTAAGCCTTCAGATTATTAAAGCTATCATCGCCTTCATAACTAAACCTTTTGGGAAGCCTAGCTGGCCATCAGGAACACAGCACCCACAATTCTAAGCCTTGACACATACCTTTCTTCTTTGAGAGCACCTCTGGATTAATCATTAAAGACATGAATGTAAATTTCAAGAAAATTAATGAGATCTATTGATATGATCTTGATCAAACGAGATTGCAATGTAAACTTCAAAAATAGCTTTGCGTTGAAAAATACGTCGCATGACAAAGCAAGGAAAGACAGGTGAAAAATAATGATTTGATTCCAGAGAACTTTACTTTGGCCCGTTTTTTTTGGTATTGGGAATATGATGAACAGTCTCTCAAACTATGTTTTGTTTGTGTGGTAGTTTTATTTAGATTTTTTCACCCTGTCATTTTTCAATAAGTCAGTTGAAGCAAAGGCTATGAGGATTAGAATCAGAATAGAGGGCTTACCATTCTTTCACGTACTGGTACGGAAAAAGAAGCAAAAACAAAATTAGGACCAGTTGGCAAAATGATCAGTTTGGCCAGATATCAATACTCACATCAGCAAACGATACCATGCAGACGGTCTGCCAGATTCCCAAACAAATCCGAGGTGTCACGCCGCGGTAAAGTCCTTTTAGACCACTTTCCCTGGGATGAATGCATATTAGTTTGGTGGAACTGGACCCGGAATGAACTAAAGCCTACTTGTAAATATATCCCAAAGTATTAAAGACAGTCATCTTAGCTGGACGGTTACCTGTGCCAGTTTGTTTGGCCATTGATTGCATCTCGACTCGAACCACTTCGATAGGTTGATTCCAGCAAGCTAATGCACCTCCAATCGTACTACTCGCAATCTTGTCAAACGCACTGAGTCTGTCTCCTTCTGTCTTTCCTCGGAGTGTTCGGATTTGTTGTTCGGCCAAACGGGCAAAACCCATTCGAGATCCCCAATTGGTACACTGACGGAGTGCAACGGCATTCACACCTTTGTTGATACCACGAATACCACCTTTTTTGTACATCTCAGCAAATAGTGCCATGGTCGATCTGAAGAAAAGTATCTAATTTCAGTCATCATCACATGTGGTGAGCGCAGTTAAATGCTTACGGAGGTTTGATACCAGCAGAAGCTTGTTTATGTCTAGTAATTTCGGCAGTCTTCATACAAGTGCAAAATCCTAAAGCACGAATGGTCAATCAGATAGATTCTTTATGTTTGAGATACATCATCCTCACAAGTGGTTACATACCCATGGTGGCATAAGCTTGAGTGATTCCTCCACCCATTCCACCCAGTAATCCAGCCACAGCGGGAGCGACTCCAGCCCCGACAGCTACAGTTTCAATCTCGGCGGCGGTAAAGAGTAAGACAGCACCTTTTGTCGAAGCTTCGATCCAAGCCCATGGAATCAAACCTTGATAAAAGCTATGATAAGAATATCAAATGGATTGGTTCAGATTGAATCGCCTTGTGTAACACCTGAATTACTTCTGACACGAACTAACCCCAGAACACCACCACGAGACCATACAGTTTTCAAAGCATCTACCATGGATTGTGATCGATTGGAAGCCATTTGGGTTTTCGCAACCTGGTGTAAGCATACATTGGGTCGATCGACTGTTCGAGCTAAGACCAGGATGAAACCTCCTCCCAAATTCCACTCACCTCGAGTGGTTGTCCCAAAGTGGTAACCTGTTGGCAGAACCAAATGTGAGGATAGGTGATGATGTCATGATTGGTGAGATTCTTGGTACTCACTTCAAACATGTTCATGATCCCACCCACTGCCTAGAGGCGACCAAAAGAATTGAGGATCAAGAAGGGTTCAAATCAATATAAGATGATGATGAAATGATCGATCAAATCTAACTTACCACATTCGACCAATTCACACCCCTCTTTTCTCCAGGTTTAAGTGGCGGGGCAGGTGCAGCTGGAGCCATTTTGAGTTAGTCGATATTGAGGATATGAGCTGAAAGGAAGAAGTTGTCAGAATCAAAAAAGTAAGCAAAAGTAAGACTCGAATTGAAGGAGAGATAGAAATGGAAAACAAACAGGAGAAGTTAAATATGGTCAAGAGAAATTAGAATGATCAAAGTGTATAAATAAGGATGAAGAAGAAGGAGATGGTAGGAAAAGTCAAACGATTGATTTACATAAACAGTTGATCGAGTATGTCACAGACAAAAAACACATTCATTTCTATTCAATCGTCAACATGTCACCAAATCACCAATTACTCACACACATTTCAGAATTTCAGTTGGGGTAACTTATGCCATGCTGCGTTGAGTGGGGTTCAGGAGCTGTGAGCACTGAGCAGTGGAACATGCCAAGGACGAAAACGGAACAACTGCAGTCAGAAAAACGCCATTCGAGATCTGCTAATCTCACGCTTTTGAGAACCCGGAGGATTCCTATACTCCCTGGGTCCATCGAAGTTGCTCTGCAGAGGTTGAAGTTGCTTCATCAATCAACTTGAGCTAAAGGCTTATTAAATTGTTCTGTTCGGAATGCATTGATCATGCCACTTTTCCAGTGTTCTTACTCTATCTCGTCCCTTTCGTTCTCGAACAATAGTATTCTACCCTGAACAGTATCCTCTCATGCTGAAACCAACGGCGACAAGATTTGTGATGACCTCAGGCATGCGTTGAGTCAGTACCAAGTTGAGAAAAATTTGTTGGCAGATAGGCAGCGCAGCACTCAGGTAGTCTATAGGGCACACTGACAAATCGGAATGCCTTGTGTGAAAAGTGGAAGCCCTGGTACGTTTTCAACGATGATATTCGGATGGGACTCGTGGTCGAAGAGAACACCATTGAATTGCAACGAGGGCTATTGAGGTGAATTGTCCACCTAAACCCTTCAAATCTGGGTCTTTCTTAGATTTGGGACGTCATGAAGCTAAAACCATGACGAGTCGAGCATGGCCCATTTCAATTCACTATCATCTTCATGCCTTCATGTATCCACGTTTCTCTCGACAAACGAGGGCCACGCTGAGCTTTGTTACCCATTCTCGACGGGTATCCTTAAAAGTACGCTTGGGAATTGACAAGGTGAGGAATGTCTTGAAGGTCATTTGACGCGGATACTCCCTGATTCGCCGGCTATGTCATCACATCACTCCAGTATACGGATTCCACCCTATAGCTCAGGTAAGAATTCGCTATCACTGATGCCTGGTCTGAGATATCTTGAAAGACCTTGATTCGATCAGTAAACGGAGTAGCAGACCACTTGTAACTACCCCCTGAGCTTAGAGCAAGAAAAAGCCCTGCTGAGCACCAATGCCACGACTCTACATTTTTTCTTCATTGAATCCTATATAAGACTTGATAATTGGATATCATGTTCTCCGCTTATACTCGAAACATTCACTTTGTACTATAGCACATTTTATCTTTACCTCATCTTGCTTGACGCACCTTTGTTTTTAATTGTTTTTCCATTCGATTGATTTTTCATTACATTCTTCAAAATGTCCACCAGATCCTACACCTCTACATCATCCATGATCCTCGTCATCTGTTGCTTGTTTTTCACTGTAGTTCAAGCCAATTGGGATGAAGCTACAGGTTTTGTTCATGATCATAAGGTCTCTCCAGGATGGATGGCAAAAAACCCACGTGAGGATATTTCTTATCTGTTGTTTTTTCAGTAGGATATATACTTTTCTTTTAATTATAGAATCACTGATCTTCCTTGATTTTTTCATTTGATTCCCCTCCAGCGAAATCTTGCTCTAAAAATATCCAATTGGCTGAGTGTTCGCATAACACCCGTAATGCATTCCCCAACGGTAAGTCAATATCTCTCTGGGATTCCCTTAGTCAGAGGAATTATATTCTCATCATCCTTCATCACGTCCGTCGATCAATCCGGGAAATTAGTTCAATTCATGGCAGTCTTCACTGTTGACCACTCTAAAGATACATACCACGGTTGTGTAAGTTATCATAAATTGAATCATGTTGTGTCCATAAACTTTCAAACCGTTCTCTTCTCGATAATCTTACTGATCTTGATTTCGATTCTAGTCGTATGGATCTTGTTGTTACTTTTCAGCATTTCCACCGGTCACTGAACTTGTGTCGGACCCTACTAACTCACACATCTTTGTCTGGCAGTTGAGTGACCGAATTTATTCCGCTTCTCATGTGAATTGCCAAGTTCTGACAATGGTATTATCTCGCTCTTCCCCTTAACCAGTAATCTTGGAGGCTTCAAAGGCTGTAAGTGAACTTTTCGAGCATCTACTGTCTTTTGGATCCAGAGTGTCAATGGACTCCTCAGATGTATTTCTTCATCTACTGGAACTAATCCAATCTTCTTATCTTGTGACTAATAGTAGGAACTAATCCGATAGCTAATCCTCAAACTGGAACTTTCGGATACGAAGATGGAACGACTGGAAAATATATAGATGGACCTCCAAACAGAGCAACTTATCAAGCAGGTCATGATAGTAAATATCCAGGATTCAAACTTCCACCTGCATGGCCAGCAACTATGCCAATGCCAGCACAAAAGAATGCACACCCATCCTGTGGTAAACCAGGTGAACCGAATAAAGATCCTAATCCTACTGGAAAACCTGGAGGAGGTCAATCTGCAAAACCTAATGAAGTTGAATCAAAATCAAAACAAACTAGTTCAAAATCAACTCCAACCAAAAAAGATTCTGAAAAACGTCATCAAATTAATCTTGAATAAAATTTTAAAGCAAATAAAAACTATGTACTTTCTTTTTTCAATTTTCTTCTATTACCATTTCGACATTTCATGCACTGAGATCAGTTTAGTTAACATACACCTTGAAGGAATCTTTTGTTTGTATTGTTGACTATTTTGTTTGTATATACTTCTCGGGATATGAAGTGGTTTTTTTTCTTCAAAGACCGTCATACTAGAAGAAGCTTTTTCGTTTGTTCTTTTGCATCAGATTCTTTTGAAATTTTTGAAAAAATTATCATTCATTTGTTTTATATGTTTTTTTTCGTTTTATACTCAAAGATACGTCAAAGAAGAAATTGACGATGATAGCCTGAAACAAATGAAATTTGAGATTAAACATATCAAGTTTATCAACAATTTGGTATTTGTTGACCATGTAGAAGTTTACACCATTTCTCATCCTCTCCTTCACCAAGTTATGCAAATGCCAAATGAAAAAGAATACCAAAATTCAGTGAGCTGTTAAGGATCAATCGATGTGCTTTGTGTAGTGCGTGGTACTATGTAGTAGCATACTGTGTGTAAGTATCCTACTATCATGATGTAAACAATGTTAATTTTTCTTGAATCAAGTCAAAAAAAATTCAACATCAAACCACAAAACCACAATTATATACCAACTTGAACCAATCATCAAAAATGTCAGATTTTATATTCACAATCGAAAGTGACGAAGAAGAAAAAGCAGAAGAAATCAAAGTAGATTCAACCAAGAACAAAAAAATAAAAAAACATCAACGTATTAATAAAGAAATTGAAGATGAACCAATCTCTGTCATGAATCCTGGTTTCTTTTTTGATGGACTTGGAAATGATGATGAAATCGTATACCAAAATAAAGGAGATCACCCTCATGTTCGTTTGTTTCTACTGAACTATACTCGATTTTAGATTATATCTATACTTACTGTTCTCTTTTTCTTGGAATATAGTCTCGGGCTAAAGATGATCCAATCGATTTATTCAAAAAGAAGAATGCACCACCACGAGTTTCAATTGATGAGATTATTGCACGTCATAAGAAGCCTGATGAAGGAATAGTCGATCTAGATAAAGCACTTGAAGACTGGAAAAGCGAAGATGATGAGGCTAGTTACTCGGATGAAAATGATTCTGATGACAATTCTTCTGATGATGAAGTAGATGCGGAAGTAGATGGAGAAGATGATGGGGAAGATGATGGAGTGTTGGAACCTGTTGATGAATCAGATGATGAGGCTGAAGAAATTGACGTTGAATCAGATGAACAAGAAGGTAGTAGTGATGGTCAAGAATCAGAAGAAGACGAGGAGAATAATAAGGAACCTATCGAGAAAGATACCGCTAGTGACACAGAAAACCAAGCCGCTGTTTCTGCATATTTTGATCAAACCGTCGTTGCATTTGATCCACCCACAAAAGAAGAACTCGATAAAGACTCTCATGGTTTGTTTGTCTCTCTAATCATGATATCTGAAAAAATACCATAAGTGCTAATCAACACCTTCATTTTCGAAAACAGATCAGCCATTTTCTTCTCTACCCGGTGGATCAAGTCTCAGTCGACCTATCTTGTTAGGATTGTCATCTATGTCTGTCACCACGCCAACCCCCATCCAAAGGCAAACGATTCCACTGGCTCTTCTTGGAAAAGACCTTGTCTGTTCATCTATGACTGGTTCAGGAAAGACTCTAGGTTATCTGGTACCGATCTTTGAGCGACTCATGTGGCGAGATAAGAAAGGCGGAGGCAAAACACGGGTCATGATTCTGACACCTACTCGGGAGTTGGCGGTTCAAGTTTATCAAGTAGGAAAATCGCTAGCCAGGTATACCGACTTGACATTCTCACTTTGCGTGGGTGGTATGAATCTGAGGACGCAAGAAGCTGAATTAAGAGAGCGGCCTGAAATCGTTGTCGGAACACCTGGTCGAGTCATTGATCATGTCCGAAATACTAGAGGATTCTCATTGGATACACTCGAGATCTTGGTTATTGATGAAGCGGATCGGATATTGGAGGAAGGTTTCCGGGATGAATTAGAAGAAATCATCAGCAATTGTCCTCGGTCAAGACAAACCATGCTTTTCTCGGCAACCGTGAGCGAATCAGTAGCTGATCTTGCCAGACTATCGCTTGAAAAGCCAATTCGAATCAAAATCGATCCTCCCAAATCAACTGCCACCGGTTTAACTCAAGAGTTTCTCAGAGTTCGAGACGATCAATTGTTAAAAAAGGGTGCAGGAGTAGCTGATATACAAAGAGAAGCTATCTTGGTAACTCTTTGCAAGGCTTCATCTTTTAGTAAAGGACGTACTATCATCTTCTTTCGAAGTAAAGTTGGTGCACATCGAATGAAAGTGACTTTTTCTTTATTTGGACTGAAGGCTGCCGAACTTCATGGTAATTTAACTCAGGAACAACGGATGAGTTCTTTACAAGATTTCAAAGATGGAAAGGTCTCTTACCTTTTAGCCACTGATCTGGCTAGTCGTGGTTTAGATATCAAAGGAGTGGAGCGAGTAATCAATTATGAAACTCCAAATCAATATGACGTTTATCTGCATCGGATTGGGCGAACGGCTAGAGCTGGAAAGAAGGGTAGTGCTTTGACTTTAGTGGGAGAATCTGATCGAAAGCTGGTTAAGGAGGCTCGACGAAATTGTCAAGGTACAATCAAACAACGTAAGATTGATCCGAAAATCGTTCAAGATGTTAGTAAAGAACTCGCTCGATTACAGTCATCGATTGCCACCATCTTAGAAGATGAACAGGAAGAAAAAGTTTTGAAGAAAACTGAGATGGAATTGAAGAAGGGTCAAAATCTTATCGAGCACGATGATGAGATTAAAAGTCGGCCAGCTCGAACATGGTTTCAGAGTGAATCAGACAAAAAGAAATCTAAAGGTAAGCTTCTCAATCCTTCCTTGTCTTCCATGTTTAGAGTTTGGGCGCATGGATGACTTCATCTGACTGTGTATTCTTTATGTTTCGAATCAGATGTTGGAACATCTGCTCACACAGCGAATTTTACGAAAACCAAGGATAGCAAAGGCACTAAACGGGATAAATTCGATGGACTCTCAAGAGCACAAAAACGTCGAAAGATGGCCAATGAAGAAGATGCACAAGAAAGATTACAACCTGTGATCAATTCATCCATCAGAGCAGCTAAGAAAGCACAAAGACCTGTGAAGATCGGTATGGAACAAGAATCTTATAAAACTCTTAATGCCAAGAAAAAATCAAAAAGTAAACCCAAAAAAGGTAAAAGTAGTTTTAGTAATGATTTAGGTGAAAAGAAATCGGTTAAATCTTCTTCTAAACCTTCACCTCGTCTCAATAAAAAGATCACTGGGTCTAGTGGTAAACCTCAGAAAGGAGGCAAGCGTGGAAAGCGATAGATTTTTTTGTCTTGATATCTTTTTACATTCATTGAATTAGTCACAGAACTTATTTTATATTTTGTATTTGATCACTCTATTAACAATAAGGAATAGTTACGTTGTTGCAATCATAGTGGCTTCAAACGTGATTTATCGTACTCGTTGCTCATGTATTATCACTACGTCAGAAAAAACGAGCTGCAAGTTACCTGCCTAGCTCTACGAGTCATGCGATGCTGAACTCAAATCATCCCTGATATTCATGCCATGACACCATGAAATCAGAGAGAGGAAGAGTGGATGTATCAAATTGGGAGAACTGTGAGAATTCTTGAAGCTCAGTGCAGGTTGGTATATGACATGCGCCCGTCGGAGAACCCTCTTGCCTACATTATACAAACTAGTTTCCACCTCGAACAATAGCAAATGAGAAAGGCAGGAACAGATGAAAAGATATACACATGATGAAAGCAAGAATTAAAGTTGTTTGCGTTTCCGAGCAGTACGCTGGTATGGCCGAAGTACCCATTCCTGATCTGCTTCCTTCTGTTCAAGTGTTCCTTGTCGAATTTCATAAGCTACGAGGCAGAAATTAAAAGAAAAGGTCAGTTATGGTAAAAGTCAGTAAAAAACGACAAGCTGCTAAAGCTTACGTCGCATGTCAAATCTTGGTCCAACCTCAGCTAATTGTACTTCTTTATGGGATGTCTTGACAAATACGTGATGCCTATATTTAAGAAACGAGCTTTAGATTATTAGCAAGTATGAAAGAGTGAGTGGATACGAAACAATCACAAACCTGAAAGAGATGAAATCCGCTTGATTTGAAAAGGTCATTACCCGTTTACTTTCTTCCTTTGGTACAGGAAACAAATATTTCAAAACACTCATGATCCGAGATCCTAGTTTAGTACCAAAGCCATCAAAGACTAAATGAGGATACTGTTCGCTAACAGTCGAAGTACTTCCACTAGGTACATCGTGTCTTAAAACCACATTATGAAGTGTAAAGAGAACAGTTGGACCATGTGGAAAATGTGAGACTACTAATGCATCCGGTATACCTCGATGTTCATGAACGATAAGGAGATCTGTGATGGCATTTGCTCTACAAGCTGCTGCGATTTCACCCATTACGTAGGTCCCTCTATTGACACGATGTGCATTTGGAAAGATTAAACGCATTTCCTAAATTCATTTTGGTTTAAGAATGAATGTATTTTAATCAGTATTATGTTACTCTTAATTGCGCATTTCGGTAAAGCTGAATATAGGAAAATGTGGGAAAAGATTGGAAAACAAACTTTTGAAAATTGTAGTAATTTGCTACTAGGATTACGTGAAGTGGTGATTAAGATTTTAGGATCATCGATTCCCGCTCGGTCATATTCATCATCAACATGTGTGAGTGGTTCTATAGACATAAAACCAAGGTTTTTTAAAAAAACCGAATAAATCAGTTCAGTGATCAATTCCGAAAAACAAAAAATGTTCACTAACCTGAATCACCCACATCCTTTCCCATAGCTTCTCTTAATTCATCTAATTCTTTTTTAAGTGATTCTGGCACTGGTTTTCCTTTAGCCAAAGCATCTTTAATAGCTTGTTTCTTTTCCCATATCTGTCGTTCTCTTGCTTCATGTGCTTTCTTATAAAGGAATTCCCTTCTTTGACGAGTTTGACGTTTAAGCTTTGTGTTTTGTCAAAAAGGTATCAGTTAGTTATTTATTCTGATTGCTGGATGATGATGAATGTTAGACTTACCATTGTGAATTGATGTTGGGTGTTGATTCAAGTTGTTGAATATGGTTCGCAATGTTTTTGAAAAAAATTAGAAATGTCTTGTACAGCCTGTAGCTCGGGTCGGACCACACAAGAAGTTTTTAGCCCACACAGTCTCACAGAGCGTGATAGTGAGAGTGAAAGGTATGTGACATGTGATAACCATAGGATTATGGAAAGTGACAGATTTTGAGACCAGGTTGGCGACTTTAAAATTGAAAAAGATGACTAAGATCCAATCCAAATCATCACTCAAACCAAATAGTAAACCATCAAAACGAAAAGAAATCGAAAAACTATCATCAGATTCAGAACCAACATCTGACGAGGATTCAGATCAAGATCAAGAAATCAACCAACAATTATTAGATGTATTAGCTCAACGTACTTTATCATTTCTAGCATTAGATGAACCATCTACTTCTAATCAAACTACATCAAAGAGAAAACGAAAAGAATTGAAGGATGAAGATGAAGAATGGACGGGTATTGATGATGAGACAATACCATTGGATGACGACTTAGAAGACGACCAGGACACAGATCAGAGTGAAAGTGAAGGATATTCAGATCTGGGTGAAAGTGATCGTGATGATGAATTGGACGATGGTGAAGGTAAGCTTCGAATGCTCAAAATTTGAAGATTTACGAAGCCAATATGTCTTACAAAGCTCATGATTTCACTTGACCGCTTTGCCCACGATCTCAGACCTCTTGAAAACATCATGCAAAGTTTCTAAGCCACCGGAGGACGCAGAGGTCATTGTCTTTCAAGATCCATCACGTTCAGCTCCAGTCAATCATGATCTTGTATCACTCAATTCAGATAGGAAATCATTCATGGTAAGTCATCGTGCCACTAATTGACCAACATCACCTCATACGACAACTGATTCACCTTGAATTGAGCTTTTAGGCTTCTTTACTCAAAAAACAGAACGCCCCAGTCATTGCAGATGCTAAAAACAACAAAAAATCTAGCAAAGAGGACAGTGAAGAAGCGTGAGAACTGTTTTGCTACCCTGAAGGGGATTTCGGATCGCTTTTCATTTGTGGTGATGGAATGATATATTGACAGTACCGTCCCTTTGATCACAGTCATCTTCGATCACTCGACAGGTCACTCGCAAACCTAATCACAACACTCTCTGCACCTAAATCAAAGGCAATTCAACTAGACGCGATTCTCTCAACTGATCTTCCACCTCCTCTCAATCCCGCCAAGGCTGCACGCCATCCTCGTAGGGTCAGACAAGAGTTAGCACGTGCAGAACTACGACGGAGTCAAGCTGCTGACCGAGAAGCAACGATGGGAAACATTGTTCGAGCTTCTAGTAGTAAGACTACTACTAAACGTCAAAAGAGGATGGAGGATGGTACAGAAGATCGAGAGAGACGGGAGAGACGGGCTCGGTTGGATAGAGGTATTGGTAAAGGGAATGGGGGGATGATTAAGCTTAGTGCTAGAGAGGTTAAGATGGTTTCAAAAGGAGATGGTTTTTCGAGTAGGGGCAAGAGTTCTGGTAAACGACGATGATCTAAGACCGCTCTTGACATTCACACATCAAGCTTCCTCCCTCATGAGTGGTTGTGTCTATGAGGCTTCAGACGATATTGTCTTGTTTGCATGAATTGTAATTCTTTTTTCGCCGTATATATAGAGACAAACTTTCAAGCTATTCATTCCATTTTTTAAACTTCTATCTACAATATATTACAAAGATAGGTGCTCAGATCACGTTATAAGATTTTACTTAATCGTCAAGATCAGCAGCCGTACAAAACTTGGTGACTTCATCAGGTACTCGAACAGGTGTTGAGGTTAAAGATGCGATTTGCATGGCTACTCCTGCTGCTTGATGCCATTGAGTTTGATCTGATAATAACCAAACTCCTGGATTGTTGGCTACGAATCTTACTCGGATCCAACCGTCTTTTGGTAATAAGAATGTATCCGATCTGTTGATCAAACATGAGTCGAAACAAATTGATCAGAGTCTTACTTTTGACGTGGGCTCACACCCTGGTGGTAGAGGTGAAAAGAGAATTTAGGAAAATACGTACTGCATCAGTCTTGATTGTGTCTGGCGCCGTACACGGCGGTAGAGTTTATCATAAGAGGGCAAAGACTTTTGTTGATACTTCTTGGCACGTGCAGCCTGTGGTACGGATCCCACTGTGTTGTAAGCGCCTTTGGTTTGAGATGATGATCCTTGTGACATGTCAGCTGGAGGCGGAACCGGAGGGGAAGTGACTGTTGGAGAACCTTGAGTACCTCTAGTAGTAGAAGTTGGTGATGTGGAGGAGCCTGCTGTAGATGATCCATTATTTGCAGCTAGTACTGGCAATAGAGGTGAAGCACTTGGTGACAATTGAACAGGAGCCACTGAAAATCACGCAGTAAGAAATGAGTAAGCATTCAAAAGAAAAGTTTCTCAGGAAGGATTTTCAAGTTGAAAGGCAGTCGACAACTTACTGGGATTTGGATTTGTAGAATTATTGATTCCTGTGTTTGGCTTGATTCCATTGTATTTTCCATTTCCAACTTCAATAACCCAGGGTCGATGTCCATGTAATGTAAAGGGAAAGTTACCTATAAGATGAGAAAGATCATTTGGTAAGAAAATATATCTATAATAAAAGATTGAATTTTGCGGGCAAGGATGAATGAGGGATTTACCTCCACTGAAGTTTTCTATTATCAATTCAACTACTTCTGCTTTATCATGAGATATGACAAACTGTGAGTCGGTGATAGATGCACCTATTTGATTGCTTCCTAAGTTCTTTGACAGTGATGTGGTGTGGTGTACTGGCTCCCAAGCCTGAAGGATTGCAAATAGGACCACATATCAGTAGATACTCTTAGATGCTATTGAAATAAAGAGATACTCACAGTTGAATTGATGAGCCCAACTACAGATCGAAAATGTGTATGAGATGTCAGCATGGCTCAAGGATATGTTCAGAAAATTGGTTCTTACGAAGGCTTCCGTCTTGTGCTTTATTGAAACCAACATCCAAAAGATAAGTTCTGTAGAAGTTGGAAAAAGAGTTATGAGCTTCCCATGAATGAAAATCTCAACTCTCAAAGATCTTAACGTACCGGGTAGGTGATGGTGGATCAAATGGTACCAAAGGACGAAGTTGATCAAGATTCAAATCAACAGCTGAGCTTGGTGAAGGTTCTCCTTCTTTAGGTAACTCGGCACGTAGATCCCCATATTGTACAACTATATAAACCAGATAGTCGTCAGCTGTATTTCTTCAAATAAGGTAGGGTCAAGTGATTGAGGGAAATGATCACTCACTTCCCAATATCTTGAATCTTGAATTTGGTGAATTATACTGTTCATGAAGTTAACGGTAAAAAGCAGTGTAAGAGGATAAGATATCTTTGCTGAGCCATGATCAAACGTACTCTGAATTGATCATTAACGATTGTTGCACGCATCCAAAATGCTTTTGCTGATGTTTGATCAGCTGTAAGTTCGACGCTATATCTCTGACCTGGATAAAGTGTTATTCCACCAGTGAAAGTGATAGGCACAACTTCTACACCATTTGCTTCGATGACAGTCAAGTTATGAGAATCAACGCTGAAGCGAATAGGCGCAAAAGATCCTGCATTGATTAATCTCAGTCGATATCTAAATTCAAGAATTTCAAAAGATACATCAGAAGGATTTCATAAACAAGTGAAGAATTATATATGGTTTTAAATAACTTACTTTTTTTTAGCTTCAACTGTTAACCGATAGTATGAGGGGGGTGGACGGCGAACATCTGGTAGATGGTCATATTGCCCAATCCCGTTGATGGTTCCGCTATCGGGAACAGGTTCATTGATGATATCACCATTTATACCGGATGGCTTAAATTCCAAAAAGGATAATATCCAATATTAGTGGATATAAAGCAACACATCACGAAAATTATGCGACTCACAGAAAGGTATGATTCCAACAGATCAGTAGAAGTGGCATGATACAAGTCACTCAAATGAAGCACCACTTCTTCATCATAACTGCTGTTACTAGCTGTCCTTGGATGAACGATAAACCCACCCGAGATCCCATCACTAGTTTGAGCATTATAACCAGCATGCCAATAAGTTGTTCCAGAAAACTCTCCTGGTCGAAAGGTGTAGGTCATTGATTCTCCTGCAGGAATACCGCACTCGCTTACACCCCTAACACCATCAAAATAACTAGTTCCAACTTGAAAGAGACCATGCCAGGTGATGGATGTAGTATTGACAGCCATATTTTGAACGCGTATGACTACCAAATCATCCTGGTTGACTTCAATGATCGGACCGGGATATTGACCTGGAGAGGAGGTAAACAAAATTATGAGAAATGCGAGTTTTAGCTTATCATGTTGACAATGTTAGCAGGATAATTCAAGAGTGTTACAGACCATTTACAACTAGCATGTCCTTTTCAAATCCATCTGGTTTTCCAAGTCGCTCATCAATCACAAAATCAAATTGTCTAGTTTGAGCTCTTTCCCCTCTGATTGTACCCACAATAGATTGTTTTTCAGTAGGAGTAATCACAGGAGTAGAATTAATTCGATTCCTTCTTTCTTCTTGAATTGCAGCATTTCTAAGACCAATAATGATTGCAGCCACAAGTGCAGCAATCACAATTGATAATAAAATAAATCCAGATAAGATTTGAAACCATCCACGTTTTCGAATCACTTGACGAAATCGAGATGAGATCGTAAAAGATTGTCCGTATGTTTGATCAGATCTATTAGCATGAGCTGATGGACTTGTTCCTTCTTCACTTGCTTCTGTGTATGTGAGATCATCTTGGATCGTACCAAGTTGACTTCCAGAACCTTCAGATCGACTATGCTGAGATCCTGAACCGGCGTCAGATCCACTATGATGAGAAGCTGAGCCGGATTCTGAAATAGCTTTAGACTTTTCAGTCTTTCTACTGAAGATAGATTTCCTTCTTTTTACCGAATGGTTCGATTGCGAATCAGTTTGTGAGGATGATCCTGGCATGGTGTCTGGTTGATCAGAAGGTAGGAATGGAGGACGAACAACCATGATAGTATTTTATATCTCTATATCTAAATTTTGTCGATTGATAATCAATGTATAATTCTCTAGGAGATGAAAAGAAATCAATGAAATTGATTGGTGTGATTCGAATGATTGAAATTAACAAAAATTGTCCTATTGTCCGAATCTTGTGATGTAAAAAGAAAGTTATCCAGATAATCTGTTAAATAAATTTAAGCGTCCAAGATAAATAGAACAAGAATTGTATAGGTTGAATAGTAAGTAAAATTTTCAAAGGAAGAACAAAATAAAATAAAATAAAAATGAAAGAAATTTGGTAAGTGAGAAAAAATGGACAAGAGAAAGTGAAGCGGTTTTGAGATTAAATTTGAAGTGAAAGTTTCAAGAGTAGAAAAATCTGATACTTTAATTTGATGCCAAAAATGGCTTCAGATGGGATCAAACAATGCTTCCTCGGAGGATATGGAGGAAAGAACAGATGCATCAACGCGGCGTTCGGAACAATCGAATTCAAACGCCGACGAGACGACTTTTGATTCACGAGTCGAGCAATCGTATGACTCATGGATGTAGGCTGGTTCGAAAAGTATCATCAGTTTCGGGGAACCCTCTCTTACGCTAAACCTGAGTCTTTCTTTCGACCTTGGTTTCTATGCGAGTCATATGCTGGAGAATCAGTTTTAGGCTCGGTTGGAGTTTCGCAATTTTCAATTTCTTTTTGTAACAAAGCAGAAAACTGTTTTTGATCATTTGCAAGCGCCTGGATGGTGAGTTATTTCAATGTTAAGCTTGTTGCCTTCAAAAACCCATATTTTGATATCATTGCCAGATTCAAGACCACTCACGGGTACATAGTGGAGTTGACCTTAAGGTGGTCAACTGAGACATTGGATATCAAACTCCCTTGGCCAAGGTGTCAGAGGCCTTTGTCGTGGTGAGCTCCTTGAGCTGATGGGTCTTTTCATCTGATACTGGAGGCTTGGGTCACATAAAACATGATGTTAAGGGGGTAAAAACATTGAAGCTAAAGGCACCCTGAGAGGGAATGTGTTTTTGACTCCACCCACAATTATCATGAAGAAAAATATGACTTGCTGATTATAAGTCTGTGAGTGTATAAATTCCAATCTTCCACCTGAATATCACTTTCAAACCGGAGTAGAGTCAGGCATCTGCTGCCCACTGCACACAAACTCCATGGACAGTGCAGAAAATGATGTGATCCAAAGGGCCTCTATAAATATATCACTAAATTCTTGCCTCTTTGAAGTCCTGAACTTCTCTGTTATCCTTGTATACAATCCAACACAGGAGGCATCCTAGGCATCAAATTAAGAGATCAGAGCTCTGTGTAGGTCTGTTTGATGGTCAAAGCCTTGATCTTAATGTGTTGATATATGACAGCTCAGCCCTTGAGCAATAATCATATGACTACATACATACCCTCAATCAAGCTCAGGTGAAAGAATAATGACAGATGTAGCATATAAAAGTCAAATGTTTTTCACAACTACAAACTCTCAAGCTAAGATTCATCAGAAAGAATTGCAACAAATATCATGAGTTGAACAAGTCAGGAAGATGTTGAACTTGATTCATAAATCCCTCTTCCTTGGCCAATCACTTGTTTTGATCCAATACTTTGGGGCCTCCCTTCAATCACCAACAATGAGCTCAGTGTCATCATGTTTGTATAGACTTGTAATGTCCCCTGAGGTATAATTTGACTGTTGGTTGGTACATGATAAACATCAGCTTCAACTATCATGTACCAATTTCAAATTCTGCTGATAGCTGAAGCTGATATGTATCATTTACTGAGCAATAATCATTATGACTACATACATACCCTCAATCAAGCTCAGCTGGAAGAAAAATGAAAGATGTAGCATATAAAAGTAAAATGTTTTTCACAACTACAAAGTCTCAAGCTAAGATTCATCAGAAAGAATTACAACAAATATCATGAGTTGAACAAGTCAGGAAATTATGGAAGTTAATTCATAAATCCTTCTTCCTTAACCAATCTCTTGTTTTGCTCCAATACTTTACGGCTGCCCTTCACATCACCAACAATGAGCTCAGTGTCATCATATTTGTAGAGACTTGTAATGTCCCCTGAGGTGTGATTTAACTGTTGGTTGGTAAATGATACATATCAACTTCAGCTATCATGTACCAGTTTAAATTTCTGCTGATAATTGTCTATGTAGTTGCAAGCCATGTCAGCACAGGATTTATGATACCCTCTTGAGATCAGTTATTCAATGAAATGATCTAACATCCCCCTTCAAAGATCCTCATTCATCTACCTGTAATTGATCTGTGGGGGTTGCAAACAAATCACTTACCTTTCAAATGTGCTTACATTCAGCTGTTTCTCTGCAGAAGACTCATCCTACTGCTTTCTCAAACCTTACCATCTTCAATTTCTCTTCCAACCTTCTTTTATCACAAAGTACCCACATCTTCTTTACATATAGTGTTACATTTTACCTTTTGTTTTTCTTATTTGAGGATCATGATTGAACCTGATTGAACCCCTATCTTCATCACCATATGTCAAGTGTCTGCTTTTTACAGCCGTTCCAAGAATTATCGGCAGATTTTGGGCAAAAGCCTGTAAATTTGGCAAAAACTCAAAAGTCCAAAACCCCAGTTAAAACTGATTTTCGACCCCAAACTGGGTTCCCAGGCCCCCCCATCTCTCTAAGACCACCATAGCACTCCCTCACGGTAGTCCAAGACTCCTTCAATGCATGCTCGACTAACCTTCTCACGGCCGCATTCTCACGCTTCAGCTTAGGTTCAACTTCGGTCGATCGTGCGTGGGTCCAGGCCTCGAGCCGCCGCCTCACCCCTAACCTGATCATCCAACCAGACCCATTTGTCCTATTCTGACTTCAAACCTCTTAATTCCTGGACAACTCCTTCTGTTCATCACGTTGATAGGACTTCATCTCAAGGTACGGTGATTATTCCCACTGTTGTTTGAATTGTATTTGACAAATTCTTAACTGACATTGCATATTTTTCATATTACAAAATTTTGACTGTAGATGCCAAAGTTTCTTCGTGAGAACGACTTTCTTTCCTCATTTTGTTTGATATAAAGGCCGGTTCATGTTCCGATCAACCTCTCGACCCACTCTGGAATTGATTTTTGGATCACATCCCAGGGAGACTAATTCGATTTTATATAATGAAAAAGGTTCCTTTTTGCAGCGTCACTGTGAGATACAGTCTGCACCGAAGTTTCTTTGCAAAGACACCCCAAATTATTCAACAATCACATCATATATATACTCTGAAGATTCATTTGGTACCGAAGAATTCTTTTGAAGACCTCCATTTTTCAACACCAATGTAAGTACTAAATCTCAAACACCGAAGATTCTTTGCAAGAAGACCCCAAAAATTTGATACAATTGCTTTTACTTTTACATACGTCTTTGCGCGGATGCAAAATCTCAACATAGCATAGCAAACAGAACCTCGTTTTCTTTTGTTTTCTTCCCGGCCGCCCATGTTTCAAATCGTCTATAAATTCGCCCTCATCAAGAGCCAAACGTGATTTTTTCCCCCATCAGCTTATTGATATTCGTTGTCAGTGTTATACATAACCAGTTTATCCTCACTCCAATTCCACAAATTTTATTAACTGCTCGCGCAATTAATCTTTAAATTCATGTCTGTCATATTGTTCTTTACTTTTTTCTCTTGACTAGTTGGTTTCAGTTGACTGATTTTGTTTCTATCATTCTATCATTCTTTCATTATTTAGAGCAACCATGTCCAACTCAAACTTGTCAAACTCGAACTGCACTGCTTTGTCCTTCCCTAATGAGGACAAAGTCATAGTGACTGTTGAAGCCAAGGATGCCACTCCTCAACCTGGCTTGAAAGACAACAGTACGTTAGATTTGCAATCTACTGTTCATACTGTTAAGATACTGACCATGCTTTGGCGTCAGTCATCGAGCCTCCTGCAACTAGCATCACGGCGACCGAAGGGCCTGGCCAAGTTGGCTGGATGAATGGTCGTAAGTTCAACCTATATCACTGTTTTGCTTTTATGCAACTCACATTCTTCTCTTGTGGGTTTAAGTCTTTGAAGCTCCAACTCCTCATCTCACGGGTCCCGATGCCCCTGCTCACCTGGTGGATATGGGGCCCTTGCATAGAGTGGGTACTGCTGACCGGGATCAATTTGATCGCGCCCACGAGGTAGTGATCCAAGTGTTGTTCAAAATACACACCAAGAACGAGGTGGTAATCACCAATTCGAACGATTCGACCAGCTCCAGTCAAACGAAGCCTTCGACTGCCCGCCGCTCAGTTGGCACCACTGTCAATGTGATTGACTCCAAGGTATTCAACGATGGGGTTGTCCATGAGTTGCGTGCTTGTGTAGTTGGTCTCTCCTTGAATCAGTTCAAGGAGAGATGCGCTGAGCTATGTGAACGCTACGCGCCTGGAATGCACCAAATGGTGATCAATTCGGAAGTTGCGCCGAATCTAACTTGGAAGGCGTCTGTGGGCCGTTCAGCTCCCACCTATGTCCTGGCCGAACCCATTCGGTACTTTGAATTTGTCAATAGTGTGACTAAATCTCGCACTCGCCGGGCAACTCTCTTGATTCACACCGAATGTTCAAAGGTAGCAGCCAAAAAAAAGGCCCAGGCAAGTGTTTTTGGTTTCGTTTTGGGTTATCTCAGTGCCCCCTTCTGACTTACTGCCGATTTCCTTCTTAGGCTTCCGCAGCTAAGCAGCTGATTGCTTCTGCAAACGGTCCACAGGTCTTAGAAGTCGAGCTTGCCCAAGCGAACAAGCGCCTGCAAGTAAGTTATCTTTTGTGGCTCCTCCCTTTGCCCCAACCTGTGTCAACAACGTTGACACTTTGAATGTGCAATTGTACGTGCAGGCCTCTGAAAAACTTGTGGCTCTGCACAAGTTGACGGCGGAACTTTTCCATTTGCATGCTGAAACTGGTAACGTGGCGATGGAGTCGTCATGGTGGCGCCTTGGGATCCTAATTTTCACTACCGCTTTACCCTGGCTTGTGCCTTCATTTGGGCGCAAAGCATTGTAAGTCAATTTATTTGAATAACTTATAGGTGGTAAGTCTCACTTTAAATTTGGTACCTACAGGAACGATCTGAGGCCACCAAACACATGGCCCCAAATACTAGCAAGTACCGAACTGAAATTGCGAAGACAAGGATCTTGCATCCAGGTTTAAAGTTGAAGGATTGATTGAAATTACGATTTCCCTTGCCAACGAAGAGAAAGCCATTGGCTAATGTTAGCGCGGCCAAAAGGCGCCCTTTTGACCACTCACCGGCTCGTCAACGTGGCCAAGGTGGGGTTTTTGGGCCTCAAAAGGGCTCTCCATCTTCCCACCGTATTGAGTTGAACAAGTTCAAATCTGGTGAGTTTGAGTTCTTTTTCACGTACTTGTAATTAATCCAGGCAGTTGATTTACTAATGCATCACCTGTTTTTGCCTTCTGGCCATAGAAGAGAAGATGATCAACTTGGTCTCGTCATCGCCTAATCAAGAGGTGAAACCACTGAGGTTTCAACCACGTAAGTCGTGATTTTTCTGCAACCTCTTTTGGTCTTTGATTACGTCTGCTTGCTTTCACAGGTGAAAGAAAGCAAGGTTCACCAAGCAAACCTCGTGGCCCCAAGAAGGCGAAGTTGGAGCCTGGTGAGTCTGGTGGTGACCTCATGGGTGGCCTGTGGCAACGCATTAACCATGGTTGTTTTTTTTGTTTTTCTTTTTCATCCCCAGAATACAAGACCGAGATCAATTCCGGTATGTCTAAGTCTTTATTAACGTGCGAGGTCAGAAGTATGTTACTTACCACCTCCTTTCTTTGCAGACGGTTTCCTTCCCCCCGAGGACAAATTCTATTTTTTGGGGGAAGACGAGGCTGTTTACTCGGATGCTGTAATGTCTAGCGCCGATACCGACGAGCTCGAGCTCTTGCAAGAGCACGAGCATCTTCTGGATCAGTTTGTCAAGGAATGTGGGGTGACGAAAGACTTCAACCGCATTCGGAACGTCTTAATCAACTCGGGCATCAAATCCTGGATTGACCTGGTGCCAAGTGTGAAGATGACCGAAGCGGTCTTGATTGAGCATGGTGTCCTCCGTGAGGTTGCAACCCGCATGTTGCACAAGGCGGAGGAACGCAATGTTACTGACAACCAAAGTACGTTCCGCATCTTCAAACATCTTGATCAAAACTTCGCAACATCAAGATGTCCTGATCTCTCGGCGGCTCTGCACATCCAGAAAACGTGGAATTGGCTAAGTAATTCCAAAACATGCTTTGGATAATCGAATCTTTACTAATCAGTTAAGATTCGAATTCCCCCTCAAACTCAAGCCGGGCTGTGTCCTATCCTCTTGTTCTTTCCTTTCTTATCGCTTTTTGGTCTTACATCATTCATATATGTTCCTTTTATATGATTTGTTATTTTGTTGTAACCATCTTGTCCGAAAGCAGAATCTGAAATAGATATTCAGAATCACCCTGGCCCCAATTGAACTTAGTGCGTACTGTCAAACCGTGTCACCTTACACATTGCCAATCAGCCCTCAAGTTATATTTACATTAATGATGATTCACATGATTACGTGATTACCCCAAAAAGTTGATCATACATGATCAACCAAATGTCGATCATGTATGATCAACTTTTTTTTTAAAATCCCCTATTGATATCTCATTGATATATTATAACTCATATAATATATCAATGAGATATAGTTTCGCAATTTGCATGGCCCATGAAAATCGCGAAACTATAGAGAGGTTTCTATGGAGTCATGTCATTGATTTGATGAGATACGCATATCAACATATGCGTTTCTCATGAACTCTGAAATCACTTGCTCTTCCTTGATGCGAGAGCATCAAGGAAGCGCAAGGAACGGGATACATAAGGCCACCCTTGTTCCCAGCTTTCATGTGATGGCCCCAGGTTCCTCACACACTCCGTCTCCAATCTGATACCTCACAATTGCTCTTTCTTCTAAGATTGTTTCACCATCACTTTAAAACATTTAGAGATTTCTTCGAATAAGTATCAACTGTATAGAAAAGGTCATCACTTTCTACTTTAGCATCTGCTATGGACGTTCCAAGCCAGGCAGTTACCAACCCAGGTGCAACGAGTAACAGGAGAACAGGGCTGTTGTTCGTTACCACCTGGGAAGAGCTCGGCGAATCGTTTCCGCCTTCGACCGTAATGGCTCACGACTTCGATCAAAGCATACACTTTAGATTTGCTGGTTATGATCAAATTAGCGAGGCGAGAAGGAAATCTGATGGCCTGGCTGTAGCTATTAGAACTACTGTCTGCAGCCAACATTCTCAATCCACCGTACGCGTATTGAAAGATTTAATCAATATATTACCTCGGCTCAATCACCCTGCCATTGCTACATTTCTTGGTCACATGGTTGACCCAAGTCAACTCCACTTTGTCTTCAACTATGATCCTCTGATCACATCAATTGAGGCGCTGATTCTCACGAAGGACTTCGCTGAAGACGAGATTGGCCACTATGGCGCCCAGCTTGCCGGCGCCTTGGATTACCTACACGCCCAAAAATCCGTTGTTCGAATCCTGGACCCTTTCGGCATTCTCTTGATGCCAGGATCAATCATCAAACTTGTTGACTTTCCTGCCATGGCCATACTGGGTGCCAACGGCCTGACTTCCGGGAATTATCGCCCAAGTGAGGAACAGGCCCCCGAGGCGCTAGAAGGCCGTGAATATGGTACATCTGTGGATTGGTGGGCATTAGGAGTGATAATGTATTACTTGAGCACAAAGGATAAACCGTTTATGATCAGTATGTTTCAGCCTCAACTTCGTAAAATATATATTTGCAACATGGCTAAACCTTGGATTTACGTACATTTGTAGGCTCACGTTGTCTTCCGGCATGGTTCCCCAACCCAATACTCACACGAAGTGTGCTTTTGCCATCACACATGTCCGAAGGCATGCAACAAGTGATCAAACAACTACTCAATAAAGAACCAACCAAGCGCATATCATCTGAGGTTGAACTCAGAAACCTTCCGTTTTATTCAAATGTATGGCCTCCAAGACCTTCCAACAATTCATTTGTAAACTGAGTAGACGTCACGCGGGTTAGGCATGTTATTTTACTTTAAAACCAACCAAATACACGATTTTATGTATCTTTCTGGTCTCTTTCTGGTCTCGTTCTTTGGAAATCTTTTTGTTTGAAGACTTCAGATGACTTGAGTTTGTTTTAAATCTTTTTGGACCTAAATTTTGTTATTTTTCCCTCCTCATATATTGTGGAAGAAATATTCTTCTGTGAAGATTTATCAAAAAGTCCGCATGTACTCAAAGTAAAGTTGGTTTTGCTTATACTTTGTGGTTGGTCTCAAATACTCTCATAAAAACCAATGGCACAAGTGTGTAGATAAGGTAATTTATTCCTTGGCATACCATACAAAAAAACAAAGACTAAACTCAAAAACATAAGTGAGAGCAGGCACGACCAAAGCAAAAAAGAACATCAAAAAAAACAAAGACTAAAATCAAAAACATAAGTGAGAGCAGGCACGACCAAAGCAAAAAAGAACATCAAAAAGGTAAAGAAGATGGTTGACTTGTTTAATTATTTGGTGTGACTACACACATCTAAAGATAAGATCTCCAAAGCTCATAAATAACTGCACCCTCTAAAGAGAGACTCGCATAAGTCCGCAGTGAATAACTGCATACAAGTGACAAAAATCCTGGCCTCTTCTTCTTCGGCATTCAAACAATTTTGCATTTCTTGAGTTCTTCGTAATCTTGCCTTCATTGGGGAAAACCCCTTTTCGATTGGGTTGAAGTCGGGGCTGTAAGCTGGAAGGTATATAAGGCACACTCCACGGGCAGCGCAAAGGGCTGCCACGTTCCCCCCGTGATGAATCGGAGCATTATCCATCACTAGTACACTATTTCTTTGAGGCCATGGGTTCATCGCCGGTAACTGCAAGAGTGAGCATTAGCAATGTACTAATCAATAATCGACAGAAAAAACCATTTACCAAATGATTTTCTAAAAAATCCTCAAAATCCAGTCGGGAGTAACCACCCTTCCTGATTTGAACCGCGAGGATGCCATCCAGTGATATAGCCGGCAATACAGACCATCGGCTAGCTCGAGTTGGCCTTTGAAGTCTGGCTGTCCGTTCACCCACAGGAGCTCGAGCAAAGTCGCGATAAAGCCTTCGCTTGCTCAGAGCAGTTTTGTCTATAATCAAAGTGACAGAGAGTCAGAATAAAGAAATGAATACTTAAAGAAATCCATTAGAGGCTCACCTGTGAATACCAAGCACCGAGGGTCAATGTTGTGAACAGCCGCAATGTAGGCACCTCGGGCCTCGGCAGACTGATTTGGATTCACAGTTTGAGCCTTTTTTCGAGTCCAGAGAAGGCGGTCGCGGAGCTCACTGGAAAGGGTCTGTATAGAGACTCGAACCCCATGAGTATCTTGAATCCTTTCTTGAAGCTCGTCAAGGTACAGTGTCGGATCATGACGAAGCGATTCCAGGACGAA